CCTATGTGATGTTAGTCCGTTTACTTTAGGGGTGAGGGGGAAACAACAAGCAAAAAAAAAAGAAGGAGAAAAAAGATGATAGAAAAAAATAATAATGTAAGAATAGGAGGACCTACGGGTGAATTCCGTACGGCGATTAACGTGAATACTCTCATGGATTAATCCCAAACGACTTGCATTCTTGACGAGGTCAATCGCGTCGATAATTTCCGCATCCGAATCCGAGGTCATGGCCTGAACCAGCAAACTCATCGGCCAGGCATTTTGTAAGCCGATATGCGGGCCGCCGATACCCTTGAAATCTTCGCCTTCGAGGTAATACGGGTTCCCCTGTTTCTCGAGAATCATCTTGCGGGTGTTCTGATAGACTTTATTCGAGGCATCGACGAAGCCGAGCAAGGGCAGGGCCAAGAGGGAGGGGATGTTTGCGTCGTCCATGAGGATCGAGGAGCCGTATCCGTCGACTTCAAACGCAAAGACGTTGCCGTATTTCTTATGCGGCACGACGCCGTGTTCCCAGATGCCCTTTTCTATACTTTCGCCCCAGGCGAGCACAGTTCGGGCGAGCTCGGCTTTACCTGCCGTCTTGAGGATTTCTGCTGTGCGTTTGAGCTCGACTGCCATCATGGCATTGCCGGGAATGAAGAAGCCGAGGATTGAAGCGTCGTCGCTGGGACGGAACGCGCTCCGGATCAAGCCTGTGCCTTCGTTGAGCGGGTTTCCAATCCCGTTCAAGTTGAGTGTTTCCGTTCCAGCATCGGTCCTGCGCTTGAATGTGTAGTCATTGGGGCGGAACTTGCCCGTCTTGTCGAATGTTGGTTGGGCCTGCTTGTCCAGGACTTGCATGAGACTGTTGAGCGCAGCGTACCATCGCTGGTTAAGGAATGCGGTCGAGCCCGTGTGTTTGTAGAATTGGTTGCCCAGTGCAAGGAAATGCGCGAGCGAGTCAATCTCGTATTTGCATTCAAAGACAAAGTTTGGTTCATACATAGGATGCACAATATCATCCTGCCCGTTGTTGGACGGAGCCAGTCGGCTGGGTAGCGGAGGCTGGAAAGCATTGCAGTACGGTGACTGAATGACGTATTCCGCCTGCGTGTTGATTGCGCCGAGGATTAAGTTTGCAATCTTCTTGTCCTTGCTCGCGAGCCGCTGGTATTGCGCGAGCTGGTTCGTCGAGTCTCGCAGCCACTCGGCGTTGATGTCGCCTGTTACAATGAAGCTCTGCGGGCCCTGCCATTTCTCGCTTTTTGCCGCGCTCTTGGACTTCTTCTCTGTGCCATCAACGTGCCATCTTATTGTCGTATCCAAGGTGTTGGGAAATGCATTTTCAAAGATCCGCGCCAGATCTGGATCTGTCATGCGCTTCGTAAGGTCGTCGATGATCTTCTCGACTAGCGGCGAAGAAAATGTACGGCATTGAGGGGAAGGCCGCTGAAAGGGCAGAACTAGTGGACCGCTGCTGAAGGGGCGACTGCGATGGAGGTCAATTTAATTGGGCTTCCTGGATAATGTAGTGACGGTGTAGTTTGCAAACACATACTGTAGGTAGGTGGAATAAAGCGCGTAATCTGGACAAGCAGCCCTGTATTTTTCTGATTCGGATCCCAATGGGACCTCCTGATGATTTTTCTCTGGAGGCGTCCCAATTACATCGGGGACGAATGCAGCTGCCAGCGACAGCAAGGTTGTCGCTCTTAATATCATTGTTGCAATTGACTCAGAACTGCGACCGAGACTCGAGAAAAGGTGAATAATTAATCATCGATTACCAGTATGGACTGTCCCTTCCTCCTCAAGCAGAAAAAGAAGAAGATTAGCAAAAGCTCAGTAGAAAGAAGCTTTGATGTCAAAGTGTGTGCAATGCCATCATAGTCGTAATGCTCCCCGGGTCTCCCTTGAATTAAATGGCGGGCCGAGATCGCGTCGGGGCGGTTCTTTCCCAAAAAGGCAATCAGCTCTGTTGACTAGGGCGGACTTGGTCTCTCATCACATCGGACCAAGTACAGGGTGTTGGCATGCACAAGAATAAAGTAAGCCGTATGTGATGGCTCGATTATAGATATTTAATTTAGGTAAATGAGCAATCGTAGCATGGTGTCTAATTGTGATTGCCATCTTCTGGCCGCAGTGAAATTGTCAAGGAATTGGTAAATTGAAGAGAGTTTATATCCGCAAGCGCCGGGAGAATTGTTACACGCTTAATTTGAACCTGATCATTGTTTCTTTGCAAAGAATGACATGATGCTACCCTGTCCCTTCTTCACTGGACCCTTTGGTTTTGGAGGAGGTTGCGCTTTGACTTTGGGCCGCTCTGGCTCGTCTTCAGAAAACGATTCCCAAACCGCTTCTTCTCTCGTCACTTGATAAAAGGTGTTAGTAAGGTTTGCATTCCTCAAGAGACCGTTCTTAGCTTACCCAAATATCCTTCTTCATCCTTCATTGTGCGTTTCTTCATTACCCTCCTCTTCCCTCGTCTGCGGCCATTTGATACGGTGATTTGTGTAGCTTCAGGTTCTGGTGTTTGCACTTTTACAGGCTCCGGCTCCGGCTCCGGTTCGGGTTCGGGTTCAGTTTCTGGTTCTGTAGGTTTGCTTCCCTGGGAATCATCTGCATTTTCCATCGGAGTATCACCTTCCGGTTCGTCTATGCCCGTTAGTCTAGCAAGCTACTGACGCGGGCAAGGTATTTCGCCTACCATCTTCTTCCATCATCTTTCTTAATTGCTCCTCCCGCTCAGCTTTTGACTTGCCATTGAAGTTTTCAGAGGGCCGGACAGCAAAGTCTTCTTCCTGTTCGTCTTCGGATGCGTCCTTCATGGGTTCTAGCTTTGTTAGTTGATATTTCAACACTGGGGTGTACACGGGCATACCATCTTCAGGCGCGCTTTGTGCAGGCTGCCATCACGTCAGCATTCGAAATATTGGCTTGTTCAGACCACTTACAGAGTTTGCAGAAGACGCTTGTGATTGCGCCGTAGAATCATTCGTTGCCTTCCGTTTGGTACCCGACTGCGCCTTGGCAAAAGATTTGAAAATATCTGAATTGTCTCTCCGTAACTGGCTTGGTTTAGCCGAAGTTGATTTTTTGGTTGACGGTTTGTCGATCTCTGATTTTTGCGAAGATTGTGCACTTGTGGTAGCCGCTGCAGGGCTCTTGTTGTCTTGCTCCGTTGCCTTTGGTGTTGCGCTCCCTGATGTCTGCGGCTTGCTCTTGGATTGAGACTGAATTGCGGGAGCAGGCCTCGAGGCTGCCGGTGGAGGAGGTGGACGGCGCATTGTCCTCCGCTAGTGGTGCAATTTAGCAACGCCCAGAAAAGTAATGAATTGGGCATTTATACCTTGACATTAGGGTTCTGTATGACGCCATATTGTTTACCCACTTCGAGCGGATCTTCTCCGGCATATTGGGCGAAGATTTCTCGATTGCAATCAGTAAGCACATGCAGATTCTATCGAGGGGTCAGTGGCATGTGACAGAGACGGGCTAGAGGAATTACCTTTAATGGATGAGGCTCTAGACTATAGACATGAATTGAAGTGATCTTCTCGTATTGAGACTTTAAAGCTGCGAGAAAATCAATCATCAAACTCTAAAAGATCTGTGGTTCTCAGTGTAAGACGCACCCTCGAGGTCTTCTTCACGAACCAGCGTGATTGACCTTATCCGTAACTTTTCATCTTCGTCCTGGTTGGGCATGGAGCTGCTCATAAAGGGACTGCTTTGCATAAATGCATCTTCGCCATCCGACTTGACAGCACCGTTGCTCAATTCTTTTGGAGGCAATATCCGGACTCCGCTGACAAGGTAGGTCGCATGAATGGAGGCAGTATTTTTCGCGGTCTGTTGACGGTGGAATTCATAGAGCATTCTGAAGCACATCGTATTAACCAAAGGAAGTAGATCCTATAGGCAGAATTATTTCCTACTGTTTGGCCACATTGCAGTGGATCTTCAAAGCCCTGCTCAAGGTCCGATAGCTCACCTAGAATTCCCATGTGGTCAGTTTCACCTAACACTAAAACCAGTAAAGGTAAACACTTACAATTTTCCCTTCATTGAGCACATTGACAGCCAAATACTCCTTATATTGATCAGCCATAATTTGCAAAAGCACAATTAGCGCTGCGTTGCCCCCGTGTCGTCAGGCACAGAGCAAAGCATCAGAGTTGCAGATCTAAGACCAGCAGGGTAATGTGATTGCCCAACTATTTGCGGGACGCGATGCACTTTACGCGTGAACACGCGAATCTTACCTTCACCGCCTTACCCGGAGTGCCTCTCTATGATCCCAATACTATCATAATTTCCATTTGCCATTTCAACAACAGACATATGACCTGCCAAAGGCCTCCGTTGCAATATTTTCCTTGCTTGTAATTAGACTACTTCAGATCACAGTCCATGGAACACGTCATATCCCTAACGACGGTACCTTTCAATGGCGCATACGTTTGATGTACCCGACTCAACGGACTGGCTAAACACGGCCCTCCCAAAGCTAGCACCTGTCGAAACCGCATTACGATGTCAAGTATGCAAAGACTTTTATAATACGCCCATGATAACCTCGTGCTCGCACACATTCTGCTCGTTATGTATACGGCGATGTTTAGCGTCTGACGGGCGCTGTCCGACCTGTCGCGCCGCCGGACAAGAAGTCAATTTGCGGCGGAACGGAACAGTCGAGGAACTGGTTGAAACATTTCAGTCGACGCGCGCAGATATCCTGAAACTTGCTCGAGATGCGATATTCTCAGAGAGGCCCAAAAGGCGATCTACTCCCCCTAAGCGGAAACTCGGCGACACAGACCTCGAAGCAGACGACACAAGCCGCTCGAGTTCTCGAAGAACAACAAGATCACAAACTCAGCGCTCTCAAAGCGCAGCAGCAGCAGATCCTGCTCCCATCACGATTGAAGATGACGAGGACAGTGAAGAGCAGCAGCCAGGTACACCCTCTTCACCTTGTTTTTATCAATATCATGCCTGCATGTCTCCGCACTATTTTCCAAGATCTGACATAAATCCTCTCTTACAGACGACGGTCTGGTTGCATGCCCCATCTGCAACAGGCGAATGAAGGCAGAGAGTGTATTTTCACATTTGGACAGATGTGACGGCAAACCTGCAGACCCCCGGTCGCAATCATCGTACGCTTTAACCCTTTTCCTTTCCTCACTCTCCCCCCTTCTCTCTCCCCCTCCATCTGATCCTGCAACAACATGCCAAACCATCCATGTTAACACATCTTACTCCAGAACGCCCAAAACACCAACACAACTTCAAACGATATACCCTCAGCGTGGCATCCAATCACCGCGACCGCCCGAACGACTGCCCAAACTCAACTACTCACTAATGAAAGAAAACGCATTACGCAAGAAATTCAGCGAGCTAGGCATCCCCGCATGGGGCCCCAAACCGCTTCTCGAAAGACGACATACGGAATGGGTCAACCTGTGGAACGCAAACTGCGATTCGTCACGACCTAAAACGAAAAAAGAGCTCTTAAACGAGCTGGATCTCTGGGAACGCACGCAGGGCGGGTACGCGTCCGGTGGTGCCGGATCTAGTTTGATAAAAAATAGTAGTATCGGCGGCGGTGGTGGTGGGGGTGGAGGCAATACAGTCATGCGCAAAGATTTTGATGGCGCAGGGTGGGCAGCAAGTCATAGCACGGATTTCCAGCAGCTCATTTCAGAAGCAAAAAGGAAAAGAAACGCGCCGCAAAGTGTACCAGCACCTGTACCAGCATCTCCGGCGGCAGAGCCAGAAACGGACGTAAATGCCGACAGGTCGATAGAAGGGAGAGTAAATGGAGCATTGTCTGACCTTCCACTACGGGATTCAAATGGCAAGGTTATCGACGACGAAGGTGGAACGGAAAAAGATGTGGACGGTCCGGTGCATACATCATCATTATCACCATCAAGATTTAAGCCGGCGTTGTTATCGTCGTCATCAAAGAGCATGGAAGAGCGGGTGTTTGAGCAGCCTGATGATCCAATTGAAGACCGATGACGCCGCATTATTCTTTTTGATATCCCTTTTTCAGGCGCGCATGAGATAAAATTTCAGACCTACAGCTACGGCTACGGCTGTGATTTTGGCGAAAAAAGAAGAGCGTATATCTTTTTGGCCCTTCTCATTTCTCAAAATCTAGGTATATAGAAGCCAGGGACAGATTCAGGCGCAGGCATATCTTAAATTATCTCTCTACTGGAACAGGACAAATCTTAGTACAACATTACTGGTATAAAACAAAATTATCTCTCGCGTTCTAACTATACTCCCTTTGTTTGAAGAAATGATGCAGACCGAACAGACCCATAGCACTCCGCGGTAAGACTTTAGCCGCGTAAAGTCAAAGAACCCAAGCTTGTAACTCCGAAGCAGATAACGTATATAATGTATCAACTGTCGCGCCGACCCCAAAAGATACATATCTTAAGGCCTCTTCCTTGCTTCAGTTCGGAAACTCTGTAGTTGCTTTATTCTCCCTCCCGAAATGCCTCCTTTTTCACATCGCGGTCATCCGGTTGATCCTTCTGCAGCGTCGACTCTGGGACAAACTGATCAAGCTCCTCCAGTTTTCTCCTTGTCTGTTCGGCTTCGGCCTCCTCTCGTTGCCGTTGTTGTTCTTGCTCGATTGCTTCCTTCTTCTTGCGCTCTTCCTGTTCGAGCTCTTCGAATTCCTCGTCCACATCTGCTTCGTCAGGTGCATGGACGCCAGTGAGACCTGGATCAGCAATCATAGCACCAACTTCATCAACTTTGCCCATCTCGTCGCGCAGTTCATGTACGACATCTTCCACTTTATCGACATCTCCAATTTGCTTGTTGAGGCCTTTGAGCACACCAACGCTGGCTTCCATTACGCGCACAATTTCGACCTGATCAGTAGCTTGCTCAATCTTGTCATATACTTGCTCTAGTTGGGCAAGTGTTTCCGAACGCTTATTTAGATTGACTTCAGCTAATTTTTTGGATCGCAGGGCAGATAGAGCGGCAACACGATTTTTTGCGCTGACGGCTTGACGGGCAGCTGTATCTGAGGTTTCAACACGTGATTGAAGGGTCTCTACTTGTGTCTGTAGGGACAAAATGAGAGCCTTGAGAGATGCGATGCTTGCATCTTCTTTCGTTATCGGGCTGGGCGTTTGCTCGTTCGGTGATTTAAACTTGATTGTCTAATCGTCGTGGTCAATTTTAAGTTACGGGCGGCACCACCACGGCGTGAAGATGTGACTAACCTGCCCATCGAAGGCTATCTCACGCTTATCCCGCGCGAGAAATGTCAAAAGAACTCTGAAATCTGTATCCGTGAGCTGACGATCAGGCCCTAAAATGTCGACAAAGTCTTGCCGAAATATCTCTTGGGAATAAATCCGGTCGACGGCGCTGGCTTTGCCGACAGTTTGCTGAAGAATTTTTCTCGCCGTTTCCTAGATTGTAATAAGGGTTAGTCACCATCTTCCACTACCTCAACTAAAAAGTCCTTCTTGTGCGAACACCAACAAAGGAGACCAGACTTTGACGAACCTCAATGTTTCCTACAATCGCAAACTGCCCTACTGAAAGTTTATCTTCGCCCGAAACTCCCCCAATAACGCCTAGCTGCCTGAGACCCCAGGATATCACGGACCAAGGTGATCCAATCCAGCTTTTATGATATATGCTCGTGGTTGTTGTCAAGAATTCCTGCAACGGTAACAGTTGCTTTTGAGCCACAGCTTCGTTCTGTCAAACGATATCCGTCAATAAGCATTTGGCTACTTCACTCGGGCCTGAATTATATACTGATTGAACGTACAATAACTGCGCCCAGCGCCAATGGTCGTCCCCATTCTTTGGTCTCTAGTTCTCGTAGCAAGTCTTCCCCGGTCCGAAGTGTTAAATGGTCGCTACCAGCGCCGGGAGCCGGTATCAGACCCGCACGAGCTGCATTTGCAAGCGCCGTCTGCCAGGCGACAATATTTGCATTATATCCGTCTGGGTTGGTCGTCTGCTGGTGGCGGAAATCCGAGTAGAGCGAAGCTAATCGGGCCCTGATTTTTGGATTATCTTTGTTAGCAGCAAAGAACTTGCAGTATCAAATTTGCGGCACCGTTGTAAGGGTTGCAATCTAACCTCCGAAACTGCTCCTCATGATTCAGAATAAAGTTGAGCAGTTCGCTCATGACAGGCGGGTCAGCCGTAAATAGAGTGAAGCCGGGAGAGGAAGGCACTGTTTACGTTCGGAGGTGGAAGACTGGTTCAGGCGTAACGAACCCAAGCGACCCAGAGCTGCGTCATCGCCATCTGGTGATCTGTGCGCTCATTCAGAGATATCACATGAACGAGCATGACAAAAGTACCCTCAAATCTAACCTCACATTTTTAATGCTATAGTAATGAATATGTATTTGTCTATACTAGATACTTGAATTCTTAAAAGGGTCCTTGGAATATGTCCCATGAAGGAATTGTATATCGCAGAATAACGCCAGTGAAATGCCCGCCTTAAATGGTATTGAAATCTTCACCCAAAATACAACGACAATGCAAGCGCCTGATACCTCGAACATTGAGGGGTTAAATTAAAAAAAAAATTGAGAAATAATGCAACCGAAGAATGCTAATTGGGCTCAAACTGGTTCTCAGGGCCCTCATTCTGCTCGCCCACGGTCCGTACTGAACTCAGGGCATCGGTATCAAGCGTGCCAAAAGGCGCTGCCGGCGCGCCCAGGATACTTTGGCGGTGATGACGCTGGTCCATCTTCTCGCTCTCTACCTCCATGAGATTGCTCTGTTCATTTGCCATCTCCAGCTCTCCTTCAGCAGGTTGTGGAGGGGCTCTTCGGGCTTGGAGCTCGACACGCAGCTCTTCTATGAAAGAGCGCATTCCGTCAAACTCGGCACGTTCTTGGCCATTAGCTATTTCTTGATAGAGTGCATCCGCATTATTTAAGCATTTCTCAGCCTGTAGGCTCTTCTCCAATCGGAGCCATATGTCGGCCGCCAGGACGTCCCACATGGCATTCTTCCTCCGCCGAGATCCCCAGCGTCCGGTGCCAGCTCCTTTACGGGACCCATAACATGCACCGACGCGCTCAGTGAACAAGGCGTTTCCTATCTCTCCTAATGTTCTGGTCTCAAGGATACGAATGGCCCATCGTGATGCGTCATCAGCAGCAGAGCCTCCTCGGATACGGAGCAGCTCCGCGCCAACAGCTAAGCTTCTTAATGCATCATACGGTGCGCTGCATCTTGTAATATAAGAGTATGCTGCTGTGTCAAGCATTTGATCAATGGTTTCTGAACGGGTTTTCGAGGTCATAGCTTGCGGTGAGAGCAGTGTGCTGATAGCAGTCATCTCGTTCGCCCCGGCATGATATCTCCACGCTTTATCATTGTTGAAGTCTGTTCGAAGCAGTTCATACGTGCTTTGAGCCAGCTTCCAATCTCGAAGCATGAAAGCATAATCTGCCAATTTCCGCATAATCGCCTCTGGTGCGTCGGGTCTGTAGAAACCTTGCAATGCATCGTAATTACTGTTAGATCCCGTAGAGCCCCCAGCAAGACCAGTTCCTGAGGAGCTTCTTCCAGCCCCAAACCCTGTCCATCTTTTAGAAAGAGAAATGAAACGACCGCCAATGCCGCGCCTCCGAGATGCGACTTGGTCATTCCATGTAGCAGTGCACCGCTCCATAAAAGGTACTATCGACTGGGTGACCATTTCGCGGACAAATGTGCGCACAGCTGTTGCGTCGGAATCGAAAAGACAAGGTCTTGGGTCCTCAATATCCTCCGAGTGCTCTAAATCAGGATTAGTACAACGAAAGAAATAGAATGAAAAAGAGCTGACCTCGTCTTTGAATTTCAGCAAGTTCTTCGGCGGCGGAAATCCAATTGCAAATTGGCAATCGGACGCTATCGTCATCTGTTGGCAAACACTGGCTACTCCGGAGTCTAAGAAGATGACAGTGGAGGCCAAAATGCCTTTTCATTTGATCAAACAAAACAGTGGATTTAGCTATGTCATCTTTATCCTCGTCATGAACAAGGACATAATATCTTAGATAATCGTTGTTCACCCACACAGGCAGTTTCTTCTCTCCTTGACTGGTAGTATTGTATAACTGGCGAAGGCTCTCAATAGGAGATGGGTTTCTCGAGCTAATGGCTATGACACAGGCCACCGGATGAGAGAAAGTCTCATGAGGAGTCAACGGTATGGCTGATAAGAGCCTTCGAAGATATAGCGAAAAGAATGGCGAGATAGAAGAAGAACTTTGGGACGAAAGATCCTGGTAGTTGAGATAATCGGTAATGTAGTCACCCGAGACCAGCTCTGCGTATGCCAGATGTCGTTCAACGAGTGCTTCAATTGCTGAGATGTCCCCTCCTCGTCGCAAACCCGGTAGAGCTTGCCCTTGATCCAAGGAGCCGAATGAACCTCTCGGCAAGGCATTCGAGTTTCGATGATTTCCGTTCCGCGGGTCTTCAATACCATCTCCCAGGCCAACAAATCGTACACCGAAATCATCCCAAGTCCGGCTTGCGCCTACACTGTCTCTCACCGTAACCTTTCCATGGACACGTTCGCCGAAAGGCCGAAGTATTTCTCTGAAACCACCCTCAAATCCCTTTTCTTTTAGAATCTCGTCTGTATCTGGAGAAGCATGAACTGCGACATGAGGAACAAAGGCCCTCGTAATAAGCTTTCTGGGATCGTCCGACCGGTCTTCGAGAAAAGTAGGGGAAGATACTGCTCCCGGTGATGCAGTTAAGAACAGTGACTCTGAGCCTGTCTCCTGAGATGGTGTGTCTATTTGCGCTGACCCTGCCCTTGAGGGAAGAGTCGACGTGGACGCAAAGAGTGAGGAGAGCGATGCATTAGAGCTCCGATATGGAAGGGTCGTCGCCGACGCAGATGCAGGCCTCGTCGGTTTCTGGGATCTTGTCTTTGGCAGCCCGGTTAGAGGCTCAGGCGAAGGGGAATTAACCCATCCGACGCTTGAGCGGTCGTCAGTCATTGAGAGGCCGCCAACGGCTGACGAAGACAGTCACGCTGGCCGCTCTTCGGGCAGCAAAGTCCCGTTTGACTGCTATTACGATCTCCGGCTGGCGATTGGAGAATGACAAACAAATCGATGTCAGGGCTTTTATTTCTTAAAATCTAAAGAACCATACAAATTGCGCGACAACGCTGCAACGACGGAAGGCGGAGAAGAGAGTAACATGGAGACCCTCACCATCGTCAACGTCAACATGCACGTTGTCGCATTGCCCGTTCGGCAAATGCCGCTTCCAGCACCGTTGACGCACAAAATAACATATAAACATTCTAACTATGATATTGCTATGCAACGCTCTATACCCACTTTCTTTTGAAGGTTGCTCAGTCTCATTCATTCATTACAGGTTATTCATTTAAGCGTGGACGAAACAAACAAGTTCTGGAGCGCTGTAATTCATATGGATGTCTGCTGCTTTCTGGCATCCTCTTTGCAAACCACTACCTGTCATAGCTAAACGATTTGCTCCTCAGCGAATAAGCACGAGTCTCTCAAGAACACTCTACTTAGGCCGGGCTCATCTCAGTCGCATGTCGTATCGCACGACCTCAATTGACCTCGAGAACCTCCGGGGCACGAAGAAAAGAAGAGTCGATTCACCTTCACCGTCGAGAACGATCCGTCTACCACCCATGGCACCCGTACCACTAGAAATGGACAGCAAGAGGAATTTAATGCTCACCCCTGTCGAGGGCACATTGAGAAAGCTATTGCTTGATGTTGCAGACTATATTGATGGCTCAACGAGCCCTGGAAATGCGGTTTCCGGGGTGCCCGTTCCGCCTAAATTGGCTCATTCGAAGCTCGAGCTCCGTTTCACCGGCGGCTGGGTCCGTGACAAGCTTCTAGGAATTGGAAGTCATGATATTGACGTTGCAATAAATAATATGACTGGCTATCAGTTCGGGCTCAAAATGAAGGAGTATTTGGAAGTCCCAGGGAATCTCGAAAAATACGGGCTGGGAGAATCGAATGACAAAGACGAAAAGTCCAAGACCAAAGTCGTTGGTGGTCTCCACAAGATAGAAGCAAACCCTGAGAAGTCAAAGCATCTCGAGACGGTTACCACAAAGATTCTCGGTCTCGACATCGACCTAGTGAACCTAAGGAAGGAAACATATTCGGAAGACAGTCGAAATCCTCAAATGGAGTTTGGGACCGCAGAAGAAGATGCGCTACGCCGTGATGCAACAGTCAATGCTCTCTTCTATAATCTTCAAACATGTTCAATTGAAGATTTAACGCAGCGCGGCCTCAACGACATGGCTATTAGGCTCGTTCGAACACCATTACAACCTCTGCAGACCTTCAAGGACGATCCCTTGCGTGTCTTGCGTCTGATACGCTTCGCAAGCCGGTTGAGCTACGAGATTGATCCGGAGGCAGAGGAAGCGATGAGTGAACAGAGCATAAGGGATGCTTTGAAGCTCAAGATTAGTCGGGAAAGGGTTGGCACAGAAATTGAAAAAATGCTGAAAGGTGAAGTCGTTCGTCCGATGAATGATCACTGAACAACACTAATTCATTTGCAGGTCCTGATCCTCGTCGATCTCTGCAGCTAATTGATCGTCTTCGACTTTACACCACAATATTTACCGACCCCACTCAGAACGACGCATTCACACCAGAGACAAGCTCATGGCACTACTCCTACGAATGTGTCCACGACATCTTATCCGCTGCCAATAATGACTCGAAAACAGCTCCCTTGTATAACAAAGTGCTGCAGATTCTCATTCGAAGCTCTGAAGAAGCCCACTTGGCATGGATCCTTGCTTCTCTCACACCGTACTCAGACGCACCCAACCCTGCGCCTGCTCAGCCTGGAGGGAAAGCTCTGCCGCCTGTTGCTGCAACGGTTGCTCGGGAGGGAATTAAAGCTACGAACAAGGTATTCGACGTCATATGGGGTGCATTCAAAAACCTTGACGAGATAAATAAATTCAAGGCTGCTGTAGTCAGCGACAAACGTGGAGCTTCCAGGAAATCAAGTGAGCCGGAGCTTGCTGCTCGTGATCACCTTGGTATGGCAATTCGTCGATGGGGTGCCAACTGGCGATCACACGTACTCTTAGCACTTCTCCTGGAAGTCGTCGAAGCTCGAGGTGTACGAAGAGGTCTGTTTTTCTCCTTTCAAAAATCACTGGACAAGCTCTCACATTGTAAAGATGCCATCATCAGGGATTATTCCACTTTCCTTTCCCACATAGAAGACCTCGATTTATTCGATGTATACGCCCTAAAGCCTATTCTTGACGGAAAGCAGTTGGCCAAAGCACTAGACACTAAGCCTGGTCCATGGATGAAAGATGCTTTAGAGGTAGTGATGGCATGGCAGCTGCGCCACCCGAAGGAGACCGGCTCCGACGGAGCGATTGAAGAAGTTAAGAATGGCAGAGGTGAGCTCAACCACGAACTTATGGAATTTTTCCTGCGGCACACAGTACGACCGCTTTTTTCCAAATCTCAAAATCCCGAGATTACCCCTCAGGGGCGGAAGGCCATGCAACCACAACGGACAAAAGGTGACTTTATGAACAGCGAGGCAACCATAAAGCCGTGGAAATTCAAAGAGGCGTATGCAATGAGTATCTTGGAGTGGATCCTCAAGCATTTAAATGTGTGTATTTGCTCTGACCCACTGCTCCTTCATCAGGCTCACCAGTTATAGGAATACCTCACGGAAGAATTCTGGCCACTTTTGGTGCCCCCACTCATGACCATTGTTGATGACGATGCTCCTGAGATTAAGGCCAAGGGCTGTTTCTTTCTGAATCTGCTACTCCAAGCTACTTCTCCAAGTCTCCTGGACCGTACCGGTCTAGGGGAGGTAATGGCTGGTGCATTGTTGCCTTGTTTTACTTATCTGCCAACTTTGACGCCTGAAGATCAGTCTCTCGAAATACTTAACGCCGCGTTTCCCGCCCTCATCACACTCTCGCGAGTCCGCTATCCGGAGGAAGCAAATAAGGCTGAAAGATTAAAGTTTCTGGACCTTATTATGCGCCAGGGTGTCTTCCATGCTTATGAACATGCAGGTGAGCATGTTAAGATTGCTGAGACTTTGATCCAGCATGTTTCAATCCTAGTTGATGAGATGGGGATATATTCTGCCAAGCATTTAAAGGTAGGTTATTGTGCTGTTCAGCTCCCATTGATCGTGTCCCTTGTTAATTCAATGTTGCAGTTTGTGATACCCATTCTCTCAGACATTCTTGACGCTCCCTTTGCAACTGCGTATCCGCCCCTTTTAGCAACCACTTTATCAGCTCTTGAAAATGTTATCACGATAGATTGGCCCCGCATGGCGCTCCATCGCGGGGAGATATTGCGTGGTTTGACATCTTGCTGGTGCAAGCTAAAAGAGGATGAAGCAAGCGACCACACCACCCTTAAGCAAAGTACTAAAAATGCGGTGAAGCTCTTGACCGCCGCAGTGAAAAGCGATGCACAAGTCGAATTGGCGTCAGAGTTCAAACTACTTGTTGAAAGTGATGAACGGCTTTCTGACCTATTAGAAGATCCATGAGTGGACAAATAAATGAAGCAATTAAAAATAAATTTTTTAAAATTTACCTATATCATGCAAAGCATAGCAATTTTGGGCCAGCCCCGAAATCGTCACATCGCCGCTGAGACGCTACGCTACATGACTGAAATATGAATGTCTATTATCAAATAAGATATGTACTATTGTAGCGAAAAACGAGAATCGGTGAAATTGTGCATAGAATATATCCCGTGATGGCCTTCTTCTACATTTCTGGAATCGGATTTAGATATTGAAGCCTCCGTGGTCAGCTGCATCACAGAACCTCCATAGTCCAGCATTTTCAGCCGCTTTCCTAACGCTAGATAATTCCTGTTCAGAGATCGGCCTATTAATATCGGCATATCGTACACTGCCAGCCTTGTCCTTAGAGCTGGGCAATGGTCCTCCTTCAGTAGAACTGGTATCCGGTTCCGAAGCACTCGTTTGTCGCTTTGGCTTCCCGACATGTGCATCAGGGTGATATTGTTCCATGATATGGATATACAGGTCTTTCGACACATTATCTGCTAGCCACCGGACGATTTGCTCACCCTCTTCCTCCTTTCCAGGCATGACTAGATGACGAACAAGCACGCCCTTCTTCGCGATTCCGTCCGCGGTGAAGGAAAGGTCGCCCACTTGATCATGCATCGCTTTAATGCTTTCCATGGCCGTCTTCGCGTAGTCGTCAGCCTTGAGTAACCGCTTTGAAGTGCTGTTGCTCCAAACTTTGAAGTCCGGAAGGTATATATCAACCAGTCCATCCAACAGCTTTATCGACGTAAGCGAATCAAACGCAGAAGTGTTGTAGATGATGGGTATCTTCAAGCCAAGGTCTCGGGCGTGAAGAATAGACAGGACAACCTGCGGCACAACATGTTCCGGCGTTATGAGATTAATATTATGCGCTCCACCCACATCCTGTAGCTTCATGTACCACTCAGCGAGCTCTTCAGGGGTTAAATCCTGCCCATTACGCTGATGCGCAATGTCGTGATTTTGGCAAAAGACGCAACGTAAATTGCATCCCGAGAAGAACACTGAGCCGGACCCATTATGGCCTTGGATACATGGTTCTGAAATTTGAAAACATCGTCAACAAATTAAAGCGCCACTTAGTGTGTACGATATCAATGAATAAGCCTACCTTCTCCAAAATGAGGCGCGATTACATTGACCTTGGCTGTCTCAGCACCAATCAAGCAAACTCCAGTCTTTTCATAACGGTTTACTCCACAAAGACGCGGGCAGAGATTGCAGTTCCGCAGGTGTGCATATGCTTCAGACCGCTTTTTAGCAGCATCTATAGATGATAATAATTGGTACCTGGGAAGATATTCATCCAGCAGGAAAGGCGGCGCAAGGTAAAGAGTTCGGCTTTGGGGAAACACAGCCGGCGCTCTCAATTTAAATGCTCCGTTAAATGGTGAAAATGGCCTCAACGGCGACACTGATGTATTACGCCGTGTCAATGCCTTCCAGAGCCCATTCATCGCGTGTAATGGGCGTCATTGCTCTGGTATCAACAATTGCGGATTCCGCGGGGATTGACGTCTTCCCTCGCCACTGATATGCAATGGATTTGTTATCGCGTAGCACGTGTAAGTGCTCTAGCCGGGTTCGGTTAGCCTTCTTAAGGCGGTGAAGGAGCCGGGGCGCTTTGACGGTAAAATTCGCGTTCATATTTTAGTTTAATCCCGCTGTCTTTAACAAGCGGCCGGATGGTGTAGTTGGTCATCACGTATCGTTAACATGAGCCTCTTCTAAGAAGCCTTGGTTCCGATAAGGTCCCCGGTTCGAGCCCGGGTTTGGTCATTCTTTTTGCATGTTCTTCTTATATCATCTCTTTTTTTTACCAGTCCAAGGAGTCAAGGACAGAATCATCAGCATTTCAAATATATCACTTGCGTTGGCCTGGAAAGTATTATTAGTAAAGGAGTATCCTTTTGAAATTGCTTCTTTTGCGAAGCCTCTAGTAACTTTGTTACCTGGTAAACCGTTGTGGTATCACTTTGTTTGGCATTTGCAACATTGTTTTCTGGATTTTTCTAGTCCTGTGGAATTTTGCTGGTTGAAGTCAGCATATCAGAAGATTTTCTTCAAAGGGGTGTTTCTCGTCTCTCTACAACATGCACCTACACAAATGTTAGCCTCTCGTCTGCCTTCCAAGTCATACTCACCTCATCGACTCCTCGCCGGGTACAAAGGTGCGGAGAAGGATGCAATTCTTTGCAGATATGAGACGATGTTCTGCATATGATGATGTTACAGGCCTCTCTTTCTCGCTTCGATAGATGATGTCGAATATCTAACAAATGCAGACTGATGAAGAGGATTCTCCATTAGAACCTCTGTCTATCCCGAAGCTGGGCCGGCTCTCTTCATTCACACGAATGGCATTGCCTTTCCCTTCTCAAGACGGGAGAGTAATCCTGTTATTATTCGCGATGACCTTTGGTGATATTCACAATGTCCACTTGACTGGTCCTGGGGGCATAGGGCGAGCAATCGCGATTTGCAACCTTGAAATCGACCCAAATCTGCGACCTTTTTCGACTCAGGATCTGCCACTTGACCGCAGACTTCTCGATGCCTCCGTGGCCAAGGCTAGTGAATTAGTCATTGCACTTTGTCACGGTTCCACTATCTGGGAGAAATTATTTCCAATTTTCTCTGCGAGAAGCCTTTATCTCATTTTGGGGTTTGATGAAGTGATTGCCCTTGGTTTATGTGGTTTTGTTGCAATATCGATCCTTCAATGCTGCATGATCTTTTGCGAAAAGCAGTTTCAATCCCAAGCTCGCAGCGATTGGATTTGATACGCTAAATTTTGAATCCCGTTCTTTTTCCGTTTGCAGTGACAACACTCACTACTTTCCTGTGGGACTTGTAAAGCTTTCTATTGCAATTCCTTTTGTTTGAAGTTTTGTCATGTTTATGTGTGCGTCATTTGCATTGTTCAAAAACACTTCACCAAAGCGGAATGGCATGCCCTTTATTTGCAATAGTATTGCATATTCCGGTGTCAGTGTTAAGGTCAGTTCAAAAGGGGGCCAGTGGCCGAAGGAAGAGTGAATGCGAGCCTCAAATCTGGCTAGTCGAGCAGATTGCAAAATTTACGACCAATCAAAACAACAGTATGATTTACAGAGATGTCAACAAAGATTACTTATGAAAACTTTTTTGCTAAACTTTTCCAAGATCTCGGCCACAGGAACTCCGAAAGACTAGTTGGCAGGCTTCCATCATTTTCAGCTCGCTCCAATGCTTTCACTCGGAAGAGGTCTGACTCCGCTCAATCTCAGTGTCTGCAATTGATTCTCGATTTGAAATGGCGAGGTCCACAGCCGCAGGTTCAATACAAGCACTGGAGATGGAACCAAGTTTCTCGATAACCTCCTCTCCCCCTGATTCTAAGACGCTGACGCCTTCCAGCAATGATGATATGACCTTCGAGGAGCTTATTCAAAAGTACAGCAATCGCGCAGCCCAAGTTAAAAAGGCAAACCATTCAGCGCCTCAGACAGTGGAGCAATTGCAGGGCGCCGGGAGACCGCAGCCTCCTCAAACTCCTCCAGCCACGGCATCGAATCCGGTCCTCCAAAGTCCATCTGAAGTTGAGGAAGGAGAAGTCGTTGATGATTTCAATATCGAGCTTGATCACGATACTCTGAACTCTCCGGAGGAGGCAATCAAGGTCACGGATGCTCCTGATGCACCCAATGAAAAAGCTGCCGCAAGCTCGGATAGTCCCTATTATGGTCATATCTTGTCAGAAGACACCAGCGAGTACAACGGCCAAGTGACGAGTCTTTTGAATGATGTTGTCTTCAACAATCTCTATCATGGGCTGCAGGCTTCGAAAACGCTTCTTACCAAAGCTGACACAGTACACGACCGCAAGAATAAGACTGGAGATGTTCAAAACCTGATTCAGGCCTGCATTGATCACTTACGAAAGCGTCAACTCGCTGTATTGAGTCTTGGGATCAGAGCAGTACTTGACATGACTTCTGAGCAACAGCAGAACTGGAAAAAAGAGGGTAAACTTTTCCTGGAGCTCGTGACTGAAAAGAGGCATTACGAGCAAGAGAGTGCAATTCGAGCAGCAGTCTCACCTCCCAAGTCAGAAGCCTTGCCTTCTGATAATACGGCTTTCACAGCGCAGAGGGCTAAAGCAGCAGTTTCTGAAAGACCTCAACCGTTAGATAGACAGGGTCGTACACCAGCTAAAGTACCTCTAGGCCCTGCCGCTTGGGTTCGCGCAAAGACCGCCTCTAAACCTATGCTTGCACCTGCCTTTACTTCCCAAAAGAAATCCGACTCTGCAGCTCGCATCCCCCGCCCCAGCCGGAACTCGGAATCTTTCCAATCTAGAAACTCTGCTGAAATAAATTCTCCTCCAAAGGGTCAGACATTTTCTTCGCCTTCGAAATTTAACGCTGGGCAACCGCCCACCGCAAAAAGCTTCATCTCTTCCCGCTTGACAAGTTTGAAGACTTCTTTACGCCCTCAAAGTAAATTCAGCATTGTTCCTAACGTCCAGAAAAGTCCTATTACCTTCCTACGAAAGCCTCGCCACCGCTGGCTGAAAAAGCATGGTCTCATGCTCAAGAAGATAGCTGAAAAGGGGCGTAAAATCATTCACCGCTCTGCAAGTCAAATCCAGCAGCCCATTGAATTTAAAGAGAACTCTGATCCTCGCCGTGGCCCGAATAACAATCAACTTGATCCAGAGTACGAATTCGTACAGAATCGGACCAGCTCAGTACATCCACCAGCTAATCATGATCCTCTTTCTACCTATGATCGTCTTCATCAACCGTACACCCCAAAACAAAGCCGATATGCTGACATCGAGGACGATCCCAGCTACAATCCCGAGTATGATTATGATTATGATTATGAACCCCCTCGTACAAGAAGACTGGCAGTACGCCATGAGACTCCGTCCTCCAGAAACATCTACGGCAACGCCATGACTTCACGTCAGCCACTTTATCAGGATGAATTTATTTACGATAGTCGTCACAGTCCGTATCCCCGTGGCAGCAACGCTATTCTGCGCGGTGTAGACGCTGTCTCTCGCCGGGAAAATGACATGATCGAAATCGATAATTATAAGCTACAGACTCGAAAACCACATGTCGGCCCCGCACGGCGCATCCAGCACAGCCGCGAGAATTTTCACACTGACATTCCCAATCGCAGAAATTCGCTCTCTGCGCGTCCCTTTCGTCGTCCTGTCGCAATTGGCCGTGAGGAAAAACACGAGTCTCCACTACAGTCAATGCATGGACCTCCGAAAGATGACAAGCGCAAAGAGCTTAGGTTCAGAGCTGGAGGAGATTACTACAGACCCACTTACAGACACCCGTACTAGAAGCTTTTTTTTTTCTTTGTTTTTTATCTTTTTTTTAAAAAAAACAAAAAATTGAGTTGAGTTGAGTTGAGTTGGACGTCAATACAGCATTCTGTCGACGATTCCGCAGCCTAGATTTCCTGTCAGCTTTCCTCGTGTTTTTTTCTTTTCCGAATCCTCTCTTTTATTCGTTTTTTGCTTTTTTTTCCCCCTTTGTTTACTTCTTCCCTGTTCTCCTTTCTTTTCTTCCCTTTCCTTTTCCTCTCTAGTCACAAATTTCCAATCTGTCCTTTGGTCTTCGTCGTCTCATCCAATCCTCAACTTGTTACAGTTGGGCACTCTATTTCCCCTTTTCCCTTCCTCTTTTTTGACATGAGCAGTCCAATCTACATGCTCATACCTTCAGTTCACAGAGTCTTCCATTTTCCTTTTCCTTTTTATCTTGTCTTTTATCTGGAAATTTCTACAGACAGACTCTACACACGGACTTGTGGGTACTGTAGCAAGCATATCTTCCCACGAATCCTAACCTCTTGTCCTTGTCTCCTGCTTGACTGAGTCTAAACTTGGCATTTTTGCCGAGGCTAGACGTGAGAGACATGAATTCTCTTTTCCACAAATTAGTCACCTTGAATGGGTTAGCATTGTAGCAGCTCTCATTCAGCCTTTAAATGAACCTCTAAATAAAACATTTTATTTTTTTTTTAAATCTGTTTATATGTATCCTCGTTTTCCATGACTAGCCAGCCCTGGGAAAGCATTGGACGGCCATCCGTTTTCGTATGGGTATGTATAGGCGTAGTGACTACCTTAGACGCGGGTTTAAAATCGCAAACATTCATCCTGGCCAAGTTCAAACCCACTCCTTGAGGGAAGAGGCAGCGTGTTTACCAGAAGAGAAGAAAAAAAAGAATCGGATCATCTATTCATATAAACATTGCCCAATATTCTAAGTGGTACCTAAGTAGGGAGAAAAGCACAAAGCACCAAATCTACCGCCCATCATATCTCTTTTATTTTAATTATCGCACAACACCATTTTTCAACGAGGTGACAGTGCAAGCGCCCTTGTCTGCGACCACCAGCTTGGCAACGCCCTCTTTGCCCTCTGTGGCAGTGATTTGCGGGACGGCCTTGACATCGAAGCCGACGCCGAGCTCGGCGGTGGTAGTGAATCCCGGCTGGATGGTTTCCCAGATCTTCTTCTTGGGGTTGAGCACGGACTCGGGCTCGCCTTGCCAGCCCTCGAAAAAGACACGGTCGCCGGCCTGGGCGGCGGGAGGGGGGTTGACGAGCTCGACGGGGCCCTTGTGGGAGTCCTCCTCTCCCTCGGCGAGGCGCGGGGAGGCGGCGAGGACCATGGCGGCGGACTTGATGCCGCGCATGGTGACGGGCTTGAGGTTGCAGACGGCGACGATCTTGCGGCCCTGCATTTCCGCGAGGGGCACGAGGCCGTTGAGGCCCGAGCACACGGTGCGCACAATCTGGCCTTCATACTCGGAGGTGTTCTCTGTGCCGGGCGCGTCGCCGCAGGCAATCGTCGAGACGTACAGCGAGTCGGCGTTGGGATGGTTGACGGCCTTGAGAATGTGGCCGACGCGGAGATCGATCAGGGCGGGTGACAGGACAAGTTCCTTGGCAGGGGCCTTTTGGGCCTTGGGCGCCTTTTCCTTCTTTTCCTTCTTCTCCTTCTTTCCTCCAGTGGCGCTGGCGGCAGCGCCGGCAACGGCGGCGGCAGCGCCTTCGACCTTTTCCTTGACCTTTTCGCCAACGCTGGGCTTGCCCTTGCCTACGGGGAGGTCCTTGGTCTCACCCTGGGCTTCGTTAGAAGAAGGCGCCGCGGCGGCGGCAAGAGCGGCGGCTTTTTCCTTCTTCTTGCGCTCCTTCTCCTCCTTGGGGTCTGCGGGCTTGTGCACGAATTTTACGTCGTTGACGTCAATGGATACTTTGTCGGATTCGGGGATCTTCGCGGCCTCGCTGAACACGGGAGAGTTCTGCACAAAGTCGACAAAGCGGACAATGTGGTGGTATCCTTGCTGGCCGGTACGCTCTTCGGGGGTCCACTTGGCGACAAGGGGAGCAAGGTAGGCGTACAGCGCAACATCAGCAATCGAAGGCTTGCTGCCGAGCAGAGTGGTGCGGGTGGAAAGGTGAGTGTTCAGCGACGACAAGCGCTCGGCCTGCTTGGCGGCATCCTCGTCGGCGGCTCCGAAGCGGGAGCCCGTCGATAGCCATTGCGAGATCTCGACCTTTTCGGCATCAGCGTAGTTGGTGGAAGGGAAGACGGTGGAGGAAAGCTGCGAGAGCTCGGCGGGTGTGGAGGTCGCTCCAGAAGGGGCAGCGCCGGGGTGAGCCCGTTGAAGGAGGGCGTGGAAGGGATCAGATGAAGCCATGCTGGAGAAATGCGGCAGTCTGAAAGGCAAACGACTATCAATTGGCGGACAAAACGGTCGTCGTGAGAGGAAAGTAGTTGCGGGGCGACAGAAGAAGCGTAGTGGTTGACTTCTTCCGAGAACAAATTTCGCAGAGACTGCGGACTGCTGGATTCTGACAGGGGCTAGCGCCCGCGTAAAAGAGGTAATGGGTTGAATGGTTGGGACCGATCTGCTGCGTACCAGATCAAAGAGGATCTTGGAGTTGATATGGTGATTTAAAAGTGAGTAGGAGGGGCAGTAGAGAAAGAGTGAAGCTCCACTGGACAGCCGATGACACACCCCCACCTAAAATTTCCTGACGGTTCCCCCTTCGTTCCCGCTCTCCTCCCCAAGCGAGTCTTTAGGGTTTGTTTGGCAACGTCCTATCAAGGCAACAACAAGGTTTAAAATAGATGCTGTGGTTTTGGAGTTGGTTCTAGATGATCATTATTGAGGGCACTTGTGATCATTTGCTGACGTATTACACTATATACAAATTTGCTAAAATCTACTCTCTGAATACTCAGAAACGCCGCCCAGATGCTTCGCTACAAGATGCTAATAAGAATATACTGGAGAAAAGAATAAAAAAGCATTTCTTATGAAGATCGTCAATCCATTGGTCCTTCTCTATGATTGTTCTCCCCTCTGCTTGAACAGAGACTTGCCCTTCAACCACTGCCGATATGCCTTGTATCTCTTCTTGGGCATGTCTGCGTCCGTCACGGTCAGAGGATCGTCAGGTACCTCCAAGAATTCAGCATAATCAGCAAAGTCCTCTTCATTCATGACGGGAATATTGCCCTCAGGGCCGTCAAAAGCGGTCGCCGCGTTAATATAATCAAAAAACTCAAGACTTGTGTCAGGTGGAGTAGCCGTCGTCACTACCAAAGGTAGGTTGAGCGGGTGACTAACATAGCGCTCATACTCTTCTGCCTCGGAGCGAGTAACCTCGGGATTCAGCGAGTTGGTGACGAACTGGTCCAGTGTCCATTGCGGGTTATTGAGGGTAGAGGCTTTTGTAGACTTGATGGCATCCGGATATTCCACTCCTTGACCAGAAAGTGCTGTGCTTGATCGAAGTGGCGATGGATTTGGCGGGAGAGAATCGGTCGTGAAGCGTTGAGGCTCCTTCATGATACCCTGCAGTGGAACTGAAGAGGAATTGGACCGGTGATGACGGTGTAGAGCTTTTTCATTAAGTCGAGGGGATTGCAGCCAGCGCGTCACGGAGGACGATCTGGGCCGCGGCGTGGTGGGAAAGGAGTGCAACGAAGGATTAGGGGAGGAGCTTGTTGATATACTATTCGTCTCATCGTGCGGATCCAATATCGTCACTCCTTTGCGCGACTTCTTCTTGTCTTGCGTGTCTGAATCTGGCGTGGTCGTACGGACACGAAAAGGACTGAGATCATATCGACCGTCCTGAGTCGATTTGAAAGGAATGTAACGTAAAGTCGAATTCATTTTAAAAGAGAAGATCTTGAGAAAAGATGAGACTGCAAGTGGACGATAGTATTCAGTCCAGTAATCGTCAAAAAAGGCGAGTGGCTTCTCCTGGGTCGCCCTAGGAAGTGGGAGTAAAGACGGCATTTCACGACGCTCAAGGTGTGCTGGTGTGTACCATTTAATATAGTGACGGCGCTTCTTTCCAGAATACGTGCGAGGGTCGACGTGGTGAAGATAATAATCAGTTGCAAGATCCCAGAGCATGGGCTGCCCCTGAGCAAAAATGTAATTTCCTAGGAAGAGGTTGTAAGCCTCTTGGCGCTGGGCATCAAGAAACGAATTGTTATAGTAGCGTTTAAAGCTTTCGACCATGTCTCTGGAATGACTGGTCCATTGGTTGATCTTTCGGTATGTTTCCATGGTGTTGACTAGGTGAGAGCCACCGTATTGGATAGCGATGGTGTCGCCATGATCGTGATACCTAAGACAAAAAGAAAACGGATTTAGTAGATGGGCAGATTCCATGTGAATGAAAGCACTTACATATGGGTAAACAAGTTCACTGCATCGGTATCGTATTCTAGGAAAGTGTCGTTAATAACTCCAAGAGCATGAAGTTGATGGCCTAAAGCGCGTTTTCCAATGACAAATTGCGCGGCATTGGTTCGATCCAGACAATCGATACAGTTGGTCCTCGCTACGCCATTCTGCATTGTTGACTCTTTATCTTCACCATTTCCATTGCGAAAGAAGCCAGTGACGTTTATGACTTCCTCGGCGATACCCTCCAGAGTACCAATCACGTCACCTTCTCGACTAGACAAAGATTAGTTTCAGAAAAAGAGGTCGATTGTGGGAGGGTTACCTCTTGGATGCGCGGCTCATATCCCAGGCTTTATACAGAATTTTCTTATCTTTAGGCAGGAACTGGTTGAGATAGCCGATTGCACGAGTAAACTCATGGAGGAGTTTAGATTCTCTTGGAGTTCTCTCCCTCGCCTAGTACAAGTGAGTCGAGGAATGAAATTTACCAAGATGGCATTCGCTCACCTTCACAAGATTTAGAACATAAATTGGTGTTCCATATCGCTCAAACAAATTGTCAAAATGAAGAGCTGCGGCAGTATAGAAAGGGTCGACAAGATCCACTGATTGAGGTTAGCAGAGTAGCTGACAAAAGAGAGTAGTAAACGTGACAGCACATTTGATATCTGGCTTGGGCGCCACGCCAGTACTATCTTGAGTCCAGTATAGGGGAATACTGCCACGATGTTGTACGTAAGACGTATAGTTGGGATTTGCAAAGAGCGATGGTCCTGGCGCATGAAAAGATGTTGTGATCATTTCGGAAACAATTTGTTCCGTCTCCACATCATTGGCCACATAGCCCTAGGTCTTTTATGAGCGTTTCAAACTCCTGGTCATGTACCCTGAATATACTGCTTACAAGGTCATTGGCGCCTCTCTTAAGATAACGTGCACCTGCAAAATACCGCGATCTTCTAGCGATGATCGTGATATACACCATTCGGCTGTAGACAGAGAGGGCTGGGTACAGTTAGTAACGGGCAATTTCCTTTGGGAGATATATTTGAACGCACTCGCTTGGTCAACGAAGCCATGGATAATTGGCAGACACCAATCGTAGGTATTCTTTAGAGCGGCCATGGCCGGCTCAAGGAGGTAATGATTCCAGACGAACATGGCATTATAGTCAGGGGACTTTGGCTGCGATAAGCCAGCGGCAAGGGCTTCCCGTTCTCGTACCATATTGTGTTGTAGCGTCCGGGTAATGTCGTAAGAATAGCTGAAATAAAAAGAGCGAGAAAGGTCGAGGTTGTTCAAAATGCCGAGAAAACGAGCCTCTTCGGGGTTCTTGTCGGGCCGCAACCTGGAAGCCGATGCCGTAGTGAGAGGAACAAGCTCAGTCCCATCCACTTGATAAACATAGTGACCACCTATCATGGCCACCTGGCTGCGTTTTGTGATCAAAAGCATATAATAAACACCCGTGAATCGAATGAAGCCGAGTAAACCCCATGTACTGCTTTTCAAGTTCATGCCCCCAGAGGCTTTGTTGCCATCGTCAATGGCATTCAAAAGTTGGTTCATTTCCTTTTTCGTATACACGATTTCATCTTCCGTAATGCTGAGGTCACCCGAGTCTGCAGTCCGGTCAATCTTGAGGATACGAAATCGACGATCCATTAGATCTCCTCCAACAACATAGTAACGACTGGCAGTCTCATAGAGCGAGAATTTGTGCATCTTCCAGACGCCCTCCTCACCGACTTTCTCATAGGCTGCCCCTCGATTCCGCTGCAGGTTTGGGATTGGACTGGCCGTTCGCTCAAACGAATCGGGCACAGCTGGCTCCTCATCTTCATCCAAATTTGTACTTTTCGAACGTGGACCGGGCGAAGTAGGTGGATTATTCGAAAGTTGAGGAAACGTTGGAACGGCTACCTTGATGCCATTTATTGATTTGTCTTCCTCTATGCGTCCATTTTCTGCCGTCGTTTTGGATGAGGTCGATGATGATTTCCTTTCACTGGCATGATCCTCAGCTAGGGGCGAGGTGACTGGAGATGGGAGCGCAGAAGCCGAATTTGTTGACGATGAAGGCTTGCGCGCCGCATCAGACTCAGCACGTAGCAAACTATCTTCTGACGTCCGCTTTCTCTCTGCGTTTCCAGGCTCATCCTTTCCCGGTACTTGTGGAGTCGCGTCACCTTCGTCCTGTTCGAGCGCTGCCATTGTGATGAAACGCCAGCCCTTGCCGTTTACGTCAATCTACTTGACTCAAATCTACCTTTGTAAATTTTGGATCATATCCATTGCCCGTGACTTGCTTCCTCTTATCTTGGCTAGTGAAGTTGTAGTTGAAACACAGTACGTGACAGCTTCAAGGGTCACGCAATGGATATTCTTGTCAGTCGTGATGAGCTCCTAGATGACTAAAACCATCTCACGAATCAATAATTGAATCATCTATGAATTATTTCCATATTCATAAATTGCATGTAGTGATAGCCATATGCCTCTGTTCCGTACCAGCACGTGGGGGATGAATACGGTCATCTCCAAACATTACGTAATATCATGCTGTCATTAACACTTTCGTATACTTTCACTGATTTTTGCATTGCATAAAGCTAAATGAACAGCACAGGTGATTTCACATGCACCACATCTCCCTGTGTCAGCAGTCACACCTTCCCCGATAGTCCGGCAGATACTAATCCGTCCACTGTCTAGCTACCCTATCGAGAAGAAGGTCTTGGTATGTTACGTCTCCACTAACAGTCTTTGCGAGTGGGCTCTTTCACATGTCAAGCAGATAATAATCATAAGTTACGGATCTTGACTGACTCAGTATCATTAGGGTCATGGTTCTCCACGATTTCATCCTTATAATCCAATCATAATAGTGCCGAAGCCACGGCAATTTAGCCATTCTTCGGACCCTGCAACTTCTTTGATTGTCCAATATCTCCTTTCGGGCTTTTCAATTTCTCCTTATTTTTCTCGTTTGCGTATCAATACATCCATTCATCGACTACCACTTCTGTCACTTTTGGATGAACAAATTATTATCTCCACCCGCCCTCCCACACACGCACTACTGTGCATTCAAATTTCTTTTCTTTCTTCTTTCCTCGGCCCTTTATTAACATCACTATGCCCCCCGTTTCCTCCATTGCTCCGTCTCGCGTGACGATATCTCTCTGAGACCTTTCGTTTTCTCGAGTCAATGTCATGCGCACGAGGATATGTCGTGGCCCAAAAACGAGGGCGAGTCCCCATACGCTGCGACCGAGGCCATGATAGACGGTGGGTTCTTCACATGTGATTGCCCTATCTTCCAACTCAGCGCGAACTAACATCACCCAGCAATTATACGAGAAGAAGATGTATGTCTTCCAGCACTGTCCATGATGTCGAAAAAGTGAAATCAATTTGATTGACTTTGATATCTTCACAAAATCTAAACAATCACGAACAACTTGCTCACCAACGATTTCAAATGCAAAATAGTTATACAAGATACTCGGCGCATCACGTACCAGCAGTCCGTCTGATCTCCGCCGATGTTACCTGGAGCGCTCGAAACTATGCCACCCAGATAAAAATCCCACGCATCCAAGTTCCACCAGGTACCTACCTACCCACCTACCTATCACCATCCTGCTATGCTTAATTGCGATATTGGTCCAACTGACCATTAACAACGTCATCACAGCGCCTTTCAACGCCTCGCGTTCGCATTCGAGATTCTAAAATCCCCATCGGCACGGCGCACCTATGACCTCGCTTCCACGCCGCCTCCCCGCTCTTTGCGCACCTCCAACAACACCACAACCTCTACCCCTTCTTCGGAGCACCCTACCAGTCGCCAGGGTCCTTTTCTCTTCACCAACCCCGATAATCCCAATGGCAACGAAGACCAAACGTTTCGGCGGGCCGTGGAGGCGGTCCTCCACGAATTCATCACGGGCGACTTCACTCTTGTGCGGCGGTCTCTTGAACGGCTCAATCGACGCTACCCGCACCTAATCAGCGAAGAGGTCGTACTCACCGTAGAACGCAGCTTTGTGCGGATTCGCGAGCTGGTTCTCACGACCCGGACGTATGCGCTGCTCGTATACATTGAGCTCGGACGCATTCACCGCGTACAGAAACGGCTCATGGGACTCGGATACTTCGATGTCCTTGGCCGCGTAAGACTGACTGTCCATCTGGTCCGGGTCACCCTTGCAGTTCCCATGCGCGTTGATCGCGCCCTCAAAGCAAAAGAAGAAAAAGACTGGCGGGCTAAAACTGCAGGCCTCCAAGCCGCGGGCCTGCCTTTACCAGACGAAACACGTCGCGCCGCAGGAATTCTAAATGAACGAATGAGTAAAGTTTTGGAATTCATAGTCGGAGAAGCCGGCCGTGACGAAGGAGCAGACGAAGCGTGGGATGCCCGAATGCGCCGCGAGAGTGAAAATGCCACCAAAAAGGGTTGAATGCCCAGTCTGAACGGCGCCTCGACCGCGTCATAAAATCCGCTGCAGTCCCTTTCCCTCTATATCCTGCTTCTTCATAGGCATATGCATACCACACAATATTTGCATATTCCGACATCTCAGATCTGTCGCGTTCGATTCGCACATCAACATCTACCTACACCCTCTCTGTCCACGCTGCACAACTTCCTTCATGGAAGCTCACATTATATCCACTTCTCCCACATCTATTCTTTCCACTACGACTAGCATCGCCTCACATATACAGTATCCTATGTACCTCAATACCTCTATACCACACCAGCAAAACGCATCAAGCTGGCTCACTCGACCACCCGCCAAAACGTTTTTCACCTAACTTTTGACTTTCAAGAAGCATATTTGCATAGCTTAATCGCAAGGTGTTACGGCGTCATAAACCAATCTGCCTTTTTTTTTTTCGTTTCTTTTCTATTCTTTCTTTTCTTTCATTTGTTTTCATTGTTTCCCACCTTTTTTCCCTTGTCCATTTTGCTATTCACCTTTCTTCTCAAGTTCGCTGTCATGACAGACGTAAAAAGGGTTTTGGGGCTTCTAGATCGTTTTCCTTTTCTTTTTCTTTTTTCGTTTTCCTCGTTGTTCTTTTTACCGTTCTTCCTTTCATTTCCTTTTCCTTATCCTCTTCTCCCTTCTTCCTTTCTCTGTTAGTCGAAGACGGAGATTCGACTGACTCTGGCCCGACCGCACGACCTGTCACTAGCATCTCAAATCTTTAGCGTTGCATTTTCTTTTGCTCTCTACATCACGCCCTTCCATTCTTCCTTTTGGCTTTTATATAGCTCGTCGCTTTTCATCGCTGTAGTGATTATGAAAAGAAAGGAGAACAAGCATTTGATGGCTCTAATTCTGCGTGCTTTGCTTTGCATCTTGCGTCGTGATACTCTTAGCTGTCATAATGGAGTGTGTCATGTGTCATGTGATATGTATCGAGGGTGTTATAGGCGTCTTTCTGGTGCCTGAGATGTTATAAACTCTTGGAGGTATTTTACTGACTTCCAGGACCAGCGCAACTGATACGTTCATAGGAGACAGACTTAAGGGAAGAAAAGGGCATATGGGGACAAAGAATATCGTCTGATCAGATACTTTATATTAAGAAAAACAAATTTTCTATCAACTTTGAGAAAAATCCCCCCCATTGCAATTGCGAATCGATTTCTTTCTTCATTGCAACTCACCAACGACGGCGGAAATGCCAATGGAGCTTTGCAGGTCTGAAGAAATCGAATGACGATGAGATAAGCCAAGAAAAAAAAAAGAGAAACCTGAATCCCTTCTTTTCCCATTACCCGGTACACTTCCTTCCTTCTCTCCTCCTCTTTTATTTTTTCCCCTCCCATTACGTTCTGCGTAAAACAAGAAGAAGAAGAAAAAATTATATTGCGGGTTTCTCTCTCCCGACAGTATTACTATTACCCAGCCCGTGCGAACATGTGATCTAAAACCTAATTAAAAACACAAAACAATAAATATTAAGACGAAGAGGAAACAAGGACATCTGTATCCTTTTTCGTATCTATATATTATATGATTAGGGGACGAATATATATTATATTATTGATCGAATGACGATGAAAATAATAATAATGACGATGATGATGACGACGAAGAAGGGGAAAAAATATCGACATCAGTTTTATATATATCCTCCTTCTAGATCACTACTCTTCGATTACAAGAGCATGGCAGCGAAAGCGCACATGACGAGAGCGCCAACCTTGGGGGCACTCTTGAAAGTAGCCGCGCCAGTGAACGCGGGACGAGCAGGGCCTGATGGGTCAAATGTTATTATAGGTTACTTCTTGGCATGTCATGGTCGTATATGAAAAGCAGAGAAATGATGGGGTAATATGATATAGCGCAGGGAAAAACTTACTCGTCTCAGTTCCTGACTGGGCACCGTGCTCGCCCGAAGCGGGGGACACCTCGGTGCTGGGAGAGGGAGAGCCAGCAGGTGCTCCTCCGGCGTTGGCAGGTGAAACTTCAGTGCCAGGAGAAGAACCAGCAGGGGCTGCGCCAGCGGGAGCGGCCTGTCCAGCGCTGGCAGGGGAGACCTCAATGCCGGGGGAAGAGCCGGCAGGGGCAGCTCCGGCTGGAGAAGCCTGGCCAGCTTGTCCGGCGGGAGCGGCCTGTCCAGCACTAGCAGGAGAAACCTCGGTGCCAGGGGAAGAGCCAGCAGGAGCAGCACCAGCAGGGGCGGCCTGTCCAGCGGGGGCGGCTTGACCAGCACTAGCGGGAGAGACCTCAGTGCCAGGAGAAGAACCAGCAGGGGCGGCGCCAGCAGGAGCAGCTCCGGCAGGAGAGGCTTGGCCAGCAGGAGCAGCTTGTCCTGCGGGAGCGGCCTGTCCAGCACTAGCAGGAGAGACCTCAGTGCCAGGGGAAGAACCAGCAGGGGCAGCTCCGGCGGGAGCGGCCTGACCGGCGGGAGCGGCTTGACCAGCAGGAGCAGCTTGACCGGCAGGAGCAGCTTGTCCAGCGGGGGCAGCCTGTCCAGCACTAGCAGGAGAAACCTCAGTGCCAGGAGAGGAACCAGCAGGAGCAGCGCCAGCAGGGGCGGCCTGACCAGCGGGAGCGGCTTGTCCGGCAGGGGCAGCCTGGCCAGCGGGGGCGGCTTGACCGGCAGGAGCAGCTTGTCCAGCGGGGGCAGCTTGTCCAGCGGGGGCAGCCTGGCCAGCAGGAGCGGCTTGACCGGCGGGGGCGGCTTGACCAGCGGGAGCAGCCTGGCCAGCGGGAGCGGCAGCGGCAAGAGGACCAGGAGCTTGACCAGCAATAGCGGCGGCAACAGCCTGACCACTCTGTCCAGCAGCAGCCGCAGCAGCAGCCGCCTGGCCGGGAGCAGATCCTGGACCGGCGACAGCAGCAACAGCGGCAGCGACAGCCGGGCCGGAAGCTCCCTGGGCGGCAGCGGCAGCGGCGGCAACGGCAGCAGCCTGGACGGGAGAGGCACCCTGAGCAGCAGCAGCGGCAGCGGCAGCGGCAGGAGCAACGCCCTGGTTAACAGCAGCGACACCAACCTGAGATGGGCTGGCGCCCTGTGCTGCTGCAACCCGGACGGCCTGGGAAGCAGCGACAACTACTGCGGCAGCGGGACCTTGAGCAGCGGCAACACCTTGGGTAGAGATGACCTGGGGAGGAACAACACCCGAGGCAACCCGGACAGGGGTAGCAGCAGGAACAGGCACAAAGGAGATGGACTGAGTGGTAAGGACACCCTTGGCGGCAGTCACGACAACAGCAGCAGGGACAGTGACGGTCTGGCTACCAGCCGGGCAGCTGGGGCACGCAACAACGGAAGTAGTGAGAACAAGAGGAGTGACCTGGGCCAACTGAGCGACCTGAACGACGGACGTAGCAACACCTGAGGGGCAGGCCGGGCAGCGGAGAGTGACCGTAGTGTAGTGCGCAGCAGTACCAGTGGGAGCCTGGAGGTGGACTGCGGTCTGGTTGGCGAACTGCTTGTAGCTTGGTCTAATCGTGGTCACAGATGGGCCAGCGGAAGCCTTGCAGGTCAAGCAAGTAACAACAAAGTCGAAGAAGCCCTGAGTGGCCTTGCCCTTCTCGCCTGGGTAGACAGGAGCGGGGAATTCCTTCTTGGGGGTCTTGACAATCTTCAGACGCTGCTCTGGGCAAGTAGAGCACTCGCGCGAAACAAAGATGTCGGTCTTCTTCTCAACAGCAACGACAGGGCAGGTTAGGCAGAGCTTAACAAGATAGTACTCCTTGTTTCCAGAGAAGTAGTTGATGACGTTGCCAGCAAAGTTGGCAATGACCTCCTTGTTGACCTTGGTGATATCAATCTTGACCTCCTTGTTAACATTGATGGTAGTGTTGTTAATGTTGTTGATCACTTGATTGACATTGGTCGTATTGTTGTTGGAAACATTGCTATTGTAGACGTTGCTGGTGTTGGAGATGTTCTTGTTAACATTAACATTGGTAGTCGTATTGTTGTTGTTGATGTTTTTGTTAACATTGTTGGTGATGTTATTGTTGTTCACGTTGTTGTTGATGTTGTTCGTGTTATTGGTATTGTTAGTGTTGTTGATGTTGTTGATGTTGTTCGTGTTGTTGGTATGGTTGAAGTTGGCGTGATTGGTAGTATTACCGTTGTTGATGTTGCCGTTGTTGGTATTGGTGATATTACCATTGTTGATGTTACCGTTGTTGGTGATATTACCATTATTGATGTTACCATTGTTGGTAAAGTTACCGTTATTTTCGTTGCCATTGTTGGTCACGTTGCCATTGTTGATGTTTCCGTTGTTGGTATTGGTGATATTACCGTTGTTGATGTTGCCGTTGTTGGTATTGGTGACATTACCGTTGTTGATATCGCCATTGTTGGTAAAGTTACCATTTTTGCTGTTGTTATTATTTATGTCGTTGATGTTCGTGTTATTGTTGGTGTTGGTGTTGGGATTGTTGACGTTGACGTCGTTGGCATTATTGATGTCGTTATTATTAGTGTTGCCACCGGTACCATCGGTACATTGGTTAGCTGTATATATTGTCAGAGGGTCTTGCAGGCTAATATGGACAGAAAGGATTTTTTTACATACCAGGGACGACGGTCAAACTGACAGGATTGCAACCAGCAGGAGCAGAGCCAGATTGGAGAACTGCATAAACGGTATTACTTGTTTGGCAGAAGCTGGCAGCACCATTGGAGAAACCACCATTGGACCAGCTGAGCCCACCTCCGTTGCTGAAAGTGGTAGAGACTTCCTGAGCAGGATTGGAGGCGGCCAGAGGGACACTGCCAGAACCTCTCGCGGCAGAAACTGCACCGCCATTACCATCAGTAAGCTGACCGTTCTGGGGTTGCAATTTAGCTGCTGCTTGACAGCTGTTGACAACAGATCCACCGGCGCCAACGAAACCTCCGTTGCTGCTTGAAACTTGACGCTTGGCATTGGTGGCACCAATTTGCAGGACAATCGAACCACTAGCAGAGGCAGAGGCGCTGGACGAGCTGGACGAGCTCGAGCTCGAGCTCGAAGAGGAATTGGTCGGAGAAGCAGTAGAAGAGGGGGGAGGAGTAGTAGAGTTATTGGACGGAGTAGAAGTGAAAAAGGGAGCAGAAGAAGAAGAAGAGAAAGAAGAAGAATTGGACGGGCCCGAAGTGAAGGGAGCAGAGGAGCTCAAGGAACTCGAAGAGCTCGAAGAGGTCAACGGGCTGGAAGAGCTGGAAGAGCTGGACGAGCTCGAGGAGCTTGACGAAGAGCTGCTATTCGAAGAAATGCTGCTGCTGCTGCTAGAAGAGCTGCTTCCGGTTGACAACGGAGCAGTCGTCAAGGGCCCGGGAGTCGGCGCTGCGCTGGGGAAATCGTCCGAAGTAATTTGGCGTTCATAGACGAACCACGGATCGGCGGCGACATTGGAGGCCAGCGCAAGGGCGGCAACCAGAGCGGCAGAGCCGCTGAAGCTTACCTTCATCGTGAGAAGGAAATGGGGGAGATACTAAAAAAACGAGAGTGGGGGTTTCTGGAAAACAAAATCAAACGAGTGAAGAATGGGGTTGAAAGAAAGGGGGGGGAGTTCGTGTTCTTTAAGAAGCCCGCGAGCCGGTGAAAAGCAAAGGTGATCTTCCCGAAAGCATCACATAGACGCGATGCTGAAAATAGAAGGCCCAGGAAATTGGGCAAAGGGAAAGCAATAGTGGTTGCTTTCACTTTGATACCGAAAGCAGAAAAGCCATAGGATGAGGATATCCCGGGGCGAGGTTTTCGGGGTCCAGATGACCCCTAAAATTAGAGGGCAGTGGCATCAAGGGAACAGTAATGGCAGTACAAAGTAGGAACCAAAAGGCTCTTTTGAGACGATTGAAATTCAAATCCAACTGCCATTCCGGCGTCCAAAAGAAAGCATCAGGCTTTGATTGCAATCCTTTCCTCAAATTCTGAGCGCTAAAGTCAAGAAAGGTTCGGATTAATTCAACTGGTTTTCCAATCTGGCGGATTTGGGCCCGGACCGCCAAGCTTCCGCTGGATTGCCAGTCCCGCGCGCTAAGCGATGACGATGGGGTGCGGGTAGGGTTTGGACGGTTGTTGTCAGGGCCTGTTCCGCCGCCAGGGTCCAGGAGGCGGAGCCAACAAGGTGTTTGCCTATCGTACTGCTTCACAGGCCAGTCCATTTTTCCAAAGTAATCGAAAGCTAAGCTCAATAACAGTTCCAGAAGCTGCCTAGTGATCAGTCCATAACAGTTGATCATTGCCATCTCCTACCTAAGCAAGTTCCTTTCAACGCGATGGTGATTTTTATCAACGATGCGAAACCCGGCTGGCTTTGTGGTCAAGTTGCCGGAAGCTGCAACCTGGCTCGAAAGAGAACCTTTTCCCAGTCTCTTCGATTTCCAGCCGGGACTGAAAGATAGCAGGGCTTGAAAAGTCATCAGTTGAGGAGCTTTTCCCACTCAGGATGTAGATAGAACTAGCAGAAGGAAAGCCCCAACGGATATGCAATTTTGGTGATCAAAGCTTAAATCTTCCAAATCTTTCCATTGTTTTCTAGACCAAACACAATGGTCCGGATATATTTCCGCGAGCAGCCTTGGTAGGCTTGCGTGATGGTCATTAGCAAAGTCGGAGGGAGTTGCCGGTCGCAATGCATCGTATGGTATTCTGAATACGTTTCATGCTTTGGCAGCTGCCAATGTGCATGTGGTGGATTAAGATGGAGGCAGAATTTGCTCCGTGCCGGCCCAGCATCAAACCCGGTATAGTGCGCAGTAAACATTGATGCAAAGAGCTGTTAATTGCCACTGCACTCGCCCAGCTTAATGTTCTGTTAGTTCAAGAAAAAAAAACCCCCTAATAGGGACCACTCCATCCGGGTGGACATGAGCAGAAAGAGGTTTTGGTGGCACTGTGCTTGACAGTGTTCTGGGTATTAGGGGTCGTGACACCCAGTGAAAGTGGCCTCAATAATGACCCATTGTCCATTGGATTGACTGGTTGCATCTTAGCTATTCAATCGAACTTGTCATAACCTGTGTCAATTCATAAACACTGGACAGATAAACAAGAAACCAAGTAAGTATAGTAGACAGAGAAATGCTCCGGTAGAAGCCCGACATTATAAAAAGTAGAATCAGTGAACCGTAGCTTACTCGCAACTTTAGTCAAATTTCCAAATCGATCAGCTCCCTCATACTCTTTGAAAGTCATTGGAAGCCATCATCTGCTTGGCTTGCAAATTGCAGTAACACAAATGCATCGCTCAATCGAACGAAACTAGGAATCATTCCATTCTGCGGATCTGGACCGAAAGTGAGTACACGCGAGGGCAAAATTGTGCTCATCCAACATTCTGTCTTTCTTCACATTATGGGATTTTGAGACTCAATGATCCAATTGCTTCAGTGCAAGCACAGTGCAAGCAATTGCTGTATATTGCAGCTGTAGTTTGGGGGGTTTCAAGATTGAGGCAAGCTAAGGCATGTAACAGAGTAGCACGGCCAGTTACCCGTCAAGTTTGATGAAGCAGAGTATAATGTAAGGCTAGCACCTCGCTTGCGGTACTTATATTGTATTTCCAGCCACTACAACCAATAACAGCTGCCTTAGCTCAGTGGTAGAGCGGGAGACTGCAGTTTCTTCTAGCCGCCTCGGCTCAGTCGAGGAAGGATAGATCTCCTGTAATCTTCAGGTCAATCGTTCAAACCGGTTAGGCAGCTTACTTTTTTCATTTTTATTTTTTTAATAAATTCCGTATCTTTTGTTACTTGCATGGCATATGTTTCTCCTTTGCAATGTTTCGTTATTCCTTTTTTTTTTTTTTTCCATTCGAGCTTGAGTTGTGTCTGTATCGGGATTTCGAACCGTAAATGAATTGGTAAACCTTAAGAATATTTTCGCGCTGTAATATTTCCAGTTGACAAAAAATAAAATGAATAATAACTATGACCTTTAACTCCTTTTAAGTCACAAAAATATAATAATCACAAATTTCCCACTGTCCACAGTCAACAGTCCATCATAAATTGCCTGCAGTGTATACATTATACAGTATGGCCCTACCATCTACGATTCGATGATCCATTAGGTACCTAGGTAGTACTAGTGTCACTGTGTCACTGTATCATACCTTTAGTCTAAACAACTACAGTAGTACAGTAGTACAATACAATACAGTACAGTGCAATATCCAGGAATCCAGGATTCCAGAGTCCAGTCTGGCTGGACTGTCCGGACTGTTCGATGGTCTTATGTCAACAGTCAGTGACTCAGTCAGTCTTGATTTTAGTCTGATGGTCAGTTCAACGTGCGTCCAACGATCGAGCCATCTGCCGGGAGTAACATGAAAAAGACAACAAAAAAAAGAATAAGGGAAAAAAGGGAGCACCTGCAGCCGAGGGCAGAGGTCGATGAGGTCGATGAGGGTAATACTCAATGTCATGCCTACATACATAACCTGCCAAGTAAAATAAATAAATAAATTAATTAATTAATAAACTTAAAAACTAAAAAAAATAAAAAAATAATTAAGGCATATAAACTACATTGTCCATGGAAGTGCCCGGCTGCTCACTACCTACCTACAAGACAGATGACAGATGACAGATGGGTTGATAATTATTATGACAGAGTGGATAGTTACTTGACAAGTGACAAACACTTGGATCACTATAAAGTACGCGATTGATATTATGAGAAGACATTACGAGAAGATATCGCGAAGAAGATGAACGGAGATAATCCAGACCAATAAATCAGCGATGAATTAAAATCCATCAATGAATCAATGGATCAATGGTTCAATGGATTGACAATGATGATGATATGAATATAAATAATGTGAATAATGTGAATAAGACTTGTGCTAATGTAGATGAAATCCAAAAGGAAAAATGCCGGAACATTAGACAAGACGACACAAGCCAGCCACGACAAGCCGAGCCACGGCATGCCAAGCCACGATAAGCCAAGACAAAAAAGTCAAGACCAGACAAGTCAAGCCAAGCCACGGCAAGCCACGGCAAGCCACGGCAAGGCAAGGCAAGGCAAGGCAAGGCAAGGCAAAAAAGGTAAAAAAGGTAAAAAGATAAAAAAGGTAAACGAGAAAAATAAAACGACACAATGTAAGACGCTAGTATAGCTTGAATGCTAGACGTTATATTCCCCATGACGCGCTTCACGTTATGGGAAAAGAAACGGGAAAAAAAGGTAGATGGGAGGGTAAGAAATAAAAATAAAAGTAATGGGAAAGGGGAAAAGGAACGAATAAATAAAGCTAGGCCAATGGTATGAGTCAGAGGACACGGGCGTAGAACATGAGAATGGCATGAGAAGCGTGAGTAAAAGGAATGCAAGTCATGAGAAAGTAAAAACATAGATTTAAGAAAATGCTAAACGAAAGAAAGAAGAAGAAGATAAGAGTACCGCATCAAGATGCAAGGATATGCGTTGCCATAGTAAGCTCGAAAAGAAATACGTGATACGTAAGACGTGAAATGGGGAAAGGGGGGAGAGAAGAGAGGGAAAAAAGCAAGAAGAGAAAAAGTTGGGGAGGGGCGGAAAATATCATTAAGCTGCTACCATACTGTCTGATCCATGCAGGACCCAACATCTGAAACGTCGACATGACATGCCGACACAGCTACAATTGTCAGGAGTATGACTCATATGCACGACAACCGTGCTTCGCCAATGTTAATCCTCCTTTTCCGAAGCACCAGAGAACCCCATTGCAGCGAGACGAGCTTCGAGACTTCGGAGGACTTCTGGATCTGGAGGGGGTTTGATTTTCTTGGGTCTATCATTTCAATGCTGTGTTAGCCAATGCATCCTGTAAAATAATAAAAGGTACGTACGGGACTCTGTTACACTGCTGGCACCGCTCGTGGCCGCACTCGGAACACTCTTTGGCACTTTCCGAGTACATGGTCGAGCAGTCGTGGCAGTACCACCGAACACGAGTTCGGACCTTTTTAAAGGTGCGTTGCTTTGGCGGAGCAGGTTCAGGCTCTGGCTCTGCGTCACCAGGGTAGCCGTCCGGATACTTGTGGAGTTTGGGCCTAATCTTGTCAGCTTTTTTACTTAGTGTATTAACAGCAATGAATCAACATACGGATCGCGAGGACATTTCTTGCAGCGCACGTGGCTGCAATTGTTGCAAATCTTTTCTCCAGACGTGAATTTGACCGAACAACGATGACAAGTGCGGTGGACTCTCTGCACAATGGGTTTGCGGACGAGATCCTGCCCGCCGGTACGTGATGGAAGGGTGAGTTGCTGCTTTTGCGCCTTGGCCTTGGCCCGAATCGCCGTTCCGGAAACACCAGCACCAGTCGCGGTTGCAGCAGTTGTCGTCGCGCCAGGAATAACTCTGCCCTGTGCATCCTTGGTCTTCTTGACCGGATAGCGTGGGCACTTTTTGCATCGCTTGTGCTCGCAATTCAAGCAGACGCGGTCAGGGCCAAAAGTCGTCATGCAGCGGTGGCACTGCCGATGTACCCTCATACGGACGGGCTTCTCGACTCGCTCAATGGGTTCGTGGACCGGCGCAAACATCCATTCATGGGGTTCCAAAGTAAGGCCATACTTGGCGAACAGAGCTCGAGCCTTTTCAGCCTTTTCTTGCTGGGTCACAGCCCTGGCGCCAGCAACCCGATGCTTCTGCGGTTGAGTTGTAGGACCAGTTGATTGAGCAACAGGCTTGGCCGCTGCGGAGACAGTAGACTGAACATTTGTTGCCGCACTGTGTTTATCAAGTTAGTATAAATTCTGTTTCCAAGTCTGTCCGACCTTGTCTTTCTCGCCACCCAACAGAATCCAGGAAAGCAAGGGAAATTAATCCCCCAGAACAATTGACGTACGGTTTAGATGGAGTCGCCTTCGGCTTGGTTGTAGTCGTAGGCGCAGGTGTGCTCGTCGCAGACGATCCTCCAGAGACCTCAGCCATGCTCGAAATCGATCCCTTTGATTTTCCTCGTTTCAAAACGGTTCGCATGCGCTGCACATATTTGTTGATACCACTCGACTTTTCCCCCGAACCCTCTTGATCCCCTGCAGAACTTCCTTGCGGTGTCGAACTCATTGTTGGGCAGTTGTAATGTTTGGAATCGTACAATATCCTTTTTGGCTTTTGTCGGTTGTTTCCTTTCCCCACGGGTACCCAAGCCAGAACTCGGTCGCTAAGATTGTCGGTTCCAAAACAAATTGTCCCCAGATGTATTCTTTGTCGTGGCGACAATAATAATGCCTTGGCCTTCCTTTTCTCTTTTCAATCCATGAAGCTTTCCAAAAAGTTGATCTAAATGTATCCTTGCCACCACTGGAGATTTGCCTGCCAGGGAGTTGTGTAAAGGTGCCGGGTGTCCAAGGGCGGGAATATGAATGGCGAGAGGCGCGACAAAAGACGACAAGCTGATCGTGGGATCGACGAGACCAAGAAAAGCCCGGGCGCCAGCGAAGCTATGGCACGCTATTTGGGTCGGGCGGGTCTTTTGAAATGAAGAAGAAAGGACCCAGCGGGCTCGAGCACTAGAATAGATCGGTTAATGCGAGAGAATTGCCCAGTTTATTGGCGATTTACTACGTAAAGCCCCCCCCCCCCGGTGTGTGCGCGTAAAAGAGTGTCTGTCCTGTTCGGAGACGGGGGGTCTTCCAAGCACCAGATAAGTGCGTATGTACCTTGAACGAAGTAGGGATTATGACTCGATGGGACCAGTAACGGCACGTTGGCATCCAGTCGGTGGGAGGCAGGTGGCGGCTTGTCTCCACTTGGGACGGGGGCCGCCCTTTCTCTGCTTCTTCTTCCCTGCGGTTTTTGGCAGGGTAAAGAGGTGCCACAGTACAATGGTAGTACCAACTATCGTGCTGGGAACGAGAATAGTGCGTCCGAGCTCGAGGGGACAAGCAAGCTGCAACCCAAGAGTTCCAATGGTTCTGGTACCGAGAGAGGACGACCTGGACGGGCCGCTCTAGTTCGCACGTCGGTCGGTCCGCGCGTCGGGGCCCAAGCAACGCAGGGAAGGGCGGGTGTTTTTTGGTGACGAGGGGAGTTCGGCGAGTACAGGCAGGTGCTTAGCCTTCTTCGTACTTGTACCCTCCTCGGGCTCCCCTTTGGTTTGGCGTTGGCGTTGGCGTTGAACTTGGGCGGCGGCTGGCGGCTGACTGAACGCTTCAGGTAAAAGTCGTCCGAAAAATGATCCAACACTAAAATGAACCAGTGCCAGTCTTTGGCACTCGTCTCTGTACCGGTACCTGTTCCTCCTTAGGTGTCAAAAATTGCCTTGAACCCAGCAAGAGTGAAAAAGAAAGAGCAGCAGCAGCGAGAACCTGTTCTGGGCAAGGGGAAGAACCAAGGGAGTCAATAGCTGGGAAATTAGCTCAACGGCTTTGCTTCCTGGGAAAGGGTGGTGGCAAGGGTGCTAGAACAGCAGACCTTTGAAAAATCACGAAATAAACACGAGTATAGAGTAGGGCTCTTCTGCTTCTCTCGGATGCGGATGCCTACCAGAGTACTTGGTCGATGGCGATATGAGATCCGTGCGAGTCTTGCCTCCTCTGTTGTCCACTTGTTGGTCAAATGAAATTAATTAATCTCCCCCATCAGAATAATTCCACGGCAGTAAATATCGGTAACACATACAAAAAGCGGTGCGATTCCGCCCAGAGATTAGGTTGGTCTGGGCCCTTTTCCTTGTATAATCCTCGGTCAGGTATCGCGCGAGAGAATGAATGGACGGCTGTAGAGCGGTTCCGATCATCCGAACGAACCTTTGATCATTCATTCATTCATTCTTCTCTTTCCCCTCATCTGCCGATCAATACCAGTGAACAGATGATATTAGATTAAAACCTACTCACCATCCCTAATTTCGCGTAAATAAAAAAAAGGACGAGCAAGAACCGACCCCCTTGCCGTCACTGATGCGGGGCAAAAAAGCTCTTGCGGGACGCGTACTGCGTAGTGGTTTTGCCGCTGGGGTGAGCCTGATAACTTATGCTTATTTTGTTGAATCCTTTTACTCTATCCTCTTAAAACCGTTGTGATCCTGCCAGGGACCAACCTGGTGGAATTGAGGAGTGATACTCCATCACTGCAAACTCCCTTTATGTATCATCAATTTTCCTGTCCTGCAATTAGGCATTGAGATTACAGTAGATATTGTCTGCCATCACAGGTTCAAGCCTGTCTCAAAGGACTGTTTTGGTGAGGAAGAATCCATTTTATCTGCTGGCAATGACCAAAACAAGACGAGAGGTGAAAGTACTGTACAAGTACTCATGGCCCCCTTGATCCCTCATCCCTGGCCCTTGCACCCACTTTCGGTGCCCCTCGGCCGATGGCTGACCCCTTGCCTCGGGCCCGCTGGGGGGGCACTGGGACCTTTTCGTTTCTCTTTCGTCTCCAAAACAGCAGGAGCGAAAGATGGGAAAAACGAGCAGAGCCATGCCAACATGCGTCCCGACAGGAAAGAAACTCGGCTGTCTGTGCATGACACCCTACCCATATGTCGCTTAGAAACCCCGAGGTTTCTCTTCCTTTCCTGTCCAATCACTCTCGCACCCCCGGCCACCAATATTGTCTTTGATCGGTTCTCAACTGAGTCGTGCCCTTGGTGCACCTCCAATCATGCCATTCATGAATCGATCACGTAGCCCCACTTGCAACAACCCTCTTCGCCCCCCCTCGTCCCCGGACTTCTTTCCGACGACCAGAATCGCCGTCATCTCTCTTTTCCCAAATATACGGAGTATGGTCGAGAATTTGTCTGTCCCTCGGTGCCATCGATGGCGGCCAACGGTGTGGCGTCGCGCCCCCCTCCATGATGCCAGTCATTCCGTCTTTCTCTGGCGTATTCACTAGTAGTGCGTAGTAGAAGAGTAGTGGCCGACATTATCATCCCAAGTATTATTTATCTTCATTTCATTGCCTGAAGAATAAAATGATCTTTCCATCTATCGCGAAACCGAAACTTGCCTGGTGCTCGTACTCTGAACTGTGTATACCACTCCTTGTGCTGTCGTTGCCGTAGCTTTCATCGGCAAGATACCGAAGAAGGGAAAACGATCCCAGGACCCCAGCAGCTGGGTGGAGCTTTTTTACTTTTGCATCGGAGTGTCTAGTCGTCCATCCAATCATGTCATGATGATTATGGACCCCCCCCCCCCCGGCTCTAAAAGTGTGCTTCCCAACTCCCCTTTCCCATCCTTTTTTTTTATTTGGCTTCCAGGCCTCTCCCTGCCATGCGCTATCAGAACAGGGAGCTTTTGCCTCGGTTGCTTGCTGCAATCTGCGAACCATACTCTGGTACCAGTACGCGTGCTACCAGGCTATTCTACCTAACTTATAAGATGAACAGCGTTATGATCTGGAGCCGCCTTGGCAGCATTGTAAGTCTGTAAACGGTTGTTACTTATCCAGAAAAGTATCAATATAATTTGTCCCAGTCACGCCACCAGGACGTCATTGGGTAATATTGAACCATCCCAACTCTCCTGCTTTGGAATGGACTCCAAGAAATGACCTGACCTCAAGTAACATTACTTTTATTGCAACCGATCTGGTTCCTGCTTTTGTTAGGGGATATAAGTGCAGTACGCGGTAGGGAGCTTATCTATTGGTATTCTCACAACTTTCTTCCGTACACGGAGCTCCACACCACAGACCGGTGCATCTCAAATGACGTATGGCATGCCCGTGGAATCAGAAACTCTGGTATGGTTACCTCCGTACAGAGTATACTAAACCACCATAACATTAGATCAAGTGGACAGCCATACAGTATGGCGAGGCCACCAACTGCCCTGATCATGGCCGGTTCGGTCCGTATCACCTCTGCTGGTGTACATACTCCGTACAGTTATACTGAGCACCTGTTATCTTTTGTTTTCTCCTTTCTCCACATATAAATCTCCTAGCCTAGTAATCGTCTCGGACAATAAATACCTAATTTCGTACTCGCATCCGACGCCTCAAAGGCGTGATACCAGGATTCGCGTTCTAACCCAAACTCTTCGACCTTTATTTCGAAATCCCTATGACCTACAAAAGACCAAAGAATTGTTGCAGTACCGGACATGCAGCATGACGACGTCCCTGTTCATGACCAGCGCAATGTCATGTGCATTGTGACCGGGGCTGGCCATCCAACGCCCAGTAGTTTGTTTCATGGTTCATTTAAACTTTTCCTGCTTACTCTATCCTTTTTCTCCCCTTCCCTTCCTTCTATGTACTGCATATACAGAGTTAGCATTATCCGTTACTGGATCACAACACTTATACGCAGCATACTCTGTACACCGTCATGCATTGACTGGTCTGTACTAGTGGAAATGCGCGCGACGATCGAGATCTCATTGCGAACAATCGGAACCAATTCCGCAGTATCATATTTTGGGTTGTCTTCTTTTCCTGATGCGTCAAATTGGCACTATCTGTCGTTTTACGCTAAGGGGCGCTGGAATGAGCGTACGGTACTTTGTAGGTAGAATATCCTGCTAACGAATGCCAGTATGTTGGTAGTATCGGACGGCGCCCTGGCGTCAACGCGCCATGTTCGAGACGACGCCAGGCGCCAACACGCCAAAAATTTGGTTCCATGGCACGCCCAAACGCACTGTGCCATGGATACGTCCACTGTAGTCTTTGTAAAGTACTTTGTACAGAGTAAGCAAAGAGGCCCATGGGAAGTTTATTGACCCGTCTCGCAACGGCTCGAGGGGCCGTGTTGCCGTCCCGTTCATTTCTGGTCGGCCAAGTCAAGTATTCTCCTACCTACCTCCCTTCACATGCCCGTTGCCTTGAAGCCACAAAACCATGAACCACAAGATCACCCTCCGAGGCCCTGTACATACGGCAGTACCGTTGTACCATTGTACCGTTGAACCATTCCCGCGATTAACTTTCTACAGGATTAGTCTCTAGTCAGTAGAGTTTAATGGCATGCTGGGATGCTGGGATGCTAGCATACGGTGTACAAATACGGCACAGACCCTTTCATCTGACCAGCACACTACAACGTTTCGACGTTAGTAGTAGTAGTACGTACATAGTATACAGAGTAGTCAACATGTGGCGGTTAGAAAAGTTAGACCGGCAGAGTATCAAGTATCGAGTATGGAGTATGGAGTAACGTATGGAGTGACGTATCTGCTAGTAAAAAGCCAAAAGCCATAAGCGCACATTAAGACCCCGAGACTCCGAGGGAGGGTGATGTCTCTCGGGCCCGAGATTTTTGGGGGTTTGGCCTCATCCTCCTGATACGTGTAGACGGCCTACCTTATCCACATGCTACGTGCATACAGGCATATACATTATAAAAGCCCTAGGGTACCGTACTGCTTTACATTGACCAAGATATGTATAGGTAGTAACTCTGTATATGGAGTATGCAGAAGCAAAGAGTCAATTGAACCAAGATATACACAATAAAAATTGAATCACGATTCTCCAACGCTAATTTAATGTCGCTTCAATGGGTGAAACAATAGTCCATCGAGTTACAAGAAGACGCTCAACTTTTCATCTCATACGGAGTAGTGATAATGTATGGGTTGTAGGGAATATAAAGTTACCTCTGTAAAGCGGCGAAATAAAACGCCAAAACGACAAATGAAAGCGAACCCCGGGAAGGTCTGATTTTCTGAATAATAATACAACTCCTTAATAATAAAGATCGAGAGTCGAGACTCCAACGGCCATTGCATCTCAGTGGGAGAAGCCAACTCAAGCCAAGCCAAGCCAGCGTGGACCGCGCTACAGGTGCCATTCCAACACTCAAACTCTCCTAACAAATAATGACGAGGTTGGGGGCGGAAGGGGAAGGAACGAGGGAAGGTCATAACTGAATGCGCCACGCGGGTTACAGAGTACTCCACACATTGACACGCTTAACGGAGAACGTCTGTTCGCTTGAAAATAAATCACGGTTGATTGATTCACCGCCTTGTATTGGAACCCAAAAATTGTTATATTTGTGAAATGTAATCAGCCAGGTTACCACCAACCCGCCCTTTTTACTAAATGTACCTGTTTATCTCTGTACAGAGACATCTATACCGCTTATTTCATATACTCCTTTCGTAACAAGACCACCCGCGTGGCGTTCAAGTCTGTTTGCGATGCATCAAGGTAGCCGATGCCTAAATAGAGAAAAAAAAAAGATTATTCATCGTGTTAGCCTCATGTCAAAAAGTCTTGTCCATTCAGTTCTCTTCGCCGCCTTTCAGGGGCAAGGATAACCGAGTCAGGGGCAATCCAAGGTCGGCTAAGCTAAGAGATAGCCCTGACAGCTCAATTGTATTGCGTCCTGGTGTCCCGGCGTCCCCATGCGCCGTAGTACTGGTTTTTATTTCCAGTAATGCGGAAGTCCCAGTAATACGGACAACTCTCCCGTCCCATTGGATCGTCTCCCGTCCGAATGGATCAGGCGTGAAGAGGGCTCGCGTGCAGAGAGTAATGTTCTGTGTCATTTGCCACAGACAACAACAGGGGAGAAACAAAATCAGACAGTAACAGGGGAAAAAAATTTTACCTGGTGGTTGGGAAAGACGAGCGTGTCGGCAATGACAACATTTTCTCGCCGACCAGCGGCAAAAACAACAACTTCAGCAATGTCGTCCGGTGTCAGAGGTTCGCAGCCACTAAAGTTTAGTCCCCAGAGACATGTCAGCTATCAATCCTTTCCCCTATTCCAAGAAGCTTGTGTTTGAGATGGGGGAGGCGGGAGGCGGGAAAAACGGGAGGCGTCCCAGGAATGAAGGTAAGAGAGGTACGACTGAGACCTGGAAATCCGCCAGCCCGCCCCCGCTTGGTTCTTTTGGTGTTTCCCGCCCGAGAAGAGGTGAGACCTACGCGTAGACGGCATCAGCCTTGGACTTGTCTCCGTAGAATCGGACGACTGAAAACTCCTGTAATTGAAAATCGACGATTGATTAGCAAATCTGTGCAACTGGGGTTTCTAGCTTCTTCCCTCCCCACAAGTGTACCAGGTCTGGGCAGAATCCTTACCGTCTCAACTTGACCAGGAGCAACCTCAATGACTCGGATGCGGCTGTCAATCAGCTCTTTCCGCAATGCCTCAGTGAAACTCTTCACGGCCGCCTTGGTCGCACAGTAGATGCTGCCGCCCGGGTATGGTTCGCGACCGGCGATACTGCCTACATTGATGATATCGCCGCGGCCACCTTCAGGACGCTGCTTGAAAATGGCCAGAACCGCCTGGGTCATGTTGATCAAGCCAGTGACGTTTGTCTGAAACATGACTTGCACGTCATTCTCGTCAATTTCTGGAGCTTTGGCGACACCCTTGACAAGTCCTCTGAATATTCGAGGATCCAGCACGTCAGCTTCATACGAACTATTTCTCTGCATCTCCGTGAAGTATAGACTCCTCGCGGAGAACCGGAGAACCTAAAAGGAAACTCACGCATTGTTCACCAAGACATCAATCTCCTTGAATTCTTCCGGCAGATTTGGCACAAAGTTCTTGACCTCGCTCGAATTGCTCACATCCAGCTTGACCGTATGCACCTTGACACCCTCGCCGACTTCCTTGGTAATCTCCTCTGCAAGCTCCTTGAGCTGATCCACTCGTCGCGCAGTCAGGACTAGCTTCAGATTCTTGGGCGATGTGCGTGCGAATTCGAGCGCAGTGCTGCGTCCAATTCCCGAGGAGGCGCCCGTGATGACAATGGTCTTGCCGTCAAGGCGCTTTCCCATTGCTGTTGCCATTGTGCGCTGAGTGTTCCAATGCTTTTTCAACAAAGACGAAGTGAATGCTATCGGTGTTGTTGACTGAGATGATCGCAGGGATCGTAGGGCGTGGAGAGCTAGTGAGCAGGGTCTTGTCGCCAAACTAATTGACCGTCCAAAAAGAGGCATAGAACACTGCTCAATGCAGATTCTTTTTTCTTTTTCCTTTTTGTTTTCTGTTTTATTAGGGCTATGTTGTAAGAAAACACAAGCACGAGATAGGGTGTGAATTGCGTCAAGCACGCTAATTCAAAGCAATGAGCTGAGTCAACTTCTCCGAGATATGGTTGGGTGTGTCAAGTGGGGAAACTCCAAGCAGTTCGCGTCATGGGGAGTTTATCTCCGATTTCGACTTTATCAAAGTTATCTCTCGCTCGTTGCGTCGCTTGTCGCCGGCCCCGATCCCGGATGGCTCCTTGCTCTCGGTAAAGCTCCTGTCAACAACAACATACCTACAGTTAAAGTATAGTACAGAGTAGTGATGGAGCCATGTATGACATCTAACTTGAAATAGTTCGAGGCTCAATGTTTATGATTGGTATACCTTGACACTCTTGATATTCTATATAGGTTCCCTTTTGCCCGGGGCGACATGCATGACAGCCAAGGCAGGCTCATCTGGCAGTAGCGAGAGAATACGCGTGGTAAAGTACGTAGCAATGCATTGCAAAGGCTTCAGTGTCGTGATTATGCACAATTTTTGTTATTCAAGATCAATAATCTGTTGAAGAAGAAAAAGAAGAAACTCAGGGGGGAATAATAGGAAAAGTAGAAGAGAAAAAAAGACTATATAGGTGGTCATTACTTGACCAATCTATCATGTTCTTCTTCACTCTCTGTTTCTTCTTCCTCTTCCTCTTCCTCTTCGTCCTCTTCACCCTCTTCCTCCTCGCTGCCCTCTTCCGACTCATCCTCCTCCTCATCCCCACTCTCTTCTTCTTCCTCCTCCTCCTCCTCCTCCTCCTCCTCCTCCTCCTCCTCCTCCAGCACAATATACCCCACCCGCTCCATCGTCCCTACGTCTCTCCCCAAGTCCCAAATCCGCCTCCTCCTCCTGCGTCTCCTCCTCGTCCTCTTCTTCTTCTCCTTCGTCCTCGTCTTCTGCTAACCAGTCATCCAATGTCTTTGCTTTGGATGGTCTGCCGGTGCCAACCCCGACCCCATTCATTCCAGGATTGATAGCCGAACCCGAAGAAGCGGCAGCTGTCTTGGCCGCCTCATCTAGTCGTTCTCCGGCCGTCGTAATCTTCTTTTCGCCTCCAAACTCGGCCCTATAATCTTCCTGTCGTAGAGCAGCATCCGGCTGCGTCCCATCTTCAACCCAGTCGGGCGGTGGCTCGTATCCCCGCAACCCATTAAGTCCGCCTTCTTCCCCGACGGCAAGGCTCGCAGAACCGAGCATAAAGTCCTTTCGATATTCGGACGGACTAGGCGCGTGCGGAACAGGTTTAGGTGCGAGCAATAGAAGGCTTGCTAATTGCGTCGAGGCGGGGTTTGCCAAAAGAGACTTGTACAGCCGCGCACGATCACGGATGTCATATGAAGTGTCGTACCGCGCAAGAAGGAGAATATACCGCCAAAGGATAATGATGGGATGCTCACCGTCGCCCTCGTTTTGTGGCAGCGAGGCTCGTGCTACACTGTCATATAGATATGGATTAACGTCAACAGTCTGTCCTTCGGCGTCGGTTTCTTTGTCGTCACCAAGCGGGAGTGTGTTGCCGTCATTGTTAGCGTCAGATAGCTGAGAGGGAGCCAGTGGTGGTTGAATGGTTCCACCTAGCCGGTTTAAATGATGAACGTAGACTTTGGCGGCGAGAAGTACAATCTGAAGCTTAGCCGCTTCAGGTTCATGGACGAAACCCTTTGCCAGAATGCGCAGGACATCAGCAGCAATGTTATTTTCCGGGTCGATCCCGGCAAACTCACCCACCAGCCAGATGATACTGGCTCGCGCATGGGCGTTTGTGGTTGTGTCAAGATTCTTCGCAAGACGAATGACTGTCTTGATGTGCGATGCAGGGTCCTGCTGGATGAGATGGCGGATGACAGTGAGCGATTCGGCCACGAGATTGCCGTCTGTGCTCGAGACTTGCTTGAGAAGCAACCTGAGACACCGTTGAGAAGTGGCGGAGTCATTTTGTGCGCAGCGACCGATTGAACGAACGCTTTCTCGGACGAGTTCTCTATCTGAGCCGCGGGAAAAATGCTCAAGTTCGCTCAAAATCATTCCCTTGAAAAGAGCATTGCAGTGGGGAAAGAGTATTGTTAGGATTTCGAGCTTGAGTCGCCATACGTGAGGAGGATCGGTTGCGTGGATTAAGAAGTGAGTTACGTATCGGACAAACGGATTGGGCCTGACGAGGCAGATGGAGACGATGTTGTAGAGTGCAATATGTTTGATGTCCTGAGAACCTCGAAGAAGCGATATGAGTGGACCGACGGCCGCATCGATGTATTCCGGTGGAGCGAGGTAGAAGTAGCAGCGTGCAACAGCAATAACCACGGCCGAATTATGACTCTGTAGCAAGGACTTGCACGCGTTAAGAAGGAGCTCGAGATCCGAGTCGAGCACCTGGATTTCCTCAGTCTCGTCATTGTCGTCGCCGACTTCGTCCCCGTAAAAGTCTTTTGCCGCATTCTTCTTAACCTTGCGCTTTCTCCTAGGGAAGCATTTCCGTGCATAGTAGACCATCAACCGGAGAGTGGCGAGTTGGGACCATTCGTCCATGTCGACGAGCTTTCGGATTAGGCCGCGGTAATGCTTATGGATCAAATCGATTCGATGCGGGCAAACATCCATGAATGCCATGACTGCTGCACCCGCCACATAGTATTGTTTATCTCCAAGCAGAATGTTTAGGTATTCAATGAGTTGCGGCAACGTATTAGGGTCGAGGCGGTAGCATTTCGGAATTGCGAGGGCCGCCGCACGCCGCACATGAATATTCATGTCTCCGCATCCCTTTTTGATACCGAGCGAGACAATCTGGCTGATGACGGGGACCCTGATTCCAGACATGACCATGAGTGCCAGAGCACGCAACTGAGGGTCTTTATCCGAGAGCGACTTTTGAATAGTGTTGATGGAAAGAAGAGCAAGGTCGGGTTCGGTCTCGGCATATTGGAGAAGATAGATGTACACGAGCTTCTTGATCTCGACATTTGCACTGGCAACATTTTTGATGACCGCGGAGAAGTACGTGAGACAAGGCTGCGAGCGGTACATCATCTATAATTTCGCAAATTCCTGTTAGACGTCTATGCTACATGCAAAGGGGGATTTGAGAAACATTAGATCTCGAGATTCCTTACAGAGATGACCTTGCGCAAACCCTCCAGGACATCCCGATCATTCCGGCTATCCAATAACTTCTTCAGCTGGAGAGGCGGTATCTTCCTTAATGGAGTATTCGTCTTGAATGCTCGAGCGGAGCCCGCAGACTGTGCAGCTTCCAGAGTCAAGTCGCGAGCTAGAATGATAGAAGCAGGCATCAGTTCATGTGTGTTTTGCTTTGGAACAGGCTGCGGTGAAATAAAACATACCCGTTTCCAGCATGCTGGAAATCTTCGATATCGACTCCATCTTTGCGCACCCCCGTTGCTGCGGGGAGTTTGACGCTGAATTGGTGGTGTATAGTATCTCAACAGTGGGGTGACTGGATGCTTGGAGTTGAAGCTTCCGGGTCGCGCCGCAACACCGACAAACACCGACGTCGGCAACACCACCCAAGTCTCACAGCTTAATATATTCGACCTATAGCTATCCTTCTGCCGAAACAATCATACGGCTTCATCTCAAAAGGGCACTACTATAATAAAAACTATACTCATATCCCAAAAATCATCTTTGGGGCGTCATGGCGCACATATGCAGGTCTCCTGCCGCCAAACGGCTGTGCTTTTTGAGGTCTTCCTCATCACCACTATCACCACCAATGTTATCCCCTTGCTTGCTACAGTCCGGAGTAGCAGCTACGCAGCAGTCAAAACGCTTCTCCGTGTTGAATCGACCGCCTCCCAACTATCCGGGACATATTCCCCTCACGACGATAGAGAGACTTGGTTTGGCCGCTGGGTCGGGGCTGATGTCATTTATTGATCCTCGACGTGGAGGTATGATTTTCAGGGTCCACGCTCTTGTTTTTCCAACATAGTTGTGTTTTCAATGTCATCAGGCTAACACAGTCTCAAAATAGATCTGGTTGCAGCACTGGGTGAAGCCACTGCCACGCCATACTTTATTTACCGGCTACGAGACGCAATGCTTTCGGACCCGACAGGCAGACGGATCCTACGTGATCGACCACGGATTACATCTGACAATATGCCTTTGACATTCCTACGCACATTGCCTGAGAATAGCGTGGGCCGGGCATATGCAGCATGGCTTGACAGAGAAGGGGTGTCACCTGATACGCGGGCGGGTGTGCGATACATTGACGATGAAGAATGCGCATATGTGATGCAGCGGTATCGAGAGTGCCATGACTTTTACCACGCCATTACGGGTCTGCCCATTATACGTGAGGGCGAGGTGGCACTCAAGGCGTTTGAATTTGCCAATACACTGCTGCCCATGACAGGACTGAGCATCTTTGCGTTTATGCGGCTCAAGCCTGCAGAGAGGAAACGGTTCTACAATACCTATTTCCCTTGGGCCGTTGAGAACGGAGTCCGCTCAAAGGAGGTGATCAATGTGTATTGGGAGGAACAGTTGGAAAGGGATGTGGGTGAGCTCAGGACTGAGCTGGGCATCGAGAAGCCACCGGATCTTCGGGAAACGAGGAGAGTCCTCAGGGAGCAGAAGAAGAAGGAAAAGGAAGCAGCTCAGAAGATGGCCGCTGCAGCGGTCTGACTCCCATACGGTACTCGATTTGCATTGTATAAGCTGGAGATGGCGTTGGACTATTTTGACCTTTTGGGAGTTGATGGGATGTTTACTAGATAGAAACCAGTCTGTACCATAATTGAAGAAGCACGCATAAATTATTATCTATTTAATTACCCAGATATCTCAGACTAGAAAACCCTACTCCGTAATAGCCGTGTGTTGGTCGTTTCAACCGGGTGAACATATATAACCCATCGCCTGTCCTCGCCGTGGTCGCCCTCCAACGTCATTCCACCAGGCCGCCAAACGACAATCGACAATCGACAAACCGCCAAAAGACTCACACACTCCGAACTTCAATCAACACAGCTGCACAATACTCCACATACCCACCGCACGATGGAACTACTCATACCCCAGAGCTCTTCGCTCGAATTTACCTTTCACCTTCCTCTGCTCACACATATATGACAACCAAAACGGACATGCCCGGACCTGCCGCGCATAGCATCCCGACTGTTTTGCCATCCCTACAACCCACCGAGCTACTCGACCACGTCCTTGCGCTGCCGGCGCATTGCAATGGACATGCGACACCTCCTATCACTCTGATTATATGTTCCACACGAGAAGCTTTTCTCGAAGACTTGCTTGCATGCATTCAAGATGCGCAGCTTCATCCCCATCGTCCCGTCGCAGTCGATTCCAATCCCGATCCCGATCCCGATCCCGATCTCGATCTCGATCTCCAACATGACTTTACCGCGTCGACTGCGCAACATCCAGTGGATCAACAGCGACAGCACCAGCACCAGCGCTCAGAAGACGAAAAAGCAAGACTACAATCCCAGGTTCACCCGCTACTCATTCCGAAACTGAGCACTCTCAAAGCATCCCGCGCCGTCAAACTCGCATTCTGTCCGAGCATTGCGCATCTACGCGCATACTTGTCTACATGGACCCTTGTGGCTTATCGCGCGCAGGAACCCTCGGACAACGGTCTTGGTGCCGGGGCTGGCCCAGACGGACAGAGACACGGTGAACGTAACAGCGCGAGACTACTCATATACAACTCCGTGACCATGCACCGCGACACGAGCGAGTATTCTGTCCAGGGCCTGTCGCGGACGTTTGCTGCAGCCGTGGAAGCAGCTGCGCGGGCGAAGGCGCGGTTGGAGTTTGTCGAGCGGCCAGATGTCGTCCAGACGTCGGACTTAGTGGATCAGTCGACGGACGAGTCTTGGACCACACGACGGGAGCGGGAACGGGAATGGGAAGGGAATGATCTGCTTCATGCTGGAACTGAGAATGAGACGGAGACTGGGACCGGGACCGGGACTGGGTATGGTACTAGGACTGAGCACGACGTACACGGACAGGGACAGGGACAGAGTCACGTACAAAGGCACATACACGAACAAGACTCCTCGCGAAAGCAAGAACGAAAAAGAAAGGAAGCATGGGACGACCTAGTTCCCATTCTCAACACAAACTTGCGGAATCGCGCACCTGCAACAGCCTCAGAATCTTGGACGACGACGACGACGACTAATGAAGCTGATCACGGACGGGGACTTCGCCTTCCGATACGAAAAATTATCCAGCGGTGGTGTGTTTTCGAGACGTCTCTGTAGATATGGAGAATAGAATTCCCACCGCCTGTTGAAATCAGGTCATTGAACCATTACAAGTCTCATCCTGATCCCTCGTCCCCAATTGTGCATTGTACTGCTGTACTGTATTTTTCCTGGTCATCTCATAACTCATTGTACTGCTCTACTGTACGGTAGTATTTTCCCTACAAGCACAGACATAGGCACTGACGACTTGATATCCATAATTACTTCATTCTCATGAACAGCAAAAGAGACAATTAAACATTTGAATTAAAGCGTGGACGTTTATGGTGATATACTGATATACTCCACTCAATCCAACTAGTCCAACCAATCCAACCAATACAACCCATCCTCCCATTGCCCGTTGCCCATTGCCCGTTTGCCTGCCATCTCATGAATATATGAAACGCACAATACTACGTCTCGAAAATAAAATAATAACATACCGAAACAACCCAACAAATCCAACCTGCAGTGTAAATTCCAGGGTATGATAACAACAAACACCAGCCAACGACCAACGACCAACAACGATCATTTAACAACATCGAACAACAACAAAAATCAAGTTTAGAAAAAAAAGAGAAAAAAAAAAAAGAGAAGAACCCGACCCCGGCCGGCCCGGCCCGGCCCACTCATATCAAATATCCGATACTCGTACCAATAAACGCCAATATCTCCCGGCCTTGCACTTTGTTATTACTCAACACATAAATATGACGAAGAGTACTTAATTCACAATTGTGTCTCAAGTACTTGACAGACATATTTTGACGAAGAGTACTTGATGCACACACATGACGATCCTGAAACAAAGACTCAGACAATCGACTGTTCCATTTCGGTAATGTAGAGCTTGATATGCGAGTCGAGTTTGAGGTACTGGTCGTATGCAGAATGAATTTCGTTTTCGATATTCTCTTTGAGATCGGCCATCTGTTGTGATGTGTTAGTTTCTGCCAAGAAGTCTGATTTTGACTCAAGGGAGGGTAAAATAAAAGAGATTGAAATTGATAGGGAAAAGGAAAAAGAGATTAAAAATGAAAAAGGAATGAAACAATGAAATTCTAAAAAGGGGATGAATACCTTCTTCTCAGTCTGTTCAATCCTGACTCTTCGTCGTTCCATGTCGCGCCCCTTTTCTCCCCTCTCTTCCGTCAATTCGCGATGGACCTTTCGGAGCTCCTCCATACGTTCTTTGGCCTGGCGGGCCTTTTCTCTACTTCCTTGCCTGAGGGCTTCGGTGCGTTCGTTCCACCGCTGGAGTTGTCGGTTGAGGAGATGTTCGGTGCGCTCGACCTCGCGCACATTGTTGCCGCGCTCGGAGAGGGCGTCTCTGTGGCGGGCTGCCTTTTGGGCTTCTTCCTCCTCGCGGTGCAGCTCGACGGAGAGTTCCTCGAGGAGTTTGATACACGCGGCCACGTCATTGGCCACGACTCCAAACGTATCTGTGGATGTCTGCAACGCGCGCGTGCGTCGATCGAGTCCGTCAATCTGCGCCTTATCTGCCGCGAGGCTGTTCGAGAGATCTGCCAGCGACGCTTGCAGGGCAGCAGGCGATTGCAGCACATATGGTTTCAGCTTGGCCGACTCGTGACGCACGTTGATGGCCATGGCGGTCTTTTCTTCCAGCGCATTGGTCAATCGGCCTTTATCGCCACGCACGCGCTCCAGACGCTCAGCGACTCGCTCTTGTCCCTTGCGCAGCTCGAGCAGGCGGGTCTTGAGCTCGTCGTTTCGGCGCATTTTCTCCTTGACCTCGGCTTCCATGCCTTTCCGATTGCGGCGCATCTCGGCAAGTCGCCCTTCCATTTCTTCATTCTCGCGGAACAGCGTTTCAATTCGCGCCTTTGTGCGTTCGGACTTGTTGAAGTGTTCGTCGATGGTGGATGTCTGGGATTCGCGGAACCGAACAAAGTTGATCACATAGGAAAATATCTTGACGAGTCGGTCGTGTGTGGGCTTGAAGAGATCTTGAAAGGAAAAGTCGGTGATCCCGCACTGAGATGTAAATTCAGTCAGAAGATGCCACTATGTAGAATGGGTCTCGGGCGCTGCTTCCAGTTTTTTTTCTTTTTTTTTTTTTTCTTTTTTTCCTTTGGTCAAAAAAGTCTATTCAAATGCTTACCTCGAGCATCAGCTTCCTCAGGCTGATGAAAAATGCCATCAAGCTGCGCGTTTCGCCCGGTATCACGTCTCCAAACTCGCCGCAAATGTCTTCCGAGGCAGCCTTCATTGCCGGATCCACCGTGTCGCGAGTAATGTTCATGAGCAGCTCCGCGAACCATTCGAACACCATTTGAATTTGCTGTGGATTCGGCTTTTGTAGATCTGCTGGTGTAAATGGGACACCAATGTCGCTGATACAACCGGCGATTTCTTTGTCGGGCTGTCTTCGGTCAGTATTACCATGGTAATAAAGTAACTAATCTGCCATTGAGCATACTAATCTCATAAATGAGTCGCTGTCTTCTTCCTTCTTTCGACCGGTGCCCGTGCCTCGATAGTTTGAATTCATCCCGCCAGCGCGGAATTGCTGGCTCGTGCGCGGGTTGAAATCCATCATCCTGGATTTTCTCGCCTAGACTTGGCCACTTGCTTTATTTTCAATTGGAGCACCTTCAGATAGTATGTGCCTGACTCTGTGTATCTGTCGGTGGTGTTCTGGCGGAAACAGTTGGCGGACTTGACTGGGCGAAACGATTGTTTATGCGAAGGATATTGTTGTTGATGGGGTCCCCTCGGTCCAGGTTGTGCTGTCAACAATGCGCACGGACCATGCACGAGGATGTCCCGATAATCTTATCAAGCCATCTACGAGACCCTGCAGAACTATCAGTGTCACACAACACTACTACACTGGTTTTGAAACGCGTAACTCGAATATAATTTTCGATTTTTAGATGCGCAGATAATTTGTCTTGAGAGGAAACTCTATGTGTTTTTCATTGGTGGTATCTAGTACATGATCATCTTCATATAACTTGTCTAAAGAACCCTATGTCTCGCCAAAGAAGACTAAAAGAATAAGCCAAAACTAAAATATTGGACGAGAACCATAATTTATGTTCCAAAGGAGGCGTTGAAGACTCTACGAAAGCAGATAATTAGCTCGCAGAGTATTGATCAAGGACAGCGTCCCTTCCTCGACCGCAGAAACTAGCCCGATCAAAGGAGATGGGACTCTGCATTTGCCGCCTCGCTCCTCCACTTGAGATAGTCAAAGCCCAGCTCTTCAAGCGTGCATATTTCGTGTCGTCGATCGCCTAGCTTTTTCGACGCAACTTTGATCAAGGGAAACCGCTCACGCACCCACTGCGTCTGCTCATTCCAATATGGCGGCATCTTTCCGCGGCCATCATTGGCAAGGCGTGTGCGGGATGTAGCCTGCAATGCCCAACCATGTAGATGATTGATGTATTCCGCATCGAGCGGAAACGCAATCGTGTGGAAATTCCTCCCAGAACCGCGATCAACAATAGTTGCGGCTTCCCATTTCTGCATCTCGCGAAGTGACGGCAGAGTCATGCGGCCGGACCATGCGCGAGCAATGACGGCGCCCTGGGCCTCAGACACGGGAAACGGCACGATGCGCTGAGGTAAACCGATGAATGCCAGTGTAGGCTCGGTATTGTAGAACAGGTGCTTGTACACGTTCTGTGTGCGGTCTCCATTGGAGACAAGCGCGGGAGATAGGGAAGACAGAAAGGGAAACGAGTAAAAGTAACCCGTGCAAAAGATGATCTTGTCGATGTCTGTCTCAACACGGCCATTCGCGAAACGCACCGCGCGTGGTTGGTCTTTGAGAAATTCAACAATTTCAGGGAGATTCTCTGCCTGAGAAGTGTCGGTTGAAGCGGTGATATTGGAAGCGTGCTTTTCACTAATCAGGATGGGTTTCTGGCAGAATTGGGATATTTGTGCGCTAAGATCGATGCCAGACGCCGAGTTGCCAACAACTATGACTTTCTAGAAAAGAAAAAACGTCAACCAAAAGCATACATGGAAATGCGGGAGATGGAATAACTACCTTTCCCTCAAACTCATAGGGCTTCCTGAAGTATTTCGAATGCGAAATGACACCTGGATGGGAGTCATTCCACTCTTTAATGCCTGAGATATCTGGAATGAATGGATCGCTATAATGTCCGTTGGCTACGACAACGGCGTCAAATTCGGCGATTGACTCCGTTTGGGTCTTCAGATTGAGCGTTTTCACCGTCCATATTCCTTTGCTCGACGAACATACTCGTCGAACATCCAGCACCTGAGTACTTAGATGAAGGTATGGCTTCAGTTCTTCTGCATATGTCTCGAGATACTTCTTCACTACGGCGTGTTTCGGAAATAGGGATGATCCTTTCGGGAACGGTAGGTCGGAGTAATTCATCAAATTGTTTGGAATGTTCGTTTCCAAGTAGTCGTATACAGGGGAAACAAAGATAGCTTCGTCATCTTCCCAGGTGGGCTTCTCTACAGTCGCGCTGGGCTGTGTTCGCGGAATAGTGAAATTGCCATCAAGGGTATTGTTCTGAGTGTAATTCCAGACTCCGCCGACGTTGCCGCGCTGTTCGAAGATTGCTATTTCAGAGAACTTTTGTTCTGCGAGAAGATATCTAATATCACAATGAGTCATGAGCCGTAAAATCAAGGCATGGAACCGTACTTTGCAGCCGCGAGACCACCAGGACCAGCGCCAATGACAGCGACCCTGTCAACATCGAATTTTCGAGGTTCCATCATGCAACAGAGTCTGTTTCCCAGCCCGTTCCTTGATTGCCAAGTAATCAACAGATCTTCCCAGTAATATTTGACAGCGTGACGGAGTCGTTTTCGCAACTATCGTTTGCGAATGAAACAGGCCTTGAACTCAAAGCAAAGAATGTCGAAGAAGACAAGTCCAATATTCCGTTATCTTCCTGATCCCTGAAGTCCACACGATCGTGCAACGCAAGACAAACGCAATGCGGGGCAGGAATCACCACAGAATCCGTGACCTCTTAATTGAAACTCCTCGGATTGTGGTAAGGAGCCTCAATCAAAGACGAAAAATCATTTGACTGCCAAAAGGATGCTCAAGGCTTCACATATATATCTTCTATCTTTTGTGTCATAAAAACGCCCCCCAAAAACCCAGAAGAAGACGCAGCTGTGCTTGTGGTAATCTTATCGCATATATATATCTCCTGGCAACAAGCCGGTATCTAGATCGCTCCCGCCCTATCAAAACGCATGTGAAGGCGCCTCTAACTCGATCAGACAATAATTCACAAAGTCACTTGGGGAGCGCAGAAACACAATTGGGGGAAAGCTAGAGCAAGAAACCGCATGAAATCCAGATAATCAACGCTCATCATGTTTGGCTGCTCCGCACTAAGCCACGCGAGGTTTGACCCTCAATAATCTCCCGCATGCTTTTGCAGATAGAGGAGTAGTGCCTGGGCAGATTAGCCAGAATAGCGGCGGAGAAGTCGGTAGAGGTACCGTTACCGTGAACGGAAGAAAAAGCGTGGTGGGCCAGTGGTGTATGGTGTTTGGTATTTAGTATTGCAGTTTAGGCTGGGCCCAGGGCAGCGGCGGTGGGGGGGTCGGATATGACTGATATCGGATGCCGTCCGACTGATATCGCCTACTTGAGCAAGCAGCAATTCAGGAGACCGCTCATACAAAAATCCTAAATTTGGGGATTTGGGGAAGGCACGAGTAATATTACAGCGAAGAACATGTATCAAGGATAGCTGGTCCGCTTTGTAAAATACCAAGTATTATCCTTTAACATGAGACACATGCTTGAAAATCTCAGACTGCATATCTGAGAACTATACTTACAAGACTTTCAAAATTCCGAATAATATTTCCTCTTCTAGTATTGTCAAAACAGACAGCTCTTAAGCCTGCAGATGATAATATTATGTCTATAAGTATTCTTGTATTCATTCGTGTCTCTTGAATACGAAATTCGCACATCTAATAGTATTATTCGAATTTAGACGATGTTTGATCAGACCTCCGCGGAAACCCCGACGAAGGAAAAAAAAAAAAAAAAAAAAAAGGTAAAAATGCCCAAATCTCTATAAATTCGCCCAGTCCAGGTGCCCATGCTTCTCTTCGCCATCTCTATCCCATGCAATCTTTCATTCGACGAAAACGAAAAAGTACAGAACGATTAGAAAAAAATAGCTGGAATGTCTGACCTTCCTAACCAAGTATCGCAGAACTGACATGATATGAAATCGCCAATGGCACACCAATTGTTACATCCAATCCGTGCTGAACTCGCCAAATGAGCCTGTCCAAGATTCTCCGGAGTCAAATGGGCCATCAAAATCCGACTGTAAAGGATGCTGATGCTGCGGCGGTACTTCGGTCGACGCTGGGGTCCCCATAGCCCCAGCACTGACATTCGCCTGGAATATTGATGATAAGTCCAAAGGACGATACCGCCTCACTTCAGCCGCTCCAAGAATGGAATGATACGCGCTTGATTCTCCCAGAACGCGGCTCATCAGGGACTTCAGCTCAGCTCGAATGGTATATAGGAAATCTGAGTCGCCAGGGACACCACAGTTGGAGCTTGGCCCTCCATGATGGTCAAGTAGATGAGCAGCGGAGGGAACGTGGAGGTCGAGTAGAATGCTTTGACGTCCTTCAGCCATGGAATCGGTAACTGCAGCAAACCGACGAAGTAAATCGGTCAGCTGTTTAGCAACTTGCCACGTTTCTGGGTATTCATCCAAAATGTTGGCGCAAGCGAGAACTTCGTCCCGAAGTTCGACTCCACGCGCGATAGTCCTGGTATAACAGAACAAAAAGACAGCAGAAGCTGTCATGAGCCGACAAAGAGTGATCCAATTTAGCGCCAATCGACGCTGGCTGAAAACAAGTGAACTGGATTGAATATACTTTTGCGCAGACAGTTGCAGTTCCTGAACGTGTGATGGAGATAGCTGCGAGTTGAAACTCGAGGGACTCTGAAGAAGGAATAGCAGATTCTGATACCGCACATTAAGCCATGGTATTGAGTTATGAGAAGGGACGGTCTCGTTTTCGGCAGCTGGGGAAAGCAGATATCCTTGACTGTGCCAGTTTACTATCTCTGACATGATATTTTGAACAATGGCGATTCTCTCAGATGGACCAAGCAAGCTGGAGGCGGCTGCTCCTGATAGGTGAACCCTCTGCAGAATCTTTCCTTCCAGCCGACGAAGCGCGATCATGTGTCGCTTTGACTGAAGAAGCAAAATGTTACTCGCTCTTTCATCGCCGGCATATTCTTCCACTGTAAGGCTTGGAAGAGGAATCTCGATATCTTGGTCGTCGATGCCAACAGGCAGACCTGCTGAGACAGACACCATGCGGTCGAAAATATAAGCACTCCACAAGAGTCTGTGCCGAAGTTCGATCTGGAGAGGGCTCAAGTTTAGCTCCGGCGGAGCCTTCTTATTGAGACCGAGTAGCATGATCTGACGACATAATATGCCTGCAGTTACCCACGGCGAGACGGCACCCGGATCGAAGAAAGAATAAAGCCCCAAGAGTAAGAGAACCTGGACGGACTCGACATCTTTTCTACCCAGGCACTCTTGAATAATCTTATGATAAGATATCTGGAATTTCACGCAGATACCGCACGGTATGCGTCCGGCTCGTTGAAGCGTGTTGCAACCAATGGCCATGATGATATAAAGCCTGCTTGGAATGGCATCAAGCTTTCCTGGTATGGCCATTGCTTCAAGGTCCTCCATGATTTCAGCGCGATTGATAAAGGGGTAGCATCGGTGGACATGCGAAAAATATGAGTCTACAAATTTCCGTCCAGCCGCTTCCTGGGTCATCCGTTGGCCAGTGTGTTTTGAGGAGTCTCTTTCTGCTGGCTGAGTTGGCGTAGCCGACATGCGATGTAGCGTGTCCGGGCCTGCCTCGTGCTCTGTGGCAGGGCCATGATGAGGAGAGCCGTGTCCAGCGTGGGAAGATTCTGGAGTCAATTCCCGTGCAAGGTTAAAGGTGTTAGACGACGATGAAGACACAGATGATCGTTTAATAGCTTGAGGGGCTACGGAGCTCTTAGATGAGGTGGGTTCTTTGGCGACTAAAGCCCCTGTAGTGAGCGTCTCTACCAAGGGATGATCTGCTGGCAATGCATCCTGGAGACACTTTGATAGCCACGAGATGCGAGCCTGAAGCTGGTCAATCGGTGTGTTTGGAACGGACGCTACAGAAGGGGCGGCCGAGAGCGAACATGGAAGCCCTGCATTCTCACACAGGCTACAAGTCGGAAGAGTCTTGCTGCATTTCTTCTTCAGGCGGCGGCAGCGGCGACATGCCGACGTCGACGAGGACTTTTTAGAGGATGAGCCCGCGGCTTCGGAACTCTTTCGGACGTCACCCGATTGCCTTTGCTGCAAGACTGAGTCTGCTGGTTGGGGCTGAGAGATGCGGAAGCGGTGGAAAGAGGAGCTTTGCATTGTTTTCATAAGGACGTTGCCTTGACCCACGTTCCCCTGGAGTAAATTTCCTTCTTCTTGAATAGGTAAAACTGAATTGGGAAATTCTCTACCCCGACTGCCTCCTTGTCGGAGCCAAAGGGGCGAAATCTGGGGAAAGTGGATCTGTATTCCCAAGTCGCCGGGACCTGACCTTCACCACTATTTCTCGTATATTGTCCCCTGAAATCAGGCTTTTGCCTTGCCTTGCAGCTTTCAGGAGCAATTCCTTTTTGTTCCCTGACCGAGGCGTGAAATCCAAGATTGGCAGGTTGTAACAAAAACAGAACAAGTAATGCTTCCCATGAGAGCTATAGCCACACTCCTTAATGATCAATGCGGCCACAGTATTTCCAATTTAATCGGTTCGCAATTGAGACGGAAAAGCAAAATATTTCGCAATGAGAGGACAGCGTAGCAAAATCAGATATGAACTTGTGCATGGGCCTTGCAGGGAAAGGGGAGCGGACTTCTGCTATATCAACCCATAGCTTTCCCATTCGACCGCAGCGGCAAAGTTCCGATACCGTATGAGGAAATTTCCAGATGACCGCATTCCCTGGTCTCCGATTGCGTGAAGAGAAAGAGTCACACGAAAATCAGTTCCATCTCTTCCTGACAAAGTAACATCCTGACAGGTTGGGGGATAGCAGAGGTCGTCGTAGCATGTCGGGGCATCATAGCGACAACTATATCAGGAAATTTTTGTCGGAGACCGGGCCGATAAAACGTAGCACAAAGTGGTGGAATCAAGGTTCATGGCGTTCAGAAGTTGGGTCCAAAGCACTGGTGCGCAAGGGTTCCACGAGTAAATGGGGCACTTAAAAGTCCCGGCCCGACTTCTCGTTCTCGAAGCATTTGCACCGGGTGCTGCCAGCCTATTCCTCACAACTAATGCAACGAGTGGTGTTCTCGATATATTAAAAGTGGAACCAAACCGCCGTTCCGTTCCGAAGGTTAGCGGCGCCATTGACGAATCAGTGCCCTTCGTGCTCTCTTACTCTCAGATGGGACCGTCTCAGGAACAAAAGGCATCCGAACCCTTATCGAGATCAGAGATAGTGAACTGTACTCCGTACTAACCCGTACAATCCATATCAAAATAATGCATCAAGCTTGATAGCGCTGAAAGAAACCTTGTTTGGCATGAACACACGAGGTAAGCATTTCAATTTGATTTGGCGCATCAGGCTCAAATCGTATCATGATTCAAAAATCATGGGATAGTTTAATTCGTTTCCAGCTCAAATCATACAATTGGTCGATTCATTATGTATCACATGTGCATTATTATCATTGATATTCCCTTTTTCCGACCAAAACCCTATTCTTAACAAAAAAAAATCTGACCATCACAGTTGAATGAACAGCCCTTTACTGCTCACTATATCCACATGTTAGTCGTGTCCTTCGCTTTGGCTCAACGGCCCATCATGTGCCAACAATTGGGGAAGCGCCGGCAAAACAATCGCATCCTCAGGGGCTCCTAATGCGTCCAATCTATCCGGTGTGAAGCTCGTGTTTTGTGCGTTTTGCCATTCCAGTATCGCGGCATGATTACGACACTTCTTATGAATAGCAAAATCAGGAAATGGCGATTTCTGTGTCTCCATCCAGTTGTACGTAATAACATCCACGCTCGGTTGACAGGAGAGAGTCTGCAGAAGTATGTAGAGGCAATGAGAAAGGTGGTTTTGATGTATAAAAGGCATCTTGGCCACGGGGAATTCCCAACTTGAATAGTAGTGCTCACGATAGACGTATTTCCGCACAGCATTAAGGCAATGCAGAGCGTGCTGACCGTCGAGCTGTGCGAAATAGGCATCAGATCCAAGGCCTAAAGTTTGTCAGACTCGGTCATATCGAATGCGTGGAAGCATGCTATATGAATAAATAAAAAAAAAGCATGAGAGTCATACCCCAGTCTTCAGGCACCTTGGAAGTGAGCTTTGGATCCTTTCCAAGCCGGACAACATCCTCGCTGCGGATAACAAAAGGCACTATCTTAGCCATAGCTGCCCAAGCCGCATCAACTTCCTTGGAAGGTGTTTCTCGATAAATGGTAGGAGGATCATTGAAGAGATTACCGCTGATAATGCGGTCTTCTTGCGTAATTTGCAGGCGATCAAAGACCGGAGCTTCCCTGTTTAGCGCTGATATATATAGAACAAAGGCATGAGCGAAACACTTACAAAAGTAAGAAGTTCTCTTCAGAGACTCATCATCCGAGCATCCTCGCCTTGCATCGATTAAGACGAGGGTTAAGGCAATTATTGAGCCAAAGAACATGAACAGATTCAAGATAAATAGCCCTCTTCCACTGAACGCTCTTCTCCATATCGACAATTGTCTGGCCCGCGGGACCTGAACAGTGTGAGCCGGTGTCAAAGGTGTCAAACATGAGAGACCTAATGAACCCCATCTGCTACGACTTACCGATTCCTCAAGCAGACTTTCATCATCATTATTTCCAAGAGCGCTGTAAGCCGTTGCTTCCTCTGCGCTTTTCATCTTTGAGAGTTGCGTCCTTGGAAAATCGGAGTCACCGAGAGTTTGCAACGGTCTGCGATGAGAGGACAACGCAGAGATGGATGAGAAAAATACAACTCAGATATGCCCATAACGGAACCCCAATGAGAAGCTTTCTTCAGCGGGGAACTTTGAGGGGTAGTCATATCCCTGTTGTAGTGCGGATTCCTTAAAATCTGAATAATTATCAAGCTCTGAGAGCTCGAACCTAATATTCAGCCGCAAGTGAACAGAACCATGTAATGTGCTTTGTCACCTTATCTTGCCTCGTCGCATTGATCTAAGACTGCTTATGCACGTTGTTCACTGATAAGGTGGCAGAACTGGTGCAAATTCCCATCACACTCAGTATTGTACCTCCAAGATACAAGCAATAGAGGCGTCAGTCAGCACGCTTTTTGGGCTTGCATATCTGACATGGAAATTCATCATAATAGGCCCATCTGGTTCTCACAATTAGCAGAAGCCAGGGAGGCATTTTGAGCAACCTCGGAGACAAACTAGGACAATCTGTAAAAGAGAGGCACGAACGGCAGGTTACGCCACCGCAGCCTTGTCAAGACTGGATCTTGCATTAGCCTTGCCCCGCACCGTTCCCGCTGGTTAGGCAAATTGTAGAGCGGATATCCTTCCAGTTAGAGTACACATCTTTTGATGACCGCCCTTGAAACTAAAATCATAGGGCCGAAAACCGTCATGATCCGGCTCGCAATGCCGTTTTGAGCTTATCATAAAAGCAGAGTCATCTGCAGCATGCTTGCTCAGCTTGCGGCTCAGAAGCGAATTAGTGGTGATCGTCAGCCTTTACCTGACGATTAGCATGCTAAAAAATGAAGAGCTAATGCAGTCTTACAAGCTGACAGAAAGGTGACGTGCTCTTATAATATTATCACAATACTGACCAATGTCATGGAGCGGAAAGCCATACAGTAGCTTTGGCTGGAAGATCTCAGCAAACAGCGTCAACCGGCGCAGAGAAAAAGAGTTTGGTACTTGGTAACTCGACAGAACAGCAAAACATCTTTTAAGCATTGCACAAATTGTGATACTGCAAACCACAAGCGTCCTTGAAACGAAATGGGAAGCTACTCTCATGGCGAAGTCCAGCGTTTGGATGGTTGCACTATTCTCACTGGGTGGCTTACTGCGTTGTTACCCGCCCCAGCAAATATCGTATAGCTAAGGTATATAGGTACCTTAGGTATTCTTCAAAGCGACACCAACGTACAACAACTCGTTTAGATTGGTAGCCGTAAGAACAGCCTTGTTTAATGTCACATCTGTTTTGTTAGCGGGCCAGAGTTTCCCATCTTGTGCAGAAGAAACACCTGCCTGATCTAGACACACATATCATAAATAAAAAGGCTGGGACCCCTATACTGTTAAAACACAGTTATACAGAGCGATTTTGGCGTGCTAAGGCATTTAGATCACCACTAGTGTACCCTTGCAATAAGGCACAGCAAAGTAACAAGAAACGCTCAGCCCTTCCTAGTGCAGCCAATTGCGTGCTTTATTGACATATTCAACGTTGCCATAAAGAGGGGAAGTGAGAGCGCTTTAAAGATAACCAAATCTGACTGTATTTTCTGACTAAAACTGTTGCAATCCCGGCTTCCCAAAAATAATTCCAACTTTCAACGGCAATTGTGACACTCCTGAAGGTTGTTATTTAATGATTTTGCGTCACACTGCCACTGGACCTGCTTCCATTTCTCGACTCAGTAGCGATACCTTCAGGAGGGCGATCCGCTGTACGCTAGCAAATGGAGGAGGCATCCCTGAAAACTTATTCCGCAGCCTCGTCGCGCACACGGTCGAGCAGACGATTGTAAATTCCATCGTCCAAAGGGGTATAGGCCTGGCTAGCTTCGCGCTTCTCCGCAGCATCGTCGCGCAGAGGCGGGTGGTAAACTTCATCATTCAAAGCGCCATAAGCTTCGCTAGCTTCGCGCTTCTCTGCTTCTTGAGTTCAGTCTTAGATACTGCAATTAGAAAATCTGAGCTTACCTATCTCCACCGGCAGAGCTAAGGCACAAGCGGCCAAAAGCACTAGGGGGGCTGCAACTGAGAAGAACTTCATGACGACTGTATGCTCCAAGAAGAAAAAGAGGTAGGACTTTCGAGGCGCTGATTGTGCAGTTGGATTGTGTCCTTGGGGAGAGTGATTGTGAGTCTTTCAAAGCGCGGGACAGGACTCTTAAATATTTGCACGGCGGAGAAAAAGATAGATCACAAAAGCGCCCATGACCAGCGAAGAGCTTATCCTGGCCGAAAATGGCTTTTCATGCCCTTCTTCAACAAGGTCTGTAATGCTTGAACTGCCCTTGTAATCACGCTGCATGTAGAATGGAGGGTGAATCACACGCCTACTGACAGCTCTTATTGGTGCACAAACCCTGAGGAATCGTGTTAGTGATCATCTCCGATGAGGAGCTGAATGCAACTCACTCCAATGGTCCAGTCAGTCATTTGGATAAGATGACGTTTCAGTGTCCGGGGCAGGGCACTCTCACGGTGCATCGAGCGTATGGTAGATCTCCATTGCTGGCTTCGGTAAAGCTTCATTTCAGTTGGTTAGCCACATGTTGTGGAAGATGGCATCATTGTCCGCATTATGGCAAATGCAGGGAGGTAAAGGTCGTCTAAGAGAAGAGTATTTGCAGCTCGATTGCCGGTGAGAGTCGGAAGAGCATGTCAAAGATAGTACTGAAGAATGACAAGTTGAGACCGCACGCTAATTTCATGCAAGGCAGTATTCATGTCCAGTCAGTGTCTACCTAGTTTATTATGCATGTGGAAATATATCCCAGTATGCCTGCTGGCAGAGAGGCTTTCCATCAGCTAGATGTCAAGGAGTAAGGATGTCGCACGGCTATCCTGGAGCTCATTCTCAAGAGCTCGGTTGCTGTTGCGGTAAGCCGCGTTCTGAAAGAACGCTTAACAAGATATTTTTTGTTGCACGTTCGCTGCAAAAATGACGGACGATTTCAAAGCGTGAGGGGACCGCTGACTTTATCTGAGCTAGTTCTATTCTATGCTGATACTTTATGAGACGACGGTCTGATAAAGGACAGCAGTCAGGGCCACGCATGTTTCATCGTTGGTGTCGTTTCAGTGAGTAGCAGCCTTATATGATGAGAGTCTAGGAACCATAAGTTTCGAAAATTTGTCTCCATACCCAAGCGCCCTTTTGTATGATGATGGAGAAGCGGATAGCTTTGCTCGAAGCTAAACCTTCAAAACACATAGTGTTTCACTATTTGGATTATTATTGAGCAGTGGTGTATATGGGACAATGCAACCCCCAGAGGTCACGTGGGAGAGAACTCATAGCTATCATACTGAGACGCAGTACGAACGAGCCGAGCTGCTTGCTTACCATCAGAAGCCATGCCATAGACATTAAACTTTCTGGCCTTTCTCTGATAAAGGCTTGCCTAATGGTGACTGCACATGATTATATCGCTCCAGCAAAAGCAGACATGCAGTCACAGTTGGAATTGTAGTACTGGTGGTCATCCCAAGGCTTGGAGACCCAGTGGCCAATGAGAGCTTATTTGTGAAGCGTCGGGCCTGACCTGTCTGATGCTGGCAGGTGCGCTCTAATGCTGGCACTTTTCGAGGAATCGTAGCTCTACCTCGTATCGCGAGTGCCACTCAAGCCAATTACTGAGCTGCGCCAAGTAGAGGTACGCGTAAAGTCGAAAATTGGCCGTGCAACAGGAGGGTTCCCATGGCTGGTTTACTTTTCCGTACAACGATAATCGTAGCCCAGCTCTCGCAAAAAGGGCGAACGAGGGAACCGAGGAACGAGGGGAACGAGTAAAAGGCCGTTCCACCTCGGTTACTGTCCATTGCCCGGCCCCCGATCCCGACGCAGCCTCGCTCACCAGCTAGGATCGTCCAGAAAAGAAAGCAAGCGAAAAATCACACAACGTGGATGCAGACAGGAACCGTTTCCTGAGAGCGTTGCTCTAACATATGCCTTAACTCAAACGGACTGCGCTCTGCAAGCCGGACGAGCCAACGGAGTGGAGTAGCGTCGTATTCGTGGTATCGGTTACTCGTCAGTCACGAACCGCTGCTGAGCCGATCAGGTACCGATACCCACAAGTTTTAGAGGTATAGAGCGAGTCAGAAAGGAACAAGACGAGATGGATGCACGGCCGTCATTAGTGATTCGAGGGCCGGCGATTGAGCTCTAAGAGTCGAGCCGTCGTCATGTCAGGGACCCTTCTTTTTCCCTTCTGGTTTACGGAGCGAGGGAGTACCGGAGTACGGAGGCATCGGGAAACGATAGTGAGGATTTAGTCTCAGTAGTGCCATAGTGGCAGGAAAGTGGTGAGTACGGAGTACATCTGTGTAGGTGACTCAATGTTCTCGTTATGAGGTATCTGATGTGGTTCGGCAGCTTTTTCAGTCTGCTCCTTAAGCCAGTTCGTTCATTACGCAACTCCGCTAGGGCTTCCTAATTCCAACGGGCCCGCCTTCAGCTACACAGGACGATTCAAGTTCGTTCATTTTCTGTAAAACGGGCGGGTCATTGGGCTGTCCGAAAAAAGATTCCACACTGTATTTTACGAAGTCCTCGCTAATAATCCAAAATTTACCCACTAAAATCTGCTGACTAGATCGAGACAGTTCGGTGGGATAGCTAAGTTTGTTAGCTGTGGTCTGTGTGAGGCAAGACACGCACAGAACTGCAGCTTGAGGAAGGGGTACGCTGCGTACTCTGTAGCCTTGAACACGGTAAATTACCCTCGTACTGTGCATAGCCAAATAAGAAGCCGTTTGCTTGCTGCAGCCCCGACGTGGCAGCGCCACAAACGGAGCCAGCCTACCGTTCGATGCATAATTACAGGTATGGTACAGAGCACACTGCTATGGCTGAGTTAAGTGAAGAGACAAAAAGAAATGAGCAAACGTACTCGGTAGAGGCACAGTTTTGCGGATAAATGGGGATGTAACTTACTCCGTAGGTTAGTTATCCCGTAGAGTAATTTCTCTCTTACCAGAAAGGACGGTAGACTAGTGGAGACCCTGGTCCGTCCTCAGCCGGCGACTGGTTCGGTCTACTACCATTGCCCTTGACTAGAGAAGTTTCCTGGGAGAAAACGCCGGCAAACTTACGTAGAGGCTTTTCCTCTCCGTACTCCCATCCGGCTCTGGTTCGTTTGTTACGGAGCTGGACACCTGAAAGGCTGTCATTTGCTAGTCCGCCTGTCAATCCTGGCGCCAGTGGCGTCCCTCTCTCATTTTTGCCTCTTTTTTTTTTTTTCTTTCCTCTTCTCCCCAGGCCGTCCAGCGCCATCCAAGATCGTCAAGGGCCCCGCTGTCCACGAGTTCAGTGCTAGCACGGCTATCTCCGTTAGGTGCTTGTTCATTACAAGAGACAAAGCAAGAAAAGCAAAAGGGAGCACAGCACCCAGCGTCACTATTAGTTATACTCCCACACTAATGATGCTGAGAGCAAAAGAGCGAGCGAAGTTGCTCATCTGTTATGGAGACACGCTAGTCCAATGACTGGAACAAAAGCCTCGTCCCATGAATGACTTCGTTCCTGATCAGACCCCCCCCCCTGCTTGCACAATTTTCTCGCACCTGTTCACTCATTAGTCCAAACTGCCGCTGCTAAAGTACTACTTTTACTCTCCAAAGCTCTGCTCGCTCTGGCCTTGGTGCAGCATTTCCCTCCTTTCCTCTTGTCGTAACCCCCAAGAAGTTCATGAGATTCGCGTCATAACCGTCTTTCCGTTCTTTGCACCAACACACACACACACACACACACACACATCACGCTCATTCTATCCCACCAACGTCACTGCTGCACACCGTTTCCCTCTTCCATTCATCAATAAATCCTCCAATCCCATTTGAGACGGCAACAACCACGTCTCAAAGAGGGTTGTCTGCTGACAACCCTTGCATCCCTTCGCCACAGAACGCCTTCCCCTAACTCATCTTCTCATCCCTCCAAACAGCGAAGTCATTGCTGCTCGGGGGAAGTACTCTACGCGACGCTCACACAAACACACAAGAGAATACGCCAGTTCTTTTCGCACGCTGCTCGCCTTGATGAGCTTGTCGTGCATGACCAACCACATTGTGCTCTGAACGATTACCTCCAAATAAGCTCAGCTTTTGACGTCACATACTACCGAACGAACCAAGTGCAATGTCTGCTTGATCGGCCGAGCTATCAGCTTCGTTACTGGACAACTTGCAAACCAGCATACCTTCCTCAATGAAACCCATGCCTTTTGCGACGCGAGAAGAAAGAGACCACGAGAAGGGCTGTTTGACTGATCGATGAAGATGGCCATGTGGCCCTTCAGCCGGAAGGCTAAAAAGGCTTCAAACACTGCAGAGAAAGATGCGAAGGCAGGTAAAGGAAAAACTCCCGTACAGGGCCCTCCTGGTACGGGACTGAGCGTAGCCGACGCCTCGTCATCCGCACCTGCGCCTCGTTTCTCACGCCGAGCAAGTCAGAGGAATACGCAGAAACCCTTAAATTCTAGATCCCCAGACGAGTCGCACGACGGGTGGGAAGCGGTTCAATGGCCGGTATCAGAAAATGAAAAGGCCGGGGGAGGTTCCGCCGAAGGTTACGTCGCCACCGGTGCACCAAAGCCATTGAATGCGCAGAACATTCGCCCCGAATTGAATTTCAATCCAACGCAAACATCATTGCTTCGATCAAAATTGCCGGCATATTATTTCCAGAACCCTGGGTCCCGCACATCTCTACCACCAGAAAACGCACTTCAACGCCCTACATTACGAGCCAAACGAAGCGCCAATGATTCGAGTCTGTTGCGACGCAAATCGAGCAAGAAGAAGAAACGAGATCACGAGCGAGAGGAGGAGATTAAAGCTATGAGCACCATGAGCCCGCCGATTCCCATCCCACGTCGACCAACGTCACATCTGGGTGTGCCGTTGAGACGAGACAGCAAGAAGCTCCAGGGTGGGCTTGGAAGATATCCAGAACAGCGAACTTCTGAAATATCGCTTTCTTTTGCCGCTTCCATGCAGTCTTCTGTCTCTTCTGTATCCGAATCCGTCGAATTTCGAGTAAACCCTTTGGATGTCTTTTCACCTCGGCCGACGATCCGTTACTTGGATGCGACGCGCCAAGGCTTCGGATCGGGTGTTTGGGAGCCTTCACGGAGCAATTCAAAGCGGACGCGGCGCACTGTGATCCCCGAGGACGCCGTCGGAGAGGCGCCGCACCGGCGGAGAATAGAGGAACTGGCCGATGATTTCGACGCTGGGGCATTGCGCGAGGTGATGGAGCGTGATCAACGTCGCCGCGACAGAAAGAGGAGAGCTGAGGAAGAACGAGCCTATCGCAGATTGTTGCGTCGATCTGAGGGGCCGCGTGAAGCTCAGAGCCAGCAGATTGAACCAACACCGCTGGCCTCTGAGCCTCAGGAAGTTGCGATGATGGAATCTGTTCATGGCGCCGCCGCCGGTGCTGGCCAAGATGTGCAAGTTGCTCCGCCGCGGGATCAGTCAATCGAGATGCAGCGTGTGCATTCATCGAGGTCATGGCTTCCAGGTAGCTCGAAGGAAAAGCTCAACCTCTCTGAGGACATTGCCACCGGTGCTGCTCCCCCCACTGAACAAGCCACGCCAGCCGAAGAAAGCGTGGAACCTATCATGACCGCTCAGGCGGTACGGCTCTCACATGCCACGACCTCTTCACCCCATTCACCCGCCGAACATATGCGACAGCCCTCGAATATTTCGCAGATCAGGGACGTGCGGCATGAGAGCACGCCTGAAGTCTCAAGCCTACTGGAGTCGGAAAGAAGAGGATCCGACACAAGCGGTCGATATATTGGAGCATGGTCATCCTTCTTTCGGCGCAACGCCACCAGGGGCAAAAGACGATCAGTTGAACGTGGCCGGCTCACTCCATCAGAATTCTCCAACACCTCGAGGGAGTCCATGTCACGTCAGCCGCCACCAGTCTCACTGCAGGGGCGCATCCGTGCTCGTTCGGGCACTCCTGTACGCACCCAATCCAAATTCCGTGAAGATCTTCCAGAATACCCAATTTCACCTCCAGACTCCCGGGTGCAGTCCCCTGAAGCAAGCGTACCCAATCAGTCGACCCATTGGAATCGTGGACATGAGCTGTACGAGAGAACACTCGCCGGATCAGCTGTTTCCCGCGATATGCCATCCCGTTCATCCATGGCTCCTAGAAACGAGTCGCCTATGAGCGGGTATCGATCTTACGAGGCACCTTCTCCAGACGGAAGAATGTCTGGTTTAATGATGTCTCAGTCTCTTGCTTCCGTTGACTCGGAGGGTTCATGGCTCTCGGGAAAGCCGATGCGGATTCCCTCTCATACGGCGCCATTGAGAGAGAGCGCGAGCTCGCTGTTACGAAGGCAAGAGAGATATTCACATTACGATGATGAACATGACGAGAATGAAGCGCTTGGCATCACTGAGGACGAGTATTTCAACCGCTTAACGCCTGGGCCTGACACGGTGCTTGAGAGTGGAGAGACACCTAATGCGACCCGCAAGCCAAGTAGTACTGCCATTGGTCCGGAAGAAAGCGATGGCGAGGATGTACTCGGCGTACGTGCGGAGGAGAATGAAGGCGACAAGGGCACTTGGCATCATGGACTTGGTCGACAACCCACTGTCATTCACTCCGGCAAAAGGGCAAAGTCACGTGAAGGGCTTTTGAACTATTTCCAAGCCGACGCCGATGACAGATCTGTAGAGTCGTCGCCCATGGAAGATTCACCCAATGAAGATGTGGGCTTCGAGGGTGAGCTGGAGACCCCGGCCATCGAACGAGCTACAAGTGTCGACTACAAGGGAAAGCACGTTCGGCACCTAAGCGCCGGCAGTGCCAAGCTTCTCGACATTCCGCCCAGAGCTTCTGGGGAGGGACGTAGATCTGCCGTGGAAGGATGGTCTGAGCAAACCGCTCATTGAAAGATGATCAACCTGCCATCCATTGTGGCCACCAATGAAGCTCTTCTCAATTTTGGAAAGCGACATGGCGGTTCACTATGCATCCTCCATGCTTGTTTGTGCTCCTCAACAGACTTATGCAACTCCTGCTCGAGAGAACGAATTTGGTTAGTTGTCGTCCTGAACAACTTTTTGCGAGAATGTCGCAGACTCTCGGTGATTCATCAGAGTGATGGCTAGACATCGTCGACCATACGTAAAAGACTACCTTTTCCGTAGTGGAGGTTTTTCTTTCTTATTTTTTCCCCCTCTTTATTTTGTCTTGTAGTATATGTCGTTCATCTCGAGACGACTGTGGGGCATGTGGAGCTTGCTACTGGTTTCTTTGATTGGTCTGCCTTTTTTCTTTTCAAACGTGTGGAATTTGATGGATGACGGGCGTCTGCAACTGGACCGGCATTGAAGGGATTGATTGCTTTGGCATTGTGATTCGGTTTGTTAGTCATTGCGCTGTCATAAGAGCAGCATTGGTGTGCATTTTCCGCCGTTGGCAGACCTCAAAAACTTTTCCTTTTTTCGTTTACATGCTTTCGGCATACCCATATTTCACAGCGGTTTCTTTAATGTCTTGTCATCTTTGGTGGAGACCAAAACCTGAGCACATCTAACTAAGGCATGATTGGCCTGATTAGTTTGCTCCGATCCATCTCGATGACTTATTTGCTTCTATCGTCTTCTCTTCTTCTGCGACTACCCATTGGCATTCCTGTTCTTGTTCATTTGTGCTTGTTGGCCACAGCATTGCAAGACTTACTTGTTCTTGAGCATATGCAGATCAGCAGCGACCTTGAAAGCCATCTATTGCCCTTCTATTTGCATATCTGCATACCTGCATATCTGCATATCTGCTCTTCTATCATCTTTCTTCTCATCACTGTAGTTTCCTAAATATTTTGAATCCATTTAGAATGGACGTGGAAAATCAGTAGACTGTTTCACGAATGAACAACAAATAGTCCAATTATCACTTCTGGGACTTGGAAATTCTATCACTGTGCAAGCTGGGAACTGCTCAATATGGCTATTTTTGAGAAACATCTCCAGGAGAATCTTGAGTCTTGTCGCCAACGCAGGTTGAGTCGGTGTATCGTCGGTATATTGTTGGCTATCGGTCACTGCCCATTGACCGCCTTACAAATATCTCCATTATCTGTCACCGTATCATGTTTTATCAGAGTCAGCTTGGGTTGATAAAGTGGCCAAGACCCAAGCAAGAGAAGGTGATCGAACGGTCTAGGTCGGCAGAATGTTATGTCAGCAAAGAAATTATTAATTACACGCCACAAATCAGTGCCAGTATCTTCTACTTGGTTCCGAGATGACTTTCAGCCATGCCATCAGTTATTCCCGTGCGTGTGTCATTAACAGATCTTTTTGCTTTTTCATCGTCATCGCTCCGGCTCATCTCGTCATCTGCCGTAATCAAGGTGTTCTCTTGTGTCTGTCACTAATCTCTTCCCTCCGCCGACCGGATCTGTCATCTTTTCCTTGCAACCGAGAACCTTTCTATCTTCACTCCAGCTTGCTTTCCGCATCCTGCCACCTTGATGTCCCCATACAACTCGCGTTTACTTTGAGTGAAATATCTTTGCCTGTGAGCTTGTAGGTACTTTGTACCCACTTCCCGCCATTGCTCGATTAATAAATCCACACCGAAATTGACCAGAAGCTCTCATCTCACCCACTACGATCACCTCCGTTCCTACTCATTTGCCCACCACAACTTCCTCCCCCCTTCCCCCCCACTACTTGCTCTTGCGCCGCTACAAATACAAATCATATCAGCACCTTCCCTTTCCCTTCCCCCTCCTCACTACCCTGTTTTATCTATATAAACTCCATCTTCCTCTTCCCATCAACCACCTTTCACCGTGGCTTCCTCCGCATCTTCCCTCTTCTCCACTTCCATTCTACGATCCGCTTCCCGATCAGCGTTATCGGCAGCGAGAACCAGAGCTCCTGTGCTTGCACGATCATCTCTTCGCCTTCAAACGCCCCACTTTATCAAGGCTTCTTTGCCTCGACAATCTCTCAAGTCCTTCCACGCTTCAGCTCTCGCAATGGCTCCCGGTCTTCACAACCTTAACAAGTATGTCTTTTTTTCCCCCTCTCCTGCTGTCATTATTGAACATCTCAATTTCTTTGCTCGAATTGCGGGTCGGTGTGAATATGTGGGTTTGCATAAAGCTGCGGCTTTGACTGCAGCCATCAATGCTTTCCCAAACTTCGAGCCAGGTTACGCTACGCTTCACATGCTGTGGGATGCGGCAGTCAAGGACATCCCTTGCGGGAAGACGGAGGATGAACCAATGACAAACTGGCCAGCTGCAGCGCGGAGGTTTTGAAACAGCATCGTTACAGACGAATCTGTTTTTTCTGGCTTCGTTGCATGCAGCCTGTCAATGCCATTTCGTCATTTGGTTTCACCACCTCTTCTGCATGCGTCCCGTCATTACATCCATGGCTTTTTTGAGCATTGCATATTGCACCTGCACCTGCATCTTCCCGCCACTGTTCCGTCCCATTGGGATAACATATATATCATCATAATCACCCGTTTTCCATTTTCTTCACTGTTATTTTGACGCCATCTATCAATCCATATTTTGATTTACAAATCAAGAAACTAACAGATTGTACAGCAAGTCCGAGTTCAACACTGCCCTCGAGGCACCGGACACCCTTATCGTCCTCGACTGCTTCGCCACCTGGTGCGGTCCTTGCAAGGTCATTGCTCCCAAGGTCGTCAAGTGAGTTTTCCCCCTTGGTTGTCCCTTTTCCGCAATATAAAATGTCGTAATAGCATGAACTAACACATTTTTTTTCTTTTTAAAGGCTCTCCGAGGAGTTCCCCAACGTCAAGTTCTACAAGATCGACGTCGACGAGGTCTCGGACGTTGCTGCCGATCTCTCCATCCGCGCCATGCCCACCTTCATCCTCTTCAAGAACGGCCAGCGCGTCGGCGAGGTCGTTGGTGCCAACGAGAAGGCCCTCCGTGCCGCCATTGAGCAGAACGCTTAGATTTTCTTTTAACCTTTTTTTTTTTGTCAAACAAGTAAAAAAATTAGCACAAGCGTTTTAAATGACCAAAAAAATAAATTTCTATCACTATAGATGATTCACCAATCTTTGTTCAATTTCGTTGAATTCCATTTCAATTCATAATCCGCATGTCGTGTGTCGTGCTTATATCTGATTTATTCTCAATGTTTTACGCGCGCGCGTGCGCACCTATACTGGCATAGCCTACGAAATGTGACGTATTAATAGCAATTCATTTTTCAACGCATCGAGGAACAGGTGGAAATGTTCACATAATGAAAAGAAATGGACAAATTGTCAAGTAATGAATATGAATAGTTTCGAGTCTCGAGATGACATGTTATGTACAAGTTTTCAATGCATGTCATGCAAATCATGTCAAAGTTATGAGGGGATGGAGAGAGAGAGAGAGAGAGAGAGAGCAAGAATAGAACAAATGAATACGAAAAAAAACAAGAAAAATGTTGACGATCCTGTCTCTCTCTCCATCATGTGCTTGTCTTCAAATAAAAAGTATCATCAGAAACGCCGCAAGAAATGCCAATAATGAGTTAAAAAAAGTGAACATTTTCGGCGGGCGACCCCACCGTCTGGTACTTGCGCGGCTTTGTAGCGTGTTTAGTGGCCGACGAAGTAAAAAAACAAATATGACAAAGTTGGCAGAGAGGCAAAGAGGAGAGCCACGGACATAAGAAGACGGATAGCGCAGTGACCGCCGGGGATGTCCATCATGATTTCATGCGAGAGCTGTGCGCGAGAGACAATAAGGTAAATCGATAGAAAAAACAAACAAACATGCCGCCCGCCTCATCGACCTGATGGGGCAAATAGAAAACAGCATGATGGTCCGAGCACTTCGAAGCCATCTTCATGTCATGAGTAAAATCGTATCGTCTTGAGACAAGCATTGCCGATGAACTGATAAAAAAGGAGTGAAACGATAAAAGCATCATGCCCTTGCGGTGATTTGGGAGAAACCTTCTTTTCGGTTTCAAAACCGCATGCGAAATCCGAAACGCCGATGGTTATGCTCAATCTCTGGTATGTTGTCGACGATGTTATCTTCATGGAAAAGAAGATCATGAGGTTTGCTTGAGGATGCTCGAGTTGGTCGAATCGAGCCTGTATGCGGTGACGAGAATGGAAGAAAATGTGTGTGCTGGATATGCGGCATTGTTGTGGTGCATATTGAAACGGTAAGGAGGATGCCGACGGGCTTGAGAACATGTGGTGCTTTTGAGCAAAAGACGCTGAATCAAGGCGGTTGGATCAGACGAGTGAACGAGGACCAAAGGTAGAATGACTCGAATTATCAAATCCTCGTCGATCAAATGTAGAGCGTTTTGATGCCAACTTCAATGACGGGTGATCCGGCCTTCTTTTGCCCACTGGTGGTGTCTTTGGGTAGTGGAACACCGCCATTCGCACTACCGGGCCTACCTTGCTTACCGCCCGTGGCAGCGGCAATCCTTCGTTCCTTGGCTGCCGCTTTCTGCGCCGCCTTCTTCATGTCCTTTCGCTCGCGCGCGGTCGTCCGCTTGCGAGGGCCTGGAACAGCATGTGGTTTGGCAACAGTCTTGTTAATAGTTGTACCATTGGTACCATTGGACTGAGTGAGCGGTGCCACGGAGGACGGTTGCTTGGGCGGTCGAAGTGTTAGTTTGACACCAGAACGAGGTTGGGACCGACTTGTGCTTGAGTAGTCTGATGCGCTGTCGTCGTCTCGTAGATAGTCCGGACGCCAGTCCTCGTCTTCCGTTGCGTCTCCGTCGGAGCTCTTGACTTCAGCATTCACTCCACGAACGCCCAAACGACTGCTGGCTTCCGATGAGGGAGTCGAGTCGCGACTAGCAAAGGCGTCTCGACGATACGAATTCGGCTGTCGACCTTGACGGAGCGTCGCGCGCGTTGCTCGACTCAGCCTTCGGTCCTGCTTCTTATTTGGTCCACTTGAAGCTTCGTCATCGCTGTCAGGGTCTCGCTCAATGGACGAGCTTCCGGGTGTCGAAGAATTGCTCTGCCGCTCGTCAAGGTCTAACAGCTTTGAAACCGCGTCGTCCACATTGCCTCGGCACTCTTCCAATGTCCTCTTGACCAAGGCACGGTCCGCGAGATAAGGGAGTGAGGAGAGGACGACATCAATCATCCAAGGATGGACTCGCGAGGTCTTCGCCAGTCGTTCTTGCTGTAATGCCTGTTCTTCGGATGAAATGGCCTGTTCCTTGACTTGAGGCGGTCCAGTGTGAGGGCCTTCGATATTCCGAATAGAGGAATAGTGCTCCCAGACCTAGGGTTTCAAGTCAGTCATTTTGCTCAAGATTTACCACAGAAAAAAGATGTAAAACCGACATGGTAGGCAATGTGCACAATCCGCCGGGGCCCTTCAGACTCCTCTTCGTTGTCCGGATCTCCACCAGACACCATGTAGGCGAAGTCCCTCTGGTAGATTTTCACGTCGACATCGTATGCGGAGCTAAAGGCCGATATCTCCATATTGTCCCCATACGTGCCGCCGCGAGCCATGGTTTGTAAATGGCTCTCAAAGACGCGTTCAACTTCTTCTGGTGTAGGAGCCATTTGTTCGGGCGAGGCATAGGCACCGGCATTCTTCCTCTTGGGGTTGCGTCGAGCTCCTCCGCCTGGACGAACGTCCATGAATTGCTTGTAGTAAGGGGCGTGGTCTCTCATATATTCAATGACTCGAGCTCGAATCTCATGGTGCCGAGACTGCGTGCCGTAGAGCTGGTCGGAAAGAGCATTAAAGAGGCAGTTTCCTATAATTTCAGACGCATTCAAATTAGCTGGTATGTTCTTTGATGAAGCAAGGAGCTTGCTCTCAAACAGCACAGCTTACCATCTCCCCTAATATCTGCTGCATAGAGGCCATGTGCTCTGAGCAGTGGGAATTCTTCCGTTGACCGAGGCATCCCGAATGTAGGAGAGACAAGCGACGGCCAAGTGGAATTGAGCTGGATCAACAATTGGGTCAAAAAGACGCGTGGGGAGACACGCTCTCTTGCTCTCTACATGAGCAGGTAACGAGAACCCAGAGCGCGTCAAATCAAGAATTCGGGGTTGTTGTTGCGGGGGTTCGAGGCAGCGGAAGAGGGCCCACTGGGGGGGGGTTGTGGACACCGCAACAACGGAGACTGCAGGATCGACAAGAGAGGCAGAACGAGCTTCAGAAAAACGGCACCAGCTTGAAAGAAAAGCGTGGTGGAGGAAATCCACAACAAGAAAAATCAAAACTTGCAAAATAACAGACTGGAAACCCTGGTCCGGGGAAGGAGCAGGTCTCCCGTTGTGGGCATAAAAAGTCAAAAAGCGGTAGCAGCCGTTTTAGCAACGGAAAAGCACAATTAGCAGAATTCGGCCACAATAGGACAGTGCACACGCTACTACTATTGGCACTATAACAGAGTTACTTTTTACCGCTTCAGCAGGAAGGAACAATAAGGGAGTTACTCGGAAAGGTTTAGCACCAGAAGGCCGGGTAAGGTACAATAAGGCCACAATAAGTCAATAGTTTATATATGTAACTTAATGGTCTTACAATAGTTACAATACTATTGTACGCATGGCTTTTTTCTTTGCCCTTTGCTCCAAGTAATTGACTCCCTACACGTCGTCATTGCCAGTCACAATGGGGACAATGTCTAAAGGCGTCACTATTCATATCACAATCAGTGTTGGGGTACGCGAAACGACTTTGCCCTTTGTCGCTGGCGGATGTCGGGAAGATGCAGCAGAATAAGTCCGTGTCTATCCAAATCAGGTTTAGGTGGGTGGATCCGCCATTATCAGCATCTTATCAGCAGAAGTCCGACAACAATTGGTTCGACTTGTAGCATTATCAACACCTGTGATTCATCCCACTCTTCATTGGTACTGTATGACTCCATATTTTCCCTTGATCCTCGCTCGTCTCTTTCCTGTGGCCCCTCCCTCTACCGTATCATCTCTTTAAAATCTGGGGAACATTCGGAGAACCCTTCCCGACTTATAATGCACTAAGTTTCCGTTTAGAACCAAAGTAGATTAATGTCAAGAGATAACTGACTAGCTCCAATTTAACGTACTGTATTGCTCCCCAATAAAGCTGCTTCAAGGCCCACGCATCGAAGATATATCCGCTGACTGCTTCGCACCCTTTTGGATCGCGCCTCTCAGTGTACAAAAGCTGTGGACGTTCTCCTTGAAACGTCTGTGACGGCGTCATATCCCTTCTGAGATATCAGCAGCTGTTGACTATTTGAATTGTGTAATTGATCCTTCAAATAGTTGCCCACTATGGCAGAATCAAACATCACTGTTCTTGGGTAATGACTTTTCCACCTTCAACAACCTCTGAGAGAATCATCTCGACTGACCCTGACAGCGCTGGGGTCGTAGGGCTCACAACCGCATTACTCCTGTCCAAGAATCCCAACTACAATGTCACTGTCGTTGCCAAGCATATGCCTGGTGATTTTGACATTGAGTATACGTCGCCATGGGCTGGCGCTAACATGTTCCCGTAAGTGACTCTGTGGAGCTGACCAAGTGAGGAATGATTGTTCTCAAGATGCCTTTTTCAGGATGGCTGCTCGCAATACGCCCGCCATGGAATACGAGAAGAATACTTGGCCTGAACTCGCTCACCTGGCCAAGAATGTTCCTGAAGCAGGAATACATTTCCAAGGTGGGACTCACCTGCCTTAACTAGCGTAAGGATTCCTGTTGAACGAAGAGTAGATACAAAAATATTCAACCGCAAATCCGACGTTGGATCAGAAACAGAAAAGTGGTTTGCAGAGCTGCTGGGCCCCAATCCTTGGTTCAAGGATGTTCTCCCTAATGTAAGCTTTGCAGTGGAGACTAGTCATATGACAGATGACAAAGTTGAGAACTCACCATAGACAATAGGTGCACGAGCTCGACAAATCTGAGCTCCCGTCGGGATATGACTCAGGAAAAGGCTTTACTACGGTGTGCATTAACATCCAGATATATTTGCCCTGGCTTGCTTCACAGTGTTTGAAAAACGGAGTTGTTATTAAACGTGGGATTGTGTCCCATATTACAGATGCAGCCAATCTCCATCATTCTGGCAAGAAAGCCGACTTGGTGGTAAACTGCACCGGCTTGGGTGCGGCGAAGCTGGGCGGCGTTGAAGACAAAAACGTCATACCTGTACGTGGTCAAATCGTGCTTGTACGGAATGACCCCGGGGGCATGTATGGTACATCTGGAACAGATGATGGCGAAGCTGAAAATACGTACATTATGAAGCGCGCCGGAGGTAAGCTTCTCCCAGTGACCATTTTTGCTGACCCCACTCCGTACGGAAAATGAAGTTAACTTTTTCAAGGTGGGGGCACGATCCTGGGTGGATGTTATCAAAAAGGCAATTGGGACTCACAGCCGGATCCAAATCTGGCCGTCCGGATCATGAAGAGATGCGTCGATCTGTGCCCAGCGCTGACGGGCGGGAAGGGCATTGAAGCGCTGAGTGTCATTCGGCACGGAGTAGGATTGAGGCCGCTTCGAGTGAATGGGGTTCGCTTAGAGAAAGAGAGCATCCAGGGTCTTCGAGTTGTTCACAATTATGGACATGCAGGGTTCGGATACCAAGCCTCGTATGGGTCTTCTCAGGTGGCAGTGAAGTTGGTTGATGAGGCCTTGGCAGCTTCTCCCAAGCTATAAGATCAAAAAAGCTTGGAATTTGAATATTTATCATATATCATAGCAGAGCTTTCATTGTTTCCTGGGGTAGTGTAAAGATAGACAAAAGAAGATGTTTGTATAAACGACGTGCAGTTGCATGATACCAGTCTGAAAAGCTAGATTGTCTTCGAATAGAAATCGAATGGACTTGGAAAATATGAAAGCTATGAATTGATGTAAGAAAGTCTAAACGTCTTGATTCGGCCTTCTTTGGCATTCTAAAAGCTTTGCTTGTGCTGCCAGTGTGCCTGGTTATGGAACGCCTGTACTGAACTGATATTTCGCTGCTGAGACCTGCCGTAGCAACGCACAATTCGGAGTCCTGAAGTTGCAAGTAGTCTGGATTAGGACGTCCCAGCAAGTCATTCATCACCATCTTCTCGTTCGATCAGCTCTCTTCAATCCAATTCCCAAGAACAACAACCACAAGCAAGGTAAAGATGAGTCTCAACGTATCGGTTCCGGTTATCGTTCCGTACATTTTACTCTTGTTTGTGATTATTGCATTCAGCATTTATGTTGGCCTCAGGGAAGGGTGGATTTCCTTTGGCCTTTTTCGACGCAACAACAGCAACCATCGCATGCATGGGCATTGGCTCGGTCATGGAGCTTAGAAGACGGTATGTCAGAATCTCTCTAATATATATATTGGTTGGAAGCAAGATGTTGTCATCCCTGTCATCCAGCGGCGTGAGGCTCGCTTAGTTGATGGCGACAGTCATTGGCTCGCTTGGTGTCGGTGTCTGGAATTAGAAGGGTCCGACTTCCCCAGAAGCTGCCAGCTCCATCATATCCCTTCACTCAATCTGTCTCTCTACCTTCTCCTCTATTCTCGCCTTGAAGAATTTTGGATCGGGTCGCATACAGCTGTTTTGGAGTCGCCGAAAACCTCATCGTTCTAATAGATCCCCTCGCTACTACTGCAATGGATCTTACCAACATCTTGTACGATAAGCTCTTTTGAGGCGCATTAGGCTGCAACATTTCCAGCATAGAGCTGCTTGTAGTGCCAGAAGAACGATCGTTGCTAACTTTGAATTCTATAGCCGGATTGTCAACTTGGCAGTTGCTGTCCTTCTGATCCTGGGCGGTATCAGCCAATTTTTTCCATTCGGATTGTGAGTTTGGCGCATCACAATCGCTGCTTCCGTATTTAGTAATCGATCTAACAAAATCATAGCCAAAATGCCATCGTCGGTATCTATGTGATTCTGTTTGGATTAGGTATGCTCGCATGATAAGCTTCACAGTATAGAGGATATTGCTAACACATCTCAATAGCTACCGGTCTTTTAGGTTAGTCTCGCAATGCGATACAATTTCATTTTGTCCGCCCCCAGCGAAGGGACTAGTCGCAGGAGAGCTGACAGTTGTATATAGAATTTCAAGTTCCGCCATACGTTTCCCGTTATGCGTCTTTCTATTTCTCATTCCTCGGCCGAGGAATTTGTAAGTTTCCTCTTGACAATGAAGCCAACGCCCTTTTCGCTCTAACTAAACGATCCTCATGTAGTCTACGTCTTTATCGGTTGTATCTTACTTAGTCACTACTGGTGGCGTTACGTCTCTGGTTCTATCATCGGTGTTGTCGGTATTGCCTATATCGCTCTCGAGTTTGTTCCTTCCATCGAGCCTCCTCCGAACATGAGGTAATCGTGCAACCTCCTTTCCTACGATTTTTTGAACGGTATCTAAATGAAATTTTAGGGAAGCCGATCAGGGCTGGGGCCAAGAGCAAGTTTAATTGCTCTTCTCCGACACTTCTCGTGCATGCAAAATGGAAGCTTGAAGCAAAAGTCAATGGCCGCCGATTGCAAACAAGCTTCTATGTATGTAATGTCAGCGACGCGGTAATGACTAGGAGCAATAAATTTTTCGTGCCAGAGCATATTTGCAGCGTGATGGCAAGATAACTATGATGTGATAGAGGCGCTTTTAGTTTTCTATCCAGCATTGAATGAGTTTCAACATGTTCTCTTTGTGGAATTGGCTGTCCTGCCTGGCTAGCTAGCAGCCAGCTAATCGGACTTACCTATTTCGTAATGTTTCTACAGTAATTCTCATGGACTGTGCTGTACTACTCTCCAGGCGTAAATCTGATACTTATTTTGTAATCGAATGGCTTGCAAATGACCCCATATCAAACTACGGCGCTTGATCCGCCACTGATCGCAATCTCATCTAACCTTGTTGCGACGGATCAGGATCTGCAGCCAATCATATTATCGCTAATGGTAAGAAAGCGCCCGATATCGCACGTGATGGAGAATGGATACCTCATCCGCCGTTGTCGTTGGAGGAGAGTTGACATGATGGGATTCCCCAAGGGTCATCTTTATTCCATTTCCATTATTCACACCAAGTCTGGCGTCAGAGCCCCAAAAATTTCCTCGATCCTGGACATAACGCTCAATTCGCCACTTGCGTGGTCCCTTCCTTCGTATTACTTTTGTCTCATTTTTAGGCGTCAACCGCTCCGTCTCTCGCTATCTCTGATCCGTCCAGCTTGGGAGGATCTGATAAGACCATCTGGTGGAATCTCACCTGAGGTCGCTAATCCCCCCAAAGTCCGACTCGCATCCCCTCATTGGCCAGCCCTTCTAAGACTCAACCAAGTCAACCTGCTTTTCCTTGCGCAGCGCTTCATGCCCTCATAATCAAAGACGTACCGAAGTTGACGACAGGGAAGAAGGAGAAGAAAAAGGGACAAAAGAAAACAACAACAACAATTTCAGAAAATGACTGGTGTGGTGACTGCGCGTGGCCAAGCCGAAGCGCTCCCCGCCAACCTAGCGCCACCCCCTGCTCCTCCGAATCGACAACCTTCAAAGGAGGATCTCGAGCTTGCCGGTCAACTTGTCGATCACGCTCAGGGTCGGCGTAGTGGTGCGAATGTAGAAGGCAGTGGAAGCAGCGTAGAGCCAGAGAGAGAGGCTTCAGCCGCTGAACCCCCTTCGACGCGTCCCGCTGAGCAACATCAACATCACCTCGACGAGGAACGGCATGAGACGGCACCTGAGACGTCTCGTCCCGAGGAAGGTGGTGAATCACAACGACAGCCTCAACCTCCTTCCCCTTTGCCACAAGAACAACTTGGAGAACCGAGATTTGGCCCGCATGTGAACCGCGCTCCCTTAACGGGTCAGGTTTGCAGGTGAGATGCGCACTCCCTTTGCTTACTTTGATTTGCTTTGCCCTGACACTTCGTGCAGTAATTGCGGGACAACGAGAACTCCTCTCTGGCGACGATCCCCTACAGGATCTACAATCTGCAATGCATGTGGCCTCTATCTCAAAGCTCGCAACACCGCTCGCCCGACCAATTTGAAGCGGCCGCTTCCGCACTCCACCGCAGCTGGACACCACCCATCACAACATGGAGCCGAATCTCAACGAGGCGGATCGCCCTTGCCGCATCCCAGTGCCAGCCCGCATCCGCCCGCGCTTTCAACCTACGTTGCTGTGGACCATGTCCCTGGTGGATCGTGTCCTGGAGGTGGCCGATGCAATGGTACCGGAGGCGCTGAGGGATGCAGTGGGTGCCCGGCGTACAATAATCGAGTATCAAAAACTGCGCAATTCGCATTAGCACACACTCATACGCCGGGGAGAGCTGCTGAGCGTTACCCCCCTGCTAATATCAGTTCACCCCAAGCCACTGCGGTCATTGCAGATAGCGGGACGACTGCTGCCGATGCCGCACAACCCCACACCCCAGGACAAGCCAGTACCAGCGTGACAGTGGCTTGCCAAAACTGCGGAACAACCATTACGCCTTTATGGAGAAGAGATGAGAATGGTCATACTATCTGTAATGCATGCGGTAAGTTGGAATGTCTTCTATGCTACGGCGAAACTCGCTTGTTCGTTGAAACTGATGATGTTTAGGCCTCTATCATAAACTTCATGGCGTTCACCGACCTGTTGCTATGAAGAAGTCGGTAATTAAGCGCCGAAAACGAGTTGTGCCTGCGCTTCAGGATCAATCATTAAATGCCCACGTTCATGGCCCAATGGGCCCGTCGGTCTCGCCCGATCCGCCTCATTACAGATACCATGACCAGCAACCGATGGAGAACCACCGCGGAACTGTGAACCCTGACGGCTCTGTAAATCTTGGCTTCCGATCACAGGGCAGACTTAGCATTTCCGAGTCGCTCAGCCCGACCGCGCATGACCAACCCTCCCGCTACCATGCTGCGCCTCCTGCGCCGATTGATTTCACAAGCTATCCTCCCCAAAGCCACGAACGCCCCCATCATGGACCCCAGCTTTCTCCTCACAGTCATCCTCATTCTCAGCACCAACCCGACCGCCTTTCACCTGCACCGCGCCATCCCTCTACGTCGCCCCATCTTAATGGCTCCACGGCCCGTAAGCGCTCCTTTTCAGTGGCAGAAGGAGAGAGCTCGCAGGAGTTGGGCGACGTTGCGAAGACGAATCGTTTGAATAGCATCAAATCAATCCTCAACCCGTCCCAACAATCTTCAGTCGACGTGCCAATTGAGCCATCTCTTCTCGCTTTGGGCCGACATCCTTCTGCCTTCTCGGAAGGAAGTCCAGGTGCAGAAGCGTCAGCGGCAGCGGCTGGTACTGGTGGTATCGAACAACCAGCTACCAAACGACGCGCTAGTCGCCGTGCGGACTTGCAAAAGGAGATGGAGCGAATCAGGGAGATGCTTGCCGCCAAAGAACGCGAGTTGGCTGAGCTTCCTGTCGAGGATGGCGGAGACGAATAGCCTATTTGACAACCCTTTTTGTCCGAATCTTACTTTTGGGGGGATGAAAATCAATTCGAGCTTTGCATGCACGGGGTTCGTTTTCTCTTCGGCATTCTTCCTTTCTTCTCTTCTTCTTTTTATCCCCCTTTCTCTTAACTATGGCGGTATACGAATTGGCTGAGGGAGCTTCTTAGCGTGGAATGGGAATTTGTGCATTTTATTGATTTTTAATTCGCTGCTGCAACCTAATCAGTGTTGCTTTGGTACCGGAGTTTATCTTCTTCTTCTTCTTCTTTTTCCCCACTTTTAAGTATATCAGCTTCTTTATTGTTCAATGTCATATGTCTGTGTCACTCGTGAGTCGTGGCATTTTTTTCTTAACTTATTCTCCGCTCGGTCCAAAAATGGATAATGAAACTAGTGCACAACAACGTTAAAAGATACTTAATCCGGATACTGGTGTTTTGTACCGGTATTGTTGTATGTTACCCCTTCTTTCTTCTTATTTCATCTTCGTCTTCTCCATTCTTCTCCCCTCTCATTCCCTCCCCTTTTCTTTTCTTTTCTTTTCTTTTCTTCTTCTCATCTTTCTCCAAACATTTCCCTCTTCTTTTCTGTTTGACAAGCATGATCCAAGCACTGGGCAACACAAAATTTTGGACTATTCATTTTATGGCGTATTCAAAAATACACAATTCTACACTTTCTTCATTCCTATCCGTTCGTGACCTCTGCTTGTACTTTTCACGTAATTTTCCCCCCCTTTCAGATAACACCAAACCGACCACGACTCACTATTTGCGCTGTAATACAATGGAAGTGAAATAGTATGTTGTAGTACAGTGGAAGAGAAAGTGGGAGTTGACCCAGAAGAAGGTTTACCAAGGTACATACCAAGATGTCTTTGTAGGGCTGGGGCAAATGAAGTTATGCTCATTCGTCGAAAATTCCTTCTTCGGTGACAGGGCTTGTGAGGCTGTGGTGCAAGTGGGATAAAAGGAACATTGAGGCAGGCAAGAAGGAGAACGGCAAGAAGGAGAACGGCAAGAAGGGAGAAATGGATAAAATCTATCAGAGAACACTAGCATAATATCAAGATAATTAAGAGATGGAATGAAGAAGGAATTGTTTAAAATTCAAAGGTGTATATGAACCGTTATATGAAATCTTACATGAAGTGCGCCCTAAAGCGAGAAATGCGCGGAACTTTTTGTTTATGATGATATGATGATATGATGATATGATGATATCTTGCGCCAAGAACGCCTTGTAGATGCATTTGAAATGGTTCGATGAATGAAAAAGAAATGAAACTGAAATGAAACTGAAATGAAAAAAAAAGGAAGAAAGAAAAGAAAGAAAAAGAGAAAGAAAAAGAGAAAGAAAAAGAAAAGAAAAAGAGAGAGAAGGGACAAAAAAGAAAGATCTGGGTGGAAATGGAAGAAATGGCAAATCGGATGCATGCAGCTATCTTGAATTCTTATCCAGCACCGGCTTACACGGCCTAGAACCAGATCTTGATGAGTTCTTCGCTGACGGCCGAAGGGGTGAGTACACCGCTTTCTGTAATGAGAGCTGAGATGAGGTCGGGTGGCTGTGAAATGGGGTTAGTTGACTGGTTGAGGGAAGATATGGAATGATTTGAAAAGGTAGATTGAGGACGAAGATAGGAATCAATGATAAGTTGGCTACTTACTGTATAGTCTACGGCATCATCGACTGTGCTAGCATACGCCTGTTTGGTCTCAGGACTGGATGCATCGGGCACGCCATCAGATGCAGTCCCCTTGTCCTTCTCCGTATCGGCAGTCGTCTTGAAATCAATAACTCTCTGCTCAATGGGCAAATCGTACTGGCTGAGCGGATACAGGCGCACAAACTTGTGGCTCTCGGCCACAACGTAGAACGGCTTGCCTGCCGCCTTGGCCAGCAGACCAATCTGGTAGGTTCCCAGACGGGAAATGATGCCGCCGTTCTCCACCACGCCTTCTGCGCCTACAATGACCATGTCCACTTTGCCCAGGGAATACCCGACGGCAGATTCGGGGATCGTTGCGACTGGGACGCCCTTGGCCCGCAGCGCCGCAACGGTGGCGAGACCTTCCTCCTTGGTCTCGACTCTTTGGATTCCATTCGATGCAGATGAAGTCTGGGAGCTCAAGACGTAAATGACGCGGAAGCGCAGACTGGCAGCTGAAGACTCGGCGGCCGATTTGAGCAGGGCGCCGACAACTCGCGATCCACCGTTTGTGAGGACCGTTGCGCCGTCCCGAACGAAATGCCGGCCGAAACTGGCGATTTTCTCACGGCTTGCTTTTGCGCGCTGCACGAATAGTCGTCCGTTGCTGAGCAGATGCGCACGAATGGCACCAAAGTCTCCGGCGGGCCCGAGCTGTCCCGGCCGCTGCAGCGTCGTGATCAAGTACCGCTGGAAGAGGTCCGTACCGGCAGAGAGAGAGATGGGGTTTGGAATAGAGCGCTTCAGGTGAAGTGTGGAGATTGCGAGCAGATCGAGAGTCTCGGAAATAGTTCGTGCGTCGGAGCGCGAGAGTAGTTCGACAAGTGACTCAATGGCCGCCACGGGCATGGTCAGATCAGGATCTTCCCGGAGAAGGCGCTGGTATGTCTCGACGATGCTGTACAAGATGCGCGCATCGCGGTCAGTTTGTGCGGAAAGGATGTGATGGTGGGATGTGGGGTCTGTGAGGGATCATACTCGAAATCATCTTTGCTTGATGGCTTCGTCGAGGATTTTTGTGCAGCCGCCATTGCTTTTACGGGCACGTCTGACGGGGCCTTGGTATTCGATGGAGGAGGGTATGTATGATCGACAGATTATTGAAGTTATAAGTTAAGGGTTGCAGGTGCAATGGAGGATGAATGTGGAGTTTACGAGGTGGTTTGGTATATCGGAGTATGCAGAAATAAAGGATGTGGGGGTTTCGCGGCGAGAAATGGTCGGGCAATAGTTATAACATGACGTTGCAGTTCAGATTATCATTCTAATTTGATTAACGATTGTCTTCTCGTGCTCAAACAATATTTAATTTAATTTTCGATATATAATTTTTTTCAACATCATAGAAAATACTCTGAACATTGATCATTGGATATCTCTCTGTGGGTTTATCGCTCTATGTGTTGGCAGTCCCGCAACCCCTCGACACCAACAATTTCAACTCTTCCAACCACCAATAGATTCATCGTCTGAGGGCACTCTCCTCCTCCTCTACCCCGCCATTGAGCTTCCCATTTTCAGCTTCGTTCTTAGGGGCACACACTTTTCTTTCTCTTGTCTCTCATCAGCTTGAGTCGAATCTCTCTAGTTGCCTCCAATTCGCGCAGCACCATGAGCACCATTAACTAATTAGGGGACTGATTTACCCCACATACTTTGTTCAATTATATATTACACCACCCTAGCTCACAGCTTCCTGAGACATTCATCCTCCGTCATTCAAATCATTGCGCCTTTCTTTTGGATAGCGCAAATCACGAAATAAATAATAGATTCCTCCTCTACATCTTTTTTTCACTTACGCTTTAAACGTGTTCACAATGGCCAGCGTGGATCCTGCTACCGGCCGGCCGCTGCCCGCCGACGCCATTCAACGTGTGCTTTTCATCGCACCAAAGGTTCATATCTACAATATCCCTCCGCTGACCTCGACGAGAGGATATACAGCTGCAGCCTGGACGGAAAATAATAATGCTCGCCTCATCTTCACAGCTCGACTCCGGATAGTCGAGACCGCAATCCCCGATCAAAATGGCGGTGAAAGGGTGAAGACAGATGTGCTGTTAGAGGACCCCAAAGACGGCCAGCTCTTCGCTGCTGCACCCTACTCCAGTCCAGCCGCCGTCGAGCAGGTTCTCGATAGCTCGCGCTTCTTCGCAATGACGGTTGTAGGCGAGAGAGGACAGAAAGCAGTTCTGGGCATTGGCTTTGAGGAACGCAGTGATGCGTTTGACTTTGGGGTTAGCTTGCAGGAGGTACGGCGCGTGCATGGAATGGACAACACGGGCCAAGATAAAGGACGAAAGGTGCCTAGCAGAGTGGCTGCTCAGGAGAAGCCAGCGGAGGAGAAGAAGGACTTTAGTCTCAAGGAAGGGGAGACCATTACTGTCAATCTTGGCGGACGTGGCCGGAGAACAAGAAATGAATCAGGCACGCCTGCTTCATCTACTACTTCTGAGCAAGCTGCACTCTTTTCTATTGCGCCGCCGCCGAGCGACAGCAGTGGCGGTGCAGTGCCGTTTCTTCCTCCGCCCCCAAGCGCTCATGCTGTCAAAGAGGAGAGAAGGCGGGGCAAGCCGGCAGTACAACCGGCCTCACAACCCTCTGCAGCAGACCTCGGGTTCGATGATGGGGAATTTGGAGAATTCCAATGAGCAAAGGCACATCAGAGGGAAATATCGACATCCTTACAGAATGTCCATATATATCTAGCCTCAACAGGGATGAAGCCGAATATTTTTGCGCTCTGCAGGCCCACCCCCCTTCGCTCACACCATAAGGCTGGTTCCTATTCCTGGTTGCTGGGATAACGACAGCCACAGTCATCACCGTTGGTATGGACAAGCGTCGACTAGGTGTAAGAACCGCGTCATCAATCTTATTGGGGATTTGACGGTATTATCGTGAACGATGATCATAAATGATAAGCAGTAGTTGTGTGACTGCTTTTGCGGAAATGGAGTCAAATCAGATAATTTTGAAGTGCACATGATATCATAATAAATCGCATCAAAAAGTTTCACCATTATAATCCCATCCAATCAATCTGGACAGGCATCCGGCATCATCGCCGATCGGAACATCTGCCCGAGAAAAAAAACGGTACGCCGAGACATGTGAAGAAGTGCCGTCGGGAGCAAGGAACAGGAAAGGCAAGCAAGGTGACAGAGCCTCGGACCAAAAAAAACTGCATTTAGGTATTCTTCACTCTGATACGCCGATCACAACATGAAAATTTTCTCACTTTTTCCTTTTCTTTATTTCTTGCGCCTTCGACTTCTGCTACTGCGCTCAGCTCAGCCTCTCACTATGCGGTCACGAGCCGTTGGCCAGCTGCACCATCTAAACAAATGTTTCGCAGTCACGCGACTCGGCCGCCTTGCCGCTTTGCGTGTCGCTACGTCATCCGCTGAAACTCCGTCACAAACCACACACTTTTACTGCGCTTGTTGCATCTATCATTGTTGTGCTCCACCATTCTCCATTCCACACCAATCTGCTGCGAAGCTGTTCGCCGGCGCTATCGGTCTCGTCCCGTTCCCTCCGCATTTTAACTGGATACCGCTGCCTGAAACTTCTGCCTTTCGTCATGTCTGGAGCAAGACCCAAACATCATAGGCCGCCAAGCTGGGCCGTGCCGGCTCAGCGATCCTCGGCCCCTTGAATTCTTCCACACTGAACACGTTCCGTTATTATTCCAGCCCTCTTACCCCTTGTTGTCCCTGTGATCCGACAACGTGCTCGTGGTTCTCCTTAGCGTCGTAAGGCTTTTCCGTCTCTTCCCCAGACTATCTGAGACAACTTCAAATGGACCGCCTCTTGGCTACTTCTGACTTCTATTCTGCTCTTTCTTCATTGTCTTCACCTTTATTTGGACACACCCGTGAAAAACAACGGAGCTGTTTACTTGACATCATTATCAATATCAATAATAGAATTGGACTTGCTGAACTTTTTGCAACCTATCTCATTTACTACACCATTCTTTCCGTATACGGAAGAGTCCCAGGCAGGAGCGGCGACCTGAAACCATAATCTCATCATGCGCGGCCTCCTCCACGGTGCCGTTTTACTGGAATGTCTACTTGTCGGCGCGGTAGATGCATCACCTGTATCATGGTACCCATGGGTTTCCAACGGACAGCAACAAACACTCGCGCAAGAGAAGACTCAGCAGCATGACAGCGCAGCTACCATATTGAAAGATGCCACCCTAGACGCATGGCTAGAGAAGGAAGAGACCACGGCATTGTCAGGACTGCTAGCAAATGTTGCGCCAGGAGGCGTCAACACCATCGGTGCTGCCCCAGGAACAGTGATAGCTAGTCCATCTAAATCTCATCCCAATTACTATTTCCAATGTATGGGCATCACTTTAGCTCCTTGTCATATTCTCTCCCTCTCCCGCTAATATCAGTTTTTTTTTTTGGCAATTGATCAGGGGTTCGTGACGCCGCAATTACAACGTCAACGCTTGTTGACGTTTACGCATCCAATGCAACTTCACCTCTCGCCGAGAAGATATCCAGCTTCCTCGCAGATTACGCGCATCTCCAAGTGCGTCTACAACGGACACCGAACCCGTCTGGCAATTTCTCCTCGCTCTCCTCCCTCGGCGAGCCCAAGTTCATGGTCGACGGCACGCCATTTACCGGCTCCTGGGGCCGTCCGCAGCGCGACGGGCCTGCTCTCCGCGCACTCACCCTCATGCGCTACCTTCGCGCCTACAACCAGACGCACCCGGCGCTGTGGACGAGCGCCGACGGCGGCGGCTCGTGGTTCAAGGAGCTCTACGAGGCCAGCATGCCCGCATTGAGCATCATCAAGGCCGACCTCGAATACGTTTCCCACCATTGGCGCGACTCTGGGTTCGATCTCTGGGAAGAAGTCAACGGCCTGCACTTCTTCACAGCCATGGTGCAACGGCACGCCTTGCTCGAGGGCGCTCAACTCGCTGCGCTCTTTGACGACCCTGGTGCCGCCGACTGGTACGCCCGCCAGGCCGAAGAGATGCGGCACGAGTTTCTCCCGTCATTCTGGGACGAAGACAAAGGACATTTAGTCTCAACTCTCGACACGCTTAGGTCGGGACTCGACTGCGCCATTCCTCTCGGTGCTATTCATGGCTCCTCACTTTCATCCTTTTCATCATTTTCCTCCCCCTCCTCCGCCGACGCCGACACCTTCCCTGCAACAGCAGACGGAATCGATTCCATTTTCGCTCCCTTCTCCGACGAAGTCCTCGTCTCCACCTACGATCTCATCATCGACCAGCGTCACCGCTTCCCCATCAACGCCGCCGCCGCGCTCTCGCCTGACCCGCTCGCCGGCGTCGGCATCGGCAGATACCCCGAAGACGTATACAACGGGGACGGCACCAGCGTGGGCAATCCCTGGTTCTTGTGCACCGCCAGCGTCGCAGAACTGTTTTACCGCACCGCCGTGCATGCCCAATCCCAGGGCTGGCTTCAAGTTTCTCCCGCTGCGCTTCGTTTCTGGAATGCAGTCAATCCTGCCATCACCCAAGCTGTCAACATTTCCTCTTCTCCTCTTTCTTCTCCTCTTTCTTTTTCCTCTTCTCCATCTTCTGCGTCATCCAAACCCCTCGAAAACTCGATGACAGATGATGACGACAACAACGGCGCCCTCTTCAACCACACCCTCCACCGCCTCCGCGACGTTGCGGACAATTTCCTCGCCGTTGTCAAACACCACGCCGATGCCCAGGGCTCGCTGAGCGAACAGTTCGATGGCTTCACGGGCTACGAGCGCGGCGCGAGAGATCTCACGTGGAGCTACGGCGCGCTTGTCGAGGCAGTCAAGTGGCGAAGGAGAGCATATCGGGGTGTTTAGTGATGTAATGCTGTTTATGACCTTTTGATTTAATTCCTCTTTTATTTCTTGATATATTTATTATTATATTTCTTATTATATTTCCTATTTTATTTCGTATTATACTTTCTATTCTGTTTTTGTTTTATTTTATTTTATTTTCAATCCTATTATTTTTCCCTTTATTTTCATTCCTATTCCTTTTTTTGATCCTATATTTACTTTTATTCCCTTTATTCTTTTTTTTTTTCTTTTTTTTTTTATCAAATTCTCATTATCATTTTTTTAAGGCCTACTATTCCTCTTTTGTAGCATCATACTTTTATTGTTCATAGTCGTCTAGTTAGTCTAGCAAGCGGGTGCGAGGACATGTTGATATACGAAAAACGCAGTAGAAGAAGAAGAAGAAGAAGAAGAAGAAGACAAAGAAGAAGTAGAGAAGCAGGAAACAGGAAAGAGGCAAGAGGCGACATTATTCCATCATTCCCGTTTTCAAAGTGCGGAGTTTGGAGACTACGGAGAGATGAAGGCATACCAGGCCGTTTTTCTTCTTATTTTTCTTTTTCTTTCTTTTTTTTTTTTTTTAGATTGAGTTCACTCTACTATATCATCTTTGTGACACGAATTTGACACAACAATCTCCTACATGCGTGATTCAATGTATGCCCTCTTTTATCCCTTTCACTAGCCATATTTTACAGATCGATAGAATATGTACTTTGTATATAATCTCGTCATAATAACATATTAGTCATTTTGGAAGGCAAGAGAAAGTTTCTTTCATTGGCTGGTCCTGTAGTGTGTAATATGCAATGCCATGTGATGTAATGTAGTACAATGTCATGATATGCCATACATGCTATTTTATAAGAAAAGAGAAAGAAGAAGAAAAAAGAAAAAAAAAAGGAAAGAAAAGAAGACCAGTGGACAACACAAGATGAATAAAAAGAAAAAAGAGCAACATTAATGACTCCAATAGATAGACCAGCGATATGTGACGCATTGAGCACCAAACAGTCATTAGCCCATACTAAGACAAGGTCACGACGCTGAATGCGTCAAGAGAGGCAATGAATGCTTTGCGAATAAAACGAAAAGAAACAAGTCGAAATGCCAGGTAAACAATTGTCCGTCAGTAGTCATTAATCGTAAGCTCATGCAGTCGTGCATATCCGAGAACTAATATCTCGAGCGAGATACAAGGAAATTTTTCCAATAATCTTGTAAGACAGGAGCTAAATTGCACAAAAAATTCCCGTCAAAATAAATTTTTCTCAAGGGAATGATGCATGGAAATATGCTAAGCCGGTACGCAGACAATGTTTTATAATGCAATGAAGATTGTGTGTGCGCAGTAAAGCGCGTATCGAGAGATTGAGCTTTTTGATCCCTTTTGAGCTTATAGAGGGCATGAAAACTTTCACATTTCCGTGCGCCATATGGTTATTTGTTGGTAGTGAGCCGAGAGTATCGAGAGTTGAAAGGATGATTATTACACGGACGGTAAAATCGTCGCTCTCATGCTACCCGGGCCAGGAGTCCAACCAAATCAAGGTGTATCTAGCCAGAAGAATTGCGTCTTGGTGGCAGAAAATGTCCACAATTGGCAGGCACGACCGGCTATTGCAGCCAATTTGTCATCAGAGATGAGCTAGAGTGGACACCTCGCTCTTGACGGTAATAAGATGATATCGCTGGGTGGAAGATGAGCGGGAGTATGACGAGTGTCGATAAATGGCATTGAGGTCCCATTGAAAGGAGTGACCCCGGACTGCCAAACAGCACGCGTGTAGTGCCCATCGCCGTGATACAGCAGCTATTCTCTAGACCTCACGGAAGATAGGATCCCTTGCGAAGTTAATCCCTAGGCCGCTTGCTACCTGCAAGGGGTGACGACGGTGTCCAGTTTGCATCTCCAGTTGAGATGCCACGGAGACATGGGTGTTCAAGGGCGCTGCGGCTCGAGATTCGAGCACGTGGTTCCCATGCCAGCATCTTCGCAATCAAATCATGTATGGTACCAGATCCGGCGGAGCGCAGCTTCTGGATAGTGTCTGTGTATATATTGAGATATTGGGTATAGTATCGATTTTTATCAGTTCGCCACGGATTGACGGCCAACTTCCAAGGATGGGAGCCAAGAAATATTTCGTGCGCAACAAGCCCCAGAGCCCAGATATCCACAGGCGCATGATACGTAGCCAGCTCCATTTCCGGGGCAAGATATGATACGGTTCCATACGCACCTGGCCGTGGGCGGAACCCGACCTCGCCAGGCTCTAGTAAAGCGACAGAACCAATATCCAAGATGACAGCTTTGGGAGGCTCGATGCTCACAACTCCAAGGTTCAAAGGCTTGATGTCACGGTGCACCCAACCGTGTGCGTGTAGGCAGTCGAGCCCTTCAAGGACTTGTTTGAACAAAATTGCTCGAACGGTCTCGTTGATTGTGTTGGAATCTCGCTCCAGGATATGATTTTGAAATGTGCCACGAGCGAGTGGACTATAGAGCATCCATATATTTTCTGGTCCCGAGCCATCATATTCGCGACGCCCGCGTTGATAGATAACCTCTTCAAGTCGAATAATATGGCGCTTGCGATCGAATTCTAGGAGAAATGGTTTAAGTTGTTCGGCCGCTGCGATTTCCAGCTGCGCAAACCGGTCACTTCTGCTATCGTACCGCATAAATGTCTTGAAAGCCACTACGGCACCATTTCGGTGTGTTGCGGCCAGCACGGTCCCGAATGCGCCTCGACCCACTGCACGCTTCAATGTCCAATTACCCAAGACGAGGTCATTTTGTGAAGGTGTCGCCGAAGTCGCTTCGATAGGCGGCGGAGCCTGGAGATGTTCTCGAAAGAACTTTTGCTTTTGCAGCTGAAATAGCTTCTCCGAGCCACTGTTTGGCTGGACCGTATAGGCAAATATATACTCGAGCTTCCCAAAGCGAACAATTGATGAGCGCGCATTCAGCGAGCGCGACTGCAGCGCAAACGATTCATTGTCGAGTCGCACTCCGTAGGGCTCCGAATGCCGTGCCTGGAGCATCAGTAAACCTGTCTGCCGGTTGAATGCCATTCGGGCATGGATGCCCCGCACGGCCGCTCGGCGACTGTCACCGGTGAGGAGGATATCGACCCCACCGCACGGATCAAGATTAGTAGTCCCCACCTTCCATCGACCACTACCAACCTGCCAGCCGATGGAAGGAAGATGAGGAAGACAACCCAGCGAGAGCACGTAGCCACCTGTCCATACATACACGTCGCGCTGGCCACGGTCGCCCTCGCTCTTGTTGCCCCAGTCAGATTCCGTCTCAGTCTCCGTATCAAAGCTGTTTTCAAACTCGCCAGAATTATTCAATTGCCGTGAGATACTCATTGCTTGCTGTAGTGGCACTCTCATGCTTTCATATTCAATGAATTGTCTATGGTGATGCAATAACGGGTCATTGTTAATGATTCGCTCAATAATGTCGCTGAAGGCGAGACAGGCTTCAATGTTCCAGGGTCTGAGTAGCGCAAATTGGTCGAGCTCGTTGTCATCCAATATGACAGTGTCTGCTGGTGAAGCCATGACGAGTGCAAGGTTCTGTGCCCAGGAACAAGAGAACAAAACAAGACCAAAGATTGCCCGCAGGCAGCTATATATATGACAGCACTTTCAGGCATGCCATGATGCACGAAGGCGATATCTGATAGGCTGCACGGAGTACATGCGCCTAGCGGTCCCCCGCTCAGCCACAGACAGGTACTGTTTGGGGTCCGGATTTTTAATCATTGCGAAACAAAGTACAAAAAATGTCTAAAAATCAGTTGCAACTGAAAAGCATCAATCGTACAAGATCAGTCCAGATGGTTGTATGGGAGAACGCAACTATTGCAAAGGAAAAGAATCCAGTATGCCTTCGGACAGATCATAGCACTCAAGGCTGCCTAGTCACGGGATGCAGGGAAGGGGGAACATCATGGCTTGGGAATTACCCCAATAGGAAAACATGTGACTAGCAACGTCGATGAGCCATCCAAACAAAAAGCACTGCCCAGTGACTCCAAAATCACAAGAAGGGGCACGAAAAAAAAAGAATTTTCACATGTTAGAGAAAATAAAGTTAGTCAACAACGATGAAAAGCCGAGTGACATATCTCGAAACATTGTAATATTTGTGCAATAGACGTTACAGTGGGAGTATAAAGTGGTTTGTGGTGCGACAATCAACAATTGGCGATAAGGAGAAAGAGAAAAGCCTCATCGCGTGTTCTGGAATGCTGAGTCATCAACACCACACCCAATCAAGCAACAACAACGACGTGATGCGCTGGTCGGTGTCGGGTCTCGCCTCCCCCCGGAAACGTCGAGCCGCCAACTTTCCCATCCCTAACGTCAACTCATCATCCCCCGTTCACCTTACCATTCTCTCATGCTTCGTTGTCCACCACAACAACTGCAAAATGGCTTTAGCGGACGATCCGGATATTGATGGGAGTACTGGGTTGCCTCCAGACCCCTTCTTTGACAATTTTGACTGGAAATCGATCAAGTATGAGAAGCTTCCTTCACCACCCGAAGGCGAATTCGGATTCGCACAATATGACCCCGAATTCGGCCAAAAAGTCTGCGAGGCACTGTCTTCCTCTCAGTATAGAGAGTATCTGAGGGTTAGCAAGTATGGGGAGGAAGTTGCGAGGGAATTTCGACGTGGTTTCACCCCCAGCCCTGTCCGGAAAGCGTATCAAGAAAAGATTGAACGAGCCGAACGCGAGTGGGAAGATACGACATTATCAGATCAGGAATGGGACGCACAATGCTCTGACGAGGCCGACACACCACCTACACATTATTCCAGCCTCAGCAGCCTCAGAAATATTTATCACGACCACCCTTCAATACGCGTCAAAAAGCTACCGTCGATATCATCTTCGGAGAGATCACGGGCTGCATCACCAGAGCCCGATCAACCATCCAGTCGAACTTCAGCATCCTCTGGCAACGAATCAGAAACTATGTTGAAAACAACCGTCTTGGAACTTCGTGCACGACTACGGCGAGTGATGTCTGACCGACAACAACAGCATCATCCCTATATGGGCGATATTAAACGCAATGCCAGAACAACCACTGTATCGAGCCCTTGGAACCAAAGCGGGATTGCAGACCTCAAACGCACGATTGGATCAAAAAGAGCAAACCCCGTACCTGAAGAAGACTTCGCCCGATCTGTGCCGACCACGATATCCCCTGGAAAACGAAGAAAACAATAATACGGCGCGAACCCAAGGCTTCCTTTTGGGAGTTTTGGTTCTCAAACACTACGCATAGGCGTCGGCCCTGGCATCAGGAGGACGAAGCAATCGCTGGCCCATCAGCGGTGACCATGGAAAAGTTTCCCAACTCGCTGGAACGTGTATTCCGTGACGTATTCGAATTGTGCGCTCAGGCATTCAGTCCTACGATGTGAGTAGATTCCCATTCATCCTAAGATTTTCATTGTATAGATCGCTGACTCGTAGCAGACATCGTAGACATTACGACTGTTCTTACCAAAAAAAAAGGCTTCGACTGCCATTCTCCTGGAGTAGACCTTGTCACCCAAGGGCTTACTGCTCCTCATCGACACGTCGATGAAACGACGTATCCTACAACCTATACGAAGGCTATTCATAGCCACTGCGCTTAACGAATAACGACCGTAAAACGAATCTTTTTTGTTAAATAAAATAACGACGTCACGATATCCACAAAATTTCTCTTCGGCAATCTAGTTTTGTAATTTATTTAGTATATTCTTGCAACTTCAATTATACTTGAACTTTATTAGAATTTCTTAATCCTTCTTTCAAATGAAAATAACCATCCTCAGTCCACTAGCAGATTATTCCAAGAGGTGACATAGATTGCGTAATTTCGTAGGCCCGGTAAGTATATGCCACCACTGTATCATTAGTAATTTCATCATTTTACATCTCCAAACTGTCCAAGGTCCGTAATATGGTCAGGCTGATTTTGATAGTTGTCGTGCTGACTCTAAATTCGAGGATATATCCAAGAGCACTTTTTTTTTGGACGGATAAGGTTCCCAGCGAAGGCAGGACCAGAATTCCCCTCATCTTCTTTGTATCCGGGAAGAAGCTGAGGTATTGTGACCAATGGCGGATGATAGCCAATAGAGGTAATATAGGCCCTTTCACTCACTGATAGAGCGAGAACAAACAAAAAAAAATGGTGCATACAGAAGGCACACGAGAATTGCGTGTGTAATATATATAGGAGAAAAAATAAAATAAAAAAGGAGAGCAGGAAATGATAGTTGAACCACATCATCACTCCGGATATCAAGAAACAAGAATAAAGAGGGAAAAGGGAACAACGATGTCGTTCGCCTGAGCGAGCAACGGGAGATAATGACTCAAGAAATGGTAAAATCCGGCTTAATTCTGGTTGATTTGTTTGTCCGGTTCCCGAGTTATCAAAGTTCATTCCCAAGAGGGAAAAGATCCTAGCAGAGGTCCACTGTCAGGTCCGTCTGAAGTGGATAATGAATTCCATGGCGGCTGATTCCGAAGACGAGTACCGAAGGCGAAAGTAAAAGTATAACGAGCAATGCATAAAGCAGTTTCGGAGCAGACAGTACAGCAAAATTACAATTCAACAGAAAGCCGCAGTTAAGATGGGCAAGGGGTATAAGTTTTAAATCAGAGCATCAAACGCGAAGTGCAAAATGGGGCAGAAGGACAGAGAATTTTCAATTATATAAACAGTACGCGAATAAGCAGAAGCGGACGTCATAAAGTCATTTGAGAAGCAAGTTCAAATCAGTCTTTGATGAAAACGCGAACACAGTATCAGATAAAATATTCGCATCGGCTAAAGCTTCCCAAAGAACAGAGAAATCAACAAAGCAAACGACAGCGTGAACGACAATGACATTGATTTAGCACAACGTAAAGTGAAAGAAACTAGTTTATGCAAGAAAATCGACAAGGAATCGTGCAGAAACAGGAGAATCAGTTGCCGAATTTGAATCCCTTCTAAAAAGAGAATGAATTGAGGGGAGTTGGAAAAATGTCTCGAGTTACCATCGCCGGCTGTGTTGCAATTAGTAATTATAGTTCTTCAGAAGTGTAAACGTCAAAAAGAGCAAAAGGGGAATATATTGCACTCACCTAAACGCCTCAGCAACTTTTGGTTGTCGCTTCTTGAGTCGAGGTGTGACATCATCCTCCTGACGAATCGGCTTGTCCGGCCGTGCATCTGGCTCGTCTCGTTGATCATAACTGCGTTTTCGCGCACTGGAAGGAGGAGGGGAGCGCTCCGCCCTAGAAGCCACACCATTGTGACCGTGGGATAATTTTCGTTTGGTCGAAGGTGGACCGCCCTCAAGACTATGGCGCCTGAGTGGCGGAGAACCTTCATCAAATTTATCCAGGCTATCTTCATACCTTCTAGCATGGCTATAACGTCGTTTGGGTGGGCCGCTATTTGTTGAGAAACTGGCTTTTCGTGGTGGCAGTTTCTCCCCATTCGGAACGCGATGATATCTATCATGCCGTGGGGGAGAACGCTTCACACGTGAGCGATATGAACGTGAATTGTACCTGTCATCTGAAAAGCGACGATTTGCCAGATTCAAGGGTTTTCTGTCATGTAATTGGGTTTCCCGACGACACGATTCAGAAAAGCGGCTAGACGTTGATGAGCAAAGGCATAACGAACGGTCAAGCAAGACATACCTCGGGCGGGAAGCGGCTCTCATATTCCCCATAAATGGCTTACGTTCAGGTCTTACGTGATGCCGTGAAAATTCCCAGTCTTGGTCTCCTTCAGTGTCATAGCCCTGGGGAGAAAGTCGGCTTTCTTCACAAGGAGGGGTTCCTTCGCGGCCGTGTTGATATTTCGCTTCATTTCGCGAATCCAAAGGTTCGTCAACTTGTTTTCCTTCATCCGAGGGGGTTGAACAGTTTTGGAAAAGATGGGCGTCATCATTTTTTACTTCTCGCACAGTTGCAAACTCGTTTGGAGTTTGAGGTGAAGGCGAACTGACATAATGGCATTCCGACTCTTCGTAGTGCTTTTCGGGTTCCTTCTGGTACCCGTACATACCATGGAATGCCCTGAAGGCAGACAGAGGAATGAATTCATCAACGTCTGGGAATATGAAGAATATTGGATCGTCGCTCCGATCTTGCCAGGAAGGAGTTTCTTTGAAACTGGGGAACCCTGCTTTGGCGACCTCTCGGATGAGTCGAGATAAGCAGGAATCCTCAGCGCTGCTAGAACGAGGCTCCAATAAATATGGCTCGAGGTCATCCTCCATCTCAATAAGCGAGCCAGGCATAGTTATGTTGACAGCTCTTGCTGGATTTACGATCCTATTTTGGATTTGTCGCGCAGAATCAAACAATGTCTGCTCCCACTCAAGATCAAAAATCTCGGAATCGACGGCTGGCTCCGAATTTGCGGCAGGATGTTCTATCTGAGAAGCAGAGACTGGTGTGCATATGTAACGTTCACCTGAACCAGGCCGCGGTTCTACCGAGACAGAATGGCTAGACGCACTATTTCCAGAAGACGATGAGATGCTGTGATGTGGTTCCTGGTGAGACGTAACAGAAGAACGATCTGATCCATGCATCATCCTTGCTTGGCCTGATGAATTAATAGGATTCGTCAGCACGTCTGTGGCCTGAGACGGCTGATGCGTTGAATGAGGAAAAGCGTTAGGATGGATCGGAGGGCCGTGAGTAGACCAGGGACTCTGGTGTTGGTGCTCTGACGGCGTCGCTGGCGTCGGAGGTCCGTACGGGCCGACGGGATACGACTGGCCTGCCGTAAAAGCTCCATGGTAGTAGGACGAAGGTTGCTGAGGCCACTGAGGAGGCTCTTGACCGTGGGCTGATATTGGAGTAGGAGGGACAGCATACGGAGCCGCTTGTGGATAAGCATGTGGCATTGCAGTCGGATACGCTGAGCCATAATGGGGCCCATACTGCGGTGGATAGCCGTAGTAGGGAACAGGATGCTGCGCGAAACTCGGAGCACTGAACTTTCTATGTTTTGGTGGCCGTGGCACGTTAGATTGATTCACAGCCCCACTAGAACAGCAAAATTAGTACAAATTTTAGATTCGAGATGCTCATGCAACGAACAATGGAACTGCGCGACGAGGCTCAGGACAAAATTGCGCCCAATGATCAGGTGCGCCGCAATTAAAACATGACTGAGACCCCGCCACAGCTTGTTGGCCACTATTTCTCTGCCCATGACTGAATGATTGGTATCCAGAGGTCTGTGGAGATGGAGGTGTAGCATATGGGTTGCTTTTAGTGGGATGCTGATGGAATGCTTCACCCGATGGAGGCGAGCCACTGGCAATCGGAAACGACTGCTGGCTTGAATGCGTACTAGTAGCCATCGCAGAGAGAGACTAAAGGCATACAATGGTAAGCCAGGTTAAGCAGCGACTCAAGGATCGAGTTTCCTTCGACAACGGAGGGATCGATATCCCTGGTCGTGCTGACGTTTGATGCCCAATAATGGAAAAAGAGCAAATATTTGGTTAAATCTGAGTCCTGCGCAAAAGCGTGTGCTTCAAACAGAAGAGTTGGTAGAAGGCAAGCGCAGTTCTTGAAAAGAATGAGTGGCATCAGGATAAACTGTGCAGTGAATGATCGCGCCTTGAACTAGAAGTCACGACACTTTCATTGCTGTATATCTGCCTCCATGTGGACTTTGTAATCAACTGGAAGACTATTTGTTAAAATTGATTTATAATATGGCAAAAGCTCAAACAAATACAGAAACAGTTGAAGCAGCGCAGCAAAGGAATCAATTGGCAGCAATGGATAGGTAAATCATATTGGGAGGGAAGGGGGAGAGCTCCTCGACAGGTATCGGACATATGTAAAATGCCTGTGCGAAGGATGCTCTCAGGTTAGCGGAGATTTGTATTGTAATTCTAAGCGAGCTTAACTTCGCCGCCCCCCGGGGAGGATAGTAAATGGCGCCGCCAAGTGCGACCAAGGTCCGACAGCTAGTAGCTTTTGAAATAACCGCCTGCGCAACCCATACATGTTCGGATCTAATCCGCTATAGATTTGAAGGCGATCAGATAATATTAGGAGACTCTCTCTCCCCCATCGTTCATCGTATGTGCAGGCACAACAAGTAGAACGGCGGCGATCCCTTCAACAGACAACGACTCAACTTTCCTGTAGCGACGTCCCTTTCGCTGCAATGGTGTGAGAAGCGCTGACGAGAAGAATATGAGCTTGTCCTATCCGCCAACTCGGGCGATCATCAAGGGTCCTTCGCGATAGCCATAACCAGGTTCATAGGGCACTTTTAGAGTGCGTAAATTTAATACGTACGCGGCCCGCCATGCCTGGCCTTCCCGGTATTGCTGCCTTCCCTCTGTCCTCTAATATGTCCTTCGACTCTAACGATCCTTTGCCTTGTCAGCCACTGTCGACTTGGATGAGTGCATCGAGCGGCTCTACAAAAAGGAACTCCTCGCCGATTCTGTCATCGAAGCAATATGCGCCAAAGCAAAGGAGTTGCTGATGAAGGAGAGCAATGTAGTCCACATTGCAGCTCCTGTAACGGTTGTGGGTGACATTCACGGCCAGTTTTTCGACATGATTGAGATCTTCAAGATCGGAGGATTTTGCCCCGATACGAATTATCTTTTTCTCGGTGTGTTGTCAAGGAAGTCAGAGAAGGGTCGGAGGCTAATAGATGCAGGCGATTATGTCGACCGAGGTCTCTTCAGCGTTGAGACCATCTCTCTCCTCGTCTGTCTAAAGTTGCGATATCCCCACCGGGTCCACCTAATTCGAGGGAACCACGAATCGAGAGGAGTCACGCAATCCTACGGATTCTATACAGAATGCTCCAGGAAATACGGAAATGCCAATGTGTGGCATTACTTTACTGACATGTTTGATTATCTCACCCTCAGCGTTGTTATCAATGATCAGATCTTCTGCGTGCATGGAGGTACGTTTTCGAATGGCTGGAAGCAGAGATGCGCGCCACCGACTAACCCCCACAAGGACTGTCACCATCAATTCACTCAATCGATCAAATCAAAATCATTGATCGGTTTCGCGAAATACCACATGAGGGTCCCATGGCCGATCTTGTCTGGTCAGATCCGGACCCAGAACGCGACGAATTCTCGCTGTCTCCACGAGGGGCAGGTTATACCTTTGGGGCGCAAGTTGTGCGCAAATTTCTCGAGGTCAATTCCATGTCACACATTCTTCGGGCCCACCAATTGTGTCAAGAAGGATACCAGGTTCTGTATGACGACCGCTTAAGCACGGTATGGAGTGCACCGAACTACTGCTATCGATGTGGAAACATGGCTAGCGTCTTGGAGGTCAGTGACACTGGAGAGAGATATTTCAATATTTTTGATGCGGCTCCCGAAAACGATTTGCACCGAGGAGAGCAACAACAGCAACAACAAAACAAGGATGGGGGCGTGGTAGTCGAGTACTTCTTGTAGAATCATCAAAAGGCGTTTCGGAAATGGCACAGGGCATCTAGGGGCATGTAAAGACGCGATCAATGCTGGTAAATTAGCATGTAAGATTAATCTCATTTGCAGCTCCAGATAATGCATCTCATCTCGCTCAGCGATGATGAAGTAAATAAAAACATGAATGGCTTCGTTTCAATCATTTTCCCGCCGTTATTGGGCCAATCACCAGTCCTTTTTGATATCGAAAGACCATTCAAACATTAGATGCGTGTTGTCATCGTCGTCGATAAACTTGGACGTGGCAGTGTAATGACCTCTGGCCATCATACCCGACGGAGCATCTTCTTTGGCGACTAGATATGGTCAGCAAGGCTAAAAACACCTGAGAGTCAGTTGCACATACACTTCTTGACGTAGGATGGCTTATCAGAAGTACTCGGAGCGTACGAGCCCTAGACAGATCGGTCAGCTTCAAACATATCTCACTTTTATTTCCAAAGGTCTTCATACAATCATTTCTTCGTCCTTTCGTACTCTGATACCGCCACGTTTGATGACTTGAAGGTACTTGAGACCGGAGAGGACCTCATGCTGCACCTTGAAGGTAGCAGTCATATTGAAGCGGGCGCCTTCCTTGATGGTGAAAGGCTTGGACTTGAGGGTCTCCACGGAGCCAGGGGCCGTCAAGTCGACGACAATGTCAGGCCGACCTTCTACCTCCAGCGCGAGAGAGAGGATGATGGCTTTGCGGGGATCGCTTGAATCGGCGAGTGATTGACCGCTTCCAATGCCAAGTGACTCTTTCCACTTGCGGAGGGATTCGTCGTTTTCATCTGACAAAAGGGACGGTCAGTTTTCAATGCAGCATCTCGGATAGCTCAGGCCTGAATCATCGGTGGGTGATTTATTTTCTCGACAAGGATACGTTTCTTCCCGTAAGAAACGGAAAGCATGGCAAGAAGGAATACAGTGTATCCAGAACGACATACCAAGCTTCTGATACTCTTCTAGAGTCTTCTTCTCACCGAGCTTGAAGCCCTCTGTGCGGGAGGGGGCGAGATCGTCATCAGCTTCATTCGACATGTTTGCTTGTCACGAAGAATGAATGGAGTGGAAAAGGTAGACGAAACAGAATATGAGAGGGAAATAAATCCAGTAGGAGAGAGAGGGAACGTGCGGCGTGGGGAAAAGTTACTGGTGGTTGCAGAAGAGCAGAACTGAGTGGTGGGGTTTCCAGTCTCATTGCATTGACAAGCCCCTTGAGCTACCCCCGACCCCTCGCTATCGGCTGGGTCGCTTGCTCACCGCTTCTCCAGGAACACGCCCTGACGTGTAGCTTAGGCTTATCGGGCCCTTTTTTGCTTTTGCACTGACTGGAATGCAGCTACAGAGAGACGAAATTTTTGGTGACCTTCGATTAAGATTACTATCGGCACTTCCGCATCAATCCTGGTTTTTCTTCCTTCCTTTAAAGAAAGGGTTATATTATTCTCTTCTACTTTATCTCACTTCTTCTGGATTGGGCCTGTGGCTGTTTTTACAAAATTAGCAGCTTAATCCCCCTCAACCCCATTGAAGGAGCTATTCACTCAAAGCGCGTTTGTTGACATTGTTCGTACTGGCAGGCCTATATGAACACGAATCTCTGGAAATAATTGAGCCCATGATTCTTGGATATCTCCAGATTATGAACCACGTCATTCGTATTCACCAGATCTCATTCCTTGGGTGCAGTTTTCCCTTTGTGTGAGATGAACAGAGTTTGCGGTTGTTGTTAACCTTTGATCCAAAACACGCCAAACCATGTCGAACGTGTTGTGATGACTAATAATGCATGGCATAACTCCATCCGTTTGAGTCTAGACTATTCCCCGGTCTCTACAGGTAGGGTGAACGACAAAGGCCATCAATGCTTAGAAGCAGTCCAAAGGAGGGAAAATTCACGTCGCTCTGCTTGAATGGTTGTACCTTTTCTGCAAAATTTCTAAGTGGTGAGACTTGGAGAGCTTAAGATACCAGATAAGGTACCTAGCTAAGGTATCCCAGTCAGATGCATTAATTTGCATAAAGTGCACCGTACCATCAACCCAAAGCTCACCCACCAAACCCCCCCGGGAGCTCTCTCCCCAAACGCCCCTATGGGAGCTGCCGAGATCCTCTGAATTGTCTTCACGTCCCTTGTCGACACGACCCACACCCTTCTCACTACTTTATATGCCTCTAGCGATACACGACCAAATAAGGGTAGAACGCGCAGCTTCTGCTCGACGATAAAATACCGATTGCTTCTGATTCACACATCCGTGGCTCCTGTCGCCTGCGCAATATTATTTACCCTCCGGCTCTCCGATTAAATACTGCAACTTTTGGAGCGCGCATTGCGCAGAGCGTAGCCGCCATACTTCATTTAACACATCTGAAAACGCGCCATAATCACTCCGACGCGCTGTCTGATTCGCAAAATGGCTCCAAAACGGTCCCTCCCGAAACAATTCAATCCGCTGTTGGCGGAAGAGCATTCTCCTCCTCGTTCGTCCATACCAATACGCGCGTGTGCGTGTCCAGATCGCATCTCCCTGCTAACTTGCGTGTATAGATGAGATACTCGTCGAGAGGAGACGCCTTGGGCAGACGACACTCGCGGTCAAACCTGGCCAGGTGGGCACGTCGAGCGCAACAAAGCCGGAAAATCTGGGAATATTCGATTACATGCATCTACGTTGCCCTCTTCCGAAGGATTTAGAGGGGTCGGAGATTTTCACGGCCAGCGCGAAGCAGCCGTACCCAGAGTCTTACTTCCTCATGGTATGATAGCAAACATATACCGCAAATCCCGACTGGTCAGAGTGGGCGCTAATATTAGAGCAGCGGAGGCTCAACGACGGCTACGTGAGTGCCACCGGCATGTTCAAAGCCGCATTCCCCTGGGCTCGCCGCTCCGAAGACGAAGCGGAGCGCAAGTATATCAAAAGTCTTTCAACGACGAGCAAAGATGAGACTGCTGGAAACGTCTGGATCTCCCCGGAGCAAGGTGTGTATCATTTCGCAGGGCTTTGGAGGACATTGAATTGACCGACTGCAAGCTCTTAAACTTGCCGATGAATACAGAGTTCGACCATGGGTAATGGCGTTGATTGATCCAGCGGCTGTGGATAAGGCGCCAGTGGATTTCCGACCTTCTTCTTCTTCGCCGTCGGTCCCAAAGATTAGTCCTCCAGAGGGCAACACTGCACTTCCCCCGCCAACCCCTTCGCGGCGCGGTCGCCAGCGATCAAGCTCCCCCGGCAAAACGGCTGCGAGAAAGATCGCTACTCCGCGCAAGCCACGGGCGGTCAAGAACACTGATGCAAGCAGTGCCAGCATGACCAGCACATCTCCGAAGTCTACAAGCGAAAAGAGTACGCCAATGAAGTCCAACGCGGCAGAGGAAGAGAAGGTTAGGGTCGAAATCGACGAGGCCATCGACGAGGCCGACGAGGTCGAGACTACTACGACTAATGTCAAGATCGAAATGCCCGTCAGCGCTCCCGAGCTTCCTCTACCCGAAAGCCCGGAAGAAATGATTGCCAAAGCAAAGGAAATGGTTGAGGAAGCAAGAAAGCTTGACGGAGAATCTTCTCCTAAGGGTAAAGCAATCAAACGCAAGGCTGACGAGATCGAGGAAGGCAGTGAGGATGAGGATATCAAATTGCAGCGGATAAAGAAGGCACGTGTCATTCAAGGCCAGTTGAAACGTGAAAAGGTTAGGACCAGAGCATTGCTTGGATTGAGCGCCACGTTAGCAATTGGGTAAGGTCATCTTGCTTCGATAATTTTCGGCAGATACTAATTTGGTCTTAGGGCAATCATTCCATACTTCTTCTGATCAGACATTTACGAGCCTTTTTTTAACCACTCTTTATACCAAGGTCCCTTTCCTTAAGCCTTTTTCTTTGACTACTTGTTTAATTACCTCCTTTGAGCGCAAATTTGCACAATTGGAATGTTTCTCTTCCATTTCTCTCAGCTTCTTTTCTCCTGTCAATTCTTTCTCTCGATTTCCTTAATCATTCGTGAGGGTAAAAATATGCAACTGAAAGCTGGCCGAGTCCATATCGTCAACGTAGATTTCGTATGAGTGTATAGGAGAATGCTTTCATGACTATAAGTGCTGTAACGGTGAGCAAAGAAGTACATCCCGGAAAGGTCCTTGATATATCAATTGTCCGCATAAAGATACCGTCTGCAGACCTTGCGTGAGCGTAATATATACCTTTGTACGAATTAATATAGACTGAAGGATTTTCCTACTGAGATAATGGACCAAATTATGCCTTTTACCACGATATTCCGAGCTAATAGTGACGTGTCGGGCAAAAGCTTCACCGTACCCGATAAACTTAGGCACTTGCCTCGGCTCCAGTTGAAGTATATATGACCTCGCGACTTCCCTCGCATGGACCATTCGAGCTCAGACAACAATTAAGAGCAATGTCTCAATGGCTCTACCGGGGCTCAATCTGTCTGCCGCGACAGAGATAGCGGCACCTGTTGTACACGAAATACAAAAAGACTCGGAATGGCGATTCGAGGTTGCGTTCGGCAGCAATGTCGAGGTCAAGGTTAGCAATTTGGTCGTCGCTAGAGGCGGTTGAAAGGAGCAGTCCGTGTCCAGCCGGGCAACGACATTTTCAGTAAATTGCGCGAAGATATGGAATCCAAGCTGACCTTCATATGACTGTTCCAACAGCTCCTCTCTGGAACCGCTGAGATTTTTGGCACCGAACTCGCGCCGAACCAGACATATACGTTTTCAGGCGCCAAAGCCGCCATCTACACATGGCATGGATGTCGCATTCAAGTGAGCGGTACTTGCCAGGTTGAATACACAGCAGAGGAGACGCCCATGGTGAGCTATGCCAATGTGCATTTTGCGCTGGAGAAGCTTCGCCGTCAGGCTGCCATTGACGGGAGAGAAGGACCTCGTGTCATGGTTGTCGGGCCCGACAATGCGGGAAAGACGAGCTTGATCAGGACATTGACAGGATACGCGGCCAAGACTGGAGGACAGCCACTGGTAGTCAATATGGATTCAAGGGAAGGCATGCTCGGCATACCGGGCAGTCTCACGGCGGCAGCGTTTGGCACGCTGATGGACGTTGAAGAGGGTTGGGGAAGTAGTCCGACATCTGGACCAAGCCCTATGCCCGTCAAGATGCCCGTGGTCTACTTTTTTGGTCTTCCCAGTCCTGAGTCCAACAGCGCCATGTACAAATCTGTCACGACAAGAATGGCCTTGGCCGTGACAGAGAGGTTCTCGCGGGATGTGGCTTCAAAGGAGACGGGTTGTTTCATCGACACTCCGGGTATCCTCAGTCAGGGAAAGAATAATTATGATATCCTGCATCACATTGCTACAGAGTTTTCAGGTATGTTGATTTTTGTGTTCAATTGAGTTCTACTTTCCTCGCCCCCTTTATCCATCTTTGTTCTTCGCTTTTCTTTGCTCTGTATGTGGTCAGAAAGCTAAAACGTTTCTTAGTCAACGTGCTGCTTGTCCTCGGATCTGAGCGGCTTCACAGCGATATGCTCCGACGATTCGACGGCCATCGTGCGAGCACCGACGAGCCCATCTCTGTCATCAAGCTTCTGAAATCTGGCGGTGTTGTTGACCGTGATGAGGCATATATGCGACATATGCGCCAGACTCAGATCCGGGAGTACTTTTTCGGTGACAATAAGAGCACTCTCAGCCCGCATACTCAGCAAGTAGACTTTAGTCAGGTGACAATATATAAGATTGTTGAGCGTACGTCAAGCACCGGCCAAGAAGCTTATTGCCATTCATCTTCGTTTTGAATGCAAACTTGAAATAAAGCATGCTAATTCGAGCTTTCTATAGCATCAACAATACTCACATCCCTCCTTCCTGGCGGTGACGAGGACAATGATACCGAACCTTCCCGCGGCGGATTCCATGGACCTCCCATTTTCGAAAAAGTCGAGCCTTCGCTGTCAATGCAGTACAGCATTCTCGCAGTCACCCACGTCGCACCAAATAGCCCTCACGAAGACATTCGTGATTCGAGCCTGATGGGATTTGTCTATGTTGCTGAAGTCGATGAGCAGCGGAAAAAGCTGAGGATCCTCGCTCCTGTCAGCGGAAGGATACCCAACAAGGCTCTGGTTTGGGGGACTTGGCCTGAAGGATTCGCAGATCTGGTTGGGTGAATCTGATGGTTTGGCTTGAAAACTATCTCTTTCATGTATGTTAGTTTAACAAAGCTATTGCCTGGGCCGAAGGGGAACTCGACAATACATAGAAGCATAGACGGGGCCCGTCGCTATGTATAGACTTCAACTATACCAAAATATCTCAAAATCTGACAATCCCATTTTATTATTTCTGGTGGTTCCGAAGGGGAATGGATATCGTTGGAAAACTGTGGGAAATAAGATTACAAAGTAGCCACGATCAAATCCTAATAAATGGCATGCTCAATAACTCTATGGAGATTTTGCTCTCTGTCTAAAATTCTCTCCAAATTATGCTCAGCTGTGGCTTGAACTGAAAAAGTACCAGGGGCTACAGTGGGAAATGGGTAAAATGTTCAGGGACCAGGGAAGCCATGACGGGGGCCGGAGCTCGTCAATCGCCGACTTCCCGCTCCCCGCTGTCATTGAATTGTTATAGCTTTCATAGCTTTGTCAAACGATCTAACAAAGAAATAACTGGACATTCATTTCCTTCTAAAGTGCTGAATTGTAATACATTGTCAATATGGCACAGATTCTTTCTAGTTCAGACGACCTGATATCTCAATTTCAATTTGAAAGGCTTCTAAATCAAGGCAAGCGACGACACAGTTTACTTCTTGTTGCAATTACACAAACACGCTATAGCGTTACACTTGAGCAAAAGCTAACAAGTCTGTAGACCAAGGAGGTCGCCGTATCGTTCTCCTAGGGAAGATTGGCTCTGAGGCTGCCATCTTACTCGCCGAACGAGCTACCTTTCCGACTTCTCCCATTGCCTTAAAAACACTCCTCTCTTCTCTCACCGGGATTGAAAATATCGGCGCCAACGACATTTATTCATGGTACCTCGCACGCACAGGATCGGGCTCGGGCTTGCCCTCAACACCAGAGCCAGGAGCTGTTGTTGGAGCTGGTGCTACTGGTGCCGATGTCATTGGGGCAGGTGCTGCAGAGGTGCCTGGCAAGTCAACGCAAGAGAAGACCGATGAGGATGCCGCACACCATGACCTGAAAATTAATATAATCTACCCTTGCACACCACAGCATATTGCCAAATACACTTCGCAGGGAGTCCGTATGGTCACTGAAACCCCCCACATCTACCGCGACTATATCCGGCCGTACATGCAGTCGAAGCGTGAAGCGGGCAGGCTCAATTGGGTTTTCAACATTATCGAAGGCCGAACGGAGCAGGAGGACGTTATTTACAGAGAACATGGAACCGATGAGGGTTTCTTGGTTCTGCCGGACTTGTAAGCAACTAGCGGATCTCGTGTGATCAACACGTCTCTGCAGTGTTTCCCCCCTCTATGCAGTATTTGACTTACCATTCTTTTTTCGATAAAACAGGAATTGGGACCGTAAAAGCATGGAAAGCCTGCACCTTCTGGCTCTCGTTGAACGTCGGGATATCTGGTCTCTTCGGGATCTGCACAAGCGCCACCTACCATGGCTAAAGCATATGCGGAGCAAACTTCTCTCTGCGACGTGCCAGCTGTATCCGACCCTCGAGCCGGATCAATTGAAACTCTACGTTCACTGTAAGCCGACTCAGACTTGAACCTAAATACCCAAATTATATCAACACTACTCCTGAAGATTAGAATTACGCTAACTGAGCTTCTGGGCAGATCAACCCACGTATTACCATTTCCACATCCATATTGTCAATGTCGCGCTCGAGGCTGGCACCACGCAAGCTACAGGAAAGGCATTCGGACTGGAAAATCTCATCAGCCAGCTTGAAACGCTCGCCGGCGGCGACGAAGCCAGTATGGCTGACGTCAGTCTCACATATTTCCTCGGCGAAGCAAGCGAGTTGTGGACCCAGATATATTTGCCTTTGAAGCAGAAAGAGAGCCAACAGAAGGAGTGAGAGACGTCCTTTTGACTTTGGTATTCTCAATCTTACGCACAAGATTTATATTGCGAACATTACGACTAGATGACCATTCACTTGCTTAAAACGCGCATTCTTTTCCCCCTAGAAAGCCGTCTTCTTTCGAAGAAATATCTCTCGCCCCGGAGGCGACAGTCATTTAAATGTGACACTGGACAGTTCCCTCTGGCATTTCTGTGAGCTAGTAGTGAATACGCGCATCTACTGGTCACATCGCGAAGACCACTGAGTCGAGCACTATGCATATGCCGACCAGATGAGGTTCGTAATTGTCTCGCAGTCCTCAAAGAGATGACCTCATACGGGCTTAGATGATATATAGCATACTCCTGAAGAAATAGAGTCACAAATATATGCATATAGTCACATATAATTATGGCTTAGATTGTTTACTTGACTAATCAAATCCAGCAATCATTGACTTTTTTGCATCAGCATTCAGGGCTCGTGTCTTCAGGTTCTCAATCGTTCATAATGATCTGATACTAGGGAGAGTGAAACAAAAATAATTTCATCAACACCAGTCATGTTGCTTTAAAAAAATCGTAATGCTAAAATCCTGATTGCGTATATTCGCCATACACCAAGAGGAAAAGCTCAACAGGGTATCTCCTCCGCTATATCAAATTTGAGTCTAGCTTGAACGAAATCCTTGAGTGGAAAAAACTGAAAAATTCTTTCCACGGGCACGTCTCCCAAAAGCCGAATTCCTTTTCAAATCATCTTCTTCAGGGATACCATTCCACCATTCTCTCTGTTCCTTATCGCTTCTAGCCGCTGCGCTTCCAGTCAAGCTGTCTTTCCGATCAATTTTTTCTGCATTATCGTCTTGATTTGCCGGGCGAGAATGCTGCTCTCCAAGTTGATCACCCCCTGTAGCCCACTTTGTCTCCTGTTTCTGCTGCTGTTTCTTTTTCTGCTTTTCATATTCCACTCGTTCGCGATCTCGTCGTGCGTATGCCGTTTTGGCCTGCGCTTCCATTTCGGCCACCGACAAGCCGACTCCGTCATCATAGTACGTTGGGAGGCGGAGAGAGGCGTGATGGGTATTCCAAAATCCAGACTCGCCGCTGTGTCGAGCGACTCTTCTTACTGCTGCACCAGACGCCGTATCGCTGCGTCTGGGACTATTCCCTGAGGAATTGTCGTAGCCGTCGTCGACTGAGAAAGTTTTCCAGAAGAGAAAAGAGCCTAGAAATGTCCCGTCTGAATTGGGAATATGACGCCATGGCTGGACAAAAGCAAAAGTCAGTCAATGATTCACTTTTTGGAAAATCGGAAAGAGATAAGAGAAGACTATGAGTTAAGGTGGGGGAGATGAAAGGGGTTGGAAACGTCTGCTTACCTTTTCCCGCCAATTAAAAATGAGACAATCGACAGCACCTTGGATCAACAAACTGACAACCAAAAAGCAACTAAAAACAAATTCAGGATGGGAGACATAGTAGTTTGACAGCTGCAAAATACTGCCGACAAATGGCAGAATCCACATGACGACATACACTATGGGATATACAAAGAGAAGGCGCAGCTGTCTCCTTATATTGCGGCGCATACGTCGCATGTTGCGCTCTGCTGCGTTTTCATTCTGAGATGTTGTCCCGTTTGTTTTGATGGCCGGACAAGACCTGACAGATTCTGGTCGAGAGGCGGTGCCCTTGGAGGAGAACGCCTTCGAGTGCTTGCGCATGTAAGTTTTGGGCGGATGGGTGAGAGCGCCTAGACCTTCAGAAATATTTGATCCCAGGTCCGAAGCCCGTGGGGCCTGTGGCTGTACCGATGACGGGCCAGTAGAGCCCTGGCGTACTGCGAATGCTTGTCTTTTGAGAACACCGAGTTCAAATCCGTGAGTATCGGGGGCCGAATTTCTTCTTCGGGATTCTTGATTCACAGAATTTGCTGGAAAAGGATTTTGGAACGGCCATTTCTTCCTTTTGCATGCTTCCTCGCGCTCCATAGAACTTTCCGTACTCTGCATGTTCGTTGAGTCTGCCTCAGATATACCGGGACCATTCTGCCCGCCTTCTGAGAGCACCTCTTCATGAGCTTTGCTGCCACTTTCTGGCCTAGAATCCGTCTCATCCATGCTAGGCGCTTCGTTCGCTTCATTAGTGCTTTGACTTGCTTCGGAGCCTCCAGAGTATTCAGCGGGGTGCTTCAATGAAAAGGACTTAAACTTTTTCCGCACGTATATGTTGACGGCGATATATATGATGATGATTATAAGGAGGATCGTATATCGAGGAACCCAGCTGAGAGCGAGTCGATACCAAAGCGGTTCAATTGGGAGATAACAGAAAGGCGGGATAGAAATATATCCATAACCAGGATTGATAAATGCAAGTGCTGATCCCAGGATGGCAAACGTAGCCCACAGAAAATACACAGGATATCGGTATCGATATATCCCACCCTCGCCGGCATATGGTGCGCCTTTCCTGAATATGCAGAGCGCAGCATGTATAGCAATAATCAAAACTGCAAAGTCTAGCGTGGAGTGGTTAGGTCCAGTGTCCAGTCCATTTTTATGGGAGAATAACGTACCTGCGGCCTCTGTGCCGAATTGATGAAAGAAGCCAGAGGCATCGCAAAGACCTGAATATGTCTCCGTATCATTCCCTTCAATAGAAGATGATGCGTAGATCAATACCCATGATTGTCGAATCAAATTGGCGAATATAAGAAGCATGATCAGACTAAAATGGCCACGGGTCAGAAGAGCTCTTCCATTACAACGCAAGTAATATCACAACAAAATTGACTGACTGGTGCCGAAAATTTCTTCTCATCCTCAGAAACCAATAAATGGTTATGACCTCAGCAAAAACGCTGATAGAAGATATTGAGATTCCAAGAGCGTAGAGCTGATATCTTTGACGCGGCAGGTATCCCGCTGCCGGGTTCACCTGCACGGGAGAAGCCTTATCATTTGCAACGCCCAGCGTTCTGGATACATTTTCCCGGTCATCGTGGGTGGGACCCAATTTTATCGAAGCCATATAATGTTACAGCTTTTCTTGTGAATTTCGTCCATCTAAATGTCAAACCTCAAACCCTCGCCCAAAACCCGTTATCCCTCCCAGTTTGAAAGGCTTTTTACGGCGTCCCCATTTGTACACAACCTAATTAATTTTCAAACTATTTTGAAATGCTCCGGCGGTAACGTGCACTATATGAAGGCCCAAAAATCAAACTCCACATGAATTTCCACCAGCTAAGTCTCTGTGGCAAAATGACAAAATCTAGAAGCAGAGATGGAGGAAGCAAAGAAAGATCCACAGCACTGAACAAACGGATCCCGCAATCTTATGTGACATGATATCCTTTAAAGAATCTAGGCACTTTGAGCAAGTAAGACGAGAGGACTCTAATCCAACGCTGACTCGATTGGTGCATTTGAGACCAGACTAGGATGGCCTATCCGGATGCGATCCATGTTGATGTCAAGATCCCGAGATGTCTTCAATAGAGTCGATAGGTTGTAGATCTGAGGGTTGCCAGGATCGATGCACTATTTCCAATGCAAGCTAGAGTATCCAGGTTTCCGTGAACGGCGTAAGGAGGAGCAGGTTTGAGGGTTCTGGATCCCGGTTAATGACACGCATTTTCGCTATGTACACCAGACATAAACTCTTCAAGCGAATTCCCATTCTTTGGTAAGTACACCACGACATGTCCAGAACTCTTTCCAAAATGGATAACACAAATGCGGCAGCTACCCAAGGGGCATTTGCTATAGCACTCAAGGAACCGATTTCTGTCTACCAAGTAGATATCTCGGACGATCGAAAGTCTAGTGCATACGCCTCGCTCAAATGGGCAAATCAAAGCGTAAACTAAATCCCCTGCCCTGAACTAAAAACGCCGAAATACACCTGAAAATGCACCATAAAATAATGAAAATGGTTTGCTGGTCATCACGATTTCAAATGCCTATGATTGGCCATTCGGTTTAGGAAAGATGCACAGACTTTCTTGAACGGAGGCACGCCGTCCTCAAAGCCGCTCCACACTCCTGGGTTAGCTGGCCTCCTGGATAGCATCGTCGGCCTCTTCTTCTGAGTCGGGCTCAAGCTTTGAATACTGCGGCTTTCTGTCAGGGTCGGTCGGATCGACCCGAGGCGCGCTGATCGAATCTAGGTACTCGTCGTTGGTCATGTCCGTCTCGAGTTTGGGCGCGTTCTCCAGATCTTCCAGGAACAAGTTCTCGTGATACTTGTCCCATGATTCTTGGCTCTGGAGATCGAAAGAGTCAGATAAAACTTAGATTAGGCGCGAAATTGAGATGCTTACATCCTCATCGTGGTAGATTAATCGCTGCCAGTTTTCTTCTTGCGCGGCGCGAAGGACTTTAGCGGTCTCGCCCATGTCCATATCATCACCATCTGCAGCTTTAACAGTCATCTGGACTGCGCGAACTTCTGTCTGGCGAGGTGCTGCGGACTCGCGGAGACTGCGTGCAGAGTTCCTCTCGTTGTCGACCATCGCATCGATGTGATGAAATTGTGGTCTCATCTGGACGATCTGAGTGACCTTGCTCAGATGGAGTTGGTCTAGATTGCGTCAGTTTCAAAGATGATACTTTCATGGGACAGGAATAATATGGTTTACCTCCACGAAAGACTCCAATCATGTAAATCGGGTCGCCGTCCTTGGGGGGCACAATCTGACCACCCAAGGTCTGTTTGCTTAACACGTGACCCTTTCTTACTGCGCCTTCAAAGTCCGCCAATAAAGCATCTTGCAGCTCAGCAGCATTGATTTCATCTTCAAGCCCAGAATTTTTACTGCCCTTTCGAGCGGGTTGCGGAACAGCACCTCCGCTAAACCCCCCAGCAAAGCCATAAGAACCTCCTCTGTCCATTCCACCTTTCCGCACCGCTTCACCCCATCGTATTCCCTTTGTCTTGTCGTAATTGTCGTAGACGTTCAGCGGAACGTCCAATTCGACGAGTCCCACATGGGGCTTGAGACGTAATTCTAGCGGCCGAGCATGGTTGGCTTCTGAATAAGGTGCTTCTCCGGAGCGATTGGGGTATTGCAAGACGTATAGCTTCTCCTCGGTCTGTTGAGGAATATACACGTCGTATTCTCTTAGGACAGGATCATCTTCATCCTCAACTGGAGCTGGTCAGCATATCCTCTGCATCAGTAGCTACGGACTTCTCCGCGTAAGTTTGAGGGCCAACAATCGCATATAGAGCCGCAAAAAGCAACTTGGTTTTGGAACATACTCTGGTTCATATTTACTGAATGCGACCAAGCTCTGTGATGACAGAGTCACAGCTTGTGGTGGCAGAGTGCTGTTTGATGTGCACAAACAGTATTGGTAGAAATATTTTTGGGATAATGTTTCGTCAAAACCCCAGATTATCTCCGCTATCGTTCGGCAAGTGCCGAGCATCCAAGTCATCGATAGTGGGGGAAATAGAGGGGCAACAATGTCGTCAAACATCATACCGACATTTAATTCCAAGATTCCGCAAATTTCTGGCGTGAAATCTTCATTACATTACCCAAAATGACTGCCGTAGGGAAACGTTTTGTTCCTTTAGAGAATAACCCTGAGGTTATGTCTCATCTGCTAAACCAACTCGGGCTGTCCCCAGCGCTGGGCTTCCACGATGTGTTCAGCATTGAGGATCCAGATCTGCTAGCATTCGTCCCTAGACCTGCATATGCACTACTCTTGGTCTTTCCGGTGAGCGAAGCCTACGAAAAGTCGCGGGTAGAGGAAGATGCGCTACAGAAGGAATACGATGGCTCTGGCCCTGATGAGGAAGTGTTATGGTTCAAGCAGACCATTGGCAATGCATGTGGGCTGATCGGTCTGCTGCATGGCGCTTCAAATGGCGAAGCAAGGTCATTCATTGGTAAGATTCTGATTCCATTTTCGGAATATCAAGGCTCACTTTCCCTGAAGATCCCTCCTCCGACCTTGCCAAATTATTGGAGGAAGCGACTCCATTGAAGCCGATTCCTCGCGCAGACCTCTTGTACGAGTCCAAAGCTCTTGAGAGCGCACATCAATCTGCTGCTTCTCAGGGTGACACCGAAGCGCCGGCGGCCGATGATACTGTCGACTTACACTATGTCTGCTTTGTCAAGTCGGCGAATAATCATCTCTGGGAGCTTGACGGTAGGCGAAAAGGTCCCCTTGACAGAGGTGAGCTCTCGCCGGAGGAAGACGTACTTAGCGAGAAGGCATTAAATGCTGGTGTTCGAGCATTCCTCAAGCGGGAGAAGGAAGCTGGAGATGCAGAACTCAGGTTCAGCTTGATTGCCCTTGGCCCGAGTGGCGAATAAGGTCTGGGTCTTGATTATGATTGTAGAATATTAGTAGAACGCTGGCCATGCAGAATAAATCATAGGTGTCATAAATCACGCATACCATTAATTCATGGGCTCAATTCCATTTTGAGCTGTAAAATCTGCGTCTCCACAGCCCTGGTAAGAATTGTGTGGGGCATCAAAAAATAATCAAAGAAGGTAATTGAGGCCAAATCAATTTAATCTCGAGCTTTTAAATCAAACAACAAAATTTAAATAGGCGCCTGAGACTAGAAGCCTGATTTAATTATAACACTACCTGTACTCTAATAATAAGATGATACAGGAAAATTCTAGATATATCAAAAAATGTCTTTGCCCGTAAATACTGACTGTTGTACCACAAAGGGAAGTAAACAGTAACGAGGAATCGGGACGTCGGCGTCGGCACCCCCGGGCTGCACTGCACCCTGACGGAGCTTCGTCATTCGACCCAGGCGGCTTAGCCGTTAACTCAGCCACACAGGCAGCAGCTTCAGGGTTAGAACCACCTCATCCCAGATATGCGAGAACAAAGTCAAAGATTCTTTGGTCGACATCAATAACAACGTTCTCCATAACTTCTTTTTATCTTCTCACCTGTTCGGATACTGACACGGGGCCGTTGGACCCGATATATCTCCTCTATCTCACCAACCCTAAAGCCTCTTCCCCGCCTGTTCATCACCACCCCGCGAAGACAACTACCAATCGCTCCGGCAAGAAAACAGTCTCTATCGTGATAGACACAATTCCAGCTCGACACAGGCGTTGATTTGAAAAATTTTAAGGTGTTCCAAGTCATGTGCTCACCAGATATCTTTCTTGGTCTCATTGCGGTCCTGTTCCCTCCCATTGCAGGTAAGCACCTATCTAGCCATCCTCGCCCTCTGGACGTGTTCCATCTGATCACAGCACGCGCCGTGTTTGTCACCTGCTAATCATCAAAATCATAGTGTGGATAAAAGCTGGCATCTGCAGCGCCGACAGCGTCATCAACCTTGCCCTCTGCTGCTTAGGCTACATCCCTGGACTTCTCCACGCATGGTACATTATTGCCAAAAACCCTGATGCAGCGGACGGGTACGAGGCAGTAGACGACTCTGAGCAGGGCCAGCGTCATCACACTCACCACGTTGCATACCACTACGCTCCTCATGGTGGTGCACATCATCAACAGGGGGCCGGATCAGGCCGCAACTACGGCACAACCGGCAGCAATATAACTTCCTCTGATGCTCCTACTGCGCCATCCATGCAATACCCCCAGCAAGGCGGCCAAATTGAGTATGAGCAATGGCGACTGCAACAACAGAATCAGCACCAGCAGTGGCAGAAGGACTATCAGCAGCATCAGCAACAGGTACCGGCTACGCTTGACGACGCTGCTGACGGCCCAAGTAATCCTGGCGTTCCACCTACTTATGCCGAGGCCGTCCGCGGGGATAATAAAGTCCAGTCATAAAGAGATTCGACAAGGACAACATGTATCTTTCTCACGATTTACTGCACCGGTACATTGTTGGTTGGATCAGTTCATTTTATCGACAGAATTGTAGCTGTCGCTCTAGCCCACGGACTCTGTTTTCTTTTTGTCTGTTTTCAGAGCATTCAGAAAGGCAGGCACACTGTGACGAGGTTACGAAGGAATTATTGGTAATTAGGTCTGCTTTTCAGCTTTTTCTATATTGGGTCGTTGGACAAGATACTCTCTTCGTTATGTTTCTCCCTTTGCTTTCCCCTTCTTTTCTTCTGTTCGCTTTTAATCCCCGATTCCTTATTCTGATTTCTCTCATAAATGTCTGACTCATTCCCTTGAATGCGGAAATACCTTGTTATCAAATACTGCACTTTTGACGCGGCGCTTTGAGACGCATTAGCCTGCACAAACCCCTTTTCACAATTACAGGTATATTCACCTCTCAAGAGACTAAAATTAAATAAATAAATAACTACAAGGGATATTAGAAAGCACGAGGACTTTAACTTTTCTCGCATGCGAGACTGATCACACAAATATACCGTGCCACAGTACCAAAACGTAACTTTTTGACTGGCGCGACATTTGGAGAAATACAATTTTGATCAAGATAAGCCGATAGCCCGAGAGAAACTGACAAAGATATCGACAAATCGACCAAGAAGAGAAGAATCAGCCACCCATTCTATAATAGACCATGTTGATTAGACTTTGGAAACTAAAAAGAAAAGACATGGGAAAAGACCATATCGATCCATGCCGATCCATAAAAGTTCGACATGACATTTCATTAAATCATGCAGGGCTGTTGGATATCTGAATAACGCTGGGGAAGTCCCTGCTAGCATATGGGGGGGAATAATATGAACAAGAAAAGCAACGAACAAAAATGCAAAACAAATACAAGTTCAACCCTTGATATCTCCCGTGTGAAAATGCAACAATTTGTCGGAGATATGCTCCATCCAAACATTTTATCACTCTACCGTGTGCCTCTTTTATTCCCTTTTTTTTTCGTTGACTGGATGATTCAATTTCTGCATCACTTCTTCAACGGCGCGAGGAGTTCCTGGGGCGGAGACTGACGGTATCCCTGGGGGTTGTTGCTCGTCCAGCGCCAAAGATCGGCACAAGCATCTTCGAGGGTGTGCTCGGCTTTCCACTTCAGCTCGTGATTTGCGCGTCGTGGGTTGGCAGTGAGGTCGAGTACATCGCCAGCGCGTCTGTCGACGACTTCGTAGGCCAGGTCCCTACCAACAACAGCGCTGAACGCCTTGATCATCTCGAAGACGGTAGAGCCGCGGCCCGTGCCGAGGTTCCATGCGCGCACACCGGGTTGGTGCTCGCGCAGGTAATCAAGGGCAACAAGATGACCGCGTGCCAGGTCGAGAATGTGAATGTAGTCGCGAATGGCAGTGCCGTCCTTGGACGCATAATCTAACGCATGAAGAACTTAGTCATCGCGACTGGAAAGGGCGATGGAGGATAGAACGCCGCGAATGAGAGAGAGAGGGCAGTCAAGAGATGGCGTGCTTACCGTCGCCAAAGACGAAGAGTTTCTCTCGCTTGCCAATTGCGACCTGAGCAAGTAGAGGAAGCAAATTGAACGGCACACCTTGCGGGTCTTCGCCCATGATACCGCTTGGATGAGAGCCTGCCGGGTTAAAGTATCGGAGCAGCGCACCGTTCCATTCTTCTCCCGATTTGCCGGCCTTCTGGGCGTTCTTGCGTTGCGCTTCAACGTGATCGGTGATGACGGCTTCGATCATTGACTTTGTTCGACCGTACGGATTCGTAGGACCGATAGGACATTCTTCGGGAATAGGGATCATATTGGGGAACCGAGTGGCATCGCCATAGACTGTTGCCGACGAGGAAAAGACAATATTGTAGACATTGTGGCGGCTCATTGCCCGCAGCAAGCTAATAGTGCCACCAACATTGACTCTATAGTACTCAAGCGGGATTTCGGTGGATTCTCCCACGGCCTATTCAAAACAGATGCCACCCTTTAGCATTACTTGCTATGAGACACGTGGGGGAGGGGAAGGAGGGGGAGGTAAAAAGTTCATGCAAGGAGACAAATTGAAACCGGCAGGGAACCCAATTGGTAGGACTCACTTTCAATGCGGCAAAGTGAATTACATTGGTAATGTCTGGATGCTCACTGAAAATCTTGTCGAAAGCGGCATCATCGGTGACGTCGAGCTCGTAGAATATCGGTCGTTTTCCGGAGATGAGCTCAATGCGGTTGATGACCTCCACGGACGAGTTGTACAAGTTGTCAATAATGACAACCTTGTAACCAGCCTCGAGCAGAGCTAGGACGGTAAAGGACCCGATATAACCGGTGCCGCTGTGTGAGACGAGCCATAAATTGTCAACATGCTGAGCTCAGGAGATGATGCACGGACAAAGATGCCACACATAATCTAAAACGCTTCTAAGTGGTTGCATAGGACTTACCCGGTGACCAAAACAGAGCCTGTGCCGACAGTCATTTTTAATTATTTTTTTTTGTCGCAGTATGTTTGAGTGGAAGAATTGCGGAGAGGAAGAGGAAGAAGAAGAAGAGGAAGGGACGGGAAGGGTGGATAAAAAGTTGGTCAATTGATCGCCAGAAATCTTGAAGAGGCGATCCAATGTGGGGTGGGTATCTGGTGATTGCGCGTTCGGTTTTATCTAGGAGTTTCAAAAAGTAGCACGCAAGGTAGCGGCAGGGTCGCCCGCTATTATAAGTACGAGAGCAGCGACGTCGCCAAATGACGGGAAAATAATGGTCGCAACGGGTTCGATGCAATGGAACATGATCATCAAAACGTGTGGCTCGATATTCCGTCCCTAGGCCCTGACGACGCATCCGTCAACTTATGGGGATTAGCGACTAGTGGGGATCACATACGTAGTTTAGGGGACTATGGGGGAGCCCTCCAAACTAGTAAGCCCGTCAACATGTCGTGGCGTTTTGGTCCGCGGGCAAGATCGAAAAAGAGTCATATCTGACAAGCATCATTATCATTTTTTCCGTCGAATGCGTCCTCGGGATAGCCGTCCAAGGGTGTTTCTCGAACTAAATTCGCGGAGCGGGATGCGAGGAGAGCCACCGAACCATTGCGACCACCAATGACCGTGATAAGCGTAAGTGATCTCGGTTGGTCTACAGCCCGATTCCTGGAGGGAATTTGAACAATCTTTACACCGAATACGAAAAACGAACCTATTTGGTAAGACACTAGGGATTAAATATGGGGTGGTGCCGGATTGTGCTGGGGGCTTCATGCGGAAAAACTGCTCTGGAGACCCCAGCCGGGGAAACCATCTGGTGTCATTGGGGCGAGAGTAGCTCGTGGGGTTGGCAGTGTATCGTGCATGTACAGGAACGGAAAGCACTCAATGATAGCATGCCTACCTTAGCAGGTAGCTTTGTTGGGGCATCACTGCAGAGTCTAAAGTCTTGAGTCCACCCTGGAGTATTGGGTTACTCCGGAGTCTCCGCATCTCCTCACTTTTCGGTCCATCTTCGACCCGGATAATGACATGAGCCAAGCTGAGACGTTCACGGGAAGCATTCTGCAGGAGCGAGGAGTGAGAGGAGAGGGCGAAAGAGGAGGAAGACAAGTTGGCCTTGCCGTCTCTGCCGAGCTCACTCATTCCCCTCGTCCGAGTGAGAGTCACAAAATATACCTAGTAATGACCCTCAATGAGGGCATGTCCGATAGAACGGATGTTGCGTTGCTAGATGTCATAATTAGAGGGACACCGGAGGGGTGCAATTGTCTCGGGCCACTACGGCGACTAAGGTACCTAAAGTTAGTTGACATGGCTACCGGCTTGGGCAGCGGCTTGCACGGAAAAACTTTCCTACGGTCTAGGGTCGTGCTGACCAGCAAATGTATTCGTCGCATTCCTTGACGAAGCCAAGAATTGGTAGGGGGATTGATTGACAGGTACCAGAGTAATAGTGTTTTATAGCACCATACGAAAGGGCAGTGGAAAGATGAAAATATAGTGAAACCAGGACGAATAGCGATCGGCAGAACCCAATTTCAATCAACCACGACAGATGCCATCCATGTCAAACCGGAACGCGTCATAAGGTAGGTAAGTTTGCAGAGCAGGAAAATGGGTGACATGGGGGTTCTACCGTATTATTACTCGTATCAATACTAAGGTAACTACTCCCTATTCTGTTACTATTGTCATTACCTTATGCTGCGCGTGGTACTGCATTTATATCTTATTGTCCAAGTCACCTTGTGCATTTAATCCATCTGCATGACAGAGTAACAAATTCCTGAATCTGACTGATGTCTTTTTTCTATTGAATCAATTGTAAAGAAGATAATATAAACGGCACACTCGATCAATAATCAATAATGCAGTCGAGAGGGCTATTTCCACCTTTAGTTATATGAAAAGAGAAACAAAGGGATCTTTTCCAGGAGAATAATGAAAAACCACACACTAGGCCTCATTGGTCCAGTTCGTCATGCCCTTTTTGAGGTTCCGAGGGGCTGGTCGGCAGGTCGGATGCAGCAGGTGGCCGTTGTGTGGCTCCTTCCCCAGATGGATCACAAAATGCCGTGCGACACTACCCTTACAGTACCCGAGATCGGGTACCTGCAGCCCTACGCTCAACCTTATAAAAGTGCACAAAGCCAACGAATCTACTTGTAAAAAAGTACCTACTAGGAACCGCGCTTTGGCGCGCGTCTCAGGGTCCACCAAACATCAACGCCAAAAAAGGTGACTACAGTAAAAAGGTCATGGTCAACAAGGTCCATCATCAATCATAGCAACAACAAAGAGAGATCAGAACTTTGGCGACAAGCGTCCAATTGAATGTGCCATGTGCCGAATGCAGAAGCGAAGCTCCATTGCACCTTACCTTTCCATTGTTCTTTGTAAATCTGTTTTGCATGTTAATGAATTGCCCTAGCCATATGGCTTCGCGTTCTATTCAGCGCGTTGTTGTCTCGCGATATTCACGTTGACCTCGACATTCACAGCAAAACCCCGCCTCCCGCTTTTGTCCCTTTTCTAATTGTCGCCTGGCAACCTGCTATTGTTGTTTCTCTCCCACATCTTCTCCCCATCTCTTCTCTCTTCCTTCTTCTTTCTCTTTTCTCTTCAACCTTGTTTCAACCGCTCTTCATCCAGATAGTTGTTGAAACCATTCTGTTCATCTATCTCTGTCCCTTTGGTTACGAGTTACTTACACTGTCCACCTTCCGAAACCTTGTTTTTTTTTTCTCTCTGGTTCGAACATCCGATTTTCTAAATCTGTCGAGTCTGAATTTTGCTTCATGGCTCCCACGACTCGGCGTTCGACTCGCTCTGCGAGCCAAGCCTCAGCTGAATCCGCTGCGACACCCAGCCGTCCAGCCACTCGCTATGGTCCGGCTACGCCAGCGCTCCCTCCCCTGCAGTCTCGGCTGTCTTTTGCCTACGGCTCGCCGGGAGAAGCTTCCATGCCCGAGGTTATTGGCATGAACGACAACGTCGGAGGCTTAGTTGATGCTTTGAATGTGGGAGTGCAGACCGCTTTTGATAGGGATGTCGACTCTGACGCCGGATCTGATCGCGGTAGACGGGGCCGTCGCGCCGCTACTATTGCCAGTAATGGTAAGTCGCTGTCGTTCTAACTTGATGATTTAATCGACGGTGTTCTAATGTTTGGAGCAGCTAGCAGCAGAGCAGCTCGTGGTCGACCAAGGAGACGACCCTCGCCGATTGCTGAGGAAGCAACCTCAGACATGCACCTGTCCGATGCGTCAGCGGATCCTGATTCTGAAGCAGCTAAGAGCTATGTTGCAGAAGGCGGCGTCTTTCAGAACGTGCCGAGCTCCACTGCTCGAGGCCAGGCTTCGGCACCCCGCCTTGCTAGCACTGCCTCTGTTTCTGGCGCTGAAGGAAACACCACCGGCCACGCCACCAGATCTGCTCCTAGTGCCAACAACGCCAGCTCTCCCTTGGTAGCCAATGTGGTACCCTCTTCCCCAGCCGCCCCTATCGCTCCAATTGCTCCAATTGCGAACGAGCCTGCTGTTGTTGCAGTCCCAATCCCCGAAACAAATGGAAGGGTGCAAATGCTTCGACAATATGTTTACGATGCTCGTTTTGAGCTTTTGAAATTAATCATTTGGATGCTCGCCTTTGGCCTCTTCATTTACGCTTTATTCATCTGGCCTTCAATGAATCCCGTTTCTGAAATTGTTCGACACGGTTGTCAAGCTATTTCTGCTGGAATTCTTACTTCAATGACGACTATTTTTTCTGCGCTTGCTATTGCTGTTCGCGGAGGCCGTGTTGGTCCTGAAGATAGCTTTTCCAACAATCTGTATTCCAGAGTTTCCGCGTTGGAGTTCGACGTTTCGCGCTTGCAAAACCACAACCACCTTCACGACGACAGTCTGAGAAAGCTCGAAAGCATTTTGCCAGAGGTCATCTGGGTTGCACGAGATAAGAAATCCGGCACCTATGAGATTCCTGAGGACTTTTGGGCAGCTCTGAAAGACAAAATTCAACTTGACTTTGGCCAATTATCTCAACCTCCTACCACTACCGAAGACTCTCGTCCCGGCAGAATCTGGGACAGATTTCTCGCAAAGAACTCTGCCCGGGTTCAAGCTTCGGTTTCAGACGAGTTTGCCCCTCTCCTTGAAAAGGCCATGGCTCAGCATCAGCTGATTAGCAAGTCCATGTTGTACGAGATCTTACAGGATAATTATGCGTCAGTTTCGGGCGAGATCCAAAAGCTCAGCAAGGCATTCGAAGCCAAATATAAGCACATTGATGCAGAAATTGAAGGCAAAACTTCGGCCGTCGCCCTCCGAGTTGCAAACGGAATTGTCAAGAAAAACCTCCCGTCAGCACAGCTAGAAGCTGTCGCTCAAGCCAATCTGATCCGGAATTCAGACAATGCACTCAAGAATGTCAACTTCTTTTCACCCGGACTCGGCGCAACCGTTGATCCCTACATGACGTCTCCGACTAAGGATAAAAAGTCTCCTTTTCTTAAGCGACGAGCAGCTCAGCTGCTTGGAATACGCGCCAGCAACCCGCCTATTGAAGCTCTTGTTGGATGGGACGATGTTTCCGATTGTTGGTGCACTCCATCTTCAAACGGCAAAGCTCAGCTTGCTGTTTTACTTCCTCGGAAAATTTATCCGACGGAAATAAGCGTCGAGCACATTCCATCGACTGCGACGCTCGATATCGAGCACGCACCCAAGGACTTGGAGCTCTGGGCCGAAATTGACAATGAGGCCAAACGCGAGCTAGTGGGCCGTGCGCAAGCCGCCCTCTACGGAGAGGATGAGGTAAAAGTCGATAAGGCTTTGGGCAAGACATATGTGCGCATCGCCAAATTCGAATATGATATCACTGCACTGAACCATGTGCAGACCTTTGGAATTGATATCAACATGAAAGGACTCGAGGCAGCGGTTGGAAAAGTCGTTGTCCGCGCGGAGTCCAATTGGGGTTCCGAAGAGTTTACGTGTCTCTACCGTCTACGTTTGCACGGGTCGATGGCCAGCAACTAGACGAAAGGGGCGCTGTGGATCTTTGATATTCTTAAGATCTGCCTTTTTACGTTTTTTTATTTTTATTTTTATTTTCCATTTCTCCTTTACGGATACGTTGGCGCAACGGGCATAGCGGCGGGACATGAAAACATCGGCGCAAACCGGCAGCAGCTCTCTTGATTTTTCTTTTTTCCTTTTATTATTTGGTGTATGTTTTGCTTTTCTTTCGAGTCCAGGGCATACATGTTCCGTTGCTGCTCTTCGAGGACTCAATTTTAGTTTTTTTTTTATTCATGCTGCATGCCGCCTGCCGGATCGATATTGTCTGTTATTCCGCTATTAGGATATCCTCAGTCAGCAATACTTGATATTATTCTCTCCGAAATTGGACTTTAGTAATTACAGCCCGCCGTAGAGTTGATGATGTGATGCATTAGAAGTCAGTGAGACGAACAGCAGAGACAGCAGAAACCCCGCTAAAGTTGCCAGGCTCCGTTGGGTGAAGGTCCACAGCCTGACGGTAGGTCTCAAAGCCTCGGTTGTCCAGGTTTTGACTGGCATTGCGGGTTTGAACCGCTCGAACGAGAGCGGGTGTGGGGTAAAGTTTAGCGCAAGGCCCGCACCCCGAGGACCCTTTGCGGCCGCCCTTTCCCCCGCAAGGACAAACTTGACAGCAGAACGAAAAGGCCGATTCTAACCCGGTATAACCTACAGGAACGTAGTCTTTCCCTCTGAATTTTACTGTGTATGTTCTTCATCTTCTTACCTCCCGACACCCATCTACTCGACAACTTTCAAAGCTTGCGATTTTTTCATATCACTGTACTGGCATACTATCCACCGTTGGCAGCTTTTCTAAAGAGCCCCGTGTTTTTGACATTTTTGACCTGGCCGAGACAGCGGATCAGAGAAGATTTGACAGTATATTTTCCTGTCCCTATGATCCAAGCTATAAAGCGAAAATTTCCCATCAAGTGATTGACACAAGGAGTTGCACAACTCGTCTTAATCTACAGTGAAAAGTAATCAAAATACAGTCGCCTGGACATATCCAAATTCTCTGACAGTCACCTCAAACACGATGCGGTGGGTGTCTTCCAACATCCGCTCACGGTTTGCTCCACGAGTACAGCTACAGTTGCGAACTGTACATGCAGGGGTGCGAGGGTCGACGATCTCAATGGTCAAAGAGCCCTGTGTAACACCAAGATTGAATCGCCCAACAAGTCCCCAGCAGCGAAATTTCCTTGCAAATTACCTCTCAACTCCAGAGAACCTCACCAAGGGTTCAAGAACTAATCACAGACCCCGTCTCCCAACTCACTCTCGATACAGTCTGATCCGATCACTTTCAGTCACCAGCAGCCAGCGAACAACATGGGGTTTCGTTGGTCTGGGGCAGATGGGTAGGTTTTCCGGATCATAAATCGAGTCTTTTTTTCCAATCACTCACAAAATGCAAAGGTTATCCCATGGCCAAGAACCTTCGTGCCAAAATACCAACATCGGATACTGTAATAATATATGATCTCAACGCGAACGCGACGAGAAGATTTGTCGAGGAAATTGGTATTGTGACTTCGACCGCGTCAACTGGCGATAAGAATATTAGAATCCATATCGCTTCGTCTCCTCGAGAAGTAGCTGAGAGAGCGGCATGTTATCCCCTAGAGATTTTCACACCCTACTCTCAAATCTTCTCCCTGATGAAGTACCTTCAACCCAATGATCTAAGTTGGGGCTGCTTTCTGTAGCTCTTTGATGATTCAATTTTTTTTCAAAGCCAATCCTCTGATTTCGATTTCTCATTCTTGGCAATACAAGCCACGATTCTCCATGAATACCTTCAGTCTATGCTAACGTATTCTAACATCTAGGAAACTATTTTCACCGTCCTTCCAGAGCCTCAACACGTCAAAGATGTCTTCTACGACATAATCGACTCGGCCCTGCCATCAAAGGAGCTCAAGCAGCAGAGACTCTTCATCGATTGCTCTACGATCGACCCCGTCACCTCAAAAGAAGTTGCCCATGCTGTCCAGAGTCGCGGTCAGGGGTTATTTGTCGATGCGCCCATGTCGGGCGGTGTTGTCGGAGCTCGTGCTGGGACACTGACCTTCATGGTTGGCTGCCCGGATTCCCTTGTCGACCGTGTCAAGCCATACTTGTGTTATATGGGAAGCCGAGTGCTGCACATGGGTGAGCAAGGTGCTGGATTATCAGCGAAGCTGGCAAATAATTACCTCCTCGCGCTGAGCAACATCGCCACTGCTGAAGCTATGAATTTGGGCATCAAGTGGGGCCTCGACAAGAAACGGTTAGGAGAAATGATCAATGCTTGCAGTGGAAGATGCTGGTCGAGTGAAGTGAACAATCCTGTCCCGGGTGTTATTGAAAATGCACCTGCTTCTCGAAATTATGCAGGTGGCTTTGGCGTCAGTTTGATGAGGAAAGATCTCAAGCTGGCCATGGCTGCAGCCAAGGAAGCGGGAGCTAGATTGGAGCTTGCCGACAAAGCACGAGAGGTCTATGAAGCCATAGAAAAAGATGAAGACTACAAGGGTAAAGATTTTTCAATTGTATATAGATATTTAACGGAGCGATGATCAATATTCAAAGGAGGATCGCAAGTTCAAAGTGCAGCCGACTACAGATTGAAGAGTGTGTGGAGTACGATGAGTCCTCTCTTGTTCGATGCTGACGCTCAGCAAGGAGCGTCGCAGGGCACCGCACCCGAAGTACGATAACGTAATCTAATCAATCTTATCGGGAGCTTTCATACCAACTGCGGTCCATGATGCTGAGGTGACTTTATTCCATTTCACTCCGTGGATGTTTACAGCTCAGTTTCCTCCTCTCCTTTCAAATCACAGTTAATATCTGGTCTTTTCTTCCTTTGCCCATGATTTCAATCGTATAGAAGACTCCCATACAAATTTGAGCTCCCTTGTGCAATTGCCATGGCGTACCTTGCTCCAATCCATAGACCAAGCAGCGTGCGACATGCGCTCAAGCTCCGATTTCTCGAGCCAGATGAAGAATGCCTGGTAGTAGCGTGAGGATGAAACCTGACAAGCTGTTCCAAGCTTTTGTCTAACTTACTTCTTAAATAGAAAAGCGAACCGTCTCGAAATATACGAGCAGACCCAGGATGGCCTAAACCTCAAGCACTCTAAAGCCATTTATGGCAAAGTTACTATGCTTCATAAGATCCGCCCCTTGTCCTCACCAACTGACCATCTATTTGTCGGAACCGATCGATATGTATACTTTACAGTATCTTGGGATCCGACAAGTAAGCAGCTACGGACAGAGAAGAGCTACGTGGACCAGGCCGACAAGACGGCAAGGGATTCACAGACTGGAGACCGCTGTCTCATTGAACCGGAAGGGAAGTTTATGACACTTGAACTGTTTGAAGGAATTGTCACAGTTGTGCCTATCATACAAAAGTCGAGAAGAAAAGACGTTGAGATTGGTAGTCTGGGCGAGCCGGTGCCTGCTCGGATACCAGAGCTCTTTGTACGGGCTTCAGCATTCATGCACCCGAGAGAAGGGCGTGCTGTGAAGCCCAAAATTGCTTTTCTATACGAGGACACGCAGAGAAGGGTCCACATCAAGGTCAGAGAGCTCGACTATACTGGAGGAGGCTCGGGAGAATCTGGTAGCGTAGACCTCAATGACGCCGACAGCCCATCGGAGGAATTAGAACCAGGTGCAAGTCACATCATTCCATTGTCGGAGCCTACATGTGAGTATCTACTCCCAAAAAAAGGAGATATTTAAGTGCTCTAACAGTAACAGGCGGTCTACTTGTCCTTGGAGAAACATCTATAACCTATATTGACGAGTCGGGAAAACAATCCATGACATATCCCTTAGAGGAGGCTACCATATTTGTGACATGGACACAAATAGATGTCCAGCGATTTCTGCTGGCAGATGACTACGGAAAATTATATCTCCTCATGATCCTATTGGACGGTAAAGATAACATGACCGGCTGGAAGCTCGATGTCATTGGCGAGACGTCGAGAGCATCAGTCTTAGTTTACCTCGATGCTGGCTACGTCTTTGTGGGGTCTCATCAAGGAGATTCACAAGTAGTGAAGATTGAGGAAGGTTCCATCGAAGTCGTTCAAACATTTCCTAACATTGCACCGATCCTTGATTTTACTATCATGGACATGGGAAGTCGAGCCGGCGACAGCCAGATGAATGAATACTCCTCCGGACAAGCACGCTTGGTTACGGGTAGCGGAGCATTTAAGGACGGCAGCCTGCGAAGCGTGCGTAGTGGAGTGGGATTAGAAGATGTGGGTATCTTGGGAGAAATGGAACATATTACAGAACTCTTCAGTTTAAAGTCTTCAGCGAATGGCTATGTCGATACTCTTATTGCATCCTTTGTTGACCAGACTCGAGTATTCCAATTCGGCGCTGATGGAGAGGTTGAGGAAGTGGATGAACACAAGGGGTTGCTGTTGTCTGAGCAAACTATTCTTTCCGCCAATGTTCCGAATGAACGAATCATACAGGTTACTCGGTCGTCTGTGCGGCTGCTGGACCTAGAAAGCAGCATGTTGGTCGCAGAGTGGGCCCCTCAAACTGGCCAGTCTATCACTGCAGCTTCAGCAAATGACCAGGTGGTACTCCTCTCCGTTGGCGGTGTCTCCTTGGTCGCCCTTGATGTTCTTGGAGAGCTTGCCATCAAGGCTCAAAGAAACTTTGAAGGCAGCAGCCAGATATCTTGCCTGACTGTCCCATCTATTGCATCAGATATTTGCATTGTGGGTTTCTGGCAAAACACGACAATATCAGTGCTACGACTTGATACTCTCGAATCACTCCACACCGAGGTGGTTGGAGACCAAGCTGCTGCGGTTCCACGATCTGTTCTGCTCACCCAGCTTCTCCCAGACCAATCTCCTACGCTTCTTACCGCCATGGCCGATGGCACCATTGTCACGTTCTCTTTTGATCTCAAGAACTACTCTTTGTCCAGCAGAAAGAGTATCATTGTTGGAACACAACAGTCAGACTTTCGCGCACTCGCTCGAGGAGACGGTCTATACAACGTATTCGCTACTTGCGAGCATCCGACTCTGATTTACGGCTCCGAAGGACGAACCGTATTTTCCGCCGTAACCGCAGAAGATGCTTCCGCAGTGTGCCCGTTTGACAGTCAGGCTTTCCCTGGCTCTATTGCTATTGCAACAGCATCAGACCTTCGGATAGCAGTAGTTGATACTGAGCGCACAACTCATGTTCAGACACTACCTGTCCATGAGACCGTTCGTCGCGTCGCATATTCTACGAAGCTGAAGGCTTTTGGACTAGGCACCATTGACAGAAAACTAGAAGACGGCGCAGAACTCGTGCAAAGCCATTTCAAGCTCGCCGACGAAGTCATGTTCAAGGAGTTGGATACATTTGCTCTGAACCAAGATGAGCTTGTTGAGAGTGCCATCCGAGCAGAGCTCCCTGACGGGAATGGAGACTATACAGAACGCTTTATTGTCGGCACTGCGTATCTTGACGACGACCGGGACGAGTCTGTCCGCGGCCGGATATTGGTATTTGAAGTTACAGAGGAGCGTACTTTGAAAGTCGTGACCGAACTAGCAGTCAAGGGAGCATGTCGTGCACTGGCCATAGTCGATGACCATATTGTAGCCGCACTGATCAAGACGGTATGTGAACCCCATGTCTTTCCCCTTCTTTCAGGACCTATATTTTCGTCTTCTTTTCCTTTATCTCCCCTTCGATTTCACCATAAATAAGGCCTCTTACTTACAAACCACCCAGGTCGTGGTATACGCTTTTGAATACGAGTCCAGTCACCCCAACCTCGTCAAGAAAGCGAGCTACCGGACCTCTACTGCACCCATCGATGTCGCCGTTACCGACCACCATATTGCCATTGCGGACCTTATGAAGAGCGTTTCAATCGTTGAATTCAAGCGCGGCGAGAACGGACTGCTCGATAAACTCGAGGAAGTGGCGCGCCATTTTCAGACCTCGTGGGCCACTGCCGTCGCCCACATCACAGACGACACGTTCCTCGAGAGCGACGCCGAGGGTAATTTGCTCGTTTTGCATCGAAATGTCAATGGCGTGACTGTCGAGGATCGTCGCCGGCTTGAAATTACGAGTGAGATTCAACTGGGCGAAATGGTGAATCGTATTCGCCGGATCAATGTCCCGACGTCATCTTCTGCTTCTGTCGTTCCAAGAGCTTTTCTTGCTACCGTAAGTTTATACTATACTTTTTGTTACTTCTACCTCCGCTCGTCTTTCCGTTTTAGTCTTCAAAGGGTATATGCACCGGCAGCGCTGACGTGGTAATGTCTTTAGGTCGAAGGATCCATTTACCTCTTCGCTCTTATAGAATCGTCCAAACAGGACCTTTTGATGCGTCTACAAACCAACATGGCAGATCTTGTTCAAACACCAGGCTTTGTTCCATTCAATAGGTATCGTGCCTTCCGCAATGCCGTGCGCGAGGCCGACGAGCCGTTCCGCTTCGTCGACGGCGAGTTGATTGAGCGCTTCCTCGACTGCCCTGCCGATTTGCAGGCGACTATAGTCGAAGGACTCGATTTGGATGTGGAGGATATCAAGTCCGTTGTTGAGGGATTGAGACGGTTACATTGATGAATAGCACGATTGGTATTATTGACGAAGATAATTTCTATTTTTTTTTTGTCTATTGGAAGCGGATTATTCAACGGGATAATAAACTTATTTACAAAGCATTAGCTTTCAGATACTATATTTTCAGTCAAATATAAAAAAGAGGCGTTAAAATATTTATGGCTGCAATAGCAATTTGCCAGTCGTCTTGCGGGCTTCCAAGTCCTATTTATCATTGTGCGTTAGTCAAGATGCGCAATACGACATATTGAAGTTATGATGAGCGGCGGGTTCAAATTGGGAACATACAATCTGCGCTCGAGCAACGTCCTTGAGCGGATAAGTTTCATGAATGCCCACACTTAGCTTGTCCTTGATGATGAAGCCGAACAGCTCCTGGACGTAATGGTCGAATTCTTCGCGGGTGGCTATATAATTGAATAGAGTGGGTCGTAGGAGCGTGATGTTTTTGGCGCTGAGTCGACTAATGCAGCAATAATCACAATTGTTAGCTTGCTTCCAGTCATTGCTTGACATTGTCGTCTATCGTTGTTGCAGGGAGATATTAGGAGAGACTTTCTCCTTCTCTAAGAGAAACAAAAGGGTGAAATATATGAAAGGGTGGGGGGGGAAGAGAGGAAAGGATAATTAAATAAAACTTACGCAATCGCAAAAGGCGGGACAGCACCAGACGCGTTTCCAAAACTGACCAATGATCCCTTTCGCGCGAGTAACTCCAAATCGGCATCGAATGTCGACTTCCCTACACCGTCAAATACCGCGGCAACTCCCTGACCACCCGTGATTTCCTTGACACGGGCAACTAGATCCTCGGTCGTATAATCAATCAAGAACTCAGCGCCCAAAGACTTGGCCAAGTCGCGCTTTGCCTGGGTGCTCGCGGTGCCAATGACGCGCGCGCCAATTGCGCGAAGCAGCTGACACAGCCAGCCGCCTACGCCGCCCGCAGCGGCATGCACCAGGATCCAATCGCCTTTCTTGACGGCATATGACTCGCGCACGAGCGTCAGCGCAGTAAGGCCCTGTAGTAGTGCTGCTGCGGCAACTTGGGACGAGATTTGCTCCGGCACAATGCTCGCCTTCGCGGCGGGCGTAGCGGTGTATTCGGCGTACGAGCTAGTCCCGAGGTATACGACCCGGTCACCCTTTTTGATCGAGTAAGACTCGCCGGGGCCGACGTCGACGACGATTCCAGAGGCCTCGCGGCCAAGAATCTCAGGCTTTGGGGAGGGATAGAGACCGGTTCGGAAATATCTATATAGCTGTTAGTGTCTTGTTTTGAAGTGTCCAGATTTATACATGATTTGTCATTTGGGATGTGTATCGATGACAGTATAAGTAATTATCTTGATTCAGACACAGCAACTGGCATAAATGAGGCAACAGTATATATGAACATGACGGTGAAATGGCTACAAAAGAAAAGAAAAGCAATTCAGAGGGCAATTCAGCGAAGTGTGGGTGGTATGTAATGATTCATTCATACTTCACAGGAATCCACCACCTTGGGAAACGGGGAAAAGCACGTACGTATCAATAAAGTTAATTCCTGTGTATTCATTCTTCACCAAAATCTCTCCCTCCTTAGGCGTGGGCACTGCAAGGTCGGTCTTGTACTGGAGCACTTCAGGACCGCCGGTTTTCTCGACCAGGATGCCGGTCATGGTCTTTGGGATCGTGGAAGAAGCCATTGTGATGGATCGGCGCGAGAACGGACACGGGAGATGAGTTGGCCGTAAGACAGAAGAGTGCAACGATATAGTAAGAGAGTTTACTCGTAATTGCGGAGAAAGGATGTTACTCGATTGTGGAAGGGAGAGGCGGAGAGGGGCGGCAGAAACGCGAGGTTGTAGTAAAGCACGGGAAATGCGTTTGGTCACAATTGACATGGGATTTGTTAGAAATAAGAATAAGTAACCCAATTTAAGGAACAGGAAATGCTATATATGATAATCTGACAAAGAGAACTGGATTTGTCATGAGGAGTGGAGTTCGAAAAGGGGTCCCGGGGGTTTAGTGGGGTGTTGATGCTGAATTGGTTGATAATGACGTGCCCAGACTTATCAACGTTATCGCTATGTAGCCTCCGTAGTTCGGCGTTTCAAGCTCGGACTTAACTTATGGGGAATCATTGTAGCGATAAAAGCGAAAATGGCACCTTGGGCGAAAGGTGGAGCTTGAAGTGATAGAACAAGTCATCAAAAGTGTCACATGCTTATATTATCCTTTTGATTGCTTTCAATTCATTTCTAGATCTCTGCCCACATTGTATCTAGTTCAACCTTTGCAAGAGCTATGCGCAACCGCACTTGATGCGCTAAGATCGCTACCCCATGATTGCACGGGAAGTTATTCAACATCCTCTCCCTCCATGGCACCCTGCGCTTGATTATCATCTTCATTATTTCCTCGGGGGACAGGCTCCTTCCACCCCTGCATGAGCTCATTGGGCAAAAAGGTATAGAATGAGCAGAGCACGGAAGTAACAGTATCAAAGTACTTGATACCACAGTCAAGCTCCCGTACCGTTGCTTCTATTTTCATCCCCTCGAAACAATACTTGAGCACGTCTTCTTCCACCCAGAACTCATATTTTGGGTCTTGCCTTTGCGGTCCAGATTCTTCATCATCTGACATGTCCTCTTCGGGATTAGAAGGATTCCGCCAGCCTTTTACTCTAATCTTACCCAGCACAGGCAATCCTCCTTTGAGTTGCTTCCCGTAAAACTCCTTGGTTTCAGTATCAGCGTAGAGGATTTCATCAATCTCAAAACCAACATCTTCGGTTTTGATTACAGTAGGAGTGCCTTTTGCCGCCACCTGAATTTGCTCATCTGTCCCGTAAGCAGCTAGACCCGCCATGACAGTCTGCTTAGCTTCCTTATCGCTCATGCCCGCCGGATCGTCAGAGGGATCGCTCCACGATTTGTCGCCAGTATACATGCCACAAAAGTAACCGCCATATAACGTCGAATTGGCCATGTTGAATCTACCAGGAAGCAGTTTTGTCGCCATCCTGGTCATGAAGAGCTCTTTCTCAGCTAGATCGCAAAGACGGCGAGCGGCGTAAATCTGATCCTCATATTCCGGACAGACATTGTGGTGGAGCACATAGTTGAGGAAATTCCGGATAATGGCCGTGCACGCCTTTATCTGCTTTTCAGTGTCGAGGTCAAAGTACCCGGGGACGAAGGAGGACCTGAAGCTTAATTTAGCGCTTGAAAACTCAGAGAAGTTCTTAAAACTCACAAAAACCCCTTGGCCACACCCTCAAAATCCACTTCCCAAATTGATCCATCCTTTCCAATGCTACCTTTGTCCGGGTCAACGTGACTGGCGGAAGTCATAGCCGCAATATCTGCGGCATCTCTGTCTTCGAGGAATTCACTATCGAGACCTCCTGTAAACATTTTGGGCGTAGCGTTAATTCCTCCGAGAGTCATGTATTTGTCGAAAATATTCTTTCTCTCTGAGTCAAAATTTCTCTTCGCTTTGTAACGTTGAATGCAAGTTTCAATGCGTCTGTATTCCACTATCTGAGCAAGAAAATTTAAACAAATCGTGCAAGAAGTTACCCACTCTGCAAAGGATCGGGAACTTTTTCGGACATCAGCATTAGATATTATCGTGAAGAGTTTTCAGAACTCACGGATGATAGAGCCCTCGCTCCTCTTCAAATTCAGCTGGTGTGATCGGAGCATCAACATAATACTCCTCGAAGCCAGTAGGTTTGTTCTAAGGTAGCCCAAATCAGCAACAAAGGGATGCAATCTCCTACAAAAACCCATACCGCTTTTCGTTTGCTCTTCTTTTTCTTCTTTTTGGGAACTTCAACCCCATCTTTTTGCTCTTCGGCAGCAGGGTCTGGGCCATGCGGTCCTTGATCAGGCTCAGCAGTAGCGACATTTGCCGGTGTGTTTCCTTCCGCAGCATCACCAGGCGTGTTTTCATTGGCCAACTCGGTAGAAGAAAGCATTTCTCCAGAGGATGTCAGTGTTGGCTCCTGGAGCTCGCTCTCTGAGGCCATCGGAATAGAAAAAAGGCTTTCCTGCTTTTGACCCAGTGTACGACAAATCGAAGGCAAGTTAGATAACAAAACAGAATATTCGAAGAGGTGCAAAAGAATTGAAAGAAGATAAAAGTATTAAATCTAAAGTAAATGAATTAAATGCGCAGACGAATAGTGATGGTTTCAAAAGTTGAGACCCCGAGCCTTCTTAGCGGTGGTCACGGAAAAGTGAAGCGTGACTTGAATGAAAGGAAAGTATTAGCACATTCACGCTGGCATTGTTGAGGTATAAACTCAAACCCAATTATATCACAATTACAGTTTTCTTGCGAAAGAAACGCCTCCTGGCTTGAAGTCGGACTGAATTTGCCGGCTGGGACTGGCTTTGAAATAAACAAACAGATGAGCAATTGAGGTGTTTGCTCTCGGTTGTCCGCATGACTTAGATAAACATATTATCGGTTCGATACTCAGCACCGTACTCTGTACTCTCAACACGATAATAGAACAAGACACTGCTAGGTGGGCGACTGGGCTGATCTCATGATGTTCGTAGCTCACATGAAACGAACGTGTTATTTATTAATGGCATGTTTTATATGGGAAAGCCAACTCCTTACTCGTTGCACCGGTCCTACAAGTTAAAGTTACATATTTTGAACGTAAAATGCGCCATGACCCTTAAATGTCAAAATGAACAAGGGAGAAGCTTTCTGAAAGCAGTCGGCCACTTTTGACGAAATCATCCAACTTGGAAAAGTATTACCACACCAAAAAGCTTCCATGAACTCAATGAAAACCATTTACAGCTTCTCTCACGCTTTCGAGCTCCTCTTTTCGAGCTCGAAAGGTATCTTGTGCTTCGCGCTCACGCTTGCTGATGAATTCCACTTCAGACCGAAGCGACTCCAAACGTCTTGGAATGGCCGCATCCTCTGAAATTTGGAGTGTGCGAAAAGTATCCAGGGCAGCCGATGACTTTTCTAGGGCCTCCGCAGCCTCAGTAATCTTTTGACGAAGTGTTTTCGCTCGCTGTTGATAGCCACCGAAATGGAGCGCAAGCTTTTTCTCCACTTTATTCCCTCGGTCTGCGTCGCCCATTATCTTTTCTTGAATATTCTGTGCGCCGTCAGCGATGTACCCCCGAAAAAAAAAAATAAATAAATAAAACAAAGGAGCTGCCGACTTACATCGAACGATTCAACCATCAGTTGATGCTCGTCAATCTCATCTTCGCCATAACCGGCAAGTCCTGGTAGCATGCTAGAGCCATGAATTGCTGCCCAAGCGGCATCAAAGTCTTCTTGACGTTCCTTTGAATTTCCTTGAGGGCCTTCTAGGACAATCTCCATCCGCGCCCGGTTCAAAGCATCGTCTTCAAACTGTTCTAAGATTTTCGACTTTCCATGGACTTTTCCTCCCTTGATAGGATACTTGGTCGCATCATTTGCAATGAGAAGGGCCATTTCCTCCGCAATAGCTCGTTCAGCGGGGTCTTTGACGTGTCTTGCATTTTCCACCAGAGCATCAACGTCAACTGTCGACGGACGAGGTAGAGACTTTTGTAGCACTTGACTTTGCCGCTTGAACTCGGCTCGTTCAGCCGCTTCTCTGAGGAGCCGGTTTCGCCTATCACGCTCTGCCGCATCTTCTTCAGAGAGCTCGACAGGAGCCGCTTTCTCTCGCTGCTCCTCGGGAAGCTCCAATTCCCATTCGGTCTCTTTCGGCTTTGGTAGCGCCGCAAATCTAAGTACATGTTAGAAATTTTGTTCATAAGAGGCGGAGGAGAAATTTTCTTAAACATACCCCTTTCGCAGAGTATCTTTCATTGAAGACTCTCGAAGTTTCAACTCCTTTGGAGTTTCTCCAACCCCAGGAATGTAGCCATCTCGGTTGATTGAGAAATTATCCCGAGGTGTCCGCAGAGGTGTTGCTCCGGCCCCCATTGGCGTACGGAGAGGAGTCGCGCCTATTCCGCCGCCACCTTGACGGAAAGGGGTTGCCATCGGATTAGGCGTCGACATCTGTTGACTGCGAGGTGCCACACCATCAAAACCAGTCGACCCACTCCCCTCATGTAACGGAGTGTTTTCACCACCAAGCAATGACGACTGCGTTTCAGTTAAAGCCCGAATATTACGAATCTCATTTGCAATGTGATCCTCTTGTGGCGGGGCTCTCGGCGTTCTGATCGGAGTCCCACCCACAATGCTTGAATAATTTCCCACGAGACCTCTCGTCGCGTCATTGTCGCTGCCGCCGGCAGCACGACTGGCTCTCTCCCCAGCCATACCCATCTTAACAATGTCCTCTAATTCAGTCTCACTAACTTGCGGGGTTGGAAGTACAAGCGCTCTTCTCTTGCTGCTTTGCTCAGCTTCGCGAATGCGCTGCATCTGCCCAGCTTTAGCAGCGGCTGCAAAGGCAGACGAGTTGCTATTCTCGTTCTTCCTTCGTTTCCGATCAGGATCTTCCTCTTGGTCTCCTTTTCGCTTAGTTGCCAGTTGTTGCTTTCGGGGATCAAATGCTTCTCGCTGGCGTTCATTCCGGTCCTGCTCGTCAAGCGTATCGTAGAACCCCGCTGCTGGGGCCTTTTCGAAAGGAATGTCGGCATTGTAATCCATCTGTCCCTTTTTGCGGTTGACAACTTTGATGTTGATGCCAGCATTTTTTAATTCCCGTCTTTTCTGCAGCACTGCTAGTCGCCGAGATTCCTCCAGTTGTCGCTCCCGAGCCTTCCGCTTTGCCTTTTTACCCTGCGTATTGGCCAGACGTGCTCGCGCTTCGCTGAGCATTTCCTTCTCATCTTCATCAAGGTCAATGGTATCCGGACGTGCTGGCTTGGACTCAGGATCAGGGTCAACTTCTCCAGGTCTGTTCTTGTTAGCTGGCGCAGTAATCTATTTGAATTTTCATGCCTACCTTAGCTTTCTAACATCATCCGCACTGGGGGCAGCGGTCTCGCCACCGGATGGACCCCCAAGCCCGAACTCATCATTTTCCCTTGCCTCGGCTTCATCGAGCAATTTTTGATATCGTTCCAGACATTGTGTGGCAGTGCGTCCGACAATAGGTGCAATCGTTCTCCATTGAGTTGGCATTAATTTTGCAAGGTGCAATAATTTCTCATCCTCCTCCTTTGACCACTCAATTTTGCGAATGCTTGGGTCCAGCCATTCTGACCACCGAGCTTTGCATTGCTTGGGCGTCTTCCGTGCAAGCAGCGATGATACTCGAGCCCATTGGTTCAGGCCATATTTACTGACACTAGCTTTGAGGATCTCGTCTTCGATATTTGTCCTGCAAAAGTCAGATTAGGACTCTTTGACAAGATAGAAAAATCACATACCAAACTCCACCTTTGACGACCGGCATGTTGGGCAACTTGAGCGTCTAGTGTCTTGCCGTTCGTGAGATTCACATCTACTGGAGCAGCGGAAGGAGAGTTCAGGTTTACGATTATGTAATCAAGATCAAGCTCTCCGTTTTGCGGGTAAACTTTCTACCGAAATCTGCCCGTCAACCCCTCGAACGTCAATTGCTGTGACGTAGGAAGCGAGGGCAGTACGCAATAAGGCTTCCCGCTGAGTTTAACGAAATGCAAGCTTCAGCTTGTTGTGAGGACAAAGCACCGCAGGATGAGCTTCACAGCAACTAAACTAGGATTCGAGCAGTGCGCAAATGTTGCACAGATTTCAAGGCTGCCACAGAGATTAAACGCCAGAGCTCTGTCAAGCAATGCAAAGACAAAAGAACCTTCCCAGGGCCCAGTGAAAGTGAGGATTGACGTAAAAGTTTAGCAAGTCTGGCGTCTGACATACATCAGGATGAGTCCACAGCTGAGGCAACTGAAAAGCCTGAAAAGAAATCGATAGCAGAGGCAGATGATGAGCTCCGTCACAAGCTCGAAGGGAGGTCTGGAGAAGGAGGATCAGCTGGCTTAGAATACGAAGATGGACGTCCGGTCTCAGTGAAGAGAAGCGTTCGAAATAATATGTTCCGGTATATCTAAATTCACTTGCTGAATTCTAATGAAGGATATTTCATGGAGTTTGGCGAATTGTCGGGCTTGTCATTCAAACCTACCCCTCAAATGTGTGTTAAAGGACTTTGGGAGACTTTTGGAAGAAAGGGGCATATGATGGCACCGTCAAAACAATTTTGCATTCAAGTATCGCATTTCAATAATAAGTTCTTGAAATAATCTGCCGAGAGAGAGAGAGAGAGAGAGAGAGAGAGAGAGCGATCTCTATGAGATAGGGAGATATACTCTAGGACGGCGCAAGCTCTAACATAAACACTTTTGTCAACCCGATGAATCCGCCTCACAAGGGGAGCTAGACCAAAATCCTTTCCAGTTGAATTTGAGGACCTCATCCCCCCAAGACCACCACTCTGAGGTAAGATGCCGTGCGAAGAGTTCCAAAGCCAGGTAATTCCGGGCATCCGGCACCAGTAGAGGCATAAGTTCTGCTCATGTTAATGTGATTTCGAACGGAGAAGGCTTGTTGGACGCTCACTTTTGAGACAAGGTTTTCTTGAATGCAGGTCTGGTACACCTGCAATGACCCTTGACTTGACATTAAATTGGGATTCTTGCCTCGCCCCCATGCGGCGCCCCAAAAGAAGAATCTCATATGGTTTCCTCCACAGGCTGTCAAGGCTGGTAATTGGCTGACCGTTAGTGGTTGTTTTGATCCAGACCCATTCTTCTACAAGCTGTAATTCTAAATGACCAAAAAGCCCATCTTCCCCAACTATTGAGTCTCTGAGGCTGGGCTTATTTGTTATCCATACACCAACGTGACCTTGCTCCTTTAGGAGTGAGTCGAGTTGCAAGGAAAGTATCGTTGTCTTCATATCTGCTAATGTTCTGTGCAGCTTGTAACCGGATCGACGTTTTGCGGAAGCATTCGGCCAAGGAGGGTCCATCAGAATAATATCGAAACGCCTGAGTTCATGCTTCTGTCGCTCGAGTTCCGCGACGGACTCGTGAAGATGCCCAAATCCCTTGATATCTGAGAGCATAAAAGTTGATAAGGGCGGTACTTGAAATGAGTATACTCTTTCATGACCAAAACCCGGGAGCTCTTTATCAGAGACGGCTAAGTCCTGAGAAGTCTGCTCCGTGTTTGCAATGGCGTAGAAAGGATCGTCTGGGCCTTCTAGCAGGGTTCCTTCGCTCTGGCAGAGATGCTGTAATGGTCTTGGCCATCTCGTCCGCCACAAAGATTTCCGGGTGAGAGCGGTCATCTTCTGCATGAGATTTGATGGAAGTGATATTCTAGAATCACATTCTGAGATCGAATCTGTTGAGCGACGATCATTAGGACCAGATTTCCTCTTTCGTGATCGTTGATCCAGGTCTCCACTAGACATTGGGGCAGTAAATCGTGTTAAGCACCAATCGTTCTGCCAATGGCTTTGAATCTCCACCAACGCTTCCCGAATGAGTTGCGCATAATAAGCGTGTAGCTCTGCATCGACAGTATTCTGCTGAATCTTTTCAACCGCAGCTTGAGACTTTGGCTCATTTGTTGAAAATGGTTTTTGCATGGGTTGTGCGGAAAATAGTCTATCCGTACATGGCTGAGAATCTACGCCTTGCGCTTCTTGAATTGAAGTTGGTATATCAATCAGGAAGACGGTATTTTCAGAATTTTGATACAAGATTGATGAAGAGCTCAGTGATACTATAGCCATATTTATCCCGGAGCAAACCATAAATTTGCATTTTCCCCGCCAATGTTACAATGCTCGAAGAGCTTTGTGTCCACGAGAGTTCCTTAATTGAGGCAACTCCGGAAGGGTGGGTTGACACTGATAAAACGCTGATGAAGGCCATTTCAGTCGTGTTAGAGTGTGGTGTCTACAGAACCGTAGGTATATTTTAGTCTCTTGGCTTCTGGCCCCCACGAGCGGGGCCGCTATCGTTTAGGTGGGTGAAAGCGCCTCTTTCAGTCTAAATTTCACTGCCACCGCTTATCCATGGTTAACCTTGTGTATAATGCGGTACCTTTGCCTCTCCACCTCCCGGGGTCTGAACAATGCGGGGTGCCACTGATCTGGCCCTTTTGCTGCGAAGCAAGACATAGTCCACAGTCCGGCAGCGCTTTTTGGAGTAACATGAAGTCAGATACAGGGAGTCCGATTTCATGATTGAGCCTTTCATACTCAGTCAGGTACATTTGCAAAGTGTCTTTTGGAGCAGGAGTTCGATCGACTGATAACACCAAATAGACCTCTTTAATATAGCGTCATTCTGTTCCCAACACAAAACGTTACACAACGACTGGCTAAATTAATCTTCAATGCCAATTCACCGCTTAATTGACTCGATTACCCTGATTCTCATAGCAAGGAGAAGTTTAAATGAAAACTATGGTGCATTGTCGATTTGAACACGGCGTGATTGGAGTCTTGCTGATTGTTATTTGGGTGCTTCTGAGTATGCTTTACAATGGCGATTGTGACTTAGAACTTCTCGTCTTAAAGATAGTCGACTAATCTACTCAAGCCTCGCCACAAGAAAACAGATCATTTCGGAGCCCTTCAGCTCCATCAAATACTGAGCCTGAGAGCAAGACTTCGTCGACCACGGCCTCTGACAAAGATAGCGGCTGCGTCCCTCACATTCCAAGCCCGGTTCTGTCAGACCCCTCAATTTTGTCTCACTCAGCAGTGATCAACGCGCTAGATGAGTTAAATTGTCGATTTCCAAATGTTCTTGAAGATGACAGAGATGGTGTATCCGTTGCCATCGTGCATGCCTCTGCAGGCAGGATTTATTCGTTCAATCATGGATATAAGAGACTCAATGAGAGCGAGAAAATTTACTCTGGATCGACTTCCATATCAACACAGGGAAACAGTTTCGAATTGATTGATGGCGACTCCATATTTCGCATAGCTTCCATCACAAAAATGTTTACGGTGCTTGAGACATTGGTTCTTTCAAAGAATAGCCACGCTAAAAAGGGAAGATTTCGGTTGACTTTGGATACACGCGTTAAGGACCTCCTCCCCCAATTTTCACTGGATAACGCTTTTGAGGATGATGTCAATGAGATAACGCTCGCCATGCTTGGAAGCCACCGTGCCGGTCTTGAGCGGGACACCGGTCTTTTTCTCGTGGAGAACCTTTATAATATCACCTATCCTCCAAGACGCAGGGAAATTCTTCGATCATCTTTCGAGGTTGAAAATGTCCGAGAATCGGCAGATGAACATCCAATCCACCCATCTAGCAAGCTCGAACAGGTGGGTGCCAGGAGAGAATTCGAGTGGCCTCCCCAAGGCGATAGACCTCTCTTTCCCAAAAGGTCTCGTCAATCATTCCTAGATAAGCTCAAACACTCCGACCATGTTTGGAGGGTAGGAGAAATGGCAAGCTGTACGAATTAGCTCAATCGTCTTTTCTGCAGAGATCTGGGAGTATCTACTGACTGATATGATCAGATTCGAACTCGGGATTCAATGTGCTCGCCTACGCGCTTGAGTCTTTTGAGAGGCAACGGAAGGGAGAGTCTCTCCCGTTTCGAAAGTTGGTCGAAAGGGATATTTTAACACCATTGAACATGTCGCACTCCTTTCTAGGCCCTATTCCAAGTCATCTTTTGGAATATATAACCACTCCGAATTTGTACAATGTCGTCGACCTCGACATGAGTGAAGCAGATGATGGGTATGTAAACGATATTGGGTCGAAAATGGCAACGTTACTCGATTACTGATAAAATGCTCCAGAGCTGGTGGCATGTTCTCATCTACCAACGACCTCTCCGTGCTCTTGCAAAAAGTACTGCTTTCACAAAACCCGGCCTTGATATCCGCCCCTCAGCGTCAAGCTTGGTTGCGACCTTCATTTCCCATTGCGGATGGAAATACGGCTGTTGGAATTCCGTGGGAGATTGGAACATTATCAGAAATTGATGATGCCCCAACATATCAGGTTTATTCAAAGGGTGGAGCCCTCCCAGGGCACTATTCACAGATATCCTTAATTCCCGAGCTCGAATATGGCATCGCGACGCTGGTCGCCATAGGATCTTCTCAGGAGGAATCTGACGTTGGCGCCTCAAATCAAACGTCCCCGTCAAGCATAAACAGCCTGGCTCACAGCATCCTTGCCCCGGCAATTCTAGAGGCATACCACGACGTGCTGGAGCGGCGGTATGCCGGAACATATGTTGCTCAACAACCCTCTCAAGTCTCCGGGATCGCTGAGATTGTATTCTCCAAAGGCATGCTTGTGCTCAGAAAGCTTGTCGGAAATGAAGTGGATGTTCTCCTGCGACTCGATCAACTCTTTTGGATGGAAGTTGGAAAAGGAGATCGAAAGTACGGAGATGGGGCGAAGTTGTGGGGCACAGGGTATGATAATATCTTCAGAGCTGCACCTCGAGCAGGTTGCTCATGGGGAGCATTTGATCCGTGAGTTACAATACCAGGCACCCAATGCCCTGTAGGTAAAGTGTAGTAATAACTTATTGATGACAGTTACCAAACGACTTCTGGTATTGGCCTCGACAAAATCGTCTTTGAAGTGGACGAATCTGATCAACAGCAGCTGATCTATGAACCTCTGAATTTACGACTTACAAGGGTTCGTAGATAAGGCCGGCATTGCCTTGGGTAAATCGTCATTCATGAAATCCGGTAGCGCATATTTAATTCATCCTTCTCCTTCTCCTGATCGCTTGATATGCTTTTCTCTTTATTTGAGCTGAAATTGTTCCACTACAACGAATGCTAGCAATTATTGAACTCGTGCTAGGTATCTTCAAGTCTTCTGCGGAGGCAAGAGGTTGACGGTCTTTTCTTCGTCGGATCAACACATATTGCTAATTACTTTGTGCCAATGTAAGATTCAGTTGCAAAGGAATTATGTATTTTATTCATTACTATGCGCCTCATGTCATTGGGTGGTATGGTAGCGTTCATGTGCCCCGAGCAAATATCGGCAACCGAAGGGGGAAGGAGGGCGCGAGGGTCTCTCGGAGTTTTGGCGAAACTCCGTCCCTCGGTCAATCTTCCGAGGATGTATTGCGCCCCAGGTTTTCATCATATTATCTTCTAACCTTCACTGCATACTCTTACACAAACAGCGTTCGAAATTCATCGACCCATTCAATCAAGCGACAACGCGCAACATAGATGTCGCTTGGATTGATGCAATTCTGAGAGAAAGTAGCACCTTTTCTCCTAGCTCTTTCGGGTTCCTGCTTTGCCTTGCGGAACCCCTCTACGTCTTGAGCCTGCCCCATCTCGCCGTCGGTGGGGATGCCCCCGACTCTCGCCGACTATGGCTCGTCATCTCCGCCCAAGGACGGACCACGAGAGATGAGCACCTTTAAAACCGTTCGACGAAATAAAGACGATCCGGCAACATGCTCAACTGACGAGGACTCGATTCCGACAAAGGGTGCCCAGGAGGGTCGGAAATCAGACAAGCGTAGTTTGGACTATGCAATGCGCAGTGGACTTGCGGGAGGCCTGGCAGGGTGCGCTGTAAGTGTTCATAATTTGATTCCCTCAACGTAAATTTTTCCCGCTGTCGTTTCTGTGGGCTGTGTATCTTATCGCAGAAGAACAACAAGCACTCAATCCAAAGATGAATGGGTATTAACGCATGATGGAATAGGCCAAAACAGTTGTCGGTCCGCTAGATCGCGTCAAGATTCTTTTCCAAGCATCCAATCCGCAATTTATGAAGTACACAGGCTCTTGGACAGGGTTGGCAACCGCACTTAGAGATATATACAGCACATCAGGAATGCGGGGTCTCTTCAGAGGCCACTCGGCCACGCTATTGCGTGTCTTCCCATACGCTGCTATCAAATTCATCGCATATGAGCAAATCCGTGCCGTTCTCATTCAAAACAAATCTCAAGAGACGCCTGGGCGCCGCCTTATTAGCGGATCTCTAGCAGGCATAACCTCCGTCTTCTTCACGTATCCACTTGAGGTAATCCGCGTGCGGTTAGCATTTGAGACGAAACAACACTCGCGTTCATCGCTATCGTCAATCTGCAGACAGATATACAATGAAGTCCCTCACTCAAGCGTGGCCTCGCCGTCAACGTCGCCATCTACAGCTACACCTCCCTCCGCCGCTGCTTCCACCGCCCGCCATCTTTCCTCTTCCGCTGCACATCATCACAACCCTCTTGGCGCAACTGCTGCCGCAGCATCGTCCTCTGCGCAAACAGCAAGTGCATCACTCGAAGGAATAACAACCCAGCGCGGCCTGGCCAATTTTTTCCGTGGGTTCAGTCCTACCCTCGTTGGTATGCTCCCCTACGCTGGCATGTCGTTTTTGACGCATGATTATGCTGGAGATGTTTTGCGGCATAATTTCTTCGAGGAGTATACGACAATACCAGGAACTGCAGATCCAGCTCGTCATAAGTCTAAGCAGCTAAAATACTGGGCCGAACTTGCCGCAGGAGGTCTTGCGGGTCTTGTTTCCCAGACAGCTTCATATCCATTTGAAGTCATTCGACGACGAATGCAGGTCGGTGGCGCCGTCGGCGATGGTCATCGATTGCGTATGACTGAGACTGCGCGTCTCATCTGGGCGGAGCGCGGGTTCCGCGGATTTTGGATTGGATTAACTATTGGCTACCTCAAAGTTGTACCAATGGTTGCAACAAGCTTTTTCGTCTACGAGCGAGGAAAATACTGGCTAGGTATTTAGCTTGCTTCGCCCGGCGGCTCGATTTCAAAATCGGTTATCCTTTTTCTTCTGCGCCGTATCTTTTGTTTTGAGAGTCTCTGGATCGATCTATTCGCTACGTATCTGTTTCTTCTGTCACTCAACAATACCTATGATTGCTTTTTATTTCTTATTGCAGCAAATACACTATATGATACTGCTCACTAACGTTGTCTGGTCTCGTTGACTCCTTTTTTCTCCCTTTCTTCTTGCTTTCTTGAACAAGCGGTAGAGACGTGCGCAAGCGGCAGCGAAGACTAGACCTTCGATGGCATCAGAGAGGTCGTTCTTGATTTTGAATATAACGTCCTGGTGCGCGCTCAAGTGGTTCAAACGGGAAATTTAGCATACGGAGCAAAGTTGTGCTTCAATGTTGTTCCAAGGGGCCTTTTCTCTGGCGTTCATCCATTACTGGTTTGTCACATTTTCTCGAGATACTATTCTGCTCGAAGACAAAAAGGGACTGTAAATATCCGAAAGCGAAGATGAATATAAATTTCGATTTTGGATTGTTTGTCTTAAAACTGAAGGATTATGTTGTTCGACCATTTCCGAAAATGATGTCCAGTTGCTCCCAACATAGTAACATGAAGCTTCAGATATATTCGAAGCCAACTCTGGAGATTGTAGATTTTGAGACCGATTTCTGTTGGCAGCTAATGGGTATCTGCATTTTTGTACTTGGGTGTTGGAACAGGTATACTGCTGATGCGCAGTGAAGAGTGTTGCATTGGTGAACCCAGTTCCAGCAATCGTCTTTGATTATTGTTCGACCCGTGGGCCCCGCGATTGTGGCAGACGAGAAATGATATGCTCATCTCTCATCTTCGCCATCTTCGGCGTGGTCCTTCCTCCATTGTTTAAGCCATGACTCAATACGCTCGACATTGCTTTCAATATCATCTGCGCTGTCACTGCGCAACTCTACAACAATCTCTTCATCGTAGGATTCGCGAGCTTCGTCGAGAAGGACCTGCATGATCTCTGCGTCCATATTTTCATCAAGCTTGGCTTGAGGATAGCCTCTATTATGTCGAAAACGTTTGTTAATAAATAATCTCTGACCATTGAAATTGTCGGCGGAAAAAAAGAAGGATACGCAAAAGAATGGCGTATTGGTAAGATCATAACAAACTCACCTTGCGGAAAGTCGATCATAGAGCAAAGTTGAATCCGTGCGCAAGACGACGACAAGGTCGATCCAGCTGCGCGGGAACAAATCGCATGCATGCCAATCAATAATGTAACCGCCTTGCTTGACCTCATCTTCGATTGCGTCCAGAAGCTAAGAAAGATTTACTATTATCAGCGACCGGCACCTAAAAGAGTGGTGTAGAGATGGCGTATCTGATTACATACCTTATCTTCATCCACAATCCACGTCTTCAACTCATCGTCATATCCATCGTGGCATTCCCGCTCCTTGACAATTTGGTTGATAGAGAGGTGCTTGAGGCCGGTGTTTTCCGCAAGTAGTTCGCAGTGGCTGGTTTTGCCAACGCCGGGCGTTCCGGTGATGATAACGTTCGGGTTATTCTTGACCATTTTTGTGATGGCTTCGATTTCGATAGTTGTAGAGAAAGAAAATATGGTTTATCGCTGGAAAGATTCCCTTTGGAAGATTGGGATAGTGGTGAAGAGGAATGTCAACTGAATTTGGTTTTTCTGCCACCGAGGTTGGCCGGGGACAATGGCGCATAAGGCGGAGGTTACCGAGGGCGGTGAGAGGAGACGCTATGCGATCACAGGGCACTCGGCAGCACAGATAAGTGCAGCTCCCTCGGCATGTCTTACCCATTCCATTCATTCCGTAACTTTCGTCAATCTCATTACTGTGCAGTGTGTTGTATCATACGGTCGTTATGCTCTTCTCATGACCAATTTGCAAGCTTGGGCCATATCTGGCCTGTTATAACATATAAGGCGATATAAATCAAGTTCCCTTATACAATGGAGTTTATGACCCATCTTCAAGAAGGGTTTGATCCGCTCAAGCCCTCTCTCTTTGGTAGGTCTCGCTCTTCTGCTGCGCAAGCTTTATACGAATGAAAGCCTGTAATTGACAATTTTCTTGATAGAGCTCCTCTCGGAGCAGCAGCTTTCGTCTCTTCTCCCCCCATCGATTCGATATCTGCTTGCCCTCGCAACACACCGCCACCCCCGTTATCTCCTCCGAATCCTCAACTCCTTTGATGAAGTCTACGCTCTGCTCATGCTCCTCGTGGAGAGGCATTACCTCAAAACACACGGAGGAAGTTTCACAGAAAACTTCTATGGACTGAAGCGGGAGCGCGTGCTGCGCGTCAAAGGCGGTGAAATTCCCCGCGCGCAACTTGGGGCCGCCAACCTCGTGCGCGAAACGCTCAAGCTGCGCAACATCGACATCTGGAAGAATCTCGCAGTTATGGTAGGAATTCCATATCTGAAGAGAAAACTTGACGAAGGGTACGACATGCACATTCCCCAAGCAACCTTGCTCGGAGGGCCGAGCTATGTTAATCGCGATGCGCTTCCTCCCAATCCAACAATCAAACAGCGCTTGATGTTCTACTACAAGTGGTTCCTACGACATGTCTACCCGAGCGTCAACGCAGCATATTATTTCTCCATATTGGCGTTCAATCTAGCATATCTCTTCGACAACTCCCGCTATAACAATCCCTTTCTTTGGTTGATTGGAATCCGGATGCGCCGGCTCGGCGCAGCTGACCATCGCGCCATTGCGGAAGCCCTGCAACCTAAATCGAGCGCATCGGGCTCAGGAACAAGACCCGGAGAGGCAGTGACATCTATGTTCCACCCACGAATACTCACAACTACCATTCTTCCAAGACTTTTATCCTCTCTGAGATACCTGCTCCCTACGTCCATCTTCGCCCTCAAGTTCCTTGAATGGTGGCACGCTTCAGACTTTGCAAGGCAGTTATCTCGTAAAGCCACTGAAAATATTGAACTCCCACCTCCGGTCATAGCGGGATATGATAAACTTGCCCAAAAGGGCACCAAACCACATTCATCCTCACCGTCCACTACCACTACCCCCGGCGAGAAACACCAAACCAACCCAGACCAGCCTTCATTACGCCTTTCCACATCTTCAACTGCCAAGCGTCATAGCAGAAAGCTGTCACCGCCTATTGATGCTCATTCCCTCCTACCCATTTTCACTGTCCCACTCCCCCCGCCATCCAGCAGTAATCTGTGTCCGATTTGCTTGGACACAGTCGAAACACCGACCGCCGCTCAAACAGGCTACGTCTATTGTTACGCCTGCATACATAAATGGGTAGCAGGCATTCATGAGCGACAAGAAGCCTTCATGGAAGGTGGTAGCGGTGCGGTAGGTGGCGGAGTCAGTGAGGGTGGGCGACGAGTATACGCAGCCTCTCATCATGGAATTGATGAAGGATACGACGAGCAAATTACGTCCCCTTGGGCAGAAAAAGATGAAGAACGCCAGGAAGAGGAAGAGGAAGAAATAGGCAGCCGGATAGGATCCTGGGAAAGTGGAAAAGGCAGATGTGCTGTCACAGGACGCAGAGTATTGGGTGGCACTGATGGCCTAAGAAGAGTTATGATTTGAGCATCTCTCGTGTCTAGACTTACTGGCTAGACTAATGTTCCACCTTTTCCGCTTCCGCCATTTGGATTTATGATTGAAAGACTCGTATAAGATACCTTTGCTTTAAGAATTGGCTTCGTTTTGTATTTATATCAATAAGTTTTGAAGGGTTAAAGAGGATTCTGCGTTTCGGATGATTGACTCTAGGTATATTCCCCAGGGAACAATGTGTCGATTTAGCATTTCTCACATCAACGAATTCCAATTTAGAAAGAACGGCGACCACAATCAAATGGACATCTAGGGCAGTTCTCAAAGTCCCAGCACCGCCTGCGGACATTCTCTCTAAGCCAACTCATTCTGCAACTGATGTCCGCCTCTATACTTGACTATCATGCGGACACCGCTGGGGCAGCATGCAATTTCTCTGTGCCTTCACCCGGTTCTCTCGTGGCTTTCGCTCTTCTCAGGCCCCAAAGTCGTAAAGCTTGTGTATAAAAAGCTCAATATTTAGACATACGGTCATTCAAATCACATATTTCAATGGTAGAAGTACTATTAATAAAAAAAATAATTCAGGGGATAAGTAATATGGAAGTATTACGATGAATTGACGACGATATCAGGGAGTGATTGCACGAGTGGTTAGAACGGAGACGAGCGAATAGAGCGAGTCTTATCGATAAGGGAGAAAACTTCCCACCGGACGAGGCACGTAAAGACCAAAAGTCTATCGGAGGACAAGTAGTTCTGCTGGCCATTCGATACAATCCAACACTTACTCTCCAATAGATTTAACTTGGATATAACTGCCACCCTCCAATATCATACAAATTTCCAATCGATCTCAGCCGCCATGGCCACGCAGGCGCGCAATGAATGGCTCGACGACCGCTTGAGCGACGAAGACGAAGACAACGACCAAGGTTACGATTCCGACGCGGCCGACGAGAGCAAAGGCAACAGACTCGCCCGCAGAGGAGGAAGCAAGCGTCAAAAAATCTCAAAGGACGATGATTATGATGAAGAAGATGATGATCTGAGCGATGAGGAGGAAGGGGAACTGGAGCCGCAAAAAGGACGAGCGCGCGAACCTACGAAGCCAGATGTGGCCGACCAGGACGAGCAAGTGGACGAAGAATACGAGGGCGAGGAGGGACAAGAAGATGACGACGAAGGAGAAGAAGAAGAATATGAAGAAGGGCCTTCCAAGCCCGACTTGAAACCTCTAACGCCCAAACAATTGGCCGCTGCGCAGCGCGCCGTGAAGAAGACTGGCGTCATTTACATATCACGGGTGCCGCCTTTCATGAAGCCTCAGACAATGAGGCATTATCTTTCACCGTTTGGAGAGATTGGGCGTATTTTCCTCACGCCCGAGGATCCGGCATCGCACACTCGCCGAGTCAAGTCGGGTGGAAACAAGAAGCGCTCCTTCACAGATGGCTGGGTCGAATACAAAAACAAAAAGGACGCAAAAATTGTCGCCGAAACGCTCAACACGCAACTCATTGGCGGCAAAAAGGGAAACTTTTATCATGACGATGTCTGGAATATCAAATACCTCAAGGGCTTCAAGTGGCATCACCTGACGGAGCAGATTGCCAACGAGAATGCAGAGCGCGCAGCTCGCTTGCGTGCAGATGTGGCCCAGGCAAGCCGAGAGAACAAATTGCTTGTCAGGAACATTGAGCGCGGAAAGATGTTGGACAATATGGAGGCAAAGAGGAAGCGGAAGCGCGAGAGGGGAACTGGTGAAATTGGGGATGGCAACAGGAGAACTGAACCTGTCAGTCTTGAGCCCCGACGGCACTTCCGCCAAAATGAGGTCAAGCTGAAGTCCGCCAAGGACCGCGGAAACGTGGATCAGCCAGACCAAGTCAAGCGTGTGCTCAGCAAGATTTTTTAAAAGCAGTGTCGGTGATACTCGTCAGGAGTCGGGGTTGTGGTTCATATTGGCCTTCTTTTCTTTGTGCAGTTTGTACTCGATGTTAAGCATAGTATTGCATAGCGGTCTACTCTGTTTTATTTGATCGAATAAACACCAACTTTTGTTACATTCACCTAATCCTGAAGCTCTCTAAATATGAAACACGTCTTATCCTTGCCTAATGGAGTGGCTAAAGTTCTATAACTGGACGTAAGAACTTGAACCCATAAACCTAGAACGCCGATATATAACCACTTCCAGATCCATTCTCCTCATCACTGCTGATCTGCCATATTGAGTTCATCAAAGTCTTCCAATAGCTCATCCATGTTAATCTTCGGCGCATCCTCGTCTTCGCTATCCTCAGACTTCTCTTCCTCTGCATCGCCTTCAACGCCCTCCATGCGCTCCGGTCTCGGCTTGGGTTGGTTCTTATACAGCGCCAATGTATTCCGCAGTTCGTTATCCTCCTCAACATCACGAAGGAACATCTCAAAGTCGTTCTCCAGACGCTCCTGGTCCTGTTTCTTGGGTAGTAGCTCACCCTCATCCTTGGCCATGCGCTTAAGGCGCCAGTTCCGGGTCCGGTTCTTCTTCTTCCGTGCGTAAAACTTCTTGACCAACATCACATCAGGAATAGTGTCTCGGTAAGTGTTGCTCTGCTCGAGTGCTTCAAAGTGCTCGTTGTTGAAATTAGTTCCAGTCAAATGGTATCCCATGACGGAATCGCCAACGTTGAGGACACCACCGAGATGGGTTCGGCAGAAGTACGTCTGATCGTTCGATCCCAGATCAGATGCGCGCGCCACAGTAGCCTCGGAGAGAACGAAGCGTCCCTTGACCGGGCCAAGGGGTTCGATATCAATGACAACGAACTCAACAAGTTCTTGCACATCCGCCAACGGAGTGAAGGGTTCACGCCAGTAGATTGGTGTTGAAATGTCGGCAGTCTGTAGAGTGTTGGGGTCGATTAAGTTCACCGAAGTGCCGACTCTATGGCACAGGGTCATAGGTGTGATGTTTCCGACAGACTTGGCAAGCTTGATAGGGAGGACAACCAAGTCATCCTTGCAGATGGGTACGATTTCAACTGAGAAGGTAAACTTATAAGATTTTGATGAGGTGTGAATATCCATGGAGATCAGTTCTTGAGACTTCTTAGCCCGAATAGGTACCACCGAGTTCAAAAAGTCGACTAGCTTCTCCGCGTGGTTACGCTGAGCATAAAAGAAGTCTAGACCATCCTTGGTCTCCTTGATGTTGATCGTATCCTTGTGCGCCGAATGCTTCAACATGAGCTGCTCCAGGTACAAGAAGGTCCGCTTGTGAGGGACCTTTTGCCGGACCTGCACAACAGCGCGCCAGGTGTTGGCAGTGTAGGACTTGGCGCAGTCGGGACATTGCTGGTAAGCCTGAACAAATTCGACCTCAAATGTCTGTTGCAAAATCGTGCCCTGGAACACTTCTTGCTGAACAGTAATTCGCAGCTTGATTCTCCGAGAGTGGGGCTCTGTCCAGATGAAACCGGCATCAATAATCCGAACTTTCTGTAAGCCTCGCAATTTTCTCAAGCATAATGCCAGTAGCTCTCGAGATTCAGGTGCGGCGACAAGCCAGTGCGCGGGAGGTTGCAGCCACCGCTCACAATCTCGGCAATAGTGAAGAGTGGCTTCTCGCTGTATTCCCTCGGTGATATCGATGGTCAACTTAATGCAGTCATAGCAAAGGGCGCCAGCAGATGAGGTTCCATCAATGGGAGCACCGCAGTTGCAGCAGAGAATCCTACGAAGAGCATATTAGATCAAACGGTTTTAAGGCACAAAATGTTTCATAGAAAACTTACGTAGCAGTATTCTGCGGCTGTTGCGGCTGATGCAACATTGTATGCTGCGGCGCAATGGGAACAGACTCATCCAGATCCATAGACATGGCGGGTGATCCTGAGTGAAACAAAGTCTTTTGAGAGAAGGAGGGTTGGAGGAGTCACAGCCAGCTGAAGACTCTCCGAAAGTCTGTGTGGTGACAAACACTGGGGTTTGGACTTTTGCCCCTCGGAAAGAGAGTGGATGATAATAATTTGATCGGAAATCGGAGAAACCCCGATTAGAAATCGCTTATCATTTTATCTAATCTGATCGGATTATATTGGATTGCTTAGTAAGCATTACGACAATTCGGAATCTTGCCAATTTTCCTCCAACAATTGGAAAAACAACAATTGTGAAACCTTCACTTATCTAACCTAGTCCTTTTTCTTTTTTTCAATATGGTCATTAGCAGAGCAATTGCTAATACCGCAAGGTGCAATGCGTGCCAATTGGCCGTTTTGAGATCCTTTACCTCCATTAGCACCCTCGCCGCAAGATCAACATCGACTCCTAATACGATTGTTCACCCAGCTCAATATCAAGCTAGAAGGATATCTGCGTGTCAGTCACGGCGTAGCTCAAGGGTAGAACAAAAACGTCCCTTTACTGGGCAGAGTTCCTCTGAACGAGATGGGCCTGATCCTATTGCGGAGGATTCGCCGAAAACCTCAACGACTGCAACGCCAACCCCGTGGTATCTTCAGGTCGAAACACCGCAGCAAGCGCCCTCGCCGCTCTCTGAAAGACAACGCCTTCCCGATTTGCCAGAAGATGCTCCTGTAATATTACAACCTATGCTGGAGTATGTCTCGGTTGATCTGGGTATAGATGACCTTACGCTATTTGACCTTCGCAACCTCGACCCGCCGCCAGCTTTGGGCGCAAATCTTGTGATGATAATTGGCACAGCTCGGAGCGAGAAACATCTCCATGTGTCTGCAGACCGACTCTGCCGCTGGCTGCGCAGTAATCATAAATTAACACCATTTGCTGATGGTCTGTTGGGACGGAATGAACTTAAGCTGAAGATGCGGAGAAAGGCTCGAAGGGCTCGAATGCTTGGCAGCGTTGGGGCCTCAGAGACAAGCAATGCTGATGATGGTGTTCGCACTGGATGGGTCTGCGTAAATGCTGGCAGAGTTGACGAACAGAAAACCGCCGTAAAAGACACGGTTCCTAAAGGCGTTGTTGGATTTGGAACAGCCTCTACAGGGACTCGAGTTGTTGTGCAAATGCTCACGGAAGATAAAAGAGGGGAGCTCAATCTTGAGGGGCTCTGGCAAGGTGCCCTGGACCGGCAGACCAGGAAGGAGGCGAAAGACCAAGAGTTGATCAAGGAACAGGAGGCGCAGGAAGCCAATTATGATCAGGATACCGTGCCTCAACTCGAACCTGATGTAGCTGGAGAGGTAGTTCATCGATCCACTATTCCCTCTGCAGAGTCAAGGCGCGTGTTCAATCCATTCCAGCGCACTCGAAGCCGATCCTTTTCAACAATTTCCCGCCTCCTTCAATCTCACGCTGCTAGCTTGCATGCATCCAAAGTAGATGGAGCAAACATAGATACTGTGGAACCGAGAATTGTGTCTCCAGCCGAAGGCAATTCATCAATACCAGAGTCGGTATGGCCATTTGAAGGAATGGGTAGTAGCCAACAGAAGGATAACATCCCGGCAGATTTCACGCACGCCGCGAAGACAATGAAGCTCCATGTCCTACTCAATCACCTTGAGGCCTTACCACAATCAGATGCTCTTGAGGTCTTGGGTAATGATGCCCATGACACGAACTCAAGTTCTTTCTTGCAGTCCTTTTACCAAAGCGTGCCGTCTTTCCCGGAGTCCAGCGACTGGGATTGCCGCGTCAGTCTTTTCTGTCGTGCCATTCAACTCGGCCACCCAGGCTACCCCAAGAGCAGCCTGTTTTCCGTTTTCCATGAAATGCAGCTCTCCGGCGTGGATGTTTCTGAAGCGACATTTCACAAGATCATCCAAGCATTGCTAAGCCGCAATGTATCCAACACTGTCAAAACCATCTCTGACGAGGAGCTGGACATGGCACTGACTGTTCTCGATGACATGTCCCATAGAGGCCTTCTTATACTTACAGAAGAGATATTCCTGCAGCTCGAAGAGGCTACTAGTTTTCTCGTTCCTATAGAAGTAGAGCGGGATCCGGAATCTACGCAGACTTTCAAGTCCAGCTCGTTGGAAGATCATCCCAACAGCAACGAGTTCGCCGAGCTTGATGTCCCCCCTCCTTCTTCGACCGAGACATATTATACTGTATCCCTTGCAGATTTTGAACGCCAACAAAAATTACGTCGCAGACTCGCTGAAGTACGAACTGCATTCAACATTGAATACACTCAGCCAGAATCGCAGATACGCGTGCTACAACTCGCCGCAAACCAAGCTGATTGGGCTACGTTCTGGGACACATGGCACCATATTGCGCGACGCATGCAACCCCGCTCGGCGTCACTCTATGCCTTCTTGTTCCAGACTGTTGCCCTAACTCGAAACCAGCAAGCATGTACCCGCACTCTGGAGGCTTGGGTTCCTGGAATCGCTCGAGAAAGGCCTCGTGTCGCGCTGAGAGGTGAAGTGGCGGCTGGCGTGAGAGATTGTCTTGCCGTTGCGTATCCCTCTGTCGAAGATGATGTGAAAAGCGGCGTGGCGACCGACGATCGTTTGGTAAAGTTATGGCGAGCTTGCGAGCAAGGCATGAAGGTTAAGGAAGTGCAGGAGTGGGTGAACGAGGTTGACTGAGCAAGTGATGTACTATATTTGGAGCCTTTGGGATTTTTTTTAGCTGAGCGGTGTATTATGTTTGAGTTATCCGGGTTTGTACAATTGGGTGGTTGACTGGAAAATTGGGTACAAGTCGATGCCACTTCGACATCATGTATTATAGAAATAAATCCCCGCTGCTGTATATTGCACTTCAAAATATGTGACGTATTTGGATGATGCTTGCTCCAGGACGCGCTTTCTCTCACGTATGCATAAGGATGTGAGAGGAGATAGAATTTTATTCATCGTGATCAAAAATATGGCTGTGTGGTCAATGCATGACCGAAATGAAAATATGCCGATGAACCACGAATACAGAAATGTAGGCCTGAACTGCTTCGCCTTCATAACAGGACTCTAGAAAAAGAAAACAATGCTTAAATCATCAGACCGGGAAGGTGGTTGCTTAGCATCTCTTCACTGCTAAGCAGAAAACTCAAGACGCCATGCTAATGCAGCAGTTACTCATGTAAGTGGATATTGTAGTACAGGCTGCAACGTGAGACAAAAGTAATGCCATCTATAAAGCATCAATATATTTCCGCTCTTTTTGTCATCGTTGCTCTAATTCAGAAAGGAGTGCTTCAAAGCATCGTTTTACTTCTTTGCAGGAATACCGCTGGGCAGGATCATCACGAAGCATCCCCCTGATGCAATTTTCGAGACGGCCAGTCTTTTCGCCAATGTTGTATGAAAAGTTCGCGGGAAGAATACCCTTGTTGAGTTTTGCAAGGCATTCATGACGCTCCATTCCTGTGTCACAGTTAGTTGAGATTCATTCTAATGAGCAAACTCGAGCAGCAGCTGCAAGGAGAATTTCTTACTGGTTGTGAATTTCCAGACGGTTTCAAACGTGACTACACCGAGGGAAAATACATCCAACTTTTCATCGAGCGAACGCGGAGGCGTAGGTGGTCGATAGAACTCCGTCCCGACAGCGCGGATATGACCAGGTGAGGGCATGTGAGAGGGTGATTTGATGCTTTCGGGAATCGATTCGGAAACGCTTCCGATAATACGGCCAATTGGCTGATCCTGTTGAGGAGCACGCGTGACATCCGCAGGCCTATTCAAATCGGCTACAAGCCCAAAGTCGCCAATGCGAGGCACGACAAATATGGGGTCTTCGGTGCATGTTTTACAATTGGAGCAAGCGGTGACCTCAACACTACCAGCGGGATGAGGTGAACCCTTGAAAATAGAAAGGAATATGTTGCCCGGCTTAAGATCGCGATGGATAACGCCTTGACTATGCAAATATTGCACACCTGAGAGAATGGCCAAGTTCAAATGCAAAGAAGGCTGGAGATGATAGCAATGGCGGCAATTGAAATCGAATTCTTGGATGGGACAGGGGTCGTCGGAGGAAAGATAGTTGCTCAGGCTAACAGGATGAAGAGACATTTGAATGTGAAGAGTTAGAGTTGGTCCGATAGAATCAAAGCTGTGATTGTGCGGTCTAGATTGAGAGCCAAAATCGTCGGAATACATGTCATCCGTAGTATCTTGCATTGTGGAAGTAGGTGCCGCCATGAGCGGCCCAAATTTCCTAGGGATTGCCTCGATTTCGTCCTCTTCGTCGTCGCCGGCGCTCTCAACGTAGCTCTTTTTTGTATTCACTGAGCTCACAGTAGCACGACTAGCACGGCGTCCTCTAGTGCGCTTTGGAATATCGAGTCCGGAAGCAGATCTTGAGGAATATCCAAAGATTACACCACAATCATCCTCAGTGTTTTCGGTTGATTTCTCGTCATCTTCGAAATTTAGGCCAAAACTGAATTCTTCCTCATCTGCAGGACAATCGCTCAGTAATTTTTGAGAAAGACTGCGCTCTCTAGCAGGTGCTGCCACATGGGGAAGAGGGTTGCGTTCTATCCATCCGCTAAAGTAACGTACGACATTGGAATGCTCTAGACGAGCGAGTGTCCTGATTTCTCGCAGTAAAGCTTCCAACTCGTTGACGCCGCCATTTTCCAGTCGCTTGAGACGCTTGGGACTCAAAGTGATTTTTTTGACGGCGTATTGTTGCCCGTCGAGATGATTGACGACTTGAAAGACTTTGCCATATCCACCTTTCCCGACCATTCTCATCTCCGTGAAATCTTGAGCATATCTGGAGGTTGGGAAAAGATCATCAGGGGATTTCAATGTAAGAGGAGAATCTGGCTCAGCTCTGCCAAGGAACACTTGCGAAGCGCTTTGCTGGAGCTTATTGAGGCTCTTTGCAGACGTATAGCTTGTCAAGCCATCGGTGCCAGTCTTGATCAGATTGCGTAAGGCAACCTCAGATCGAAAGGGCTGAAGTGCATTGCTTATAGTTTCATGGTCCGCACCACGTGTTTGCTCTTCCCCGTTCTTAGCTACAGTTTCTTTCTCCTGGAGTATGTTCAGGGACATCACATCGAGCCCTTGGAGATAGTTTTGACGTAGCCCACTGACTCCATCCGATTCAAAACCCTGGCCTATCACCCCGTGCTCACTAAGTCTTTCCGAGAGTCTGACATATATGTCTTTGCCCATTGCTTGCACCGAAGGATCGTTGATTGAATACTTCCGTTGCGAAGTATCATCGCGGCTGAGTAAGTGAAGAGCCCGAAACATGCAATTCTGCTCAAGGAGAGAGCTCAGAAGGAATTGACTATGACCATGAGCATCGAGCTCAGGCATCGTGCGAGGTTGCTCATCTGTAGGATTGTTGAAAGAATCCTCATGACCAGCATCAAGATCCAGAAACTGTTCCCGCAACCGTCCGCTGAATGACTCGAATGATCCACTATGACGGTCTTCCCTCTCCGAGTCTGAGCTCGACTCCGGATCAGAAAAGGTCACCTCGCTTGCGGAAGGAGGGAAAGACGCCATTTCTCAAGGAGCAAGCAGGTGGAAGGCGAAAGTCCGGACGTAGGGAATTGCATGAACACCTCGGCAATGGTTGGACATAGTCCACCAACTATGCGTTTCTGAGGCCTGACGCTCAAGGATGCTTATCACAATCTCTTCTCCGATCGAGTGGTGAAGAAGATGAAGCAAAAGCGAGCGTTGAGACAGCAATGACGACAACTTGAGCGGCCTCGTTCGTTCAACACCAGAACGTGACAAGTCACAAATTAACCTGGGTCCGACCACTGAAAGTAAAAGAGTGACCAAATGTTTTGCACTTGCGTGTATAGAGGCAGTGAGCTCGGAAAAGGACTGTCCGGTTCGATGCGATTCTGTCGGTGACCTGCACGCCGAGAAAAAAGATGCAATTGTTGAAGCTATCCCAGGCATCCATGTTAGTAGGCGACAATGGTATGAATTTGGGCCAACTGTACCGTTCTATGGAAGAATCTAGGTGTATTTTCAAAGTATATAGAATAGAAAGGTATGAAAACGGCAACCTTCAGGTTGAAGAGCATAGGTGTTCAAGACGGGCACTCTGTCATGATCGATATGACATGGTGGGCTGTGCGGACGCTACCAATCGATAGCCGTAGCGAGAGTTTCGATAGCTCCGCGCTCCGACGCGTACAATATCAACTTACGCCGATATCGAGTGTGTCATTGTTCACATGGCCAGGCTTATAACATGTCATAGCCAAAACAATTACCCAGAATAGACACAATGTCCTATTTTGCTTGCTTGCTCTTCTACCATTTGCTTTTTTCTTGAGCTGTAATGCCTCGAACTCTGCCATGGCTCGGTCGTCGTCGCGTACGAACACCAGCTGGGAATACGCCAGACCGGCTACGCGGGAGAGCAGCTCCATTATCACCAGGTCACGAAGTTCCCAGAGATTCGCCATCTAAACGGCGAAAATTTGTCCATGTACCAAATTTAGATGGTAAATCCAAAGTCTAAAGAACAATTTGAATGTCTTTTAATATGGAATAGAACGAACGCCATCGACCTCCCCGCCTCCTGCTCCTCCAACAGAGGAGTAAGTCCCATTAAATGACAAATTTAGAGAAGCTTTAGTAGCTGATAATGTCTTCAGATTTATGCGCGAAGGATATGAGAATGATGACGGATATATCATGGTTGAAGACGAGTTTCTGGCAGTCGCGAAGAGCTTCACTCAACACCTTCACCACGCCGAATATATGAGGCTGAAAGAGCTTGCTAAGTCACAAAATGCGTCAACTATCCACACTATTTCCAGGCCAGTTGACACAAGGACGACGATGCGCAAGATCACTGCGAAGCGAAATGGAGCTAGACAAAGAGGAAAATGGCAGGCAGAGGCTGTCGGAAAGCTGAACGCTGGGAACGTCGGCAGCGACGAGGAGCTCTCTGATCTTGATGAGGACAAAGAGGATGATCCATGGTTTGGGACGTCCCTTCACAGTCTGATGACCAGCCCACGAAAGGTGAAAACATCTCTTTCGTACCTCGCAAGGCTCAAGCCTGGCACAAAGGCAGCCGCAGGGTTTTCGAAACCCGGCGCCCCACCTGCCAGAGACTACAGGGCCACATCGCCCTTGCGCATCAAGGAGAGAGGCGCGCCGCTCATAACATCTTTTGACGAAGAGGAGACGGCATCAGAGACGGAAGATGACGATCTCGACGGTCCAGTCTATGCGAAAGGACCTCATCAAACACAATTGCAGCCTCCAAAGCAAACGACGGGGCCAGAGCTTGTCTCTTCCATGCGCCCGTCCCCGGACCTACCTTCCAGTCCACCAATCAAGCTGGAGCCCGTAGAATCGCAATCCAAAGTCTCTCACAGAGCCGAGTTGAGTTCATCACGGCGGCGGAGACAAACGGAGTCGCAATTGACCGATAGAATCGTTAGGGCTCCTTCGCTTGGTCTAGATTCTTCTGATGAGGATTTACCATCTTTCTTCAAACCTGAATCCGAACGGTTTCTTTCAAAGAGAACTGGTCTAGAAAGGCCGGAAGAGCACAATTCGACCGAGCAGAAGAAGCCTTCTGCTTCCATTATGGACATCCCAACATTTACTGTATGAACGCATTTCCCCAGTGACTGCGGCAAAGACGATACAACTCAGCATCTCCCACGTACCAGCTGTATAATTGTCTTGCAAAACTGATGCATTGCTCAGCTTGGTCCATAACCTTTCACTAAGAGCCTTTACCGCCAAAGGCTGCGCAAAATGTTGCAAAAACAGTATCGTTTCTCTTCGGAGCAACTAACATACAGTACAAATGTAATGTATCCCGTTATTTCGGCGAAGTACAAAGGATATCTTTCCCTGTTGGTCATTCCAGAGGTGCTTGGATACCCGGGCAGATTGATCAACTATATTATAGCGAGCATTCGAATAACTAATAGCCATTCTGAGATACCCGACTTCAGAGTTGTATTCCAAATAAAAATTATCTAGTTTTCTATACTCGCCATTTTCCCGTTTGTAATTTAACACCGTATTAGAAAGTCCAAGGGAGTTGTAAAAGTTGTAGGACATAGTTTGTGTTTCTTGATCAGATCAAAATATGATGAGTCGACTGTTTAAGTTGGCCGTGTTGCTTGACCTGATCAATTTGCCGGAACGGCAAATATTGAATGACTGAATAATCTTAGCGAGTAATTCTTCTTAAAGTTACAGAATTCTCCGAGGAAAGTTAAAGCCCTTACATCTCCGGATACTGAGTTAGGTGTCTTTTTTTTTAGCATACAGGAAATTGTCCAAAAATACAGACGCTCGTAAAAGATGAATAACATAAATAAAAGAAAAATCTAGGTATCTCTAAATAGCATTACATTTTAAATTTTCTTCTCCTCTCCAAGACCTTCTGCCTATCGCAAAGCCAAACCACTGATTTGAAGAGAAATAGGGGGAGGGAAATCGATGCATGCCCGTTTCCTTCTCAAGCCGGTGTATCTTTCCAAATTTTGGCGGTAGACCACCGTCGAATTAAATATTATACCATGAAATCAAAGAAGGTTTGAGCTCTATAGACAAATTTAAAAGTTCGTTCCTAGAAAGAGTTGAAGTCCGGCTTCCAAAAACATTAGAGATTGGCCGAAACGCTCGGTGTTTGAATTATTACCAGGCCAAGATGATGGCCTGTAACGCTTCAGGCGGCAAAGAGAATTCATAGGGGTTGCATGCCGCTTCTGAAGCTCGCGCTAAGGCGACGAGCAGACTGACGGACCCGATCGAGCCGCGACGACTGCCATGGTGTGTGGTAATACTGGTCAAACATGGCGGTAGCATCCGCGATAGCCTTCTCCCGCATCAAGGATTGCCTGTTGAGAAGACAAAATTCTTAGCTGGACATGCAGAACCGTCGAAATCGAGGTGCTTTTGTTGGCGAGAAGTGCTGAGATAAACAGTGGTAAAGATGATGACAGGGCCAAGTGAACAAGATCTGAAAACAATACCAGGCATGTTTGATGGGTGCTTGAAGTGCAAGACGGAGCTAGAGGGATTGGATGAAGGATGCGTACTCCTCATCGGATATATCGGCCAAGCCAGGCACTGTGATCTGTTCACGGCGAAAGTTGGTTGGTGAACTCTAATATTCGATTATTGTTAGCAAACCTCTCAAAGAGAATATTGCAATTGGTCAGCTAGATGAACTCACAATCTCGAGTGGTTTTCTCGGGGGAGGAGGTGGTTGCCGCCAGCGGCTTCTTATTTTGGAGAAGACTCGAGTGAAGCAGCCCATTGTCTGCCGCCTTCCTTGTCGCATGATTGCAATTTATAGATAAGGACAGAGTAGTGACAAAGATCTATGTCGAAATATGTAAAATATTGACCAGTATCAGGCTCAGTACCATAATCAGGTGCAATTAAGCCCTAATTCAAACAAGCATGTAAAGAAAATCAACGAGAGACAGCCATAAGACTTGTGAAAAGTCTTAAACAAAGCGAATGTGGATATAGAACAACAAAAACAAAAGATATCAGAACAATTATTGCTGCTACTGCTACTGAAAGCTTAGCAGTTTGGTGCGGTGTGGAGAAAGTAGACACGACGGGAGGCCCAGTCATATATATCCCTTTGCAGACGTTACGGGGATTCCTCTAAAGCCGGCGAGCTAAGACGATTAAAATGAACCAAAATGTTGGCTGGGGGATGATTTGCCACGCGAGGGGAAGTTGCTGTCCTTGCGTTTGGAAGAGCGAGTTTGTGCCGTCCCCACGTTATTATTTTCATGAAACGAACCGCCAGAGATACGAGGAATGCGCGTAGAGAATTACATTGTGATTTGCTGGAAATGAAAAGAGATTGTAGTTGGTGCTAGTCTGATAAATGCTGCTTTTTTGTGGAAGCCATCATTCAAACTGCTTTTCAGTATATAGGAGGACGAACGCCATCTATGCAGAACAGATTCTGCATAATCTAGCCAGCGAGGCGACCCAGGGAGGCGCGCATGTACGTGATCTAGGGATTCAAAACAGTGAGCTAAACAAGGTCTGTATGTTACAACTCGACGGGAAAAAACACCAAGAAGCAGAAGTTTGGGGGTCCTTGGAGGGTTTGATGGCGTACGACCTCGCTGCTCGGTAGAGCCCCTTGCATCAACATTCCACAAAACCAACCCACTCCATTGGTAAAAGGCGCGTCCTGGAGCTCCATTACGCGAAGATCTGTCCCTTTCAAGTGAAATTGAAAATGCCAGGAAGTCAGCAAAGTTGGTCAATGCTTCTGGGCGTAAAATAAAACGGATAGCAAATAACTATACGCAGATGTGTGCAAGGGAGAAGGAAAAAAAATATTATTTGGCTCGATTCTTCAATAATATTTGACAAAAGGTCTAAAGAGGCACCTTGCGTAACCTATCCTTCCCTTCTCCTGTGAGCTTTGAGGGATGCCGAAAAACTCTTTTACCACAAGCGGATTGTTTCGAACGTTTAGTTGGAGCACGGGTTCTCTTCCGAGATGGCCGCGTCAACAAATATACGCAAAAGGTACATGGCCGCCTAACGAAGAATTGCTGAATTTCTCGGCCATGACATCCGCAAGGACATGAAGGCGGGCATCAAACAATCAAAGCTTCGCAGGATAATCCTTTACATGGAAGCTCTTGAGCCTGACAAATTGCTCAAATCCAAACTTGCTCAAAGTAACTCCTCTTCCAGAATTTTTCCACCCCGTCCAGGCAAGGTCCTGTTACCGTGTTAGTTCCGCTATGATAGCAAAAAGCATTTGTTTCTCCTTACTGGTGCCGGATAATCGCATCGATTGACAAATACTGTCCCTGCTTCAACTTCTTCCGCTAGAGCTTCGCCCTTTGCTACATCTTTAGTCCAAATGCTTCCAGTGAGCCCAAATTCGCTGTCGTTCATGAGCCAAATGGCTTCAGCGTCGTCCTTGACTTTCATGACAGGGATGACGGGGCCAAAGGTCTCATCCTTCATAACAGTCATTTCGTGGTTCACTCCGACCAGTAAGGTTGGCGCAACGAAATTTCCCTCTGGGGGCGGCGATTTGAAGGTAGAGTTCTCTGGAGTGGCATCTTTCGCGCCCTTGTCGAGTGCATCTCTGATGTGGGCACGAATAGTTTGGGCTGCTCTCTTCGAGATCACCGGCCCTACATGCGTCGTTGGGTCGAACGGGTCTCCCAGCCTGTAGCCACAGAGCACGTCCTGCAGAGCCGCAATGAAAGCGTCATGGATCTTCTCATCCACATAGACTCTCTCGATACTACAACAGCTTTGACCTGAATTGAAAATAGCGCCATCTACAATCTCTTCAGCAACCCACTTGAGATCAACATCTGCTCGGATGTAAGCAGGATCCTTTCCACCGAGCTCAAGGCCGACCGCTGTGATTCTATCACTGGCCGCTTTTTGTACAGCTAGCCCGCCCGCAACGGACCCCGTAAAGCAAGTGAGGTTAATCTGTGGATTCCGCACTATCGTCTCTAATGTCGTAAGAGAGCCTGCGTGAAAGTACTGAATGACGTTCTCCGGTAAGCCTGCTTCTAGGAAGATCCTCTGAACTTGTTCCACGATTGTGGGCGTTTGTGGTGATGGCTTCAGAATGACGGTGTTTCCAGCGAGAAGAGCCGGGATGAGCGAATTCACGAGAATGATGTATGGATACTAATAGAGGAATGAGCGTCTCAAAGCACAAATATCAAAATTGTTCGATGGATTTCAGACTCACGTTCCAAGCAAAAACGATCAGAACAGGGCCAATTGGCATTTTTCTTATATAGCGTCGGAAACCTTTCTCCGGTTCTCCATCCGTATCTTTCAATGCTTCATCACTGAACTTGAGCAATTGTTCGCCCCTCATGACAGCGGTGCTGACTTCCTTTGCGGTGTAGGCGATAGGCCTGCCCATCTGTTCCGTTATCTCTCGTGCAAGTTCATCCTTCCTTTCACTAATCAAGCTGAGAGCCCGTTTAATGATGGATTTGCGTTGCCCTAACGTTGTTCGCCGGAACGATTGAAACGCGTTCCCTGTCTTTTGAAGGAGAATGTTGATATCAGCCTCTGAAAGACCGCTTCTGGTCACAATGGGCTTATTCGTCGTAGGCGAAATGGTAGTTATAGTTTCGACCGACATGATAAAAGGCTTTCTAGTTGCCGAAACGGATTGCGATTGACAGAGGAAATGTGTGAAGTATGAAGGTGCGCTGAACACTGACAGCAAAAGCGCACTACGATAAGAGGCAGCTTTTATCTCTTGGATGACGTAATCTTGCCATCGAAAAGTGGAATGTTGTTTGTGACCATCTACGTTAGTTTAGCTGCGGTCCGGCCTACTTGCAATATAATTCTCCTTTGAACAAAGGTAACATGAAAAACCTTTTCTGAATTAAATTATTTAAGGTAGTTAGTACTTCTAAATGCTGATGAAAGGTAAGAAAGCAACCAGATGCACCGTCCACGCCAATTCCCACCCATCTATACGTGATAAGTAATCTATGCCGCTTGCTTTTTGTATCTCTGTTCCAATTCAAACACAACGCCGACCAAGCGCAGCTTGCAAATGCCAATCAAATCGTTTGATGAGAAGAATACGCAAAATGAAATTGTCGGGAAGAGGAGGGAATGTCTTTACTTGATGATCAAGAGATCAAGAGAAGAAATATTTGCTATCTCTCAGACGAGACACTTCGAAAGAACCCTGCCTCGGTCGTTAGCTTTCGAATGCAATACAGAGTCATGTGCGAAGCAGAACAACGAACATACCTTCTTAGGGAGTGGGGGAAATGACAGCGGAAGCCAGACTGAGACCTTTTTCGGAGCTGCCTTCCTCTTTTTCGGGGCGGGTTCTAATTTGACATCATTCTCATCTTCCGCATCGACATCGTCGAGGGCCAGAGAGGATTCGGCACCTCCTAGCACAGGCTCAACATTCTCCAGATTCTCCACTGCATCGATCCCTATATCTTGTTCCGCAGCTTTGACCTGCGCCTTGGGCACGTCACCGATGCCCATTTCGGTTGTTTCCTCCGCCGGTGCGAGATCGTTTTCGCTGGCGGCCTCGGCAAAGATACTTCCAGGCGTGACCATTTTACGTCCCTCTTCTTGGCTTTTTGGATCTTCGGACTGAAGGAGTAGAATACGCTGCCTTTCCAACAGAAGTTCATCTACTCTACTTCGCCCTTTGCTCGAGAACGCCGTTTGCCTGCGAAGCGCGGTTATCCTCTTTCCAACCAAACTGTCAGAATACACGGAAGCGAGGTACATAGATCCAGCATGCCGAGCCTTGAACTCAGCGGCTAGTCGCCCGATGATATCCTCAGAGTGCATGCGAATGAAAGCATCCCGAAGAATGCTATTCATGGTATCAACATCAGCAGCATGGGTCCAGAATGAATCATGGACTGCTGCAAATGACAACCCACGCTCGTCGCACTTCAAAGCTGAAAGGAGCATGTGAGTGGCATCTAAGGAATGAATGAAGTTCGGAGGGAAACCCTGAAGCTGCTTCCTCTTGCTGACAGGATCGGAGGTAGTCGGTTGAATTATGCTAACTCGTTGCAGGTTGGTGCTAACAATCTGAGCTTTCGACGTGCGATACGGCTGTACGACAGGCATCTTCAACGGCGTTGTCCACACAACACTAGATCTGAAGTGGGGTTGATTTGACTTTGGAAGGGCGGACTTTGAGCCAGCCTTGCTGGCTTCGATGATCTCTATCTGCTCCGGTGTCAAAGCCTGAGATATTCTGTTCGCACACTCGCCAAGCCAATATTGAATATCGTGAGCGCCTTTGAACATTGATGAGAGCGCTTTGAAGATAAGCCTTGCCACGTAACACGAAGAAATACCGTGATTCATCTCGTCGGTATCTGGGAAATGGGGAAGGATAGCCTCAAGTTGCCTGCGGACTTGAGAACGAGCTCCAGCGAACGTCACTCCATATACATTCGTCATGACTGTCTGTTTCACGACTTTCCGTGTGATTTTCCCATTCAATAGCATTGCAACTGGAACCTTCTTTGCAGCATCCCTGCTCACTTCTTCCTTGACAAGCTCAGCGACAGCAGTGTAAATATCGGCAGGTCGATCACCAGGTTCAAGATTCACCTGTCGTGCTCCCCATTCATCGCCACCGAGTGCAGCATAATGTTGAAGACCATTGCAGGTACCATCCTGGTGGATTGCAAGCGACGAAACATAACGGGTGGGGTCAGAAGAATCAAGAGCCTTCTTCAGCTCACAGCATGCTGCAAGACATTGCCAAGGATCTTCTGCACCTAACCACCATCGCTTGCCATTCAGAGGATTTGTCGCTGAGTCGTAGATGTCCGAAAGATGCTGCATAGCAAACTCTTGGCGCTCCTTGATACTAGCTTTGTCGAAGCCGTAGACATTGGCGAGATGAACCTTCAACCATGCAAGGCCGGTTGCACCAAGTTGCTTCCCTTTGGCGAACATAAGCAGCCCGCGGCAGTTATCGGCCCCCATGTGATTTAGGTAGGGCGGAACAGGATATGCTCGGCCCCGAAAGTCGACGTTGTGAGGGAAGTAAAATGTTTCATCTAGATATGCTCGGGCAACCTCCAATTGGAAATTCTGGAAGCATCGCTGCGAGTGAAGGCCACTTCGGGTATTTTGGACTTGTTTGAGATCGCGAAGCCATCGCTGCCGAACCTTCGGATCAGCCGAAGGTTCCGGCTCTGGTGGTGTCTTGATATTTGGATGCTCCGGAGCAATGTCTGCAATTGCCTCTCCCGAGTTCCAGGCCTCAAGCATAACGTTGAAGACGTCGCGATTGATTTTCCACGCTGTTTTGGCAAGCACATCCAGACCAGCAAAGACCTGATCCATGTCGCCTTTTTCCGCGGCAGCCTTAGCGTACTGGATCTGCTCCGGATCACTGTGCTTTACACGCACGGCATTCACAGGATAGCGAAGGAAGCCTCCATCATTGAAGGACTTCCATGGCCTAGGCTCGACAATCATAGGTAGGTGCTTTGCTAGTGCCGTGCGGACAGGTTCCCTCCTCAATTTCTCACAGAGATCAGAGTTTCCCGAAATCATCCCTACCCTCTTCCCTCGATCGTACTTGTATGAATGAGTGAAAGCTGCTTGCATCTGCGATACTGTCTCACGAGTGTCCGGGAGCTTTCGAGTGACCTGAATTTTCGCAGAGCGAAGAAGGGCAGACAGCAATATGGCGCCGACTCTTGCCTTCACGGCTGCCGACCACTGTCGATCCTGAAAATCCTTGCTCCCCAAAGGCTTTTGTTCTTTTTCCCGAACGAGCTTCGCAAGGGAATCAAAAGTCCTCTTCTTTCTCAGGAGAGAGGCGACCTTTTGTTCACGTCCTGCCGTCGCCATATGGCCCCATAGTTCTTTATTTCCGTAGTCTTTGATAGATTCCGCAATGCTCTCATCTTGGACATTGTGGCCAATGTAGACAACGACATTGGAGAGCTTCACTCCGATATCAGCACCACGGATACTGAGAAGCTGCATGACAGCCAGGATAGTTATCGCAGCAAGTTTTTCCGGTGAAACAAATCGTAGAAACGGGCCATAAAGGCATCGATCTTGGTCGACTTCAGACTTTGAATTGTTTTTCTCGGCTTCATCAATCAGTTTAACTTCCTCCTTGATGAGCGGAGTCAACGCGCTGTGCCACTCCCACATCAATGCTCCAATTGACCTTGATTGCAGAGCAGAATTCAGTCCGAATTTCTGGAGATCTTCACTTTCTTCACGCCATCGGTCTATGGCAGCGTTGACTGCATCTTCCTCCAATTTCTCCTGTCGAAGGTACGCGAAAGCCTTCGCCTTCTCTTCTGTCGTTCCCTTCAGATCCTCTAATTTAGGCAAAGTAGATATATCAGAGAAGAGAGATAAAGACTTTTTCAGTGACGCTAGCCCAAGGCCTTTTTGACCCATTGGTTTGACTTCCGGGATTGTCTGGGGTTGGCCGGAGCCATCGAGTGTGGCCGTAGAAACATCCTCTGGCTCTGTAACTACTTCTTCAGCCAAGTAGAAATCCTCCGGGCAAATCTAAAGCACATCAGTCAAATGGTATCGTAAGGGCAAGCGGGGATGGAAAATACCCTCGTAACCTTGAAAAGCTCTGCATCATTCAGTATGTTTGTACTCAGAGCTGCGACGCCAAGGTTCCTCTCTTCCGCCATATAATAATATCTGCGGACGGTGCGTTCCATTTTGGGACCTTGCAAAAGTCGGAGAGTAGCCTTCAGCATCAATGCGTAGCTGGTAGCATCTGGCTCCACATCGGGGCTCCGCATCTCAACTTCAAACCATTTCTGTACTGCCTTAAGCGCATCCATATCCCGTTTTCTTATCGCATAGTCGATGCAAGCTTCCAGGTATTGGTTATGAGCGTCAAGAAGCTCTTGGGAACCGGAAACATAGATCTTGCAAATGCGGCGCATCAAAGCTGTGCCACGGTCGAAGCTACCACATTTTAAACATGCATCAAGCGTTAGATGCATATCGGCCAAGCCGCCTCCAATGCCATCTTTGACCTTGAATCTTTTTGCGGCCAAGGAAGATTCATCGTTAACAATTAGTGGCGAGGAAGGATCGAAGTTCCTTAGGGTTGATAGGTTCTCTGAATCAAAAAAGGATGCCTGAAGTTTTGATTGAGAGACATAAGGGCCTGAAAAATCTTCAAATTCGAAGGGAACAGCAGGGTCCGCGAAATGGGTCTGTTCAGATACTGCGGTAGCAAGGTTTCTGCGCTCAGCCGTGTCAGTCGAGAGTCGTCGCTTTTTTGCCAATTTGGATCGAGGCGTCTCCAATGAAAGCGGCGAAGTTGTCCTCAATTGAGATATATAGCGAAGTTGCGCGGGACAAAGCCATGGTAAGTAGAGCGGTTCAGGCGATAGCCTGAGATGGCGAAATGCATCGTATTGAGCCTTCCGGCGAGCGGCTCGGACGAGCATTATCGCGCTGCAGAAGAGGCCTCACAAGAAAGATGTATCAATTGTCTCTGAATCTTCCAAAGGCATCAAAGATACCAGCCCTGCAGTAGCAAAATGGACATGGAAAGCGCTAATATTGCCACAGAGAAGAGGGTCAAACACAGGCTCGGAAGCAAATTCGAAGCGTCGAAAGGAGGTGAAATCTTCTTTTCCTATTCAGGAAAAGGCGAATAGAAATGTCTTACTCAGATATTACATAATCGCTGTCTCCGGAAAGCCCGTTCGGCGACCGGTGGCATGGTGCCGACCGAGAGAGTTCCGAGGGTTGCCCCATGTTTAGCCGTTCAGGAAGGCGCGAGGGAGGCGGGTTGCCTGGGTCGGTCTCGGGGAGAAAGCCCCAACAACAATGACGATGCCGGGGTGAGGAGGCACGCCAGAACTGACCAGTTCCATCATCTCCGTCAATTCTCTTTTCCTGTCAAATTTGCGGTCAATCAAATGAATGCACGCCAATAATTATGTTTCTGCGTCAAGTTCTCCGCGCCACGTCACGCAAGGAATTCTCACGTCTAGGGACAAGGGTTGGCCGCAGGAGGCTTTTCGGCTCTGTCCCTCCTCCCATTTCCCCTGCCACGCAAAGATGGGCTTATCCATCCAGTGCAGCAAACGTTGGGCATGATGAGGTGTCCAAGCTAGCATCGCAGTCTCTGCATCCCCTCAGTCTCAGTGATTTAGTGAAGTGAGAATGGCTCTTTTTGGTCTTGCATTGGACTTGTCCATATGCTAATCTAACCTCACGCAGGCATGGCCGTCCTCCTCTCTCTGCTGGTTCTCTGTTTGATTCAGCAAATTTCTCTTCGAGACTTCTTCCGGTCAGACTGGCTCATCGCATCCAAGCCTTGAGAAATCTCCCGTTCATCGTGGTGTCTAACCCGCATATCTCAAGAATCTACAACAATTACTTGCACTCACTTTCCACTCTCCTTCCATATGCGGAGCGACCAATCAAGACATTGGAGGAGGAGATTAGATTCACTGAGATCATGGCTGATCTGGTCGGAACGCACTCTAACACCATTCCCATCCTGGCAAGAGGCTTTTTAGAATGTCGAAAGTATATTAGCCCGTCTGAGGTGAAGAGATTCTTGGACGAACATTTACGGGCACGTATAGGGACGCGTTTAATTGCTGAGCAGCACATCGCCCTTCATTACTCATCCCGGCTTCATGGCGATCCAAATGTGCTGCCACAGAAAGACGAATCTTCAAGCTACATTGGTGTCATTGACACCGCCCTCCGACCAGAAAAGATAATCAGAAATTGCGAGTCGTTTGTGTCAGAGATCTGTGAACTCAAATATGGTGTGAGGCCATCGTTAGTGATTAATGGGGAAGTCGACACTACGTTTACCCATGTTCCTGTACATATGGAGTACATCATCACTGAGCTTCTGAAGAACGCGTTTCGAGCAACGGTGGAGCACGGTAATGAGCGTGAGCCAGTAGAGGTTACGATTGCTGCAGCTCCAGCTGAGCTCCTTGGAAAGGGGAATAACCAAGTCTGGACCACTACAGATGAAAACAGTATGCACAGAGAGCTCGGTGTGGACGCAGGATCTGCAGCAACGGCATCTTCGTCTAGCGCTTCCGCCGGGAACATTCAACCGTTGCCTCTAGATCATTCGACACCTTGTGTTACAATTCGAATCCGTGACAGAGGTGGTGGAATCCCTCCTGAGACTCTTCCAAACATTTGGTCTTACAGCTTTACCACTGTCAGTGAGGACGAACCACAGGGCTCCGGGAATCCAGCTAATAGTGGAACTGTCGGCGCTTTGCAAACTATTTCCAATGCCGGGCCTGGTAGTAGTCTAGCTGGTCTAGGCTACGGGCTACCCCTCGGTAGGGCTTACGCGGAATATTTTGGCGGTGGCATTGCATTGCAGAGCCTCTGGGGCTGGGGTACGGACGTATATTTGAGTCTTCGCGGGGTTGGGCGTATCCCTTGAATCTTGTCACTTTGATGTGCCCTAACGAGATCTGCTCGTTTTGGGTCGTTTCTGTGGTATTTTTTTTTATTTTCCTATTGACGGCGGACGAAAGGCTCAAATCAGCAGTCCAAAAAAACCCCTTCAAAAGGACATGAGCACAGCCAACAACCAACACAAAGAAATACAAAGACCAACCAACACGAGTAAAGAAATATTAGGACATTTGTACCACTCAGGAAGTTACAACTATACAGGTGAGTCTTGTCTCTCCATGTGCTCCGCTGTCGCCTTAGTGGGATGCATGGCAGAAGAGCTTCCCGCAATGGATTCGGCACGTTGCTTTTCTTCGAAATCGTGGGCCCTTTCCGCAAGCTTGCTTTTAACCTTGTTACTCTGCCAGGCCGGGACCTCGCCCGAAAACAGGACATCAATCTCCTCGAGGGTCTTTCCCGCCGTTTCTGGAAACAAGAGTAACGAATGGATAAAGGCACAGAAGCAAAAGACTCCGAATATGATATAAGTTTTCCACACAATGTTTTGAAAGGCGGGTGGTACGAACCAGGCCAGTGCAAAGTTAAAGGCCCAGTTGGTCGCTGCAGACAAGCCCATACCTTTGGCTCGCCACTTAAGGGGGAAAACTTCGGCGCAGTAAATCCAAGCCGCTGGAGCCTATTTCCTTGGTTGTTAGTCAACTTCGCGTATAGAATACCAGATTAGATAGGTTTTGCGGGGTCATACCCAGGTAAAGCCATATACGGCGACGAATAGATATGAACAGGCAATCACGCCCTTGGCATAACTGCCTCTTACCTCCCATCGAATGTTTTTGGCAGTACCGACACCGTTAATGGGATGGCCTCTGGATGCCATCAAGCCAGCAACGCAGAAATTAAAGCCGCTCATCAGAATTCCACCATAAACGAAAAGTGGTCTCCGCCCTAATCTTTCAATGAAGAAGGCTAAAGTGATGCCGGTAGTCACAAGGAAAATGACATATTGAATGGCAGAGGAGACAAGGTTCACGTTTCCGCTCAATCCAGCCATTTCAAAAACATATACCTGTGGACTTCTTGTCAGTGGACTTGACAACCCCTTGCCATGTGTAAAGATTGAGGCTGCATACAATGTAGTACATCATCACGTTTCCTCCCAAAAGCTGTTGCCAGAGCTGCGCAAAAACACCAGCACTTGTTCGTCGCCACATTTTATGGCCGAATAGACCCAGAATGGGGAGCTCCTTCCCTGAAGAGGCTTGCCTTTGAGCTTCCTTGACTGCACAAAAAATCAGTTGCAAGATTTCTGGGAAAGCCATTATTTTGGATAGGGGTTAGGGCACCTTCTTCAAATTCTGCTTGGACGAGAGAATTCGAGGTATCGCCTTTGGAATGCAAAAAGGCAAGAGTCTGAAGGCATTCGTCCCAACGGTTTTTGCTTGCCAGCCATCTTGGAGATTCTGGAAAGAAAAACAATGAGACCAGTAAAACGATAGCAGGGACACCTTGTAACCCCCAGGCTAGCCGGAAGGATGATGGCCCTGAGATCTTGGAACATCCATATGATACGAGATACATAATCAGGATGCCCCACTCGATAGCCCATTGTTGAATCCCTACGATCCGGCCACGGATTGGTGCAGGAGATAACTCGGCCAGAAAAGTAGGGACTTGCGAAGATGTTATGCCCACTGAATATCCAGGTCAGCCACAAACGATCAAATATGATTCTAACAAGTTATGTCTAGTTAGGGACCTGCAAAGCAATGCATACCACAGAGACCGTTGATTACTCGGCCAGCAATCAATTGGGCAACATTCTGCGAGCTCAACACGATAGCAGTACCTACGATCCAGATACATGCAGCTACCATGAGAGCACGTCGTCGTCCTACTCTATCGCAGAGCGGACCGGCGCCAAGGGCACCAATGAAGGAGCCTCCGGACATTGACGCCGTGATCTGTACCATGATGGTGAGTAATCTTGCTGCTAAACAGAAGAGTTGTGTGCACATACGCCACCCTGTAAATTGGCGCTGGGATTATTAAAATATGTTGTGTACTACCAATTTGGAGAAACATGTTAGCACAGACTTCAGCTGACTACCTTCCCTGAGGCACCCGAACCTGCTTTGTTCCAATCCATGCGCTCATAGAACTAGTTCAACAGTCAGATCTTCTTCTTCTACGGTTCGAGGAGGCCATGCAGATGATTCCTACCTAATATCAAATCCAAACCTACACATGGCAAAAAAAAATATTAGTCTCAATGTCCCCAAGTCTCGTGTTTGTTCAAAAGGGGCTTTCGTACAAAGCTCCGCCTATCGTCCCGAAGGACGCCAAAACATAGATATTCCGAATTTTGTATCCCATCTTGAGCCTAATTAGCCCGATGCTGGGCAACTCAACTTTCGTTGAAGGCCCTGTGAGATCAATTTCCGAGTCAATTCCGAGAAGCCGATTTCAATAAAACTGCTCAGCCGTTATTTCCAGACTTCTGATGCCGTTCCAACTGCACAAGATGTCTCCCAACAATTCCACTGTATGTGCGCGAGAAGCACCGTCGATCAATCGGAACCAAGGCCGAAAAAAAAAATCTGTGAATTTTCAGTAGCGCCAGAATCACCCCCTAGTATCAGACTCAGAGGTATGCGCGAAATGAAACGCTTTCTTATATGTCCTGTGCTTCACTTCAAACGCCTCGTGCCATGGAAATGCCCATCCATATTCTACGTTTTTTCACCCTACCTCCCACTCGCAATCTTCGATCCCGAGCCAAGCTAATGCGCAACCTAACAAACCCCGCGAACTAGAAATGCGTTGCCGTTGACAGGTGTGGCCCACCCGGGACTAATTCCTGAAGGGGAAGACGCCGTGAAGAGACAGGGAGCTGTTTTCTTGGCCCAAAGAGCAAATCATAAGTACATTGTAGTGGCATCTAAGCTACCTAGGAGTATGTGCCGATTCTCCTGCATTGACTGCTTTGTTTTCTATACTGTTAGAGTACAAATATCATCGTAACAATTTTACGTATTTATCATGTACATGCGAATTCATTGAGTCTCATAGTAATAAATTGACAAAGATAATTTCTTCAAAGCATAATTGAATCTTAGAAATCGAGTCCTGATCATATCGGTGCTTTCAATCTCAAATGCGATAGACTTGAAGAACTTATGACGAAACCACCACACTGGATAAAACGTGCTGTAACGTCGAAACCTGCAAGCGAGCAAGGACTTTAGGGAGGCTAAACCGTCTGTTTAGCGTTGAAAGCTACAGGAGTTAGCGATACCCCACATTATTCGTCTTCACTACTTTTCCACGCGAAGGGCTTGCCGCCACGCGATCCCCCAATATGGATATGGCCAGGTTCGTAGCAGAAAGCTTAGCCTGCTTTTTACACCTGTTCGTGACAACTCATGCCGCGGAGGATGCGTCTCCGGGGGTTGGGATGAATTGTCTAAGTGGGTGGAAGGAACGGCATTGGTCGATTCCCTGCCGCCTCTCGACCCCTCTCCGCCCTCCGGCAGTTTTGCTCGGATGAAACTCTAAATACGCAGCAAGTCCTCAAACTAGCTCTGGCGGACAAGCTAAGTTTCGTGGCCTGTCGGTGATGTTGCCGTGACGAATTAGGACGGGCCACCGTCTTTCACTCTCGAGGGCAATCGAAGCTTATGCGGAAACGTTGTCGTGCAACGCGTTCAGTAAAGATGATAGTTTGTCTCCGGACATTTTTATCCGAAACAGAGCAAATTGAATAGGAGATTTACAGTGAGTTGTTAAGTCGGTGTTGTGTTTTGGTTTCGTCTTGATTGCGAATTCATGATTTTACTCTGTTCAGCTATACTCTACGCGGCTTGTCCTACATGCAAAAGGCTTATATATCTGTTCTTTGAGCAGGCGGTATGTAAGATGATGTATACAATCAAACAGTTCTTTGATTCATACTTGCAATAAATGATAACGCTCTGATCCCAAGGAGAAAATCCCGGATAACCCCTGGTCAGTCTATCAGATTGTCTATCAAATGCATAATCGCGTAATGTCTGACGTCGCATCAACCGTCCCCAAAGATAGAGCAGATCGCGTCTTCAATATGATCGGTATCTCAAAGTTCACAGGAAATAGACAAAAACGAGAAAGAGTCAAGAAAGAATAGAGAAGCGAAGGCTAGAGCGCTGGCCCCATTGAAGAAATGCCGTCAAATATTTCAAGTTCATCGGACTCTATACCAAGATACCGCTGTCCCAAACGCCGCGGAAACCCAAAAATTAAGAAGTGTCCAATATATAAAAACGGTCTTCAGACTCCATCCTCTGAATGCCAATACCCACCCTACAAGGGTTTGCAGTGGTCAGGTCCAGATCATATGGGTTACACTCCATAACTGCCGCCCCAGACTGTGCTGAGCCAGCCACTCGTGCCTTGGCCTGCACCGGCCGCAAGTCCCCATTCCTCACAGCTACTCCCATCAACAAACGCAGCCACATCATCGCCACCTAACCGCGTATCAAGATTGTCCAGCCAATTCTTTCTGGCTTCAGAAGTCCACATAGCACCAGCCGGACTCAGGGCCGTTATGGACGGCCTTATCATGCGAGCGGACGTCGAAACTTGTTGCGGTGCCTGAGGAGGCTGTTGTTCATTTGTAGAGCACATTTGCCCCAGTGGAGGTGGCGGCTCCGGTGGAAAGGGATAAGGCCCAGGGTATGGCATTGTATCAGACTGACAAAACGCGGAGGGTATCGATAACGGTGCCGTTACTGGTGGGCTTTGCGATACTATCTGCTTTGTGGCTATATCTGCTTCGACCGGATACACCGCCTGGTGGTCAGGAATTTGGGGTGGTACTGACTGAGGGAGCTGAGGGTAATAGGTAGGTGGGACTCCAGCACCTGGAGATTGTCCAAACGGAACGATTCTCTGCAGTCCAACCCCGCCCACTGTATCATATGGTGATGCCGACGGCGACCGCCCAGGAACAGCTCCCACCGCTTGCGACATCTCTTCCATGCGGGGAACCTTCTTCTGCCTATCGTCAGTTGTATCAGTGCCGTGATATCTCTTTCTGGCCATCTCTAGTTCGGCACTGTCTATCTGACGATCAAGAGCTTGATGCAACGTAGGCGTGTGATCGTTTCCTTTCTTCTCTACCTCTGAGGCATCTGCAATCTCATCGTCTTCCAAGCTACCAAATTCCTTGAGCGTCTTCTCCAATAACTTATATTCAGCTAGGCCGCCACCATCACCACCTTCTCTTATACTGAGATGACGCTGTGTTTCGCCGCTTATACTCGGATCCGAAGACGAGGACAAAGCTTTAGTGTTCGTGCAGTAGTCTTCCTTCATTTTCCGAAAATAATGATGCATGCGTTTGACCGTCCTAAACCAGCCATCTGCCATGTTTAATCGAGTCCGCATCCCGCCAATTATTTCAATGGCGAGGCGTACAGAATCAGCACCTTTGCTGTTGTTTGTCGAGGAACTCTGCTTCTTCGTTTCCTCAGGGCCCACGGGCTCGTTTGAGCACATGAAGCCATCCGGATCCATTTGAGGAAAATTCATGCAATAAACCCCGACAAAAGCAACCGTGTAGATGGCAAAACCAATCAAAGGCGTCTCAGCAAGAATACCCCAATCCTGGCAGGTTCGAACCATATCCATTATGTCTCTGGCTGCTTTGAAACATTCTCTGGCGCTTGATTCCCACCAGCCCGGCGGAATGTCATATTTATCCGGTGGAAAGGTTGGCTCGTCAAGGGGGCCTTGAGGCTTGGTACATCGGATGGGAATGAAAGGGACATATTCGCGATGAAGAATGATGAGACATAGGAAGTAAACGGTATGCATGAGAGTATAAGGAGTTGATGTCCTGGAGGCTATATGCGCAGAGAGGTTTGCATGATTGAAATGTAAACTAGGTGGAAGGTCTCCATAGAATTGGGCCAGGAGCTCACGGAGCGAGCTGAAAGTGGATCTCGAGTGCCACGGTGGATAGCGCTCCGTCCTGTAAATGTTAGGGAGAGTAGTCAGAACAGTTCCAGAGACTTTACCTTCTCCCACCCTTACACGACCATTTGGCTATCCGTCCCCAGATCTCAATTATTTTTATAACTCTTGGAATGCTTCCTTCATCTGATCCAACCTCCCATTTTCCTTTGTCTTGACAGTCCGTTACCTGAGTATTTCGGTCGGCTACGGACTCGTCACAAAGAAAATGTTCAGGAGACCGATCTCCCGATGTTCCTTGACCGCGGCTTATTTTGGGACCAATGGCCCTTTGTTTTTGAAGATCCGTCTTCCAAGACCATAACTCGATTTCATCACTGAGGAGCCTCGTCCGCACCTGCTCACCGAAAAGGAACGCCCGCTCAGTACTCGGTAGCTGCACCCTCAGTTCGTTTACGTCAAGCATCTGGGGCCTATATTTTCCGCTACTCATATATCTGTCCATGAGAAAGCAGCTCCAGAATGTTCGGCGTTTGACTTCTTTATCAATGAAATACATCGGACCCGGCGAAGGATCTGGCGCTGTTGGGAGATTGGGTGATTGCGATACTCCTAGATGTTGAGCTTCCTTCCGCAGGGCGACGGAACAAGCATTAGGCTCCTCGTCAAGATCCTGCTCGAACTGGAGGCCTTTGAGTTGTGCCATCCTCACTGCGATCCCAACATAAATCCAGGCGCGGACGCCCCTGCACATGCCCCATTCATGAAGGCCAAGCATCAGAAGCGCCTGGATTCTTTCTAAACTCGGATAACCATGCTCCACAGGATGAGATATAGTCAAAAGATCCCTAGTATACTTTGCATAGTAATCAGACACGGCAATAGGCCGGCTAAGCCGATCAGGTGATATTTGTGCATGGTGGGCGCACAAACCCGGGTGGAAGCGAGCAGTGAGGGCCAAGAGGGCGAGAAGGACCAACGGGGAGGCAGGCGATTGAGGCCATTGCGTGCTGTCATTTTGTGGAGTGGAATTTTGCGGCTTGGACAAAGTTTTGGGTTGGCAGAAATGGTCTAAGAAAGTCGGGGGATGGAAGAATGGTAAGTCGGCCGAGAAATGAAGCTGAAAAATATCAAACTAGAGTACAAGCATGAGCAAGATGTAAAATCATTATCGTATAAGGCATAAGACATACAATCTCCATCCACAGTTGAGCAGTCAGATATGGTGATCCAAGGATATCAAGAGCTGCACAGTGGGCAAGCTGCGCTGCACTGGGAACTGCTGCGGCAGGTATTGCCGCTGAGGATTTCCTCGAGCGTTTGCGCTTTGTAGCCTAAGCAGTGATCAGCGCAAAACGAAGTAGACCCGCATGTTTCGACTGTGATCTGTGGTTTCAGGGATTCGACACATCACCAACCTCCTCTCGTTGCGTCAGATTCGATGTGCCTGAATGTGTAACAGGATTCAAAGTGTCCGAATTCTCTCTTTTGCCAGCAGTCCCGTTTTCAAAAGCCGGTAATGGATATGTACATTCCCTTCCCGAAATTTGGCAGGACCTACAAATGGACCCTGGTCCATTGTTGATGCATTTGACTTTGCTCCGCCGACATTTGACACACGCTATACTTGAGCGCATATCTACGCTCTGACTTGTGAGGAAGCAATGAATTGAAGTAAAGCTAACAAGGCTTCTTCTCCTTTCCACCTCTCTAAGATGCCGGTTGTTAAGTCTGCCGGAAGGTGGTAATCTTCATAACAGACCGTTCAAAGGAAGAGCTACTCTGGTTCAATTGCTGATATGAAAGTCTGCAACCCCCCATGGGACAGCTGAATGCGGGGCCAGGTTTATCAGGTTCGGAGGTGAGCTATGAAGGGACCTTATTCAAATTGCGCAGAATGCTTGTGTATCGATTCTTTGCCTCAGACATAAGTGGCAGTAATTAGGTAATTAACAGGGACTTGGCCGGTGAAGTATCACGGACAGGGTCTCAGTGCGATCGGAGTCATCTCGGGACGAGTGTGATAGGTTGCTATTGTACCTTGGGTGGGACAACAAACTATTGGTCAGTGCGCCGCCGCAACATCTTCACCGTTTCAACGTAAGCATGAGCCAAGATCATTTGGACATCAAAAAAACTAAGTAATTATGATAGCTTTCAATTATTCCCACGGGAAGTGCGCCATCCTAGTCCGTCTATATGCAGTATCTGTTCCCGACTTTCTTACATGCTGGACTAACTTTCGAATAGCCTGCATAAAGATCAATTGCGATATGACGAGCTCAACCTCAGCGATAGACATGCGTTAATATGCCCATGAAATTGAGGGCGATAAAGTAGAGTTGGATTCTTCTCTCCATTGTTATAGAATTCAATAAATGCCAAAAATAAAAATAATAATCAATGGAGCGCTTTATGTGGGTTCCCACGATTTATCTATCATCGAATCCTTTGTTATTGCGGTAAATATTGATCGTCCTCAGAATTTCTAAAGTTTCGCTTTCACTGATTACTATGAATGCTTGAAGTCAGCAAAAGGGGATTTTTTGCGGCAAAGAGGGGCGATCGTCTCAAAAAGACAAAACTGAAATAGGGAAATTTATCCGTGATATCAGTTAACGCTGATGATTCCGCCACTTTTGGATGATATGATTTTAGTAAGATGTATTCCAATCGAAGTAAATGACAAGGAATTAAGTTAATTTCCTGCTTTTGGCCGTAGCAGCTGAAGGTTGAATTCTGGTATTACTACAGGTCCATCGTGCGGACTTGCCTTGCCCTTCTTGCTTTGTTAACACAGACACAGATCCACAACGTTTTGCCCATGCTATGTTATGTTCCGCCCCAATTGGTTCTCGGAAGGGTGATTAAACAATTGAACTTGAATGTTTTCGCAAATAGAGAAAAACTCATATTTAGGTCACTCTCTTCTAGATCTCAAAAATTAAGTCCTGGTGAAATACTCTTATAAAGTCAGTAAATAGCTGTACAGTGGACAGTGCGCTGGTCAGCAAACTAAAAGGAATTTTGCAGGAGGGACGATCTTCACTAGACTTCGTTAGGGTGGGATCTACCCCGGACAAGGGAAAAGCGTAACAACGCGGTCTTACTGTTTCAGCTTGCACGCAACATATCGATTCAGACAGCAACTACTTCGTACGCTGAGAAATAGACGACGTGATGGACGTCAGCTTTTCCTGACTGTGATCCGCATATCCAAGACCTGCAATTTGCATTTATTCAGCTTCCCTTCCCGGTCATCTCCGGAAGTAATTCTGCGTTTCTAACAGTGCTGTCGGCCTTAGAGTGTCCATCGACGTAGAGAATCTATCTGCGTTTGTATGATCCAACGACTGCTACCCATTTGGCACCACCTGGCAGAAACTCCAACATGCAACCTTATATTGCTATTCCTGGGATTTTTGCCCTCGTATATAGAGCCTGGTCTCACAAGTCTCTTACACCCTTTGGCATCGTGGTGGCTACAGCAACAGCGGTTATTCACGCGATCCATCCATGGAGCGTTTGGTTCGCTCTGCTTACTGTCTTCTTTCTCGGTGGAAGTAGGGTCACAAAAGTTCGTCCTCACTGTCCCTTCATATTTAGATCTTCCTCGCCTTTCGCTAATGGATTCTGGTTTTACAGGTGAAACACGAGATCAAACAGCGCTTAACTCAGTCTGCTGCGGGTGCCTCAGGCGGCGAGGGCCCAAGGACCCATATCCAAGTTCTCGCAAACTCCATCGTAGCGTCGACACTCATTCTACTCCATGCTCATCAGTTGCGATCCAAAGATGCAAATTCCCGCTGCTGGTCTGGCTATGGCGATCTTCTTGTTATCGGAATTGTCGCGTAAGAGCTTCGTCCTCCGTATCTGCGGCCCCTTTTGCTAATAAAGCTTCTCAAGCCAATACTCTGCTGTCGCTGCTGATACATACTCGTCAGAACTCGGTATACTTTCTCGCAGTCACCCGCGACTCATCACATCTCCCACTCTCCGGAAAGTTCCCCCAGGCACAAATGGAGGAGTCACCGTAGCTGGTATACTTGCCGGACTACTTGGTGCTTTCACAATTGGATTGACTTCTGCGCTACTCCTTCCGCACTGTTCCAATCGCCAGTCTGCATCAAAAGGGGAAACTATATGGCAAATACGAGAAAGGCTTGTCTGGATTGCTTTGGTAACTATTTGTGGCGGCTTAGGGAGCTTGCTTGATAGCTTTCTGGGTGGTCTCCTTCAAGCTAGTGTCATTGACATAAGGACCCACAAGGTTGTGGAAGGCGAAGGCGGTCATAAGGTGAGGGAAATCATTTGGCTCGCCAAAGTTTTGGGGGCATCGTCTGACATTGCAATAGGTTCTCGTCGACGGCCCTGGCTCGTTGCATTACAGTAAACTTGCACAGATTCGAAGTGCAGCCACTTCAGAGGAAGGTCCGAGTGCAGTTGAGCAGACTCAGGCAACCTCGCCGAATACTATCGAGGGACCAGAAACGCTTCGACAACGTGGTCCTAAAATAGGCGATCGCCCCGAGGTGTCCTCACGCCCGAGTCGTAAAGTGATCAGCGGTCGCGATCTCCTTGATAATAACGGAGTTAATCTTCTTATGGCTTTCTCCATGAGCTTTGCGAGCATGTTTGCTGCCAGTTGGTACTGGGACATTCCGCTTCAAAGTATTTTGCAGTAAATTCCTTTTACATAACTTCGCTTCCTCGAAATTCAGCTTGCATATTGGCCGATTAGGCACTTGCGCCCTGAAATCTGCCGCAGTCTACCAAGCAGGATGCTGAGGATCATCGTTTGAAGCCACAGAGATCATGTTTCAGGAGGTCATGTCCAGATGAAGCCGATGTTTACTGCTTTCCCTAGGCGTAAACAGACTATTGGTGCTAACGAACGCTAGTTGAACAATTCTTCAATTTCTAGATAGACCACTCTGGGTTCTCCATTTATCTTCAGCCTCCATGATGCAATCCAATACCTCATTGCCTTCCGGATAGACATCGACGCATGACCTAGCTTCGTGCAAGGACGCGAGCGCCTCTTTGTACTTCTTCTGGCTGAACTCTGCCAGACCCTTCCAAAAAGCGCATCTTCCTACGAGCGGAAGAAATTCCAATTGTCGGGCAAGCTTCATAGCCTCATTTGCTGACTTCTCAGCGGCTGTCCAATCCTGAGCTTCCAATCCGCGTTGCACGCGTAAGATGATTACGGAAATTGTCATCTCCTTCATCTGGTCCTAGAAATTGTTGCATATAAAAGGTTGAACGTCTCCGGGTTGTATATTTTCTGCATCTTTTGCAACGTATGGCATTTGCGGTTTTCCACGTTCTATGCATCTGTAATTCTGTGCTTCTTGTCCGGCTAGCTTTTGTCTCAAGGTTCTCCTAAGGCGTGTTATTTCCTCCTGCATTCGATTTATCAATTGTTCCTTCTCATGGAGAGATTCCTTTAGGATTGAACTCGTATATAATTCTTGAAAGGCCAACGAACGAAGTTCTCGCACGGTGCGCTCCACTCGCTTCTGGTACTTGTGATGCTCCTCCCACGAGACCCAGTCCGGCAGCCAGTTACGTTCCTGTTTGTTCATTGGTCTGGGCAGCTAGTCTACCCCTTAGCATTAAGCAATATTCGCCATGGTTAGGTGTTGCAGATGGGAGATTCATCAAAAGTGAGCTCAAGCTGATGATAACAACTCACCTCTAGCGGGTCGGTAACTGAATCCCTAATCAACTCCAGCTCTTTCATGGCTGCCTCTCTTTCTGCTGCTCTCGTTGCTTTTCGGATAGCCATTTTCCGCTCTGCGTATAATTCATCGGAGATCCTGCTGCTATTATCGTCAACTGTAGTGGAATTATTATAAAGTCAAGCGGCAGAAAGGCTAAGGCCTTTAGTATTCCTGATCACGTACCGAGCATATCCTCCCAAGCCCCATCTTAATGAGCATATTTCATGTACTTTTGTTGTTCGACCTCTTCGTTCTGTTCAGTTTCGCCATTCACTTCATGTGCACCTGAACTGGATTCATCGCCTTCCTTTCGGATATAGGCTTTGAAAGAATTCACCAGGTGGGATATCAGAGACATGACCAATATTAGAGCGGCTAGAATAAATCTAAGTGAAAGGGATGCACCTAGGAGCAACTTTTTTCGCGGACCGAAATATACCTACTCTGTTTTTTTTGCCACCAAAGGTGCCTCAAGAAAACAGATTCTATCAGGATATCGAAGAGGTGATGTACTCATACTACTTTACCATGATCCTTTGTTTTACATGCATGATACGCTTTGCCGCATTCAGATAAGATGCTGTACTTGGTTGAGACTGGTTATTTGCTCTAAGGCTTTTTCGATCTTTTAATTTGTTCTTCACATAGAGAAAACATTGAGTTGAATTCTCTCTTGCGTTTTGCGATATCAATGCCAGATCCATCCGCGAACATTGTTAGCATATACCGAAGGATCATGAGACCCAGAATGAAGTTCCATCGTTGGCACGTCTTTGTTTGAGATACAAACCAGGTAAACCGGCCGTAAAGACAAGCACCCGCAAATGAAGGATTGTCAACATAGATAATGCAGATAAGAAAAGAATATAACACATATGAGGCGCTGGTGTCTTGTGGTTTGTTGAATTCATGGCGGATGTACTATGTCTCTTAATGAGGCCCTTCGAACCCGAAGCAAACTTTTGGCTCGTCATTATTTACTAACGCGGGCGTCCTTAATGCGCGATGGGATTGAGCCAGAATTCGAAAAGACTCAACCTTGGCTACTGTGTGGTGGCTGCCTTTGCGTACTCCCCCTCCAAAGACGTTAAAGTTTCTTGCGCAAGGTCCTGTTGAATAAGTCCGAGGGGCATATGGGAGTTACTAGGCAAATTCTAGTTACTTGTACCTTAATGCAAGCCAAGCACGAACCCTAGAGAGAGTCGGGTCTGCAAAAATGGGGTGGTGGGGGGCATGTCTGGCAGGAGTCGGCCACGACCCGGTCATGCCCCGCACCGCTGATGCCGGCCCCACCACACGGTACGTTTCGTCCGCGCAACGTGTCGAATTGATCGTTCGAGATTTGTTTATTTCATCATGATATTGTTCCGTTGGAGCGCATTTCCTGCATTGGTTCTGCCGAGCAGTGTTCGGACGAACCCCCGTCCTGGTCTCTACTGAGCGGGGCAATGATTGCATGGTAATACGGTTCGCTGCTTCATATTTCAACATTATCTATATATAGAGATGTATGTATGTGAGGGTATTACCTGACCATTACAGCAAGCAACAGTGCGACGCTTTCTAGGAAGAAAACTTCGGGCTTGATGCATCCAAGGTACCTAAAACATAACCGGTATTTGCTCCCATTCACTTCGGAGGTCTTTCCTTTCGAAGCTATAGAGGAGAGCTTTAGCAGCAAATTTCAAATTACATTTCAAATCCATATTGAATAGAATTAACTCCCTAGGGAGTAGGCTGCCAGCGAATATCTCAAGCGGTACTGAAAGCTGTTTGAGATTTAGAAAGATCATTTCAAACCCAAGAGGAATTCCAAATTGAAACTGGCCGCTAAAGCTCTCTAGTTTGCTACACGTTCACCCCACTGTGTTCTAGAGCGGAAAACCAATGCAGCTCATAATTGAACCCCTCACCCCTCCACCCTTCTTGCCCCCTGTTATCCCCTCGCCCCCTCCCCTGGCAGGCCGCTTCCAGCAATAAGACCGGCACGAAGCGAGACGCGAAGACCCTTTGCCGCGACAATCCAGCATTTTCTCATCATCAACATGTCATCATCTGACTGTATCATTATGGTACCCCTTGTCCGTGGAATACTTTCGTAGCCGATTTGTAAAGTGCCCTTGATGCGGATTACTGATTTCGCCCGAATCTACTCAAAAATCAGGGCACCAGTAGCCATCCGCCATTCAGATCTATCTCACTTTCTCTAGTCGTGCTTAACCAGGCAAAGGGCGCGTTTAAGCTCGACTTGCTCAGGGACTATAACACTAAGTGGACCACGAGGCCCTCCCTCCTTAACTCGCGACAGCTCCTACAAGCGTCTGAGGCTTTCGCAAGCGGTTTGGATGCAAACATCGTTCCTGGCAAGCTCTTTTCATGCGTCCTCAGGAGCTGACAACCCGATTGGTTCATTTCACTCAGCCAAGATGAATTTGGGCAAAGAAGCATTACGCCCATGGGACAGGGTTCTTGATGCAGGTGCTCTTGTCCTGTGTCTCCCAATCGTCCCACCGCATTCCCAGCCTCAACGTCAGATTCAAGTGGAAACGATTCTAGCTCTAGCCTAGCTACTTACCGTCTTGGTGTCGGATCCAGTGACCCTAAATTAAATATATATTTTTTACCCTGCGGAACAAGTCGATTGTGTATTCATAAGCTTGAGTAGATCCGCACCAGGTCTTTCTGTAGACGTTGGATTGTCCAAATCTTCACAATGACCGCTACTGCTATCCCTCCGGGTGCTGCTCCGCCCACGGTGCTTCCCAGAGGATTGAACCCAGCCGGTTACAAATATCAAGATGGATTTGGTGATGGGCTTAATTCTAAAGCTCCCTTGGCCGAAACTCGTTCAACTCCAACAATCTTGGATATTCGCCAAAACGAGATAAAATTCTCCATTCGGGATGATATGCTACAGCAACTGCAACCTTCGGGTGGACAAGAGAAGAAATTACCAACCCTGCTTCTCTATGATGAGGCAGGCTTGAAACTTTTTGAACAAATCACATATCTGGAGGAATACTATCTCACTAATGCGGAGATTGAAGCTTTGGAGAAACATGCAGACCGCATCGCTGAGCGTATCGCTCCGGACTCTGTAATGGTCGAATTGGGAAGTGGGTAAGTTCCTAGACTGTTCTCCGCCATTTCTTCCATTCGCGCCATCGTCGCAGCTACAGAGGGGCTGGGGTTTGGACCCGTGGCTTCTATAGACTCGAAAGCTAATCAGCTTCCAGAAATCTTCGCAAGGTCAATATCCTTCTGAGCGCGATTGATCGCAAAGCGAAGCATGTACAATACTATGCGCTCGACCTTTCTCTTCCAGAGCTTCAACGCACGCTTTCTGCTATTCCGGAAGACAAGTACCGTCATGTAAAATGCTGTGGATTGCTCGGTACTTACGACGATGGGCTTGTCTGGCTACAAAAACAGGAGAATGCAAACAAGCCAAAGGCAATTCTGTCTTTGGGCTCAAGTGTGGGAAATTTTTCCCATGGAGAAGCAGGAGACTTTTTGCGCCGCTTTGCCCTCACCATGGGTGAAAAAGACTGTATGCTCCTCGGACTTGATGCTTGCGTGAATAGCTCGCGAGTCTACCATGCATATAATGACCGCCACGGTCTCACTCATCAGTTCATCCTAAATGGCCTCAACCACGCCAATCAAGTTCTAGGTAAAGAAATATTCAGGGTTGAGGATTGGCAGGTAATCGGAGAGTTTGATGAAGCAGCACGACGCCACCAAGCCTTCGTCTCGCCCCGCAAGGATGTGTCAATCGAACAAATTCAAATAAAGGCGGGCGAAAGGCTTCGAATCGAAGAAAGTTACAAGTATCCCCGAGAAATAAGGGAAAAATTATTCGATCACGCAGGTCTTTGTGAGAGGGCAACGTGGACCAATGACGATGGTGACTATGGTTTGTGATCCCTTTACAACAATACAAACAATATAGTTTCATGTGTCGCCCGTGCGACTGGCAAAACGTTGCTCTTTATATGCTTGCGCAATTGAAGAAACTTTTGTCGGTCCTTTTTTTGGTTGCAAGACTGACAATTTCTTGACAGGCATACACATGCTCTGTGTTCCCCGTTTCTCTTACCATCTGAACCCAGAACAATATGCAGCTTCGCCTGTGCCATCTCTCGCCGATTGGGAGGGTCTTTGGGCTGCCTGGGATACGGTCGTCAGGCGAATGCTCCCGGGGGAGGAATTGCATTCCAAACCGATCAAGCTTCGCAATGCTTGCATCTTCTATCTTGGACATATACCCACGTTTCTTGACATTCACCTTACCCGGGCAACCGCCGAGGCGCCAACTGAGCCAAGTTACTATCGAGAAATTTTCGAAAGAGGAATTGATCCAGATGTAGACAATCCAGAACAATGCCATGCCCACAGCGAAATCCCAGACACATGGCCAGCCGCGAAGGAGATCATTGGCTACCAGAACCGTGTGCGCGAGCGAGTAGATCGATACTACAAGCGCAACCTTGCCCAGACTAACCGTCATCTTGGCCGTTCTCTTTGGCTTGGATTCGAGCACGAGGCAATGCATCTTGAAACTCTCCTCTATATGCTTTTGCAAAGCGAGAAAACTCTCGCTCCTCCCGAAGCTGTCAGGCCCGATTTCGAAGCTATGGCCCGCATTGCTGAGCAGAACGCCGTTCCTAATCAATGGGTATCTATTCCAGAGCAAGAGTTTACGGTTGGGATCCATGATCCGGAGTGCGATTCTGGCCCTGAGCGTTTCTTTGGCTGGGACAACGAAAAGCCTCCAAGGCTTGTCCGCGTGCCCGCTTTCGTCTCTCAGGCGAGGCCCATCACAAACGGCGAATACGCAGCCTTTCTCGAGCAAACTCAAAATTTTGATATACCAGTCTCGTGGTCAGAGACATCCAAATACATCCCTGCTAATGGCAACTTAAAGGAGACTATAAACGATTCTCGGCCACAGTCCGATATTCTGCCACGTCCGAGCGCTGCCTTCATGCATGGGAAAAGCGTCAGGACTGTATATGGATCGATTTCCCTTTCTCTTGCACTTAGCTGGCCCGTCATGGCGTCGTACAATGAAGTTGCGTCATACGCTGCTTGGATGAACGGCAGAATCCCAAACATGGAGGAAGTGCGGAGTATCTATAACTATGCTGAGGAAGTGGAGCGCCTTGAAGCTGAAAAGGTTCTCTCCAAAACGATTTCAGCAGTGAATGGGTAAGTCATAGACTATCATGTTTCATTTCTTCATCTTCCAAGAACTGAAGGTATTCTTCTTGAAAAGGCATCTCTCAAATGACGGTGTGGAGGAGACACCACCACAATCTCCTTCTCGTAACGAACTCTCCAGCACCGAGCCTCGTCCCAACTCGCAACAATATTTCCGCAATCTCGAAGGCTGTAATGTCGGATTCAGGAACTGGCATCCGACCGCTGTAACACATCTAGGCAACAAGCTCTGTGGTCAAGGCGCAGCCGGCGGCGTGTGGGAATGGACGAGCTCTGTGCTGGAGAAGTTTGATGGATTCGAGGCCATGCCTTCGTATCCTGGATATACAGGTATGTCATTTCCAAACTGGTGTTCGAACATTTCGTCCGAGCAAAGTGCCCCGGAGCAACGCGCATTTCCTGAGTATATGTACTTTGCTTGGTTACTAACTCGGTCCCCGTAGCCGACTTCTTTGACACAAAACATAATATTGTACTTGGAGGATCCTGGGCCACACATCCTCGCATTGCCGGTAGAAAATCCTTGTGAGTACCCTCCCCGACTTCTGCTTCTTTGAGCTCTTTTCTGATAGGGTCTCACACTGACTTCCCTTCTCTATAGTGTCAATTGGTACCAACGCAACTATCCCTATGTATGGGCCGGTGCGCGGCTGGTCAGAGATGTCTAATCCATTCGCCATCAGCAATGAGGGGGGTTGTCGGTCTGGCAATCGGGTCTGTCCTTTGAACTCAGTTTCAACTTAAGATGCTTAATGAGATGAGTCAGTTTTTCGTTTGTTGGTGATGAATCATGAATTCATTCAAAAGGAGATTATATGAGAAAGAAAAAAAAAAAAAAAAAAAAAAAAGAGGGGAGCGGAATGATTAAAAAAAAATGAAAGTGAAAAAAAATAAATAAGAGAAAAGACAAGAAATTGGGAGATTATATGGCGGGAAATAGGCAATCGGGCCCAAGGTAGTGGAAAACATTGAAAAGGATTTTCTTGTGCGTGGTGCACCTTATGTGTTTCAATTTTGGTAATTTGGTTCTTATATCTCTCTTTTAGCTCTTTCTTCTGAAATCGCCATTCATTTGGAAGGTTTTAATGACGTTTGTCCAGTCTTTTGTTCAGAGCCATGGATAATAAACTCTCAACAACTAAGTAGCGAATAAGACAGTCTTTACCGAAAACTGAAGAGATCTGTTCCAGGTGTTGATATGGGAACGAGTTAAAATGTAGCAAAGAGGATCAAATTGATGTGGGGTCTATTGTATAGACGCTCAAAGAAGAATGCTACTCAACAACAAAGAGCTTCCGGCGCGCACTTGTTCAAAGATTTAAACACAAATGTTCTAACGTTGCTGGGCATCTCCATGACACTACGCACCTCAACTCGATATACCAGGAAATATAGTGCAATTTTGAAAGCCGGATCTGGGTCATTTAGTGCATGATTTGATAGCACAAAAGTACTCCTCATGAATAAACTAGTGGTACAGTATAGGAATCGTTTCCGACTTGTTAATCATAAAAGGTATAAAGCTGCTCAATATCGCGGACAAGATCGTCCACTTCAAACCCGCCCTCACAGTTCTTCCATTCGCCACCATCGCGGACACATCGGACTTTTTCATTGAGCCGAACAGTACAGCTCGTGGTGACACTGGCGTTGGCACTCCGCTCCACGCTGTCACGCAGCAAACCTACTCCGTAGGCGCCTACGTCGCGGGCCACGCAGTCATCGAGCTGCTCGACGTCCACTCCATGCTCAAGGGCGCAGTCTTCTATCAGCTCCCGCTCTGGTATTTCCTGGTAGTTGTTCGTCAAGCACATGGTGAATCCAAGGTGAATCTTCGGATCAGGATACTCGTTTGCTGCGCAGAGCTCGATAATGTTGCCTAGACATTCTGATGGACCATGCATACATGCCACACCGCCGTCTTGGTATGTTGGCCTAGAATGTAGATCACGTCAGCATTTACCGTCTCTTGATACTACTGGCCAGATAGTGCCATCAACCAGGAAGATGCCAGGCAAATTGAGGATCCCGACAAACTAGAAATACATACGTTCCTATGTATGATAGGGTAAAGTTCACTTTTTCGGACACGCGCTCCATTGCTGGCACGACCAAGTCGTGGAGGCACACCTTCGCATCCGGACATTTACTCTGTTAACATTGGCAAAAGTTCAGTTGCATGATCATTCTTGTTTCTTCCAAACCGAGTTATGAAATCAATTACCATAATATGGGCCTCAAGCGCCACCTTGTGAGACTCAAGCGCCTCAGAGCCTTGAAACACAGCCCCGCCGGCTGGCTGCCGGATCCCTCCCCTATAGCAGTGACTCCATTGCCAAAACCGTAAGAGAGGTGGGTCCAGATCAAGAGATACAAATACAATCCGCACAAGACTCAAGGTAAGAAACGCAACGAGCGCGACAAGAACGAATGATTTGCGTCGGCGTTGACGAAGCCAATGTGGCGATGGATGGCGCCTTGAATCCTCTGTCTCGGGAAGCGGCGGTGTGAATTGACCATCAAACCCGGGCTTTTCCTCCATGATGGCTTTTGAAATGGAAATGATGCAAAGGAGAGAGCGCGCGTTTCGTTGATCGCAACAGACGTCATGCGACTGCGGAGGCGCGCACAATGGTAGAGCTAAACTGAGACGAGGCAACTACACCCGCTACCCTTGTCAAAGGTGCCTCGGCTTTGCCGCGTCAGGGTCCGATAAAGCCTGTGAAATCTCCACACACGATTTTGCAATGCTTCTCAAGTTTTTTAGTTTTTTTTTTTTTGGTGAAGAGTAAAATATCCAATCTATGAATAAAAAAGGGACATGTACCACTTGCTAGCTCTGCATGATCAGTCTTATACCGGAGTTCAAAACCTACCTGAGATTAACGGTGATTGGGCTGGCTTCATGGCGATAAGCAACCAGGAAGAGATGTGGCAATGGTATATCACCCGGCGGAGCTTGGCATTTCCCGGGAACTTGGGGGGGGGAGGATAGTAAGCAGTTAACTGAAGTGGGGGACGAAAGTAATGAGCAAATGTCCCAGCAGTCATGCAAGTTTATATGCTTGTTGGCATCTTTGTACCTAATTCATTAACCCCCTCTTCTCCGCACGCGGTTACCTGTAACTCAACTGGTGGGGACGTTATCGGTCAGATACTTTGTCCCTCGCTCAGGTCCCTGTATGCAGGAGCTTGACAGCAAACTCCGCCTCAGACACGCCCTCTTTTGGAGAGTTCCTTGTCTCCGAATACCTCGGACGAGGTTCTGTTCAGAAGTGACATCCAACTGTCAGGTCTACGTTGTAGTACAAAAGTTACACCTGTCTTGATTCCTTGCTGCTCCAAGCCGCTATTCGCTGCACCGATCGGTGCGCGTATAGGGTGACATCGGCACATCTTCAAGGTAGCATTGAGGGGTTCGTTAGTTGAGTCCAAGGTATTAGATCGGCTTGAGGAATCACAGTGCCTCTTGTCTGGCGCCGCAAATTAATTTATATGAAGTTATCAGCGTAAGACGCAATTTGAATGTGCGTATGCTTTCTCTGAGCCGGGAAGTGAATCACGACGGGAGAGGACCTGTATTGCTTTAGCCCATTCCCGTCCTCTGGGATCGTTGGAATTTTCCCGATGGCAGGCGATAATATTGATGACAGTCTGGACGGTTTCCTGAGTCCCTTGATCGCGGACACTAGCCGCCTCTATCGCCTTGCACTTCAATTTTCAATAACATATCGCCAATTAGCCTGGGACTCGTCCGATCAGTTTTTGCCTACGCCCATAACTACTCTTCCATCTGGCACCGAAACTGGGCGCTTTCTAGCCATTGATGTTGGTGGGACGAACCTCCGGGTCGGCTTTATCGAGCTTCATGGTGACAAATCTTCGTCGACTTCAGTACGCGACGTCAATGTTTGCAATGGGTCTGAGGAGAGCAGAAATGGTTGCCATAGTCCTTCAGCCTCGTCGATATCGAGGAAATATGAAAAATCATGGCCTATCGGTGAGCATCTGAAGATGGACAAGGCAGAGGACTTATTCACCTGGATTGGAGACTGCATTGCGGAGGTCGTCCGGGAGTGCGTAGATAGTGAGTCTGATGTAGAGTCTTCCGGCAACTTTGCAGAAGAAAGAAGATTGGCAATGGGGATAACCTTTAGCTTTCCCATGATGTAGGTAACCTCGTGCCGCAGCTCGTTTTGAAGCTGCGTACTATACGTCCACCGAAAGCGGATACTTCAAGGAATGACTTTACAGCGTCAACCACTACTCGTTGTATTCGAAAATACGCCAGTATGATGCTAACGAAATCTTCATCCAGACAAACTTCCCTTGCTGAAGCAACCCTTATGCCTATGGGCAAGGGCTTTGCTATCACTTCCAATCTGAACCTGGGAAAGCTTTTGCTGGCTGGTTATGAGCGACACACGCGGCAGGTTTCTAGAAATGGCGAATCCATGTCACAGCTTGATACGATCAGAAGTGAATTGACAGCTTTGCCTCGGTTGCATATTGCGGCAATAACAAACGATACTGTCGCTACATTAGCATCCTTGGCATACAGAGCATCGTCCTTGCCCAATAGAAGAGTAGCAATGGGTCTCATAGTTGGCACTGGAACAAATGCTACGATACCTCTAAATATCAGGCATCTAAGCCCCTCCAAGCGTGCATCCATTGAAGTGCTGCAGGAGGAGGATGAGCAAAATATAGATGTGGTGATCAACACCGAATGGACGATCAAAGGAACGGCGCCGCCTCTGCGGCGGCTGGATTTTATTACCAAGTGGGATGCTCTCCTGGACGAGGCAAGTGAAGCTCCAGGATTTCAGCCCTTTGAGTACATGACTGCAGGTCGCTATATGGGGGAAATCGTTCGTCTCGTCATGCTCGATGTCTTTGTTAAGCTACTTGGATGGAACCAGAACGATTTGCCTGAAATAATCCGACGCCGCAATACTCTCAGCACGGCCTTCCTTGCCACCACTGTGGCTAAATCAATACCTGACAGGTCTCTTGTCTTATGTTTCGAGGATTCCTTCCCTCCGCCAAAGCAGAGCAAATGGATTTGGTCGGAAAAGGCGGTATCTGTTATCCGGCAGATTGCACTATTCGTTCAAGCTCGTTCTGCACGTTTGATAGCTGCAGCTATTGTCGGTTTATTAGCTTTTGCAGGCGATATTCAACTGGAAGAATTGGCTGGGGCTTTAGCGGACAAACGGTGTGAGCTTAATGCCACAAAGCAGACGGGGCCCCCTAGAGCTCTCGAATCTCCAAGTTCCGGTGAACTTATCGTTGCATATACAGGAGGTACCATTTCTCACTACCCACGGTTTTTGGAAGACTGTCAGCAATGCCTGGATGAGCTCCTAGATATATCTTGTCAACGTCCTGGCGTCGAATACAAGAGAATTGTCCTCTGCGAAGCAAGAGACGGCGGGATTATTGGTGCGGGAGTTTTGGCTGGGACTGCATACATCAGAAATATAGATCACCAGCCGAGTTGCGAGATCTAATCGAACCATTCTTCCTTTTCCTATCATTGATATTTGGACAGCATTTCTGGCATAGTCTGATCTTAGTTTCATTGTTCAGGTAATAACAGCGTGGTCCTTTGAAAGCGATAGAGGGTCATATCCTTATGGTATAGAAGCAAGGTGCGTGTGGTATATATTATAGTGGTTGTAGCCCTGGTCAAATATTCTCTCCCGAGAAATTATGAAGCAGAAAATGAAGAATGATCGAATTTTCCTGTGTTCCAGAAATTAGAGTGAGTTCAACCCTTTCAATGATTTTCGCTAGACACGACTTGCTTTGTTTGGCATACCAAACCCAACTTCCCCCACCTATCGCCATTATCAACACGCTGTCATTGAAGTCGGTCAGTGCCAGATTATGCGGTTTAAGAATGTCAGGCTTAAGATGGTCACATTTTTGATCTTTAGTTTCTGCAAGTTACCAATCGAACCAAGTCTGCGCGTGATTTAACAAATCATCAGAAAACATCCTTTGTTCGCCACACTCCTCCTGTTAGGCTCTTTTAATTGAAGGAATACCGGAGTATTCCACGATGTTAGCACAGAGCAAGGGGCAATGGGCGCTGTATGACCACGCAGTGGCTGATTTTCCTGGAGTGACATTTTAATGAATGCCCTTCGCCCAACGTGGATTACCGTGGTCTTAACCGGCGCAGGGTGCTTTCGGGCTTGTCTGGGGCCTATCTGTATATGGCGGGATGCAAAAGCATAAAGCAAGCTGAAGACTGCAATAAGGCTTGGATACCATGACTGTCGACCAATAATGGTGTGTCAATACCTTGGATCCAAGTTCAAGCGAATCCGGGTTACACACCGCCTTGCTTGCATGACACATGACACAAGGTTTCATGACAACTTCCGGAAGCTGACAAGCTGAAGCAATCATTCCCCACAGACGCACTGTCTGTTGCGGGGCAAGGCACATGAGCATCGTCTTGAGGAATCCTGAAATAGCCGTTCATCAGAAGCTTGAATAATTGATCCCCACAGGAAATCTTGATAAAAAATTGACTCATGCAATGACACAGGTTCTGGATGAGACAGCGACCCTTTCCCTTTACGTCACGCGATGATCTGGAGTCGACAAATAGCTCGTCGAATAATATTTTGATATGCTATTTGTTTCTCACTATTTCTGGTACTCCAAGATCCTAACACTGACAGGAGATTGAGAATCGTTCACTACTTCAACCATCGGTCAAAAGGAAATATTTCCGGGACTGGGACAAACGTCTAAGATGTTTGTCTCAGACAGAAACGACATACAGACGTGTTTTCTTTAATGACAAAAGATTTTCGGTCCTTTCTCAAGTTCCATCCCCAGAGGGCTGATTATCCATTGCGAGCAACCGTAATAAAAGATAACACAAAGTGCCTCATGTCAGTTGTTTTTGCTAGCTTAGGAGTAGTCCTGGTCGAATGTTCTCTCTAGCAAGCAGTAACAGTGCTCCATTGCGTTGCACAACCCCCAGAGCAGGCAGTTTGGCAGGGAATAAAAGTCGTGGTGGTGGGAGTTTTTGGGCAGCAGCGATTCTGGCAAGGAATTGTTGTCGTCTTGAGGACGACACAATCTGGAGTAGTACAGTCCGATGTGAAGGGCGGGCATCCTTCAGATGTAGCGGTGGTGGAGAAGGTGTAGCAAGGTTCCGTAATGCTCACCACTGTTGGGATAGAGGTGACATATGAGGTCGTTATCGTTACCACATTGAACGTGGTTTCCTGTGTCAAGGGGCATGATTTCTGCTTGGCATGGTCTTCCGGTAGAGCGGTTGCCACAGTGCTTGAGTCATGGTCAGTTAATGGTCTCCCTATGGTTCATGGGGAGCAGGAAAAGACTTGAGGTGGGATAAGGAAGAAAAAGAGATTCTCAAAAATTGTAAAGGGAAATGCAAACCTTAGGCAGGCTACTATTCCTACAAATATTTGGGAGAGCGTCAAGTGCATAATGACGAAACAGCTCTGATATCGGTGTACTCAATTCTGGGAGGATTCTGGTCAACGGATGGGGCTGATGAGGGTATTTAAGCCGAATAATGTTACAGAAGAAAGCTGAAAATCGCCCTGAACAGCCAGGTGAAACCACAGCCCGTCAGCATCATAAAAGTTTACATCTTCGGCCCCTTCATGCGACTTACTGCACCGCTTTTTTGTCCGCTGATCGGGCGGGGTAGCATCATTAGCCGTCAAACCAAAATCAGCAGAGACCACTGGCTCAAAGTCCCGCCCTACTTCGTATTTCACCGTCAGAAATTTTGCCTGAGCAGTAGAAAGGCCAATCAGACCAGCGCGCCACATCTCAGCGGGCAATAAATGATTCAGCTTGGCCTCAAGGTTAAGCTCAGAAAAGCAAGAGAGAAACGGTCTTTGCGATCAGATGACCCCCCTTGTGTGAGTTGGCGTTTTCTTCTAGCATGAGACTTCCACAGATGGCTAATCGACATTGCGAGGGAATTCCTTATACGGTTTTCAACATGTGTCTTCGACTTGTATGGCCAAGTCTATCGCTGCTTGCTGCAGTGCCTCGATTGTATCCTAAAATTCCAGCCAATTGCTTGTTCAAGCCTTGTCTTCACATGTTCCAGCATCTTTCGCTAGAAAACACAATATGGCACATCAATTTTCGCCTTCATTAATCTGCACTTTGATGAATGCATATCCCATTTCAGGGCCGCATTCACCTTATGAATGCGCACTCGTAGAGCGTTCATGCATTCCCATCAAGTCCCTCACATTACAATGAAAGAAAAAACATACGGCGTAAATTTCGTAAACTAACAGTTGACTTTTTCAATTTCGCTGTAAAGCGGATGCATTTGGTCCAATGACTTAATAGTGCTCTTTATTTTCAAGATTCTTCATCCTCCTCTGCTTCGGCCACCTACATGTATTGGTAAGTAATGATCAAACAGTACTATCTTGGGACGGTTTGAGACTTACATCGTCATGGAATTTCTTTCCTTCAAGCGTTGCCTTGATCATTCCAATTCGGATAACAAAATCTCCGAATCGTTCACCGTCCTGGCGTTCCAGCGCATATCGTTTGAGGAGAGGTTTCATAATCGCCAAGATTTCGTCCTCCTTGATAGAGGATCGGAAAAGCTTGTTAAGACGTTGTCCGTGATAGCCACCGCCAAGATACATGTTGTATGCACCGTATGCCTTGCCGACAAAGGCGACCTCTGCAAGCCATGGACGCGCACAGCCGTTCGGGCATCCTGTCATCCGCATGACAATTGAGTCATGTCTCAATCCGTTTTCTTCTAGAGTATCCTCAAGCTTTGTGACCAACTGGGGAAGATATCGTTCACTTTCGGCCATTGCCAGACCACAAGTTGGGAAAGCGACACAGGCCGAAGAGCTAAGCCGCAGACCGGAAAATTGAAGGTTATCGAGTTTATATTTCGCAAGCATCTCCTTGATCATGGGAAGGTCGTCGTTGTGCACCTTGCTCAGTATGAGATGCTGATTTCCAGTCAATCTAAACTCGCCCTTATGCACCTTCGCGATCTCTCGCAGGCCAGTCCTCATGGGGAAATCAGCTGTGTCCTCAATTCTGCCATTTTCAATGAAGACGGTAAAGTGGTTGAAACCTTCTTCATCCTTCTGCCATCCGAAGGTATCAATGTTGCTGAAGAATTTAAAGGGCCGCGGCTCCTCGAACTTCTCGCCGAGCAGCTCTTCAACCTTGCCACGGAAAACATCAACACCCATATCGTCTATGGTGTACTTCATTCGCGCGTGCTTTCGGTTCTTTCTGTCACCGTAGTCACGCTGAACAAGCATGATTTTTTCGCAAGCAATGTGGACCTTTTCTGCTGAAATATAGCCGATCATGCTGCCAGTCCGTGGGTATGTCTTTTTGTTGTTATGAGTGGTGCCCATACCACCGCCGACGAGGACGTTGAAACCTTCCAGATGTTCTCCTCCATTCTTGATGGCGATCAGACCAATATCATGTGCATAAACATCTGTATCGTTGTGTGGCGGGATGGCAATGGTAATCTTGAATTTTCTGGGAAGGTAGGTGGGACCATACAGGGGTTCTTGGTCCACAACTGCATTTCCCGCGACCTGAATTTTGTTGTCATTGTCATCTTTAAGCCAAATTTCGTGGTAAGCTGTCGTGGCCGGCAAAAGATGGTCACTGATTTTCTTTGATACCGCATGCACCTCCCGATGGTACTGGGAACGCTCCGGAAGGCTACTGCACATGACGTTTCGATTGACATCACCACAGGCCGCAATTGTCGTCATAAGGGCTTGATTGATGGCCCGCATAGCAGGTCGAAGCTTACGTTTAACGATACCGTGGAACTGGAAGGTTTGCCTTGTCGTCAGCTTCATGGTCTCGTTACCGTGTGCGCTGCTGATTTCATCCATTTGCAGCCATTGCTGTGGAGTAGCAACGCCACTCGGCAATCTGCATCGAATCATGAAGGAATAGGCGGGCTCAAGCCCTTGAGCTTTGCGCTCCTCTCGAATGTCACGGTCATCTTGCATATAAGTGCCGTGGAACTTCGTAAGCTGCTGATCACTAGCCGATATGGCGCCAGTACTCTCGTCCATCAATCCCTCGGCGATAGTTCCTCTGAGATAGTTAGACTGGATCTTAATATCCTCATTTGTCAGAGGAGCCGGCTCCTCCGGCAAACCCTCAACTTTGTCGACACCGAGCGCTGCCCATAACTTAGGCTCCCACTCGCCGTATCCAGTTTGGTAGCCATCGGGATCTTGGTCGTCTCCAAGTCCGAGATCAACCAGAGGCTTAGCGCCCAGTAGCTTTATTCTAGCGTCAAGATCCTTGCCTGGCTTATTGTAATAAATCCTGTCCTCCTTTCTAGGCCAGTAATGGCTGTCACCCAAACCAAAGACGGCGTATTTGACAGAAGATAGATCGAGGTCATTCGCAGACTTGATGCCATCCCAGAACCCTCTACCGTTTTGGGGAAACTCGCCTTGACCAGCCGTACTGGTGATCATTACAACATTTTCATCCTTCGGAAGGTCTTCAAGGGGATAATCGTCCATTGCGAGTACCATTGACTTCAGACCTCTCGCCTTGGCGCGATTTCCGAGACGCTTTGCCAGACTTTCCGCATTTCCATTGTCGGACGCGAAAAGGATCGTGATTGGAGCTCCGTAGAGACCCTCAAGGAGCTTGCTATAGGCATCCTTAGCGTTTCTCTTCTGCAACTCACGGACTTCTGAGCCATATGAATTGGATAGATTGGCAGAAAACTCAGGGTGTCGGCGCATCAGCTGCGATAGTTGATTTTCGCGGCGCAGGAATTCTTCTAGATCACGTTTGATGCGTTCAGAATCCAGAGAGAAGCTTGGCTCTCCATCGTCGCCATCTGAGGGGTGCCATCTATACAATGGCCAGTAACCAAGATCAACCGCCTTCTTCGTCTCCTGAAGGACAGTCAAAGGCGTATCGTTCTCTTTATTGTAAGGCAGATAAGCAAGCACAACTGAAGGACCTTCAAATTGGCTCGCTTCGAGCATAGCCTGCAATACCTGAGTGTAGGAGCTGTACACAGCTACGGATGCAACGTATGCATTACCGTAATTCATGGCATAAAGGCCGATATCCTTCTTCCGTCGCGTTGCGTCTGCAGCGGTCCTCTCTGAATATGGCTGAGAGTCTAGAATCAGCATGTTGACATTCTGCCCGGATGCTAGAACGTGATGTATGCCAGAGTTTCCGAGATCGTAAGCCCAAGCGTCTGAGCCAATCAACCACTGCGATTCCTTGAAGAAAAGAGCCTTTGACTGCAGCAATCTGGCTGCAGCTGAAGATCCGTCAAGGCTAAGGGATTTGACCACTTCCTCTGCAAGTTGATTTGCTCTCCTCGGGTCTTCCGCACTGAGAGCCCACTTCGACAGCGAGTCCTTTGAAGCATCCGAAGCAAAGTTCTGGGTCTTGGCCTCTTCCTGTATCTCAGAGACGAACGTTTTCCGTTGATCCAAACGAGCAATGAGAGATCCGTATCCAAACTCTGGGCTCGAGGCAATAACGGAAGAAATTCCAGCGTTGTCATTCCCATAACGATTCGCAATGTGCAGATGGTCGCCAAATACCTGACTTAATATCTTCATATAGGCGTTCTCTACCTCAGGCTGTCTAGCCTCAGAAGGAGAAGCACTGTCACCCGAGACAGCCTGATTTCCGATCCGCAAATTCTGCACCGGGCTTCCTGAATGAAGATTTTGGAAAATACCTCGAAGAGCTTGTCGAACGGTTGTCGGTTCGAGTGAGCCAAGGTGGTGCCCTACAATAACAGGAGCGGTATTTTTCGACTCTCCAGTCTTTAGAGAAACAAGCAAATCCAGTAATACCGGTCCCCACTTCGTAGTGTTCTTGCGAGTCTGTTCCAATACTGCAAAACGACGTAGAGTCTTGGGCAAAACTGCAACTAATTTATCGCTAAGCCAAGGACGATATAGACGTGCACTGATAATGCCTGCCCCAAAAAATTCATCTGTTGAGGACGCGTCATTGATTTCACGAGCGAAAACCTTCGTGTTGGATCCAAAGACGAAGATAGCAGACTCCGCATTCGGAGGCCCTGCATACTCGAAGGCATGGTAGCGTCTGCCTGTGCCTTTCTCGATCTGTTCCCAAATCTTTGCGATAATGTTATAGATATCATCTGAAGTTACAGATTGCGGCGAGGACTCGGCACCCTCTGGCTCAATGCGGGCATTCGCAGTGTTGTCAACATTTGCGTAGAGATTCGAGGATGTGCTCTCCAATCGAGGTTTGGCAGCATCCACGTCCAGTACCTCACGAACAAATTCCTTGTCCTCGAAGTCTATGGATGCATCCTCTGCAGAATCCGCAGAAGCAAAGAAGTGAATGACTCCTTTGCCAGATTGAACTGCAAGAGCATGGGAGGAGAGAGCAATATCCTGAGCTTCTTGAAGAGTTTCTGAATGCAGAAAAGTAAAGCCGCATTGGCGAATTGAAGAGATTACCGAATAATCTGGGCATTCAGCTGGTTCCAGAGAAACATGGACGACCACTGGGTATGATGCTAATTTATAGAGATGCGGGACGGCAGAGAGAAGAGTCGGTGAAGTAGTGGTGATAGTGACGAGCTTGCCTGAACGAGCGGGCTGTACTGCTGAAAGAAATGGGTCGGCATTGTGGCGGACTGAAATTACCTTCATCGTCCATCAGTGTTCTAAGCAGCGGCACAGATGCAGGGATAATGAAGACCTACTTCTGGAGTGCTCTCAGCCACTGTGTTGACCACATTTTGCAAACCATTTGAAAATTCCAAATCAACAGATTGAGACGATTGTACTGAAATTACTATATTGCTAGAGAGGCCAGCAATTCGCCCAACTACAAGAATTCAGGCAGTTAGCAAGGCTGGAAGCTTTTCATTTTCGAGGGGTGATAGAGGGGTAACATGACATACCAGCCTCTCTTACTGACGTGATTGAGCCCATTTCGCTGCCAAACTTCTAGGTTCAACAATACGAAGGGATGGGCAGCTTGGGAAGATGTACGAAGGGCAAAAAGAGAATGTCAGCTCCTCACAGTAAATTTTTCATTGCCCACTGCATAGCATTTGCTCAAAGCCTCGAGCCCTTTGACAGTATAATGTCTAATCTTTACCTATCATGACAACCGACCAGATATGATTGGCTCATCTCGTTATCGCGTCGAGCACATCATCGAGCTCGGCGGCCCTTCGGCAGAGCCGAGACACACCGCGGAGACCTGCCCACATGTCTCGAGGCCTATGATTGGACCCGCCAACTTGGTCACCCCATTCTGGCCCCTGCATTAGACGTAGGTCTTTGATTAGGAGTAGGTCCTAGTTACATTTTCACAGCACCTTTGTGATTGCTTTCTAAGTTGACGAAATCAATTTCTTCTTTTAATTTGTACCTTCAACCGAAAACTGTATATGTGAAGTAATCAAAAACAGAAGTGCTAAAGAAAATGAGGGATTTAGGCCCAGAAAAAAAAAAAAGAAACAGTCAGAAAAGCTATGTAAAAATGCAAAAATTAAAGGTCCCACCGAGGATCGAACTCGGGTTGTCGGAAATTTCAGCGCAAGCTAGGAATTTGTAGCTTGTATCAAAATCCGAAGTGCTGCCGCTACACCATGGAACCGAATTTGACTTTTGTATTTCGCATAATACCCCTATATTTCTTAAACGTCCTGCAAATCATCATCCCGGCCTGAATCATGGACCACCGTGCTCGGTGGGCTGATCGTGGAAGTCGTAAACCTACATGGAGACACCTGCAACTACATTATTTTGAATGCAGCAATGCCGATTTTGAAACTGGTTTCAACGATCGATAATGTAGAATTAAACTATCTGTCAGTAGTCTTCAGGGACAAGGTTTCAACGAAGGAAATGATATCCATCAAAGCTCCCACAACATGAGTTGTATTAGTGTTTTCCTTCTAAGATCACGTAGTTTATACAATGTCCCAAAGACGTTCAATGGGACCCGAATGGTGCAGATTGCCAGCAATGCATTTTACTGTCAGAATTGTAAAAATATTCAACAGTTTGTCGTGCCCTAGTTTCAATTTTGCTTGTGATGAAATCCTTAATCGATCTTTCTTGAGCATTTAGTATTAAAAAGACGGTAGTATTGCCAATAGTAGAGTTAAGATTGCGATGCACACATTCGCAAAGCACGCTCCTGCTCCCAACAACGCACCAGCCATTGCACTGAGGTAAAATTGAAGGAAGCTCTACATGGATAGTAAAACGGGCTGCTGGAAAGAAAAAAATCAACATCGCGCGCGTAATATGTAGGAATGAAATTAGAAGATAAGATGTAAAAAGGTGGGTCGCTCCTATACTATCAAGCCGAGACCCATCTCTGAAGAGCTCCAGGCCTTGAAACGCACAATCAAAACACAATCGAGACGTACAAGGGCAACTGTGTACGCTTTCGACCAGAATCTCGACCTTTTACCGAGAATTTACATGATGAGGCATTTGCCACAACATCCTCTCTCTTTTGACTGTTCTTGGATTTCCATTTTCGATTGAGGTCCGTTCGAGCCGCCGGCGGGCGCAGAAGAGTAGGACGACATTTCTTTATTGTACCGACGAATCTCGCGCACAAGGTTATGGAAGGCCTCGTCGACGTTGATACGCAATTTTGCCGAAGTCTCGATGAACGAACAGTTGAATTGTCGCGCAAGTTCTTCTCCAGCTGTGTTACGAAGACAAAGCAATTAGTCCGAAGTTGTGAATTTCAAGGCTGATTTGTTGCAAGAACTTTCATACCTTGCTTTGACACCTCTCGACCCCCCTCCATCTCAAGGTCGCTCTTGTTTCCTACCACGATCATGGGGAAATAGTCTTTGTCCTTTACCCGAAGGATTTGCTGTTGGAAAACCGAAATCTCTTCATACGACTGCCTTGAGTTGATGGAATATACAAGTAGAAACCCTTCACCTGTCCTCATGTACTGTTCGCGCATGGCAGAGTACTCCTCCTGGCCGGCAGTATCAAGAACATCCAAAAGAGCGAGTTCACCGTCAATGACACATTGCTTGCGGTAGGAATCTGAAGCGTTGTAGTGGAAAATATCAGCACTCAAGATGCACCTATGCTTTATAGCCCATTTCTGGATCCTTACCTTCAATTGTCGGGTCGTATTCATCGACGAAGTGGCTTTGAATCAATTGGATGGTCAAGCATGACTTGCCAACACCGCCCCCCCCGACAACCACCAACTTGTATTCTCTAAGTGCCTATATTCAAGATGTGAGCAGAAATGGGGTAGGGCGACGAGGATTTTAGGCCTTTACCTTACTGGCCATATTGCCAGCTACTAAGGCAACTCTGTATTTGTGCCTGGCTCTCTAGCCGCTGAACGGGCAGCGCCAAATGTTAATAGTAGCGACGTAAAACAAATTTCGCCGGGGAAGGTTGGAGAAGCAATCCCGAGCACGCCTCCAAAGAGAATCGGTGACTCCTTGCGAATCTTAGTGATCAAGGAGGTACTTTGAAGACTCTTGCACAAGGATAGATAGGCACTGGTGGTGGTGCTGCGTGCTGTGATCCGAGAAGTCAAAAGAAATGGTACCCAAGGTTGGACCCTTGATAAGTACAGAAGCTGTACTTGTAGAGCACTCAAATACCTGTAGGTACAGCCGAAAATGAGTCGCGCGGCGCCCTGAGCTAGGAAACGAGATGGGCGGGTAAACAGGGGAAGCGACAGATACAAGTGATACACTGATACCTTTTACGACTTTCGTTGTGGAAAATACTGTGCTTTGAAGTAGGCAATAACGGAACCTTAGTTGACTGTAGGTAGGGAGTGCAGAGGTGTACAGAGTTCAATATTTTATCATGCTCAATCCAAGCAAATACTTCTTGCTATCATCCCTGCAGGAGCAAAATTGTCTAGCCTACTCTAAAAGGGGGTAATTTTGCTGGTTTTTATGGGAGATTCCAGGGATCTGCTGGTCTGCGAAGTCCCACCCCACACACCGATGTCATCTCTTGATAGCATCCCATGACAAAAGGGTGGAGCCAGTTGCAGAGCTCGACAAGGCATTATACACCTTAAATCGGCTTGTGAACTTGAGTTGTTATTATCACTTTTTCTTTTCTCTTTCAGCAGAAACTGTCATTGGCAGAGATCATTGCGACAAAACAATTCCGCACCCGAGAAAAGAAAATACTGCGGAAAAGGTAGCACTGTAGAACTAACCATAGTTAAATTATCTCGGTTCCACTCTCCTTGCACATCGGCCTCTCCCTCTTTGACTTGGACGAGGAGCACGACCTGGAGGCCATTGATGTGGGAGACTGATGGCCGATTTCTTCACTGGCAGCATTTTTGACAGCCCACTACTGGACAAAGTTTCTTGTCCGAATTTACTGTTAATGGATGTTTATTCGGTCTTCATGCGATACAAGCCAATGGGGCTAGCTTGAAACAGTTCCACATTTTCAGGAGGAAATGGCGAGCTTCTCCTTGAGCATGTCGAGGATGTTTATGCAATGACACCGCACGTTAAAAAGAACAGAATCGCACATAATTAGAAAATACTGCGCCCTAAGCGGCAATGGAGATTTAATTGAACTAGATAGATTCTATATACACACTGCAATATAAAGGGATTCAAATTATATAGACTTCTTTTACTTCTTGGCATCAGGGTCCTCATTTCCTTCCACAAGAACCCGTTTACCCTGGATGCCCTTTTCCAACTCTGGTAAAAGACTTTCCATGAACGGCCTATCCTTGCCAACGAGCGTAACAGTATTCGTTTTGCTATTCCATTGTGGATAACTACCAACTTTGACACCTCGATATTCGACTTTTTTTGCCAACTCCGTCAGAAATGGCGCGATGGAGCTTTCCGCCAAAGGCGTCGAGACCATCACCCGGTAAACGCCTCTCCCCTCCGGATCAGCGAGCCTTGGAAGTAGAAGCGGCTTGAGTCCTCTTAGAAGTTGCTCAAAAAGTCGCGGCACACCAGGAAGAATGAAGATATTTTCATTCACTACGCTGATAGGGACCCAAAGTTGATCATCCACAAATAACGCTTGTGCTTCCAGTCCTCTAGATTCGTCCGTCGGTAACTCTACCATCCGTAGTTTCGCTGTCAATGTTGGTGACGGAACATCCCACGAGAAATTAAGCTGTGAGTGATGCGGCCTAGAGAGCCTTTTCATTCTTGCAAAAGCTTCTTCATGCAGTTTCAGCGTCAGGCCAAATCCCTTGGCTATTGATGGATATGTAATATCATCGTGGCTGTAGACTCCAATTGAGAGAGTGACCTGGAAGAAAGACTTCGGGAGTTTGGCTCACGTAGGTCCAATTCCCCCACTAGTTACAACAAGGTCATAATTGGCGCTCATTCGACGTGTTGCCTCTATAATCTCGGCCTCATCATCTGCTATAACCTCAATCCGTTTGAGGTCTATACCGAGTGAGAAGCAATATTTTGCGAAGTACCCCGAATTGGTGTCTACAGTCTTCCAATCTCTAATTATCAGCAAAATGTAGAAGAAAAGAGTGATCATTCATACCTTGCCTCCCAAAACCTCGTCCCCGATAATCACGCAGCCCGCAGTATGAATGGTCTTCCCGGACCTCGCATCTGCTGAAGCTCCGAAAGATGATGTCATTAGCAAAGGTGGTCGAACAGCTGCTTGATATGCAAATCGAGTGATCTGTAAATGGCTCTGATTTCTAGTACATTGATGGAGCAAGCTCGAGCTTAGGCGTGAAAACATCGGCACATGTGAACATTTGCCCAGGTGGTGTGAGAAGCTCTTCAACGATAGTCGGGCCTAAAGAAGGATGAGTGTTCTGGCGAAGCCCAACTATCAAAGGTAACTACCGAATACTCCGAGTTAGCTTGTTTACATCCATCCAGTTAACACTGTACTCTACTGATTACACTAGCCTACACTTTATGTCGGAAGTACCGTCCCCGCCAATACTCCATTCCGCCCCATTTTAAGGCCACCTGAACACGATAGACATCAACTGACTTCGGTGTATTCCACACTTCATAATCCATAGGACTCTCTGCGGATATTTTTCGCCGGTATTACAGCCTCTGCTCAGCAAATTCATCATGGTATTTTTGAACCTCATAAATTCACATGATGACTTGAAATCGTTGACAAGCCTCTCAGTCTTCGGAAGCCAGATTATACACATTTTCTCCGGAAACGAAAGACGCTTTACGCAAATTCAGGCTGGGCACTTCCCGGGCGAAGGACCCACAAGCCGTCATTTGTATGCACTTCGCTTCTCAAATCGGTTGAAATAGGCTGACAAGGCGCAACTTGTAGATGAGGTCAATAAGCAGACGCTTGAGATAGCTCAATCCGAGGGCGAGGAGGGCCCGACAGTGTATTCGAAGATCCAGGATCTTCAAGAGGATTTGCCTGAGCATTCACCCCGATACATATTGCTCAGTTATCCATTAACTTTGGTGGGTATTTCCGTCAGGATTAGGTTGCTTCTGCTGATCAGCACATAGCCATCGGGAAGGCTGTCAGTGCCGTATGTTCTGATATACTATTTACCCGAAACTTGTAACGCTGAGCTGCGAATGCTGTATGCCGGTGCCAGGGAACTCATGAGAAACACAGCAGAAGCTGGAAGAGTCCTCGAGATAGAATCGGCGGAGGAGCTGGACGAAATCGAATCGAAGCTTGGTGTGAGCTCATCATAAACAATCTACAATCAACCTACTGTAACATAGGTTCCAGCTTAGCGGAACTAGGGGCTGCTTGTCCGACTGTAGTCATTTCAAGCTTTGGATTAGTTCACCGGGCTTTTACTCTTTTCTATACGGTCGATTTTAAAGGAGACAATTTCTATTCCGTTCTGTCCGCCGAAAAGGGCGCGAAGATATTCTACTCGTCGGATAAAAGAGAGACAGCGTGTCGTCTCAAGCACCAAAAAAATTTTATATAGTCTTCATTACTTTCGCCAGCAAAAGCCCAACTAATGGCTAAATTCTGTGCTAGAATTGAAAATAACAATCTAGTCTAGCCATGTCGAGACCATGGTACATAGGATGAGACGAATTCAAGGTATCAACCCTGGCCGCCGTGAATCATTCAATAAAAAATTTAAAATAAAAACAATGCAACGGGAACCAGACCTAAGCTTCTTTGTCCGCAGAATTGAACATATTTTAAACCTTGACTTGAAATTGATATTGTTTTGCTGCGATTGGAATTTGCTTCATTTGTGCCCTCTGAGGTTCTTTCTTTTTTTTTCACGTGCACCACTATTATGCTCTTCTTTTAATCTTATAATGCGTCTCTGAAATATCGATCCCCTACGTCCGCAAAATGGGGTGCCAATCCCCCATGTTCCATAGTGTCCAGATTCATAAACTGGTCAATGTCACTTTCCATAATACCTTGTGCCATGCGCGGATTAGTATTCTCGACGGGTTGAGTCCTGCTGCTTGGCAAACCCTGCTGGGTAGGCGGAGCGGTCCCGACGGGTGTGCTGTCTTGTGCCTGAATGATCTGAAAGTTTGGTGGGACTGCTGCGCCAAAGGCTTCTCGCCGATAATCCTTTTTGATGGCTTGTGCAGCACTTGGCTGGGAATTGCCTCCTCGAGAATTCATCCACGAACCTGCCTCTGTGATATTTCCGAGATGCAAATCCTTCGCAAAATCGGAGGCGCCACGAAGAATTGGAAGCAAAGTGCGAGATTCATACCAGCGCCCCTTCACGTCCCCTATCGAGATCCGCGCCAGAGGCTGCTTAAGTGTCCAGAAAGATATCAATGATCGGGTCGGAATAGTTGCTGTATTTCGAAATTTAACGTCTTCAGATAGCCGCGATGGAAGTTTTGTATTCTCCGTTGGGAGCGTATTTGGGTCATATTCGACGGTCTTGAGCGTGTAGATATCACCGTAGAGATACACCGTGGAAGCAGACTCGGAGTTGGAAAATGGGCGCTGTCTCTTCTCTACTATACTCTGCAGCACCATTATGTCGCTTTCGGGCACGTCCCTTATACGTATAGGCTCTCCAACCCAAACCTTTTCGGCCCCAATAAACATGCCGCTGTAGTTGCATTCTCCAGGAACTGCAGAGGGTAAATCAATTGGGTCAATGAGAGTGTAGCATGTATCGATCGCTTTTGCTGCAAATATGCTGGCCTCAACCTCCGGATCTACACGTCCGTATCGTCCCTGTAGCACGGCGGCCCAATCAATGGTATCAAATCTGAGTCCATCAACAGCTAAGGCAGGGCTACCTGGTGGAGGGGCACTCCAGGCAAGCCATGGACGAAGGAGTTCCTCCTGATCGATGATAATTGCTTGAGGGTGGCCGTAAGGATGGGAAAGTGGCTGCAACACATATTTTGGACGAACCTCCGAAGTACTATTTCTGATCAATTCGCGCATAACCACGGCGGCCAGACCCCAGGACGTCCCTCGGCTGAACCATACCATTTCGCCTGGGCGGAAAAGGAATCTACCCTGAGAATCTAGCGCTTGTTCAAAAGACCGGAGAGGGGGAAGTGGGGTTGGTGTGAGCTTCGTAGGCGTTGATAAAGGTTGACTCAATGACGGGCCGGGAATTTGCGTTCTCAGCAAATTCTGCGCTGGCGTGGTTGACGGCCTTTGAGGATCCGTGCGGCGCGGAATAACGATTACTGGTTCCCTTCCTCTGGAGGTTACGCCTTGTGTATCGTGATTGCTTGCAGCACTCTCCAATTTTATCCTATCCGCGGTCTGCGCATCTTCGTCTAGAGGGATGTCCTCTGGCGAGCAAATTTTGCAGGAGCAGTTACCCGGGTCTCCTGCCTCATCAGTCGCAAGCCAGAGCAAATGTGGGAAAAAATCCGCAGGGCTTCTATAACGCTTTTTCCGACCCAGTGGGTGTCCGTAAAGATATGCGTCCTGGCGGTCGTTGGGACCTTTCGCGTGGTTTCGGGACGACTTTGGAGGCTTTCCGCCGGTTTCAGAGTTTGTGAACTTCCAGTGCTCAAACAGACGATAATTTTCTGGCAAAGCAGCAAGTATGTAGGACTTTCCTGTGGCGAATGGGAGTAAGCATTTGAAGTGTTGGCTTCAAAGGAATAAGTTACCGGACGCGTTGTCATTCTTCAATTCTCTCATTAAAAGCCCGCCTAGCTTCCTTCTCCAGTCTATTTCTTTTGAATCTCCTTCAACTAGTTGCACGTAAAAGTCGCTCACGCCTTTTGCATCAGGTGTCCGATCCAGTTGCTCATGGGTTGGCTGGTTAAGCTCCGTTCCAGACGCCTTTGTGCCAATCTCAAGCTTTCCGTCAGAGCGAGCAAGGTAGATAGGTACGAATGGAGCCATCGCGGCAAGTAATTCTATCGTACTGAATTGGAGCAAAGAAATAGGTAGTTGTGCGTGCGCTGCTCGAAATAGAACTGGGCCCACAGTTGCAGAGAAATGTGTTTGTTATCAGCTTGCGCTGTATTGGTGTCCGAATTGAGATTGAAGAAATGGCTAGGGTTATACAAGCATTCTAACTGCCTCTGCCGGCATCAGTGAAAGTGTGAGTTATTTGAGCTCCTTCGTTCCTAGATAACCAAGGGTCTTTGAGCCGCTGCTACTAATTGCAAATCGGAAAATTTGGTTAAGATCTCGGAAGCGGTATACTGTAGATGGATGTAAGTTTGCCTATAACCTTATTCATGTTCCTTGTATGCACGTGTGCGAGAGGAGAAAAAAGATGTCTCTTCTCTGGATTCCAAAATATGGCGAACACGCGTGAAATGAGTCGTTCTTTGTCCAAACCCGAGTTGACAATCCAGTAAGAAATAATAGGACGGCACACCCACGTTTGCAATAGACTTTTCGATGACAGGAGGTACACATGTTAGGTAGTACCGCTTTAGGTGAAGCAGGTAACCGACCCCAAACAAGCTCTATAGGACTTCCGCCTTAAATTCCTGGGGTTTGCTCATAAACTGTCTTATATGCTTCAGACGCTAAAATACAGTATTATTCTAGTAGCGGAATAGATGTGACATTCGGTTCTACAACGATATAAAGAACAGATCAAGAATATTTAAAATATATGATGAAGTGTATGTTATTTTTTTTTTTTTTTGGAAGTTTCCTTACGGACACTCAAAACTCGAAATGGATTTGCCGGCAGTAGGCGACTTCCTAGAGCAATTATCCGGAAATCCTTTTGAAGAATCCATGCCAAAAGAATGGGAAATGGAAATCAAATTGGCTGCACGTGCCTTCGAAACAGAGGGCCTTCTTCGCTGCCTGCCAAAGAACAGACCTAAGATACTTACTACAGCGCGGAGTCAAGAGACAATCAGTGTTACAATGCCTTTCCACTAGTACCAGAAGGTCCAGGTCCTTTTGTCAAGGCGGGAGCTATCTCGTTCGCGTACGGGTTATTGCCCAGGGGCCGAGGGGCGTTCTTGGTTGCTGTCAACTTTGGCCCCGGCGCCTCGGGCGGGGGTGAGAGAAGTTGCGCGGCTTCTAAATTGGTGTGCGCTCACAAGATTAACTTACGAAGTAGTCACTGTCCCTGACAGTTGGTTGCGACAGACACTAAGTGGTTTAAAGACACTGCGCTTTTGTTTCGCGTCGCAAATAGTAACCTTCAGTAATTGATTGTACTCCGTATGAGTACGCGTACCCGCCCTGCCACTTCCTTGAATGTCGGACGTCTGGGACGGCAGGTGGCACACTGCGGGTTTTCGGACCCCCTGCTCTTGCAGATCTTGTCTCCTTGTCCGCTTCCAAGCCAAGTTATATGTAGGCTAACAGAAGAGCGCGCATGTCATGTTTCCTAGAGCAGCCGTGCTTAGTTTCTTTTCGTCCAACAATTTTTTGTTTATTTCGCAGCAGAGCTTGTGAGCTGCTGTGCAGCGTCTTGCCGTTACTTTCAGTGTTGAATCAAACCCTTTCCAGTTCGGCTGAGGGAGACATTTGAAAGGCAGACTACTGCGGCTTCAATTGCCATAGCCATGCAGCATCGGCGGGTCCAGCTGGCGCTTCTGTCGTTCCTTTGCCTAATCGCAATATACATCTTCTTCAAATCTTCTTCGTTAGCATTTGACCAGTCATTTGAGCCGACGGAGTTGCAGCCCGCAAATGAGACTCTCGGTGTAAGTTGTGACATTGATTTAAATGGAGACGAAATTCGTAGCTGAGAAGGAACACAGTTTGGCGCAATATTAGTTGTTTCCAGGGCAGGTTCCCCTCGGAGAGAGTCACTTATTCGGGCGGCAAATCTTACTGAACTCGAAATGCGAATACCTCCCCAACCTGTCTGGTCTTCAGAGGACATCACGGCATTGCAGGCCGGGGAATCATCCACCCTGGATCGCGGCTCAGCCTTGGCTTGGCTTGGTCATCTGAACGCTTTGCGATGGTAAGTATTCCACACCAAGTAATCCTCAAAATCTTCATTCCATTACCTGTCGAACCTGTCAGTTTACTGAGACACCACGTGCTTGAAATATAGGCTTCTAAACTCCGGTATCGAAACCGCTCTCATTCTCGAGGATGATGTTGACTGGGATATTCACATCCGCAAGACTCAAATACCGCGCGTGGGCCATGCCATTCGCCAAATGACGTCGTCAAAAAACAGTTTCTACGGAAATTTGCAATCTTGGGATATTCTTTATGCTGGTCATTGCGGAGACTTTTTCGAGGCGGAGCGCGCCAAAACGCTGACCATGCAAACTTTCCCGGACGAATCTGTCCCTCCAATGCGGAAATTGCATCCTTTCACCCAAAGATTTCTTTCTGCGCTTAATCTCGGTGAAAAAACAAGAATGGTCCATCATTCTGTTTCTCCGCTCTGCAGCTTTGGTTACGCGGTAACTCGTCAATCAGCGCAGCGGCTGCTCAATGACCTGGCCGGTAGAGAACCCCAAAAAGGCTGTCCGGCCTACGATGTGCGTCTGCTAGAAGCTTGCCGAGATGAGGGCATGCGGTGCTGGAGCGTCAATCCCGAATTGTTTCATCATACCGAAGCCCCCTCAGAGATCGCCATCCAAAACAAAGCAAACGAAAATGACCCATCGCAGTCGTCCGAACTAAATCTGAAACTCGAGAGCCCGAACATTGAATGTGGCGCGAGAACTTTCCGCTGGACGGAAGGGAGGAGTTTTGAATATCTAAGAGACATTGTTGGAAGGCAGGGACGCTGCTTAAAAGATCGAATGGAGGAGGATATGACTGAGCGTCTTGAAGACTAACAATGTGCAGTGCACAATTTTCATTCCAAAACGTACAATTGGTCATTGCAGTTTGTCCAAGCTAATTCACAATCTCCGGAGGGAAATTTCGTTTTAAACACTCCGGATCCATGGTCAAGGCGAGCTTAGTGAGCTCAACAAACGTTCGAAGCTGACAAGCATTAGACTCTTTTCGCCCTGCTGGAAAAGCACCCTGGCTTGATTTAGTTCGAAGAGCTTGAGAGTTTGAAAATTAGTTCCAAGCCCGCTCCTCTAATTAGGACTTCCATCGCATGGCTGGTCAGCACAACATTAGACAGACCTATCTTCCGTACAGCGACTATATTTTCAGTTATTGCAGTACAGGCCTTTCTGCAATCCATTGATAAAATGCGCGTTGCCTTATGATCGAAATATGATGCCTATTTAATAACGCCAGCAGAGAAGTTTTAAATCTAACCCGTCTAACTTCGCGCTCTCTTGTTCAGCCATCTTATGCCTAATGAATCGCAGTCATAAACGGAAGGACATAAAAACTGCGCCCTTTTCATATACGCCCTCCGAATAGCATTAAGTAAAATCCTTGATCCCAAAGCACCTGAACGTAAAGCTCCAATTTTCCAAATCCCTAATTTGACCCTTCATCTCTCCCTAAATAAACCTCGAAATCAGAGAAAAAAAAAGAACGAGTATCGTAGTGTCGTCAGACGCATGTTGACAAAGTGTAAAGTAGCTGGACCTTAAATAAATATTTTGTGGGTCATTTTTTGAAAGGCAAGGATGGGAGACGCGGTTTTTTAGAAGGTAAAGTGATTTTGGTGAGTTTGTTGATTTGGTGCAACGTAGTAAGATTGATACGGATGATGCTGTGAGGAGAAATCAGCCGTCGCCATGAGTGGATTCATAATCCCTGACGGAATTCGCTGGGTTGCGGGAGGCGTCGGTGCGACGGGAGGTTGTTGCGCTGAAGCAGGTGTGTGAAAAGGAAATGACTGCAGCGAAGCGGAACTTTGCATTATAGCCTGAGGAATCGGATTCTGCGGAGGGGCTTGTGGTCGTGTTGGTGTCGGCTGACAGACTTCTTCCTCATCCTGCCAACCCCATTTGTCTTTGAGCTCTTTATTCAAGAACCCTACCCGCCAACCAGTTTCTTTTCGGATTTTGTCAAATATTTGGAGAATCTCTTCCTGTTCACGGCGCGCAACCAAACACTCAGCAGCGATTGCCAGCGACCGCAAAGCAACACTTGCGACTCCGCTTGAACAGGTTAGTCTGATTATTTTGAAGTGAATCAATAAACGGCTTACCGATCCTTGACGTGTGCAACGATTCCACATATTTGATGAGAGTGCAGAAGCTGCATTTCGCGCATCTCATCTGTGCCCGAAGGCATTGCTGGATTGGTGTGTGCCAACAGGCACATTGCAGTGTGGTAGAAAAGTCGCGCAACAATAGAGGTTCTCTTGATCAACCTGAACCAAGGATTAGCGAGGCGCCGAACAACTTCGAATCCCCAATTACGTACCAGACCTCCGGAAACGAGGACTTCGAGGTCGTCTGATATGGATGCAGATAGGCCAGAGGATGCATCGTACGGGGGATATTTTCGTTCCATGCGTCGCACAATTCCTTGAGTCTTTTCCACTCGGCATAGCGATTATGGAGCCGAAGTTGTTCCTCTCGAGCTGAGGATTCTTGAAAACGTGGTATCGTTGCCCTAAAGTTCGCAATCTTCGCAACAAGATAGACTATTTTGTAGGTCCATATTTCCTCTCTTCCAGATTCTGTCTCACGTGACAGATCCATGTCGACTCCCCAATCGTCCGGTTCCCAAGCAACTTGCCAATTGAAATGAAGACAACTGAGAAGTTCCATTCCTACATTTAGCCAGAAACATGCTGCTCCGATTCCAGTCGATCTGGCATTCCATCCGCATTCCTTTATAAGGGCACGAGCGCCGGCAATGTGGTTCATTCGCTGGAGGGCTCGTTCTGACATGATTTCATATACATTTAGTATGACGGCGGTAGTTGCACAGATTACTGTATCACGGTTGGGATTTTGAAGAGACTTTAATAGTGCTCTTGTGGCGGTGTCGTAGTAATGCAGAGCTTTGTCCTCGTGGTACGCAGGATTGACTAATGTCAAATGGCGGACCCCGCACGCAAGGAATGCATTGAGCAGCATAGGCTCCCCTAGAGCATGAAATGGAAGTAATCGCGAAAACTTGACGGCTATCAGCTTTGAATTTAGCAGAAGCGTGTTATAATTCACTCACATGCTTCATTGGGTCCATGCTGTCCATCCAGAGTCCGACTTCTTCCACAAACACTTGCATGAAAAGCACCTCATCAGGTGAATTCAGGTAGTCACGACTCTCGGTTGGTGGTGTCAGCATTTGATCCGTGGTTTGGTAGGCTTGCGTTGGATGCGTATGCTGTGGAAAGTTGTGTGCCATATAGGTAGGCTCGCCGTCCGTGTGATGGACATGCGGCGGCCTTGTACCAGCTGGAGTTAAATCAATGTGGCTTGAATCTGGAAAGCCTATAGGTAAAGAGGATTGGATAGGAGGCAATTGTTGGTGGGTTGTCACAGTATTAACGGTAGCAACATCCGGGGGAAAGTCGAACGGAATTTCATTCTTGAAAGGAGTGTCCGAGCAGCTTCTCAGAATCGAATAACGCTCTAAACCTCCTTTGTACTCAGATGCAATATCTCGAGAGTCATCCTGGAACCGAACGGTCCATTCCGCTCCAGTGGTCACGACGGGTGGCGCTTGAACTTGAATATCGATAAAATTGAGTCGCAGGCCTCTTCTGCAGATCCTGCTGGACTTTCTGCAGTTTTGACAAGATGGAAGTCCTTCATCACATTTAAGGTGTCGTTCCCTGCAAGTGAGGCACCCAGTGCGTACTCTTTTTGGTCGATTCCCGGGAGGCGTTTCTTCGACAGGGGGCGCATTAGCTTCAGCTTCAGCAGCAGCCATCAGTATTTTTGCTTTTGTACGCTAATTCGACTGCGCCAGGCAGTCGTTAAGGCGGCCTACAAGTCCTCCACGGGAAATCTTTTGATGCGCGCAGAGCGAAACGTCCCCAAATCGTCCTGACAGAAAATAAAGGTTTGGAAGAGGGCTTGCCGACTCCGAGGTTCGTCCGGCTCTTTTGCAAATCTCGGTCAAACCATAGGGACAGGTGTTATCAGGGGGATACGAATCGCATGCTAAAGAATGAATTCAGTCAGTTCAATGTCAGGATTGATAGCAACATCAGCGCCAAGCTTGCTTCATATGACGAACCGAGTCTGGAGCACCTTTTCTATCGATCAAAATAGAAAGTACCCGGTGAAGGAGGCCCGGGTTTGGAAGCCACCAGCCGCGGCGATTTGAAGTTATTAACTCGATTGCCAGTTTTGCCTAGTGGCAATTGGCCAAGGCAGCGTGGCCAAGTCGGATGAAAAGTCAAGAAAGCGAGGAATCAACAACCCAGTTGTGCGCGGCGCGAAGGTATCGCGTCAGCGGAACTCCAAGTGCTGAGAGAGGAGAGAATGGAAAGTCAAGTCGAGGACGAGAGAGAGAAAAGGGAATTTGAAGCGTGACAGCCGAGAAAACCAGGCAGATCTAACCCAATCTTGTTTGGCTGATTCCCTGTTGCTAGTGCTAAGAATAATGTGGCCGAAGCCACTGCGTCCTAGAATGGTTAGATATTTGTACCCTGCAGGTCTGATCCACCTGTGCCGCTGCAAGGGATCATCGTCATTAGGGTATGATTGAGCGTAACTTACGTACAGCCGACATTGATATTACATCCATTGCATTGGTCCAGTGCCATTACGTTCGGAGTGGCGAGCAGTCCCTTGTATCATTAATGACAATGTGCTTAGAGCATAGTACCCTTTCGAGACAGATTGAGAAATTTTCGATGCTATTATTTAATGCTCTTCACTCGAAGTTTTAGTGATTCACAAATTCGTCGATCATGTGTAAACTTATGTCGTGTCCGTTTTGCTCTGCTCGGCCATGGTTGGTCTCTTTCTTCTTTCTTCAAAGGTAACTCAGGCTTCTAAGAATCCGGTAGAATATCTGGCCCGTACCGTCGTTCATATATATTCAGTTCATTGATTACTTTTACAATATAAATTTGGTTAAATAAACCAAGGACGGATGAGAGACTCGATGCCTTTTTTGGTGATTAGGTTACTTAATACTTATTTTCGAATACTGTAATCGATTTCCATCCATAAATTAAGCCTATTGAAAGATTTCTTCATTTATGCCAATTACAAGACAAGATATATACCTTGAACATGTGTTGCGGATTAGAAAGAGGTGAGGTAACATCACAGGTATAAACACATGCGAAATTGAGATTTTCCCCTGTGCCCCGGGGACCGTAAGGATACTCCGATACTTCTTGCAAGTCGAGCCCTCCACACGTTGAGTACCTTAGGTACGGAGAACGGAGTACATGCAGGGAAATGATTGCCGATACTAACGCCTATTGCGTCTTAGTTACTTATTCCCATGCGACCTGGCGGAGAGTTTTGGACCCTCCCAGGTCTCCCGAAGCCGCAACTTAAGTTGTTCATTGCGACCAATTTGGCGCCCAAACAAGACACTCCATACAACACAAGCGTGGTCGGTATATATGAGCAGCTAAAGCTCGCGTTTAATCTAGGCTTCTGCGGCTATTTTTCAATTATCATATGGTAGTTGATTCATTTCACCAAACTTTAGCCCAAATTTGATGTAAATGGCAAAACCCAAAGGCTCACAAGACTCATTGCCGCCTGCCCAACCCTCCTATGTGTTGAGAGGCCATCGAGAGCCAATCCATGCTTTGGGATTTTTTCGCGAGAATTCGAGGTTGATCAGCGGTGATGCTGAAGGGTGGATTGTTGTCTGGGACATTTACCTCAAAAGACCAGTAGCAGTGTGGAAAGCTCATCAGAAATCCTTGCTTGGCGTTGGATCTTGGGGTAATGACAGAATAATAACGTGGGTCAAATATTTATTTTTAGTGGTGTGGCGGGGTTCAGGCTGATCATTTTTACTTGCAGCCATGGAAGGGATGGTAAACTACATATATGGCAGGTTAGCAAAGCAGAGGAAGGCTTACTGGACCGTACACTCCCTGTGGACGATCCATGCTCCCACCGCAAGCAACCATGGCTTCTGCATAGCATATATGTCAATACTCTTAATTTCTGCCCGTTCTCAGTGTGCTTTGATATTGAGTCAGCACAACCTGAACATCGAGCTACGGAGCAACAGCAGCTACTGCCCCCGATACTAGTAGCAGTTCCTCACGGCTCCAGTTCTGAAAATGTACTCCATTTTGCTTTTCATATTTCCTTTGCATGGTGCTCATCACTCACAGATTGAAATATGTCAATTCCCAACAGAGCAACGAATATCAGTTGTCGCTCCCAGAAATTCTCCAGGTACAGGCCTTCTCGCAATCTCTTACATACTAACATCTATCTTGTGTTCGAGCCAAGTTAAGTCTTCTACTTACATGCCTTTAGGTATGGTCATGACGGTTGCAATAATTAAAAGACATTGCCGTCTAACCGTGCTCGCTGGCTACGAGAATGGGGAACTTAAAGTATTTGAGCGCCAAGTTCCTGATCAAGACTGGCACGAAATTTATACTGCTCGCCCTCATTCGCAACCAGGTACGGTTAACAGATCGCGTTCTCATTAGGTTTCGGGGGACCGTCTGACTTGGCTCCTTAATACAGTGCTCTCGATAGGGATAGAACCCTCAGGCTTAGCCTTTTTCAGTTCATCAGCAGATTCGCTGGTGGTAAAGCATCCATTGCCTTACTTTGACAGCAATATATCGAATCAAGAAACGTATTTGGAACCGTCCAGGACGCATATTACGAAGCATTCAGGGCAACAAGGACTCAGCACACGATCAGATGGGAAAATATTTGCTACGGCGGGATGGGATGCCAAAATACGGGTCTATTCAACCAGGAACCTCCGAGAGTTAGCTGTTTTGAAATGGCATAAAGAGGGTTGCTATGCAACGGCATTCGCCACAATAGAATTGGCTGGGTCGATACCAAGTAATATAGACTCGCCAAACGTTGAGCCAACAGGGCATTCCACGCCGGACAACCGCACCCCATCGAAGGCTAAAATTAGAAGCAGAACTGAAGATGTCAAAAATGTACATTGGCTCGCGGCTGGTTCAAAAGATGGCAAAATTTCTCTGTGGGATATCTATTAAACTTAATCTCACTTAACCAATATTAAATTCTGCAGCGCCAGAGCTTTGCTCTTTGAGCTTCTCCCGCATGCGTCTTGCGGCCTCCTGCCCATCGTTCGGCGATTGGTTAGATTGAAGCACGGATCTTGAATTCGCTCCGCTGCTGCGATCTTTCGGGGCCATTTTCTTCCCTGTCTTTATGCCGTTGCTGTCCCCCGGCTTCATCCCTGGCACTTTAATACTACCGGGTTTGTCTCGAAGGGCAAAGCTCTTAGCCATGTGGCCCAGATGGAGGGTTTTAATATTGAAAATATGCCTTTCCGCTGCCACATGTGTTGCATATGCTCGAAGATGGCTTTGGTAAGATCTCCTGGCTAATTCCAGAAATTTGACATCTTCCACCGCACACCGTTCTACACCTAGCTGCCAGTCAGTGGCTCGCGTTTCCCAGTCATTTCCAGCCCCTAGTCCAGTCGATCCGAAGGCCTTCTTGAGCAGATCATTCGTATCACTGCGAATCAAACCCCGTCCACCATTCCGATTCGATTCCTTAAGTATTCCAACGTAGCTTTCTTCATCTCCAGGTAAAAGGAATAGAAGAGCCCTGCCCTCATTACCTGCTCTAGCCGTCCTTCCGATGCGATGAAGATGGTCTTCTTTGCTGAAAGCTGGATCATACTCGATAACCAGGTCAACATTAGGGAGATCTAATCCTCTGGACGCAACATCAGTACAGATCAGCACTGCTGGATCTTTGCTCTTGCTGAAGGCTGTAAGCGTCGCCGTGCGGACATTTTGTGGCAGAGATCCATGCAATTTAAAGAGGCTAACTGGACTGTCCTCGGTAGAAAATGCGACGGCTTTAGCTATCGTATCCTTCGTGGCCTTGTTGGGCGCGTTTTCCATCACTTCATCATCTGTGGAGGCGGTCTCAGCCTTGTGGTCGCCGATGGCCTTCGAAAAAACTTCAAAATGAAAATCCACAGAGTCTGCGCAGGAGATGAAAACAATTGCCTTCATCACAGACCCTCGACGGGCAAAGGCGCGCTTCAGAGCTGCCGCCAGCGTCACCAGGCGAAGTTTTGCGGGCACAATCAAATACGATTGCCTCAGCTGGGCGGGAGCTGAAAAGGCAGATTCTGAGTTGGCAGCTCTATCTGGATCGGTTGTCGAGGATTCCTCTCCTTTTATGTGCACAGCTTCCTTGAGACTGATTTCACCTAACCTTTGAACATTCATCTTCATGGTAGCGGAGCAAAGAATTGTATTTCTCCTTGAAGGCAGTCTCGGAGTTAGAAATCCTTGCTCATTTGACTTTGTGACTTGTCGAGCGTCAAGCTTTTTCACGATACCTTGGATCTCCTCCTCAAATCCTAGCTCCATGAGACGATCCCCTTCATCAAGCACTAACCACCGAACATTGCTGACATCCAACGCCTCTGTATTTTCAAGGTGATCGACAAGTCTGCCCGGAGTAGCAACAAGAATGTTCAGACCTTTCCGTAGCCTTGCTTTCTCAGACTTCTTCTTCTCTCCGCCAATGACTGTCCCGGAAACGATCCAGTGAGCGCAGTGTAGAATCTCGTCCAACACTACAGAAATTTGTTTGCACAATTCCCTCGTTGGTGCGAGAATGATTGCAAAAAGTCCAGAATTTCGCTTAATCATGCTGTTTGTGGCATCTGAGGCCTGCGCGCCTTCTGATAGCCGGGTTATGCGTTCCACTACAGGGAGGAGGTATGCCAGCGTCTTTCCAGAACCCGTTTCGGCTTGTATGAATGCGTCTGTGTCCTCCCGCAGCAGCTGGGGAACTGCTGCTCTCTGAATCGCCGTTGGTGCCTTGAGGTTGAGCTTTTTCATTAGGTGATTGGCGAGCCCAGGTGAGAGACCCAGAGACGTAAATGTATCAAGCTCCCCAGTAAGTGGCGCGTTGGAAGGTTTTGCACTTCCATCATCTTCGGGCTCATTCGTAAGTTCCGTCTTGGGCTCGGGGTTCGATGAGAACAGCGATGAGACAAATTGTTGGGGCAGTGCCTTGTCGCGCGTTGCGACCTTGCTTTTTGATGTTGGATTTTGGAGTGTGTTGGGTGCAAAGGGAATAGATTCACGTTCCCCTCTATTATCCCTTCGTTGTCGTTTAATAGGTCTCCAGTTTTCATTCTCCGCGTCTGTGACTGCCTGCAGTTTTCGTCCATCATTCCTTAAGTCATTATCCAGAGCGTCGTGTTTGTCTGTCCTTTGCCCTAATCGGTCGAGGCGGCGGCGGGCAGCTTTTTTGGCAGTAAGTCGATCTTTCCATCGCCCGCCTTTAAAACTGAGGTTTGGTGCCAATCCAGAATCATCGATTGCAAAGTTCACAAGCATAGAATCGTCCGCCATGGTCTAAGGCGTGAATTCCGTGCAGTTTATTTTGGTGTGCACTGGCATCAAAATTGTAACTTGCAGCGTGTAATTTTCAGGTTGTGATTTCTGTCTGAACTGAATAGCACAGTACAGAGTACATGGAGGCCTAGTACAAGGGAAACGTACTCTCAAAAAATGATCCTCCACTAGTCAAGATAATAGTCAAGGTACAGACTCAAAAAAATTTATCTAGTTAGTGTCGCTTGATCACAAAGTTACTAGTTGCCTTAAAGTCTTAGTCAATTAATGTATTTCACTAGCAAATCAGTTACACAAGCGAGTCCGTCCTCAAAGGCAGTAACTAATCCTAGTTAATATACCTAACAAGTAATGTATTTCACAAGTGAGTCAATTACACAAATAAGTTGATCAGCCCCTACTCCTCCAGGTCAATTAATGAAAAAATTAAAGCTTAATTACATCTAAATTTCAATTAAAAATATATAATCTTATGGTACAAGTCTGGTAAAACAGTATACAATTGTATAACTTTACTATCTACAATTGCTAATGTATTTCCCAAGTGACCTGGCCACCCAAGTGACCTGGCTACCCCCTACCAAACACAGTTAATTCTTGCAAAAAATAAAGCTTTATTACACCTAAAATTCAATTAAAATACATATTTTTATGATATAGATCTGGTAGGGCATTGCAAAATTGTATGCCCTACTACTTTGCAATTGCTATACTTGGAGAGGCTCTTTTTTAGGGTAAAAGTACTAGAGCTTGTGCTAGAGCTTACACTAAAGATCTTAACTACTTACATGCAAATAGTATAAATTTTTAATTTATTTAAAATTATTTTTTATTTAAAAAATATTTTTTAATTAAAACATTAAATATTTTATATTATATAAATAAATTTAAATTATTAATCTAATACTAATAATTTTAAATAATTTTAAATTTTTTTAAAATATTTTTAAATTAATTTAAATAATTTAAATATAATGAAAAATTAAAAATTAAAAATTAAAAAAATTAAAAAAATTAAAAAAATTAAAAAAATAATTATAATAATTTATTTTCTATTTAGAACTAGCTTACTTTATAAATTAGTTTAATTTTAGAGCTCAATATTATACCATTGAGCTAGAAGTACTTTTTTCTAAAAATAGTTTAATATAAAAAATATATATAGTAGAAAAGAATAAAAAAAATAAAAAAAAAGATTTCTCAGCTAGGGATTGAACTCAGGTACTTAGGTACTTATAATGTTTATATATTTCCTAATTAGGAAATAGCTTTTCAAATGGTATATTTTTTAAAAATAATTTTTTTTATTTTTTTTATATATCTTTTTATTTTTATTTTTTTTATTTTTAAAATAATTTTATACTATTTTAAATTAATTAAAAACTATTTTCAAAAAATTTTAAATTTGAAATTATTTTAGAAATATTTTATAACATTTGATAAGATTTAATATTATTATAAAATTTTTAAAAATTTTAAATTAAATATAAATTGTTAAAATATATTTAAAATTATTAAATATAAAACTTTATATAAAAAATTATATTTAATTATTTTAAATAAAATCAATACAATTATTAAATTAATATAAATTAGTTTAAATATATAAATATTTAGAATATTTTAAATTTAACTTTAATATAGAAATATATTTTATATAATTTAAAAATATTTTTAAAACTTTTAAAAAATTTAAAAAGTTGTTTTTAATTATTAAATATAAATTAAATTAAATTTTAATTATTTAATATAAATATAAGTAATTAATTATATATATATAATTAAAATAATTAAAATTAATTTATATCTATTAATTATAAATTAATACTATTTTTAATATTTTAAAATAATTTAAAAATTTATACTATTTGCATGTAAGTAATTAGCATAAAATAAATTGTCTATATAAAAAAGATAATTTTTCTATATAGTTAGATTTGTTCTATGTAGTTCTTCAAGTTTATTGTTTAGCATTACTACTTTACAATAATTAGTTATTAGTATTTAGATAATAGTATGATAACAATTTTATTGTTTACTTTATCTATCTAATCTAAATTGTTATATCATCTTATATTACTTTGATTACTAAATAATATTGTAGAATACTATATTACTAGGTAAAAATTCTTGATATACTAATAGAGAATTATTTAGAAAAATATAACTCAACACCTATCTATAGGTATTATTGTAACAAAAGAACTACTTAATATTAGAACAAAGATAATTTAAGCAAAGGCATTTTATTATATCTAGCAATTCAAGAACAACTATTATTAAAACAACTATAGTAGTAGTTATAATGCTTAAAGAGTAGATTGTAGGACTACAAGCTTAATTAACAATATAGCATTGACAAGCCAATATTAAAGTAGCAGTACTAGACAAGTTTAATAAAAAGAAAAAAATACTCAAAGTATAGTTTATTACTATAAAGCTATACCTAGGTTTCAATACATTAACTTTCCAGGCAAACTAGACAAAATCTTAGCAACAGGAATATATATAAAGAGAAAAGCTCTAGAATAGTTCTAACTATATATAAATAATTACATAAAAAATAAATTAAATAATTAAATAGAAGCAGAAACTATATTCATTTTTAGCCACTATAATAAATTCAAGAAATATATTAAAAAAGTTTATAACAAGATCAATGAAGTACAAGCAGTAAAACAAAAGCTTTAAACTATATAATAGAAAGAATTAACAGCTTTATACATGGTAAAGTTTATATATGTAGCATCAATTATACCATGAAGACAAGTACTATTAAGTATAATCTTCTATAATAGACTCAAGAAGCAAGTCAAGGACAAAATAGCTAGAGGAAAAAGGCTAGAAACCATGTATAAAATGATAGAACTAGCTGTAAAAATTAATAATTACTAATATAAACAAGAGCAAGAAAAGAAGTGTTAATACTCAGAATACAGAATTAGTTATAAAACAAATATAAAAAAGTATTAAAACAAAATACTAAATAAAAGTAACTCAATGAATCTTGATACTATACAAGGACAGAGATATAAAAATCCTATTAGTAAAAAAGAAAAATAATAATACTTTAATAAGAAAACTTGTCTTAGATATAGAAAAACTAGATACTGGAGGAAAAATTACAAATTTAAACTAAAAAATTATAGAAAACTTAAAGACATATAGACTCTAAAGATTAGATTTTTGAAACTTATTAAACTTTAAAAATAGAAAGAAAGCAAACAAAACCACTTAAATCTAGACCTTGAATGAGTATAAAAGGTTCAAGATTAGACTTAATACTTGAAAGCAATTATTGAGATAACTGTAAAATTTGTAGAAAAACCAATAATCAATAAAATAAAAGAAAAAACTAAGGCAATAGTATTGCTAATTATTAAAGTACATAAACAATTAAACAAACTACTTAACTAATATTAACAGGACCAAAACAAGTAAAACAATATATAGTATGTATTTAAAAAAGCAAATATATAATACTTCAAAACATCTAGCAAACTAGAACAAGAAAATAAGATTAAAAAAGTAATCTATAAAAACCTGGCACAATAACACTTTAACTTACAGGAAATAGTCATGAAATAATACAAAAACTATATTAAATGGCTCAAAAAAAAAGTCAACAAGCAAATACAAGAAACTTAAAATGAAACTATAAAATATATCAAGATATATAAAGTAAAAACAATTATAGTATTATAAATTAAAAGTTACAATACTTGAAAGTAGAAAATAAAAGAAATAATTCAAGATGACAAAACTATAAATTATAAAGCAAGAAAACTATTTAAAGACAGACTCTTATAATACAAAAAACAAATCTATATACTACAAAAACTATAAAAAGAATTAAAAAAATATATAAAGAATTAACTAGTAGACATTCAGGAATTGCAAAAACAGTTGTACAAATTATAGTTAATTATTACATATCAAGCATATAAAAGATAATTGAGGGAACAATTAAAAAATACTATGTTTGCAACCAGAACAAGAAGAACAAACATAAGCTATATAGAAATTTAAGAAATCTAGAAGTACTACATTAGTCATAGAAGTTAGTTACAATGGATTTTATAACAAATTTACTAGAATCAACAAATCTAATTATAAGACAAAAATATAATACATTACTTGTAATTGTAGAAAAACTTACAAAATATACATACTTTATCTTAATAACAAAAGAGATTATAGTAGAACAGATAGTATATTTAGTATTACAAACAGTAATGGTAAACTATCAACTACTAAAAAAATTTATTACTAACAAAAATAAATTATTTATATCAAAGTTCTAGAGAATAATAATACTTAAGTGCTTTTCTAAAGATTATTTAAACTATAATAAATTAAAAATTTTTAATAAAAATTTAATAAAATTTTTATAGTAGAAAACTATTTCTGCAAGTTACAACCAATATTATTACAAGATTGAAAATAGTTTTTTATCATTATTAAATTTTAACAGTATATATCTTTTAATATTTAATTAAAAAAATAATTATCTATTGAATATTAGAATATTTAAAAAAATAAATGTAAAAAGTAATTAAAAAATTATTTAATTAAATAAAATATATTATTATATAAAATTGTATGTATAATATATATATTTTTAATATAAAAACCAGTAACTATTTAAAGAAAATCAACAGTCTATTGACATTCTAATAGAAAATTACTATCTAATAATAATTTAGTATCAACCTCCTCTAGTATTCTGCTAGATGGTATAGGAACAAGATATAAATGACAGCAATTAGCTGCAGGAAGGCCAATGATTAACAAATCTACTAATAGATAATAAATTGGTAGCTGTAACAAATTGTTAATTAATAGTTCACTTGACAATCTATACACAGGGTTGATTAATGAGCCAATCAAGAAGTAGTATATACTTGAATGGTAATAGCATATAAATATCTGCTGCAGTCAACACTTGGATCCTGCCAGGAGAAAGTTGTCTCTGATATTCATTGTGTATTGTTGATTTGTTGTAGGATTAGTATAATTTATCTAGTTATACTACTTCAAAAGCTGTCCATCATGCCTTACAATGTATTGAATACCATAGTCCCAGGCAAAGGCCTCTGCCAGCTGCTGCATGAATAGACTGGTGTAAGAAAGACATGATAACCTAGTTTGAGCTGTAAGGTTAAATGCATTGTCATGATCCATAGCAAACCCTTGGTAGGCTAAACAGACAGAGA